CGCATATGGTGTGTGCATTGATTCACTATGATGCTATCTTCAGAAGCTACCCATTGCTCATCTCTTGTGGTAGTTTTATACAGCAGCGACATTCGTACAGTCGCCTATTGGTTACCCGGGAGCTCTTTGAGGCCTTGATGTCTCAACTAGTTAGTTTCCCTCGATTCAAGGAATTCGTACTTCTTTTGGAGCAAAACATGGGGAGAACGACATTGGCCCTCCTCAGCTACGCTTCAGGAGATTGCCTGCCCGTAAAGAAAAACTAAGCTGTCAATTGAGCGCTGGTTTTGGTATTGGCCGTTGCTCCGAATGCATGTTCGAAACTGACTCATCTAGAAATCGCGTATGGACTCAGATATGCAGAACTCAATAATCGGTCCGTCCAGGACCCATGGTCAATACGGCAGACAGCTATTTATCATAAGTTTAAGGCCAATGATAGATCTTCAAGTTGGGTCATGATTGCTGCATCGAAAAGGACCGAAACATCTCTGGATCGTTACATCAAGAGCTGCGAAAACATTGCTCAACTTAATCCTTTCGAGATCCATCTCATTGTGCTTGATACAGCACTGGCAAATTGGCGCCCTTACATTGTTGGCCTTACAGAAAGAATAACGCAACAGGTGCGCCCAATCTCAACTGCACTATCCTCAGTTTTCACACTCACCGTAGAAGCAGACTGACAGAGTGCTCGTTGCTTCCATCGATGAGAAAGACCCGCTGCGGGTGGCAGATTTTGAAGAAAGGCAGAGGTTGAAAGACTTCGAAGACCGCCTTATGGACATACTCCTTATATTCGATGCAACCCGTGACACTATTACATCCGTTCTTGATAGGTATCAAGAATTCTGTATTGGCTGTGGTAGTACATCGGATGATGGTGGTAGGATGGGGTCTGACTTTATAGTTTGTGCTCTTCAGGAGAGGCAAAAAGATGTCCATTCCAGCCGGAACAAAGTGAAGATCTTGCACAAAAAGGTCCAAGGAACGGCAAACTTAGTAAGCCAGCAATTTCTCAAATCGCAAGTCCACTTTACACTGATATCAAAAATTCCAGCTATCGAGTTTGCTGGACCATGGGAATGGATCCTCCCTCAAGCAGCTTGCAGAGGAAGCCAGGAAAGAGAACATCGCGATGCGGCAACTCACAGAGAAAAGCACGAAAGATGCTGCAGCAGTCAAAGTACTTACCATCATCACGTTGATTTACCTACCCGCGACGGTCGTATCAGTAAGTGGCTCCCATGTCTACATCCCTTTCCCTGTGCGCACGCTGATGAGATACTAGAACTTTTTCTCAACGCAATTCGTTAGTCAGGAGCAACATGAAGGAGGTAGTAACCGGACAGTGGTTTCCTCAAATGCGTGGCTATTTGCTGCTATTTCCATACCACTGACTTTGGGTACACTGGCGGTCTGGTGGGTGTGGGTACAATACCAGACACAGAAATCGCGGTGGCCAAAGAGAAACACGGATCAGTCTGCATGGAAAACGTTCCTCGCATCACGTCGAATCCTCTGGCTCACGCAAAACTAGGGTACTTGAGCTGACTCAAATTGAAGACTCTAGTAGCCTCTTATTGCACTGCCATCCTCTCCAACATTGTGTGAAGATTAACGAAATCAACATTTTTGGTGCTATGAAAACTGCGCCTTGTCTTCGGCTTGATCTACGAAAAGGATTGGTGTAGGCAGGCGGGTAGTTCATGCATCTCGGGCAGAGGTCGTATGTCCTGTGACAACCAATGAACACGGAGTCTCCACCACCATTGTAGCCGGTTCGTTTACCTAATACAACCAATCAATGTTGCCTGGGTGCGAGACGTAACCTATGCCTGCAAGGCTGTGACCCCCTTTTTTGGATAAGCTGTGCCTTGTTGAGGCTCAAATGGCAGGGCTATTGTTCCTCTACATACTCTTAGAACCCTCCACCTAAGAGCCTCGACAACCTCTCAACTTCGATTCCCCGCCTTGTTTTCAAGGAGCGCCTTTTCCATTCGGCAACACCACGAAAATGTTTTGATTTGTTGCGTAGAACAAAAATAAAGTGTTGTCACCCGTTAGTTCTGCGTCTGTTCAGCGAACAGCATCTTTCACGATGCAAGAGGCGCCTTACGGTAATGCGAGAGGTATGTACACCCAGAGTCTTACGCAATATACTGTTTTGACTTCTTGTTTGGTGACAGATCCAAATGGTGAACCTTTTGCAGAACCGTCGGAGCCGTTCAGTCGGGCGCCTTATGACAATAACAGCATTGCGGAACAGACTGCTGCCTCAACTGGGCCTCAAATTGTGTTACATCGTTCCGAAGGACTTGAAGAACCCTGGAGACCCGCAATACAAAGCTCTCATAGTCTAGGAAGATCTCACTCGTCGGAGGACTCGTCTTCCCGCGAAAGCCTTGACCTAGATGCTCCGGCCGTCGGCGATCCTCCGGACGCTTTCGACATACCCAAGAGCATCAAGTGCTTTTTCCATATCACTTTCGACGGGTCTACGGCTCCTGTTGTGGCCAACAGCTCGGCCATTGATTACACGGACCCCAACAGCTATCAAGAAGTTGAGAAGATCGCATTAGATCACGCCAGAGGAGCCCACGTGGCTAAACAAATAAACTTCAAATATGGAAATTGCACGGTCATTGGCGACCACGTCGAGAAGACTGGTCTCCCACTAACAACCCGGGAGGATTGGGACGGTGTTTGCGCAATTCTGGTGAATTATTGGAGATCGGACCCTCAGCGGACACTTCGTGTCGACATCTTTCGGGACTATTTCTCCTATCGCAGTCGAGCCACCAGCGAGGCATCTTTGGCGGCCACCAAGCGTCAGGAAATTCATAGTCTGATCAAGTACGCTTCGGAAGATAAGCAGTACATTCCACGCACGGCTCTCATGAGGTTCAACTCCCTAGAGAACATTCGCGAGATCATCATCCAAGACAATCGTCTGGACATGGCACCTGAAGAGAAAGAACACTTCATACAAATCGTGCACTCAATTGCCCCCCGGCTACTAGCGCTGTGTGTATATGCTAAGTTGAAGATGGAGTGCCTCAACATACTTCTGGCAAAACGTTTTAGCGATGCAAATCTGCCTCAGCAACGTCAGGACTGTTGTCACGACAAGTGTGCGCCTGATTTCGCCCTCTTGTTGGGCATGCGGGGGTGCTTCACGGCGGCTCGATTTGATAACGTCGGCGAGCACCAGAATTTCCATCGCAGTGATGTCATACCAATAAACTTCATACCGGTAGAAGAAGACCAAGACGAGATTATGAAGGCAGGTCGTCAGAGGGACCTGGAAAAAGGGATAGGAAACACTTCACGCGTAGCAGACGAGGCTAAGAAGAGTGCGTGCTGTGGATCAGGAGCCTACTCAAATGTATATCGCGTCAGGATAGACCCCGACCATCACAGACTTTTGAAGGTGAGCAGTGCTTTGTTGTTTGCCCGTTGAGATCTAAAAGTATTACAGAACAAAGAAGCCGACTTTGCGCTAAAAGAATTCAAGGACCGGCCGCCCAGAGTCGACGACGACTTCCAACGGGAGCTGAAAGTCTTAGACGAGCTTAGCAAATACCCACTTCGACACATTGTCACGCATCGAGCGACTTGGACGCAGGAAGGCAGGTACTACATGTTGTTCCCATATGCACAATGCAACCTACGCCAATACATGGAGTGGATACGATTTGGTGCTCCAAAAAAGGAGAATATAATGTGGCTCTTACGACAATTCCGTGGCTTGGCGGAGGCACTCAAAGATATTCACAATTTGTCTGGTGCAGGCGATTTACAGTCAGCGCCGAATCTTGTTACTCATTCTGGAGGTGATCGGAAAGCGGGATATCATCATGACCTCAAGCCCGAGAACATACTTTTCTACAAGGTTTCTGGCAACTTTGAAATATCCGACTTTGGGTCTAGCAAAGTACATACATATCGCTCAGGGAGTCATAATACTAAATCGGCTCATGGAACGCTTACCTATGAGCCGCCGGAAGCAGCAGGTGAAACATCACGACCTTACGACGTGTGGTCTCTTGGATGTGTGTTCCTGGAAATCCTCATCTGGGCCGTCTTGGGCTTCCCATCCGTCAAGAAGTTTGGGGAGGAAAGGGATGACAGACGCTATCCTGGATCCCACGTGAATATCGCGAAAGACGACGCCTTCTGGCAGATGCTTCAGAATGGGGACATCATGGTCCGCAAATCTGTCGAAAGTTTTACCGAGATTCTAAGAGAGAAAATCTTACAGCAAAGGAACCAGCCATTCATGAAGGTTTTAGACTTGGTGATTAAAATGCTTGACACCGTCAAGGACACACGGATTTTGGCATTGGATGTCTACGATACTTTGGACAGGATTTACAAGCAAAAGAAAATTGACCTGGAGAACGTCAAGGAGGACTCTTTGCCCGACAATGACGACGCCCAGGAGCTGTCTCCGTATCTGCCTCGATTGTCTCTCGACCCCCCTGATCGTCGCTCTCCAGAACGGACACGGGAAGGAGCTGCCGTGGCTGTCAGAAATGCTGGTAATGTTCCTGGAGACTTTCTGACCGCCTCCCCGATGAATTCAACCTCACCGCATTCTCCTCGAGTTTTGCATGGATGGAATAGTTCTGCGAGTGAATTTGTGGGACGATCTCGAAACGCTTCTATCGCATCCTCAAACATGAGCACGCATGGGCGTCACGGAAGCCATGATGAACGCAATTGATTGCTAGCCTTCCTATTTTTGCGAGGTCTGCTTTGCTCTCGGGCCGTTGCTGCATGTAGTGGGAGTTTGACCGATCATTGTATAAAGTCAGGAAGCTTCCGAAGCGGAAAGTCTTCATGTATGCGCCAGTGGACATCAGGACTGACCGGACGTGGCCTGAAACGCTGGTCTAGACTGTATCGTATGATCTGATCAAGCCACTCGAATGCTACGCAGTCGTCTCCAACATAATTTTAGACATGTAGTATGGTGAAAGAAAAGTTTTTAAAGGTTTTTTTTTTATAAAATTAAAATTTTTATTTTTTATTTTTTTTTTAAAATTTTTTTTTTTTTGGATTTTTTTTTTAAAAGGCCAACGACTCGCGATAGGGCTGAGAAGGCTCGAAGGGTTCTGTACACTAGAGTATTGCATCATTTAATTGAAAGAAAGGATCCGACATCGCGAACCATCATTAATCCTAGTATTCACTCATTCAGCCCATAGAAACTTCTACAGTGGACGGACAGACTCAACTGCCGCTGCTCTACAGATCTTAACTATCAGCAACCCAAATACATTGATTCAATAGAGTAATCCGCCGTTTGGTGGACCCCGGGCGGTCAACGAAAGCTCCATACACCTCCTTGAACATGTCAAGCTTCGCACCAGACCCGCTAGGCAAAGACCCAGCGGAAGAATCCTCAAAATCATCGAAGTCTTTAAGCAAAGCTTTCTCGAGAGTAGACTTGGATGGACATGACCTCCCACCATCGCCAGCGCCTTCGAGCCCACGCAATGGCAAAAGATATGCTTTAGCGACGGAATTGGTTTACACGGAGGGAACAGACCAATACAATGCCAGCAGTACGCCCATATATCAGGTAGGAGAATCTTGAAGTGCGACAAATTTCCAGGAAGGCCCTAATGATCTTCGCTCTCATTGACTCAGCTCACATGCTGACAACGATTGTGACTCAGTCTGCAACTTTCAAGCAAACGTCTGCTGGTGGTGAAGGCGCTGAATATGACTACACAAGGTCTGGCAACCCTACACGGACACATCTCGAACGGCATCTGGCCAAGATCATGTGCGCCGAACGCGCGCTCGTTGTCTCGTCTGGAATGGGAGCTCTAGACGTCATCACGAGACTGCTACGGCCTGGGGATGAAGTGGTTACCGGCGACGACCTATACGGAGGAACCAACCGATTGCTGAAATATCTTGCAACCAATGGCGGGATAATTGTTCATCATGTCGATACCACAAAGCCGACGTCGGTACAGCGTGTCGTTGGACCCAAGACGGCTATGGTGCTCCTGGAAACCCCTACAAATCCTTTGATCAAGATCGTGGATATTCCCACAATAGCAAACCTTGCCCACGAAGCCAATCCCGAAGCTCTGGTTGCGGTTGACAATACCATGCTTTCGCCTCTACTACAGAACCCGCTGGAATTGGGAGCCGATATTGTCTACGAAAGCGGCACGAAATATCTCTCTGGTCATCATGATTTGATGGCAGGCGTCTTGGCTGTCAACAGTAGCGCCATCGGCGACAAGTTGTATTTCACTATCAATGCGTCAGGCTGTGGCTTGGCACCTTTCGATTCATGGCTCCTCATGCGAGGAATCAAGACACTGAAAGTCCGAATGGAACAACAACAGTCCAATGCGCAACGGATAGCAGAATTCCTCGAATCTCATGGTTTTAAAGTGCGATATCCAGGACTCAAGTCACATCCTCAATACGCGCTTCACAACTCAATGGCACGTGGTGCAGGCGCGGTGCTATCCTTCGAGACAGGTAGTATCCACGTCAGCGAGCGGATTGTGGAAGCGGCAAAGCTGTGGGCGATAAGCGTCAGCTTTGGATGTGTCAATAGCTTGATCAGTATGCCCTGTCGTATGAGTCATGCAAGTATTGATGCAAAGACGAGGCAAGAGAGGGCTTTGCCGGAGGATATTATCAGGCTGTGTGTTGGGATCGAGGATGTTGACGACTTGATAGACGATCTTAGCAGAGCTGTAAGTACTAGCCTCTCTGAGTCGACTGGACCTTGCTGATGCCGTCAAGCTCGTTTTAGCAGGCGCCGTCAACCTCACCCCTGAGGGTTTTCATCACGCAGCTGAAAAAGGGCCTACTGCCAAGCTTGATACCCAGTCTAACAACATCTTTTAGAGCGGAAAAGCATTCAGAGCATTAGAATCTAAACCGATATCATCTGAATCACAATTTCAGATACAAAGTGATCTATGAACCCATTATCAAGAGCTAGACTTTCTGCTAATGAAGCATTGCTCGCGTGCCCTTTTACCCAATGCAGCTAGCTGATTTTTATTTTTTTCAGAAGTACCTAATCTAATAAGTACCTTGGATGATTGCTCTTCCTCTCAATTCATAGTCAGCATCAAAATAGAAAATATCGGCGATGGAGCTTAGATCTGTCTCACCAGGATATTGCAGAATATGACGCGTGAATTGGATCGTAATGGTCTTGCGGGATCCATTGGAGACAAAAATGCCCCACCAAATGTTGTCCTACCTCCATCACCACCCGATCCATCAGCAGTGATCCCTCTCAAGTCTCACGACTGGAACACGAAGAACTTGCCTTGGCGAATTACATGTGATGTGACCGCCGCAGCCTGCGCTTCGGGCCTCGTCTCACCTTGGATAACGATCATCGATCGGTAGAGCACCCTCCCTCCTCCCCCAAACCCCCAACTTCAACCCTCTCCAGACACCTCAATTGACACCAACCACCCAGCGCGATCATCGAGAATGCCTCCAACCGCTCCACCCTCCGCACCTCCATCCGCACCTCCATCCGCTCCCTCCTCACCCGCCCCCACCTCTTCCTGACCTCGAAACCCGCGCTCCTGATCTCAACCCTCTACTTCGGCACCTACGCCACCGCCAACAGCATCGACACCGTCAGCAGCACCGTCTCGAACGCCTCTGCCCAAACCACCACGACCGGCCCTGCCAAATTCCTCGCCACGACCAGCGTCAACATGTCCCTCTGCCTCTACAAAGACAGCCAGTTCGCCCGCCTGTTCGGCCCACCGCCCGGCCTCGCGGGCGCGGCGGCGAGGACGATCCCGAAAGCGAGCTACGCCCTCTTCGCGGCGCGGGACTCCCTCACCATCTTCGCGTCGTTCAACCTCCCGCCGCTCATCGCGCCCTGGCTGCCGATGTCGGAGGGGGTGGAAAGGTCCGTCGGCAGGCTCGGCGTCGCGCAGTTCTTGGCCCCCGCGGGCATGCAGCTGTTCAGCACGCCGTTGCACCTGTGGGGGTTGGATCTGTACAACAGACCCACGGGCAGTGGTGCGCGGTGGAGGACGAGGGTGGCCAAAGTGGGGAGGGATTGGTTGGGGAGCAGTTTGGCTCGGATGGGCAGGATTGTGCCGGCGTTTGGGGTGGGTGGGGTCGTTAACAGTGGGGTGAGGAGCAGGATGATGGGGATGCTTGAGGGGTGATGACGGTTGCGTGGTGATGAATTACGTGCTTGCATTTATCGGGTTGCGTCGCATAGACACAGATGATGGCATGGCGGAGGGCGTTTGAAGTCACAGCATGGCGTATGGTATACACTCGACTCGACCCAAAGCATTCAAATATGCACGATGAATTGCATGGTGTGAAGTTCTGAATGTTCTGTGACTAAGGGAGCCGTCCCCATCCACGGGCAGAGAATCCCATCTGCCCCAGGGCTTCCTAGCAAAGTGGTATCATATCGCACAACGCCAACCCCCCGATGTCCATGCAAGCCCTCCAAACTCCTTTTGAGAAAGCAATATCGTGATAACGTCCTACTGGAAAATCGTCCCGCAACTGCAACACACGTAGAAAAGTTTCTGCATTCGCAAAGCCCTTAGCACACCACCACTGCAGGAAGCAGACAGGGATGCTCAAGGAAAAGACAACATACCATGCCCGTCTCCGCCGACCGCTGCTGCGACTGAAAGAACACCGCTTCCGGCTCGTGGCAGCTGGGGCACTCCTTGTTCGATCGCGGCAGCTACACGTCAGAAAGAGCAATGTCAGCCGGGCGTGTCAAGAAGTCTTGCGCTCTGGGTTTGTGGGATGTGACATCCGCCCTCCACGTCCCCCTTCCACCTCTCCCTTTTCTCTCCCGTAGTGACCGGTCGTCATCTCTCGGTGGTCGTCGCCTGTCGTATCGGGCTCTCCATCCACGTCCTCATCTTCCTCTTCCATCCCGCTCATCTCGCTCAGATCACACACCGCCACATTCACGCCCGTCGCTTTGCCCTCGTGCTCCTCCTCCCCCTGCACGAACCCCTCCTCCCATCCCTCCTCCCCCAAATCCATCCCACAAAGCGTGCAGCAGTAGAAATCAACGGGATCACCAACCGTAGGATCACTCCCCACATCCTGCGTCACCCCGGCCGTCTCCCCCACCGTGTTGTACATGTTGTTCCTGAACACGCAGCTGGAGATGGCTTCTTCGCTGAACTGGCAGGTCCGGCAGGCAAACATGAGTTTGTTGGTCATGCGGTCTTCTTTCGGGTAGAGCATGTTGCTGCATTCGCGGCAGAAGCGGAAGGTGATTTGTTCCTGGGCTTTTGTTGGTTGGGCGTCGGCGGAGATGTTGGAGGGGGCAGGTGAGGCCATGGTTAGTGGTGGTTGTGGTAAAGGTGAGGGTGGTGTAGGTTTTGGTGAAGGTTTGTAGACGGTACTGTTGGTGGACAGGTTTGCAACGGTTGTTGAGTGACTGTTGTTATTGAAAAGTTAGAGAGGCAAGACTAAGAGTATGGCGCGATACTGCAGCTAAAAGTCTTGGCATGAAACTCCGCGAGTCGGCGACTTCGTCTCGCACCGCCGCTCGTGTTGATTTCTGTGTTTTGGTGGGGAAACTCGTATTCCGTATTTCTCTCACATGCACTCGTGTGCTGTTATGCGAGTTTGAATTTTATATCTTATATCTTATATCTTATACAAACCCGCTCTCCTCTGCTGACTTGATTCTTCCAAGTCTCACCAACCGACTCACGGTAGTCAATATGGTGAGTCAAACCCCCACCGGCTCTTTCTTCCCCAGACTCCCGATCCACCACCTTCTAAACCCCCTCCCTTCGCAGTCCGCCGCCGACACCGGTCTCCCCACCCAATGGGAGGTCCGGCACTCCAACTCCAAAAACCTCCCCTACTACTTCAACGCCTCCACCAAAGAGTCCCGCTGGGAACCTCCCCCCGGCACGGACCCCGACAAGATCAAGACCTACATGGCCCTCCACCACAGCACCCCCGCCAACCCGTCCGCTTCTGGCGCGGCCAAAGATGGGAAAATCAGAGCGGCCCATTTGCTGGTGAAGCATAGGGACAGCAGGAGGCCGAGTAGTTGGAAGGAGCCGGAGATTAGGAGGACCAAGGAGGAGGCCTTGGAGATTTTGAGGGGCTATGAGGAGAGGGTCAAGAACGGAGAGGTCAGCTTGGGGGATCTGGCGACGAGTGAGAGCGATTGCAGTAGTGCAAGGAAGAAGGGAGATCTGTAGGTTCTTTTCATACGGAGATTGTTGTGTCACAGTGGTCGCGGACTCTTGCTAATTTGAGGCTTTAGGGGATTCTTCGGACATGGCGACATGCAAAAGGAATTCGAGCAGGCGGCTTTTGCTCTCAAGCCGGGTGAAGTCAGTGGAGTTGTGGATACGGCTAGCGGAGTGCATCTAATTGAAAGGTATGTTATCTGGAGGAGATGAGGATGGTGTCGCGTAATGCCGAGTCTGGCCACCCGAGCTTGGAATTGGAGGGCTGACTGTTCTACAGGCTGGAGTAAGCGGATTGACGCTTGTCACGTCCAACCCAGCCTACATGGTAACTTGTTCAAAAAGCAGGGCGGGAAGCGCTGAAGCATTTCCCAGTCAACATGCAATTGACGTGCTTTGGGAAAAGTTTGCCTTTCGATTACGGGATTTGTTTCATGTACATACAAGGTTGATGGCATGTGCGCTGGGAACAGTACCATGGGCTGCCCATTCAACCATGCTGTGCTAAATGTTGATAGATGAACTCATGAATCAATACTACTGGATGACTGAATAATTTGGTGAGAAAAGCGAGATATGCTCCTTTATATTCCGAAAAGCTGTGATTATTCGATGGACCAGGAGAAGCGATCTGGAAAATAGTACAGAAAACGCCACGAAAGGAACATCGAGCATGGGTATCCCAGTAAATATTCCAGATCGCCCGCTGATGGCGCCAGATATACGCTCAATACGCCATGCCGCTGACCATGGCCTCGTTCTTCGTAGTGTGTACCGGTAATTTACGAGGAAGCCTTCAATGACTGGACTGCTTTGGCCACCTCGTCGCTGGCCAGTCGTTCCCAAATCTTCCTAGCCTCGCCATTTACACTTCCTGCATCCCCAACCTTCTCGTAAAGCAAACGTGAGACATTTCGGTTGATGTCGGTATATTGGTCTTTTGACACGGTATTGCTCTGATAGTGAGGAGTGAGAGCGGTAGAAACCATCCTCTGTAGGTCTGTCTTGGTGGACAAAGGTATCGCAGCACGGGTGGGTGAGGTGTCTTCGGACCTTGGTGGGCTGGAGCTTTGTATAGGTGGTCGTGACCGGCGTCTAGATTTGACAGATTGTCGCATCTCATTATGCGGGCGGTGAGCAAGGGAAGTGTCTATCGGAGACCGTACGGGAGAGAACTCTGCTGGAGGGTATATTGGCTCGACCTTGGACGTCAGCGAGAGTGGCGAGCCAGGACGAGTGGCTACGGAGGGCGGTGGCGTAGTGGATCTCGCACGAGGACTGGGGTGATTCGAGGTTGTCGGTGAGGCTCCTGGAGAGGAAGGCTGAGGCGAAGAGTGACCCGTGACCGTTTGTATGTTCTGATGAGTCTGGACACCCTCCGGAGCAGTAGAAGTCTCGATTTCTCGAAGCATGGATTGTAGGAAGCTCGGGCCATTGCCTTGGGCAGCGACATTATGGAGACCCGAGGTACGTGAACTAGTAACAGATGCTTCTGGTGTGGCGTTGATTGAGCATTCAGCATTATCGATGGTCCGTCGTGTCCTTGGCCTCTTCAGAGGTCGTTGAGGTTGAGCGTAAGATTCAGCATCCGAGGGTGAATTGGTGGCGGATTTCCTCTTTCTCTTTGGGTTTGGGTCAAGCTCGATCTCCGTTGCTTTCTCGAACGCATTCCAAGCGCGGATCTCTTCGCGGGACTCGGGCTCTGGGACAGCAGGATGTTCGCGTGTTGCGTGAAGATCTAGAAGAGCTGATGCCGTGTCCCGGAATCTGTTCGCTCCACCTTGCCTTTCAGCAACTTGAAACCTTCGCTCCCATTGCCGAAAGTCACGACGTTGAGAAGCAGCCCTTTGTGCTCTATCGATACGAGCGGCATCGGAACCTTCGTCGAAAGGGAAGTCAAGGTCCAGATTGAGATTATCCCAGACCGACTGCCACACTCGGGCCCAACTTGAGGAATTGGCTTGATTGCGGTTCCTTACCTGGCGTTGTTGACCGCGTGTTCGTCTATCTGCCGTGTGGTGAGGTCGTTGTGCTGGGCGATTCGAGTCGGCTGGACAAACGCTCTCAATAGCTCGCTGTGTCTCGCAGCTCTCGCAATACCAATGGCCAACTGGAACTTCTTCCAAATCAACGCAGTATGTATGGTAATAGGCGTCGCAACCATCGCACGCGAGAAGTTGCTCCTCGTTATCATCATCACCACAGACGAGACAAGGTTGGTCTTCTAGTTCTTCGTCATATTCTTCTATAAGCATAGAGGGATCGACTTCCGCAATCTGAGTTCGGTCGCTGACAGAGTAGGTGGAAACGATGGGCCCTAAAGGTGTGACTTATCAGCATGGTCTAGCACAATCCATCCAGCCGAGACGGAACACTTACCTCCAATCGTCGTGCTAAGCTCAACTTTGTTGAAATTCTGTCGGCAAATGGGGCAACTGTTGGCTCTTTCCACCCAAGGTTTCAAGCATTCGTCATGTAAACTGTGTCCGCAAGGCAATAAATGGGCTATCAAGTCAGAGTCGTGATCATCGGAGCGTGTTTGCGACCTGTGGGTGCTGGGCACTAGGCCACCATACTCATCATCTTCTGACTTGACAGCTCGAACCGCAGGGTGGGGTAGCGCATTGGCGCTTTCGAGGTCGCCAAGACAGACGATACAGGTCTCTGACATGATGGTGATTGATGGCAGTAATATTTGAAAGTGGAAGAAAAGATAGAGTCATGAAGTTGGGAAAGGTGCTTGGCTGTGTTGAGAGCGAGTTGTGTTGAAGAAAGGTCGTTTCTGGATGGTCGGATTTTTGGGTTTTTGTAGTCTGCGCTAAAAGTTAGTGCTCTGAATGGGGGGTCATGCTACTCAACACCTGCAGCTGATAATGATGATGATGTTGATGATGGCGAATCTTCATCTTCCATGAATATGAGAATGATGTTAGGATATCCTTGGGTTTTTGTTTTGGTAAACACAAGGTGTCAAAAAGATGGAAATTTAGCAGCAATAGAATGTAGATAGGAGATCTCATCACCTCACTGACTTACGGCTTCCTGGGGGAATATATGCCTGTGTTTGACAGCCTACTAAGATTCTTATAGTCGATGGAAAATTCCAACCCCTTGAAGGAATTGTCCTCGGCTGAGAAGAGGTTCTTGTCATGACATTTCGCAAGGAAGTCCAGCTTGATGCCTGCGACTTAAGATTTGTATTGCAAAAGTCGGACGCAGAATGCCTCATTTGGCAGCTGAAACCCGGGTCCTGGCCGGGCGAAGACGAGTCATTTAAGAGGTCCTGACCTCTATTCGATGCTCACTCAGATCTTCGAACCTTTCGCTGAGCGTCAGCATTGCCCACGAGGCCTGCTAGGAGCTGCTTCTTCATGCATTTGTAGTCACGTAAAGCATATATTGCCATCTTCTCTCTTGCGCAAAGTCCGACGCTGTTGCCGTCTTCATCTTTGTGAAAGGGAGGCCTCGATGGAACTGGATCTCATTTTTGCAGCTGTGTGCTGTCGTTCTACCTCGACACCGATCGGTCCATAAGGGAGCGTATCGATGGGCCTCTTTAGCTAGCTAACTCTTTCAGGTCTCCAAATATAACGTCACTTCCTCCATTGTTTTCCATACTTGAAGATCGATACAGCCGACGCGCGGTTGTAGGCCAGGTCAACCAAATACCATCAGCACGGTGGCATTAGGGATGGAGTGAGATCAAGATAGTCCCTGCGTGTCCAAAGTAACAACAGATCGTCAAGATATTGAGCAGCAGATGAAAGTCTTCATGGTCCGAAGGGAATCCGCCCTGCTGTGGATGTCGGAGAGGGGTCGTCGCAGTCGACCTCGCACCTCTGGCACAGTAGCTGAGGGTGAAGCAACGCGATATTACTTCTTCCCGTCAGACATTCATGAGATACCCACATAAAACATTGGTCACCTTGAGTGGCCAACCTTGTTGATGGTGATGATGCTGATGGAGTGGATGAAATGCAATGGTGTGGTGAATTGAGGAGAAAATCTCGTTAATCCCTAGCGCCTTGGCAGTACAAAGTCCCTCGGTTGTTTTTCGAGGCGCCGAAGTCTGTCAAGTCCAAGGGTCGCTCTTTGGCGTCAACTGAAGTAATGATAGAGACTGCCGTAGAAAGAGCGTCAAACAGCGTAGAGTCTTCGTTGTTGATGCTGTTCGGGTCAAGATTTTGAGCATTGTACCTTTCCAAACTGCCACTTCTCCTGACTCCATGCCTACAACTTCGCCGATGCCTTGGCTAATTTGAGAGACTGTCTACTCAAGACTGGTAGGATAGGCACCGCGCTTCCTTCTGAACATAGAGCCCCGGTCCTCCTGCTGCTTGAATACTGTTTCTCCCGCCTTTAAGTTGCTGCCAACCCATGACTACCGCAGCTGTATCCCTTCGTCAAATAACTTATCATACTTCTTGGATTCAACCATGTCTGATCTCGAGCCGAAAGTGTATGATCTTATTGTTTTTGGTGCTACCGGGTACACTGGAAGGCTTTGCGCGGAGTACATCTCTACAAGCCTACCAACGAATTTGAAATGGGCCGTTGCTGGTCGATCTGAAAAGAAAATGGTGGCTATGATGGACGACTTGGGGGCAATAAACACTGATCGCCTTCAGCCGGGTTAGTCCCTAGTCATCTGATTTTTCTGGTTTTCGTTGACATCGGAGAAGGCATTGAGATTGCTTCTCTTGACCCCGGGGATCTGAACACTCTTGCGAGGAAGACTCGGCTGTTGATAAACACCGTTGGACCATACCATCTCTATAGCTCACCTGTTGTCGAAGCTTGTGCTAAGAATGGCACACACTACCTCGATGTTACTGGAGAGTCACCTTGGGTTCTAGAGATGATCGTGAAGTATCACGAGATAGCAAAAGCCAACCACGCAATCATAATTCCAGAGATCGGGGTTGAGTCTGCGCCATCAGATCTTCTGGCCTTCGCATTGGTTACTCTGATCAGAACAGAGTTGTCGTTAGGTACAAAAGAAGTCATTGCAAGCGTACACGACTTGAAGGGTACTCCTTCCGGTGGTACGCTGGCCACAATTCTTTCTATGATGGACCACTATAGTCTCAAACAAATCGGAAAGTCCGGCGGCTCCTGGGCTACCTCTCCTGTCCCCGGACCAAGTCCTCAAAGCTCACCGTCTTGGGTCAGCAGACTCCTAGGCGTTCGAAGTGTGCCAGGTTTGGGAACACTGACAACGTCTATATCAGCTGCACCAAATATCGCTGTGGTACAAAGAAGCTGGGGCTTGTTTGATGCTGGCAAGCTCTACGGTAGCAGGTTTCAGTACAACGAGTATATGAGGGTCCGTAACTCTGTCGTTGGCATAGCTATGCACTTTGCTCTTGCTTTCGCCGGGTTGGCGTTGATCTTCTCCCCTGTTCGATGGTTGGCGAAGAAATTTAACTACGCGCCTGGTGAAGGTGCCGATAAGGAAGTAACAAGACACGAATATCTCGAGTGTCATGCCGTCGCTACTGCCGACGAAGATGGGCTCAACCCAAGGCGTGCTTTCGCGAAGCTGAGATGGGATGGCAGCCTATATCAATTGACAGGAGTATTTCTCGCAGAAGCAGCGATGGTGCTCCTCAATGACGAGAAGCTGGTACAGCGCCTGGATGGTGGTCTTCTTACCCCAGCAACCCTAGGCCAGCCATTCATTGATCGGATGAAGAATGCTGGGCTTTTCTTTGAGGTTGAGATGATGCCTGACCAATGAATGTCATTCCAATCCGAACTCAATCTGAGAGCTTTCATATTAGCATTCCAAACGTGTCTTGAGGTCTTTCGATCATCCCAGTGCACAAACGGCTTGCTCATGACCACTGCTAAACCCTTGGTCATGGGAGGGATGTTTGCAATTACCGCAGGGATCTCAATCCAAAATCATCACCGGGGCATCAGATCATCGTTCCAACTGCATCCCCATGAGAGATATGCCAATCGCAGGTATGATCATTACGACCGCAATGGAGGAAACGACCTCGTTATGTAGATATTGGAGAGCCATACAATTCAAGATTTGATCACAGCCATCAGCGAACTCCTTATAAAACGAGCAAGAGGCAAAGAGCCGGACGGGCGCGAACTTCGACAGCACTGCAAGGACCAACGACGTCGAGAGTCGCAACGACATCGGCGCTACAACGACAGTGGTCATTACGAAGGCGGCAGAGAACCAGGACGCTGTGGACAAAGAGAAAGGAATGGTTATCATAATGGTCCTGTCCTTAGTCCAATCATCCGGTCTAGTGCACTGACGAGATAGGAATACAGACACTCACCAAAGCTCCCAAAATTACAACCAGCGATGCTCATGATCGTTATATACCGAGACATTCGTTCAGTAGCGCGCCTCAATCTCGTGGGGAGAGATCATGATCTCCACCAAGCTACACACCCTCACATAGCTACTCTAGCTCCGGCCTCACTGGCGACGGAAATAGAACCCATGGTTACGAGCAACGAATACCGCTGGATGGACCACAAATTGGTCAACACCGGCCGTGACATCATGGTTTCAGCCCCTGCTTTGAACCAAGGAGAGGACCTTTACGAGCTTCCGGAAGCAGGCAGCGCGGATCAACCTGGCCGAGTGAAGAGTATGTTCCGCTTCGTCACGGTTCTCGCCCCTACGACAGACAGACGAGAGGATCTTGCATCGCGGGCGCATGCCGCCGAGCGAAGAGCAGTGCCACGACCATCAGACAGTCAGGTCAGGAATGTCTTGGGAGGGATCCGAGAGGTTACAGCGAAGTCGACGAAGTACGAGAAGACCGGACAATGGAGCGTGGGACAATGACCATAGTGACAAGGATTGATTGAGGCTTCACTTCTTACTGCACAGCCAATGGCCTTCGCCATCATTCATCGTTGCCAAATCAGTCTGTTCACACATCCCGTCAAAAGCGTTTTAGTTCGGCTTGTTCTCGTTCTGCTTCCGAATCATACTTAGTCCATTCCCAAACGCTTCCAGCCTCAGCCAAAGACCTTTCGTTCCAGTCCCAAGGCACACCCCTAGCCCTTGCCGCTTCCCGTTCGAAAAGCCAGTGTTCTGCTTCTGAGTCTGATTTAGTCCACTCCCATACCTTCGGCCCTTGAGCCTCAGAATTCCCATTCTCTTTTTCCGCCTCCTCCTCCCCACCACTCCCTGCCTCTCCTTGCTCTTCTCTACCCACAACACCGCAAAACCAATCCCTCAAAAACTCAAACTTCCCCCCCTCCGGAGCGCTAGCATACAAAGCCTGAAACAGCTCGTCACGCTCTTGCAGTCTCCGCTCTCCACCCGGGAACGCTTTCGCCACCTCAAGGACCTTCGGACTGATGCCTGTGTGCTCTGCATCCCTAACCTCCTTGTCTAGGATACGTCTCCCAATTTCGTCCGCGAGCCGTTCGCGGACGTGCTTCGACAGGGTCGATGCGAGGAAGTCCCAGAACTGATTCAGTTGTCCTTAGCCAGTCGCGACCATCAGAGCGGGTCACATCGGTTGTTTATCACCTTTGGGGACATCATGACTCCGACCGTCTCTTCTATATGAAGTTCACCCGCCATGACACTGCGGAAATAGGCCTCGGTTTCTCGATCGCTCCGGCTCGATGCCATTGTGTTGAAGCGGGAGGGAAATGATAGATTACTTTAGCTGAATTGACCAGTGCGAAACTCTTGACCGATGCTGCGAGAATGGCGTCAACAACTGCATCGTCCGTGAGGTACGAGTGTCGATGAAGACTCACATGCTGCCGAAATTCTATGTCTGAAATGATGTAGATTGAAAGGTTATTCACTCTCAGACGAGTGAGTGTCGAAAGGTCCAAATGTGAATACTGAAATTGCAAGATGGTGAAATCATAACTTTGGATGGCTGGAAGGTGCGAAGGAGCAAGAGGTCTCTCCGAGCCAAGGACAGGACACGGAAGCGTCGAAAGAGAGTCGTAGCAATTGGAAGTGACTGCGGGATGCCCTGTTCATTACAGCTTGCTCACATGCCTTGGCGAGTTTCGCTTTCTGTCTCTGTGCCTGAAGCTGTCATCACCGCCTGCAATAGAAGGTTGATCTTCTAGCTCTCGAAAGGATCCTTCCACCGCCAGGAAATCCCAACCTCAAGCCGACGTTTCCTTGCTGCCTGCCTCTTCCACTTTCTGTTCAGCAGTCCCATGCCTCGTTTCCAGAAGCACCGACTTCCTTGCCTTCACCGTTCTCTTCCTCTTCCTCCTCATCTTCATCGTCTCCTCCTCCTCTCCCTCTCCATCGCCCTCCTCCTCCCCGACACAGATCCAACGCCCCAGAAACGCAAACCTGGCCCCCTCCTTGAAAGATGCATACGAGCGAACGATAATCTCCATCTCAGCCCTCTGCATCACGATCGCTCCGTCAGGACGAGTACCGAGGACGGCTCTGCCCTTGTCCGCCCAGTCTTCCATCATCATTGACAAACCTCCGTCTGCCACAGCCTCACGAATCTTCTGCGGCTCCGCAGGAAGTAAGGAAGTCCCAGGACTACGTTTCTTTGGTGACTTCGATAGATGATAGTATGATCAAGATGCTGTTCGTATCTCGGTATCTCGACCGAATTGCTTCGGACCCATCCTTGTCCAATGCAGCCAAATGGTCTACAAGGCTTCTGGCAGTCGTCTTGTCCCGGGACTTTGTTGGTAGTTCTGAGGATTGGGGAGGTAACGGGGTGCGAGATATGATGTGACGTCGTCGCTCAAGGCTGCGAACCCTCCCCCCTCTGGTCAGTAGGTAGTGAGACAGTGATGTAGAGGACTTGGAGGTGATTTGCTCAAAGGAGAGTTCAGTACTCAAGTAGTACGGTCTGGGGGTCCTTGGCTGTCAGACGGGTAAAAGTAGGGAGATTGACGAAAGACAGTTCGAAATCGTAGGAAGGCGTGGGACCTGGTGGAATGACAGCCTTGGTGGTTTGTGCACGTCTTTATATGAAAGTTGTGGGATTATGTGAAGAAGTAAAGGCCTAGAAGTATGAGAGTGGAAGGCAGCTTGGAATAGCCAATGTGTCTCCATAGATTGAATGCGCAACGGATGTCGGCTTGAGTAAATTAATAGATTATGTTCAGTATGGTACAAGAGATACAGATACCAGTTCCAGCCATGGCAGCTGAATATTATCACATATGCGAAATTGATAATCCATTAGGTTTCCTTCCGCTTGCAATGCCCTCAATTCAGATGCCAATATCGTACCAACAGGCCTCCATAACCAAAATATTTCATCGAGTGTAGACCGCCGGGCCAACCCCCCTCGTCCTCCCACAACCGCCACCACTTCTGACTCTCGAATCCGTTCTCTCAGACTCGTAATCATCACCTGTGCTGTCGTCCCTCTCACTTCCCATATTTCCGGCCCTCAATACGCCCCTCCCCTTCTTCCTCTCCTCTTTTTCCTCGTCTGGCGGTATAAAGCGATGGACAGTCCTGTGGTCCATCACTCTTTCTTCATCATCGCCTTTCCCGAGCTTGTCAGTCTTCGGCCACTGATACCCATAAAGCTTGCTATGGCGTTCACATCGTGGACACTCTTTGCGGGTTTGATAGCCATTGGCTTGCACCCAGCAAGCAGAGCAGGTACGGCAGTCGACCCAACGGGAGAAAGATTCGCCGAGTAGAAGGTGCGTACGAATGTAGTCGCCTGGGGTGCGAGTACTGGGAATATCGAGCTCGATCGTGGGCTGCAAGCCTCGAACTTTCTTAGGCGTGCGAGGTATCGGCTTCGGCTTGGATCCCAGCGGGACCATGCGACCAATTTTCCGCGGGCGGCCCCTTTTGCGCGGGGTAGAATCGAGGTTGTGCGGACTCGGTTCGTCATCATCATTTTCCGCAATTGAAGGAAGAGAGGAGAGGGGAGATGAGAGAGACGTGAGACCGCTGCTAGAAGGCGAAAACGCTAATTGTGGAGGCAGGTTCCAATCGATGCCACCTTCGAGGCCTGCACTCGGCGTAGTAGCTGAACTTGAATCTGGTCGAAAGCGATCATCGAAAGTAGAGTCCTTCTCGCTGATCGAACTTGAGCCCTGTAAGCTAGACAAACTGGAACTTTGCACGCTTTGCTTCCTTGAATTTAAAGGAGAGCGTATCGTCCTAGCACGTAGGAAATTCTGCTTGCGCCCAGAAGAATTGGCCGATGTTATTCCAGTGAGGAATGAAAACGGGCTCTTAAACTTGTACGGGGTTTTAGAGTCGCTATATGATCGTGGACTAGGGTAAGTTTTCTGAGCTGAGCGCTTGCCTTTCGATGGATGTGACTGTGGCTTTGTGGTGGCGCTGAAGCCGGCGAAAGCTGCTCTGACAGCAGCCAGTATATCATCTTGAGATTGAGTGGTCTTGCCATGCTGTCCTGCCTTCTTGAGTGACAATCCCTGTCTAGTGCCTTGGTTTCCATCTTCGGCAGGGATTACGATATCGGTGACGTTCAGTACCTGGCGCAAGGGTGATCCAGGCTTCGACTCTTTAACGGCGTGAGAAGGTACCAAATCACCTGTCGCCTCGATCCCAAAAGAAGTTATGGCTCTGCCAGTCCCAGATTTCCGTTTCTTTATTGGCGTCCCTTCGTCGTCACCTGAGCTCATAGATCCCGCAGTCAGATCAGAATCGGATTCAGACATCCTCTTTCGTGATGAGCGATAAGATATCTCTGCCATCTCAAGCTCTGGCTCGGACATTGTCATGGGAGTAGATAATCCACTCGAAATGGCACTCGAGTTTGATCCTGGCCAGCCATTCCGCCCCTCGGCCTCACACGTTCCACAGAGACACTCGCAGTTACCCTCGCCGAAGTAGTTTTCTCCGTAATTGACAGTAATTTCCTCACCAACTCGGATGTTCCGCACGGCATATACTTGCATACCGTCGGATCCACGGGTCACCAGTCGAGCATTAGCGTTGCAGTCGTGGTTAGAGAATCGAGCTGGGCCAAGAAAAAGCGATGGTGTCTTCTTCCTACTTGACATGACGATGCTAAAGTCTCGCCTCGTCAAGTCCAGATCCTTCTCCTCTTCAGGGGTCATCGCCACCAGGTTTCCGCAAAGGTACTTGATAGAATCGCCTTGCTTGATGGAACGTCTCGCTGTGGTTGAAGCTTCCTGTGTGACGATCGTATACCGGTTCGTAGTCGAAACTTCAAAGGGACAATCCGGGAGCCATATGTTTATGTATTTTCGCATGTGCCGTCTGAAATCCTCCTTCTCCCGCTCCGTCTTTAGGAGGCCGAAGTACTTCTTGAATCCGGCAAGCTGCAGCAAAGAAGCTTCAGCCTTGTGTGAATCTTTGCCCACGATCACATCGTGGAGCAGGATAGAGCAGACGTCGTATTCACTAATTCCCCGGGTCAAATTATATTTTGCCCGATTCTTTCGTATTGTGGTCCAGAAGTACACCTGAGCCATTTGTAAGCGTGAGCATGTATACCGATGGGAGAGAGCATTTGGGACTAACATGATCAACGAGTGCATCAGTTAATATGTCATCGTGGCCCGCCAGCTGGGTGAGGGTCAGTCGCTCCTTTTTTGGCGGCGTATCTGGTGGCGTCGCATCTTTTCGCGCCCGCCCCATCATGGGTTCTGGGGACAGAAGACCCAATGTTGAGGATTGTGTTCTCTTTTCAGTAGGAAATTAGTGCATATGGGGAAAGAGTGAAGTTCGGGTTCGGTACGAGGTTATGGGTGGCTTTTAGACTTTAGCCATTGCCATTTTCATTTTCTTCCTTCTTTCTTAGAGAGATGATGACTTAAGGAGAGCATATGTATAAGAAGAGGAAAGGAAAAGGAATATACGCAGGAAAGAACAAGGCCACCAAAGCATTCATGCTCAAAATTGTGTCGCGCCGCAGGAAGGAGTGACAGAGCTGACAAGGCAAGGGGACAACTTCTTCGTCAGGCGTCAGGGCGGGAATAAGTATTTGATAGAGCCAGCCTCCAGACGGCTACCCGCCGATCTCCCGCCTTCCTGCAGGCAATTCGAAGGCTTCACTCACCCTTGAAGCATCCAATTGTTTCGCCTTCGACTTCTGCCTTTCTCTTGTCTTGATCTTGTTTCAACACAATCATTCCGGGCTTGCAGGGTTCCAACTGCGAGAATGATCCAGCTCAAGGTTGTTTGGTCAACCCTGATCGCCTTTGCTGCTATTCATGTTTGCTAATCCCACCTTAGACAATGCTGAATTGCATCGACAATTCGGGAGCTACGATTGTCGAATGTATAGCAAATTTGCGAATGAAGAGGCATGGGAGAATAGGTGAGAAAGGTCTACAGTAAATCCCTACGGCCGGGCGACTGACGCCCCCAAGGCGATCGTATTATAGTCGTCGTACAGAAGTCCCGCTCGATGGGCGACAGCGGCCCCGGCAACACATCTGCTGCTGCGGCAAACAAAGTGAGAAGAGGAGACATCAGGCACGCCATTATTGTACGGACTGCGAAGAAGGTACAGCGAAAGGATGGAATGGTGGTTAGATTCGATGACAACGCATGTGCACTGATTGGGAAGAATGGGGAGCCACTTGGCACGAGAATAAATGGTGAGTTTACTTCAAAGGTATTGAGACTGACGGAGCCATGCTAAAACTATAGCGAGGCATCGTTGGTGCTGAGTTACGGAGCAAGCAACAGTCGAAACTTTTGTCACTAGCATCAATGCATGTCTAGCAACTTTCAATCATGGCTTCAAGACCATCTGACTCTCACGAGAGTTCATGTACGGATTCTCTGCACAGACCAAGTGAAAAGTCAAGCTGAGGAGGAGCAATGCCCCACAGTCTAGTTGTATCAACACGGTTCCGATCCCTCCGATAGCAATCGATCCTGGGCTTCCGGGGTTCCCTTTCTCGCTTCTGACATGTAGGAAGATAGTTTCGATCCTTTGACGGTGATCCCGTCTTGGCTTTTCCCTTCACCAATACATGACCACCCTGAGCTCCACCCCACCCGGCTCTGACCACTGCTCAAGCTCCAAGCGCCTCGTGCAGCCCCAAATTTGTCGTGTCCCAGGAGTGTCCTTGACACATGACTCCAGGCCCGTCGCACATGTTTTTGCAAGATCCTCACGAGTACCAAAGACAGAGGAGTTCGGGCCCTCTTCAGTCGCTATTGTGAACACCAACCACTACAGTACATTGAGTGTACGCAGAAGCCCAGTTCTATCTGAACATGAAGAATGTGGTCTGCGTTCACAATGACCATTGTGCTCCACTTGTTGCGGCTCACACAAACTCGTAGGCCTGTGTGTGCGCCATCCGGAAACCTCTTGCTCACATGTCCGACATCAAAACTCGTGACGGCATAAGGCTGGGAAGAGTGGCGTTTAACGAAAGAACTGAGTGGTATCATATCATAAGAACGCCAGTATGTACAAGCAGAAAACCGATTTCAATGCAAAGGGGATAGCTACAGCTCTTTCTCCTTGCTCGCTTCCCTTTTGCTTTCTTCCAGCATTTCAGTCACTCGACCTATTTCTGGCCTGTGGGATACTGCATCCGGTCCACCAAAGGTCTCGAAAGCTTTATGGAACGTCCATTCGATAGCTTCCTCTATTGGCTTATCAAACATGAATGGCAAGAAAGGTACAGCAGCCAGACCGAGCTGTTTATGGTTTCTGTCAGCTACGTCCAAGTCTCAATAGCAAGGAAAGAGACATACTCCAATAGGTCCATAGGTTCTTATACTTGCGTTCTTTGCATTCTTCAGCGCCTTTCCAGAATACCTTACAATACTGTGAATCGTGAAAGCTGGCAGTCCCATTGACGCTATGCTCTGGAAAACGGCTCGTTGCACCATAACGCTCCTGAAGTCCTCGATAGCCGGAACATGTCCGACCTCTGGGCTCCCATCCTCTGTTGTCAACGGCTCTCTCGCATCTGCCGATCTCATAGACATAACTCCTAGTACGCCTGGATGCTTCAGGCGTTGATTCCTCAAATAGGCCTTATAGCCTTCGTGCCCTACGTCTCCTACCAGATATGCCCAGGAAATACCATATGCTCCTCTGATGAGCCATGGATGAGCGATTGGACGGAAGGATTCTCCTATGTCTGAGGTATAGGCTACATAACGTTGCGCGCTGAGTAGTATTGTACGGAATCGACTGGCATATGCTGCGTATCGAAGGTTGGAATCTGTAGACTGGTTTGCTCTATATGATAGTTAGGAAAGGCTCTTGAATAGGCAAGAGAAGGGTCTCTAACGTACGTGCCATCATAGATCTGTTCCATCAACGACTCTTCATTGTCTACGATCTTCTGAAGACTCTCAGGTAGCTTCTCTCGTGGAAGTGAATCATCTTCTGAGTGCTTGACTCGTCTTTGGACGTTGGTATTGGAGTCCTTGCTGCTCGACATGTTTCCCCAATGTCAAGTAGAGAGAGATATGGTGCTCCTTGGGTGCACAGAGACCTGTCTGTCTATATGTGACTGGGTCTCGTGCTCGATAATGCTTATGGAGGAATTCCTCTGGGAACTCCCCCAGGCGAGCCAGGCCACCGAGCCAGGTAAACCCCGTATACGCTAAATGCTCGGCTGAATTGCTCCCGCGAGTACTAGTACAGATTACAAACGTCCGCTGATTCCCGACTGCGAAACCTCTTAAATCACTACCTAGAGCAGACTGAAGAAGCATATTTATGGTGATGCACGGCGCAGGATTACTACGTATAACGAAGTTTCGTACTTTTCTGCGACGACAATCGCTACAAAGCACCCGTGCATTAGGTCGATGCAACATCAAAAATTCTGCGTCAAGTTTTCGCGCCAACACCACAGTCACGCCGATATAGAGACCCTCGCAATTCATAAAGATCTTAATTGCTTCCACAGCTTGTCTCGGGGCAGCATTAGGCTATCTTTATATCACTGACACACGCGCCAGCGTCCATAGATGGCTTGTACCACCTCTGGTTCGAATTATATGACCTGATGTAGAAGATGCTCACAAAGGCGGCGTTAGAATTCTCAAGAAATTCACCGATTTGACCTCCATCCTAGAGCAAGAGGCTGGTCGGACGATGCAAAAGACTTTAAGACAGAAGTCTTTGGCTACACACTGGTAAATCCGCTGGGTATCTCAAGCGGTCTAGACAAGCATAGAGAGATCCTAACTCAACTTCTGGCACTTGGGTGAGTGAATCTCGAAGCTTGCTATCCTTTCTTCACTTGAGACATATCATTTCCGGGATCACCGTGCCTACTAAACGAAGCAATACTGACTCCGATAGTCCAGCGATGGTTGAGGTGGGTGGCGTAACCCCAACAAAGCAGAATGGGAATCTCAATCCTCGAGTGTTTCGAATCGTTTCTCAACAAGGGATGATAAATCGTTACGGTCTTAATTCGGACGGAGCGACGCGTTGTTATACTCAACTGGGGTAGAGGATTCGTGAATTTGCTTATAAATAAGGTTATGGACTTAACGAGAATGTCGAGCGATTCATCTTGGATGGTGATGCCGATATCCCCCCAGGATCGTTAGTGAAAGGCAAGCTTTTGAGCGTGTAGGTTGCGAAAAACGACTCCATATTAGAAGAAGACATACAAGCGATCAGCCGAGACTACGTCAACGCAATAAGCTTGCTTACCAAATATGCAGACATTATCGTAGTGAACGTCTCTTATCCCAATGTACCAGGCTATTGGGACTTACAGCAAATCGAGCCTCTAACAAAGATACCCATTGATGTTGTCCGTGTAGCTGCGTTAGTAGATAGAAAGGTGAAGGTGAGAACAATGGTAAAGGTCAGTCCGGACGAAGATACGGAAGAGCAGATCGCCAGCATATGCGCTGCAGTATGGAGGTCCGGTGTGGATGGAGTTGTCGTCGGGAACACAACTATTTCAAGACCCGACGGGCCAAACTTATCGAAAATCGAGGCCGCTGACATGAAAGAGCGAGGCGGCTACTCTGGTCCGCAGCTTTTCTATCGTACCGTAAGCATTGTGAAAAAGTATCGTCGGATATTAGATTATCCTTTGCATAACCAAAACGTAACGCAGCAAACGCAGCTATAACCTGATGAGGCTACGGGCAGTAGGACTGAGGCGTCGGTCGAACGCGATGAACAGAATCTCAAAGAGGCTTCCAACGAGTCTACTAATCAGCCTCTAATACGCGTCCCCGAGAGGCAATCATCACCCACGACGGGCGGCATAGGGTCAGATATTGACGCTGGAACAAATTGCAGAAGCTTTGATTGATGGAGGCTTCGGTCCGGAATCTGTTCTTGCAGAATGGTCCTCAGGTCGCGGCGGGTACTGGAAGCTCTTCGACTCATTCGAGGACGTTGGTCTGGAACATCTTATGCCTCCAAAAGCCAACAGTTAGCTATTCTTGACTGATTGGAGCAACGTGGTAAAGATATCGAAAGCGGCTCTGGATTGCCTTGGCGCATCCGTTTCATCTACTCACGATCCTGGAAGACCAGGGCGAGGACGACTGAGGATGCTGTACATAACGTGAAGTTATGGCAAGTCAGGTATGTTTTTCCCTTCTGGCCGTTGATTGTTTCTGACTTCATATATGCCATAGTCTACTGAAGCTGGGACGAATACTCGAAAAGGGGTGCAAGGGCGGATGAGCAAGAGCCTGGAGGCGGAAAGTACAAGGATGTTTGAGATAAGTCACAAAGGCTGAGGCTGCATGCTCTATGTGGAATGTAGGGGTTGCCTAGAGAGCCGTGAGTATACAACAGATTTGATGTGGGGAAGATTGTCTCTCCCTTTTTTTTATTCTCACAAAAAAAGCAACCAATAGCCATTTGGACCAGTCCTACACTCGTAGCCCCTGTAGAAGATACCATCCCACTCTTCCATACTGCATCTCGTATCCCGCGCATGCTCTCGTCGTCCGGAGCCACCTTTACTACGACCGCTGGCTTGTATTTTCTTAGCCTTCTTCGCAGCATCCCTGTTCAGCTACCTCACTCGCTAAAGCGGCCACGGCCGCAAGCCAAAGATCAAAACCGGCAGCTACAGAACCGCCTTCCGAAGGTAGTTTAGTGTGAGGGCTGCTACGAGCCAAGCCCGCTTGGCGCTTGCGACTTCGTCCGACTAAAATTGGATGTCTGGAATCGCTCTTCCAGGCACGTTTCGCAAAGAATCTCCTTCATCGACCTCTGAGACTCGCCATCATGGTCGCCCAATACACAATCTTCGGTCGCCAAGTCGGCTCCCACGTCGTGAGTCTCCCGGCTCTGTCCCACGTCTTCCGCGCCTCCCTTTTTCCCTGGCCTTCAATGGACGCATCAAACAGCTAACGCTCCGTCCTGTCACAGCTTGCAATGCTCACTCTGGGCACATTCGCCGCTGGAACGGCTTTCGCTATGTCAGGTAAAGAGAAGGCGAAGGAGCAAGGGCCACCGATCAATGCTAGCTCGAAGGACGAGGAAGAATTCATACAGTTCGTGATTCCTTGCTTCAAGATGACAATTGGCATAGGCGGTTACTGAAGTCATGCACAGAGAATTTTTAAAGAACAATGGGGGGGAGCAGAAGGCGAAGCAATAAAGGGGAATCGCAATCGGAGGATGGATGCGGATGACTTGGGCAACATGCCAGTTTGATGGCAGTAATACAAGCATAGACACAGGGCAAAATAGGATTCGTGCTGCATCAAATGGCATCGGTTTTCCGTCGCGCTCGAGGATGCTCGAGACCGATACAAGAAGCTCCGTGACAGCAACGTTCTACGAGAGTATATATCATTTTCGATCCATCCGTGTTCTCGAGCGGACAGAAGACCTACTCCCTAGGCACCAGATACAACATTGCTGCCTCTGAAGAGGGTTTCCCTGTCACAACTTCCGCCCTCCGGTTTTTCAGGTCCATTGCGATGCTAAATAAAGTCGTGATTGAGCTATCGTTGGTCTTTGATCGACAAATTGCTGTAGGAAAGTTTTCTTCGTCTTTGAGCATTGATCGAATGTCTTCCAATTTCAGAGTCCCAGTCTCCTGAAGCCTTTCTTTCTGCTCGCGCACAAGCTGGTCGATGCGTTCAAATCTTGTTGGTGAGTCCTTCAGCGCCATGAGATCTTCCACGCCCTGGTGCGGCTTGATGTAATGGTTTGTGTGCGTGATAATTCCTTGTTCCATTGTCAATTCCACTATAGCAAGGTGACTGCACTCGAGCCCGATCGCCGATTCTGAATCTGCCACCTACACACATTTCGGAGTCAGCATTGCTTTTAAAAGCGAAACTCAGACTCGCAAGACAGGCCTCGAGCGTAGAAAGAGCCTTCTGCTCCGGAAACCTTTCTAGCTACTCAGAACTCGGCACTACGAGGGAAGGAAACACTCCGAAATGTACGAACCAAGAGATGTGAAGAACTTGCCACGCCCGCTTTTTTTAATGCTACCACGGCTTCTTCAGTGGAAGTACTTTCTAAACACGTCCTCAGGGCTAGATGGCAAGGTAGTTTTTGGAAATCAACACCCTGAGCCCGGATAGCGTTCAGACAGACACCAACACCCCTGGAGTTCAGGCCAATCTTCCCAATTATGCCAGCTTCCGTGATCATGCTGATAGCTGGCTTTCCTTCCTGGCTGATATTGAGGTTGATGAGATTCATTTGTTGCTCCTCCTGCCAGTCCCAATTCTGAGCGAGGAAGCAAGACGTCTCGGTCTTCCAGAAGACAGCTGTGCAGCCGTCTCTGGCCAATCCAAATGCAATCTCAGTGCGCACATTCAGGGCTAAGATGGAGAGGTAGGGCACATCTGCACCCTTGGCGACACCTACTGATGTCAATACTTCCAGGTCAGGTCAATGATGGAGTCAGCAGCTTGGCTTCCTGATAGGAATGGAAGACACAACTCGTACATGAATACAAAGCAGGTTTTGCAACTACATGAACTCGTAAAAATGTTCAGGGGATGATACAGTGTAAATTGCAGTCGTAAAAAGCACCGCCACTTACACCAGGTACTGCAGAAGCTTTGCAACTGCCAACCATAAAGAAAAAAGCAACATCATGTAATAACGCAAAGAAGCTCATGGTAGTCTGCCATACCTTTCATCTCCGTGCAGTAATCTGGCCAATGGCTCGACAGCAACGGCTCAAACTTGGCAGCCGTATCACACACTTGGGCCCATGAGAACTGGGCTGTTTTTTGGAAAAAGACTCCGTAGAATCTCAGACCCCGTTCGATCTCAGTCTTTGCTGCGGCGCCATGTTGCAGGCCTATCTGTGAGAGAGAAAAGGCCTGAGCGTTTGGAGGGTTTGATGATGTGCTTCTGCTGACCTCTGTCCTAGTCCCACTGCAATTGATATGCTTCATATCTACCACCAGTGAAGACGACTACTCTAGACAGTGATACACTTGTGCTGTGACTGCTCGTTGACCTTAGACTATAGAAATTCCATCGGCGTTAGAGTTACAAGAATATCTGGTTTGAATCTTGCATAGAAGAGATGTAGTTTCGAATTACTATTTGAGTAGAATCTAGATCTGCCTCGCTCAAAATTGTAAGCTTGTAGCTAGGTATAATTCCATGGCTTTATAAGGTGGTCATTTTCTATAGATTGTTGATATTCTAGCAGCTTGAAATCGCAGCGATAAGGATATCAATTCGAATGCAGATGTCTTTAGGATCCGACTTCTAGAAGTAACGTTGATATTTTGAATCCCAGACGGGGTGTAACAGGACCCAATCGACTTTTTCTGCCTTGTTTAAGAATATCTATTCGCAGTTCAGAAAGGCCCAAGGGAGGGGTATGCCGAATGAGCTTGCGATATGATTGGCCCCGAAGCGAGGCACGAGTGTAGGGCTGGCCATAGGTACCCCGGCTAGCCGTGAGTCTGAATTACTGAGACTTATCTATTCGCTTCAACACCACAAGCTGCGTAATCGAAGGCACGATATTGGAAGTGACCTTAAGATCGCTCTTGATGCTGATGCTAGTCCGCACAAGCTATCGAGCTAGACCGTGCTCCTGACCGTACGATAAAAATGCCATAGACAAAGCGACGCCCAATGCAGCAAAATTAACTCTAACACGGACTATGAGCATAGGCCAGCAACGCTCTTCCCGTGAGCGCACTCCATCTTTCTCCAACACTACTCATTCCCCAACAAAGGCTCTCTCTCACGGTCTTCGTAGTCCAAGTCGTCGTCCAGCCTCCGCCATATGAGTTCTTTGCCGAAGATCTGTATCGCGTCAATAGGGTTTCCGCAAAGGGGAGCGCCAACTACTCCTACCGGTGGAAGTGAGATAGCGAGGGCTGCTGCGAGGAGCAGCATCGCGATCGCAACAGCAAAGATCCATTGAAGGGCGAGAATCCTGATACCATGTTGATGTATTGCGAGGGCTAATGAAGAGCGGTTAGCCTAATGCGTGCGTGCTGTGAAGGCTGACAGTCAAACGCACATGCCGAGAGGATGGCCAACTCGAAGCCAATAGTATGATCCTTAAAGGCGCCCATGAAAAAGATGCCATAGAGCAGAATAGACCAAATAGCCACGTTTGCTAGAATCCTGGCAGCGAGACTTTGAGCGCCAACCATCGCAGCTCCATTCGACAAAACGGCGACAAAATTCCAAGCAAGTGGACCGGTGACGACAGGTATGTGGATGAAAGGTTGGGTTCGGAGATGCCGGAAGTAGAGCGACGTCAAGTTGAACGAGTTCATAACGAGCATCAATTCGCCGATCCAGAAGAGGGAGTGCACCCACAGAAGGATAAATGCGGACGTGAGAAGATTGTGTACGATGAAGTGAGAGCCGACATTCGCGGCGACCTTGACTAGCTCGGCGTCGAAGGTGAAAAGGCAGTATAGGTAGCCGAGTTGTAGCATGAGGAGTAATAGCCTGGGTCTGCATCAGCTCGCTATACTTGGGAAAGTTGCAGTATCCAAAGAGGGGTTCACCAGTATATGGAGGTAGTCTCAGCGTTGAGCGAGAACGGAGTAGGATGTGCCTTGTTCTGGTCCCAGATAGTCTCACCATTCGCCGGAGCCTTAACGTTGAACAGAATGCTAACGACGAATACGAGAAGCCAGGTGAACAAGGTCAAAAATCTGAAGACGATGATCGCTCGCTTGTCGTGCTTATCGCGTTTGGCGAATGGATTCACTTGGACCACGCACGACAGTCAGCTTCTAGAATATAAGCAATTGGTGTAGTGGGATATCGAACTCGTTTGGACGCGTTCCATGGATTTAGGGGTATCGAAGGTCATCGTTCGTTGCGAACAGGTTGAGCCAGTGAACGTCGACAGCCTCGGGTTGCCGTGATGAGAGGCAATTCGGTGGGTGAGGTTCACTTGCCCGAGAGCAACAAGCGAATGGCAAATTCTGAGGAGTTAAGGATGGTCAATTAGGAGTGATCAAGACTACCGCAAGGTTGGCAGAGGAAGTGAGGAGAAGATGTGAGCCTGACGGCACATGTTCTGGAAGCGCTTGCTTTCCATGGTCGCCATTGGTGGAAAGCGCGATGGAAAATGAGAAAAGACAGCGAACCGCTAAGAGCGTTGTCGAACACGGATACGGCACCCGCTATTGTCCTCTCAGTCGCAACAGAAGTCAATAGGCATATTGCTCTCACTAGAATATTGTACAAATCTGTACAAGGCCTTTAATCAAATTTGGCAAATGCTAACTCATAGGCCAACGCCAGCGTCATTCTTGCGTGTTGCAACATATGATCTGTTTACGAATGGTCAGTATAAGTGGGCATACGGAGTGCCTGACATTCCGTACCAAAGTTGAGGAACTCTATCTTGTCTTGCGATGTGTGAATCTTGTTATCGCTGTACTTGAAATCCGATTCAATAACGAAAGCGGAGGGATAGCCAGCCTTCGACGCGGATGCATGATCAGAGCATGCATAGCCACATTTGGTGAGAATATAGGGTATCGAGCAATACTGGCCCGCGATTAGCAGGTAGCAGCTCAATTAGCTCACATCAACGGTGACATACCTGTGTAATGATTTTCTTGATAAATTCGGTGAGATCTGGGTTAACAAAGTCTGTAATCACACCAACACTTTCGGGTTCTCCTGCTTCAATCGTCTTGTGAGTGTAGCCGGTCATATCCTGTTGCAACATTGCTTTGACGTCTCTACCTTCCTTTTCGTAAGCAGAGAAGATAGCCTGACTCCCAAGTAGTCCGCCCTCTTCGGCGGAGTACCAATGGAATTCCACAGTATTGGATGCATTTCCTTTGATGATCGCTTCAGACTCTAACAGAACCCTCAGAGCCTCGAGAATGGTGACAGTGCCGCTGCCATCGTCGTCTGCGCCAGGAGCAGAAAGTATTGAGGGCAGGAAGAGGTTGATGCTATCTTGATGTGCGCCGATCACCACGGTTTTATCGCTCTTCCCAGGTATTGTAGCAATGACGCTGTTTTGCCCCCAAGAATGTTCGAAAGTCTCCACACGGGCGCCATATTCTGCAGCTCCAGAGTTTTGGATGGTCTGGTTGACTTTGCTGTACAGCCAAGCGGAGGACTCCGCACCATAGGGAGACCGATAATATCGGGTATGGAAGGATGTAAACTTCTCCAAGTTCTTGTGCATATTCTTTTGCTTTAGCTCTTTCAACAACGGCACCAAGCTGTCGTTGTATGCTGGTTTGTTTGGGAACTGGACAGTGACATCTCTTTTAACATTTAATCCGAGGTCACGAGTTTCTGTTACATCCATAAAATTAACACCAGCCTGTATGCAAGACATGTTAGCATCCTCTGTATGCCATAGCCAGAGGCCTGTTCTCCTATGGCGGATGACAGCTACATACTCGTTTTAGTGCCCACTTCTCGTCTTCTGCGATCCATCTTCTTTCTCCTGGGCCTAATTCAACGAGGTACAGATCTTGATTGTCATTGCCGAGGACAGCCTGGTCGGGTTTAGTAATGGATAAAGCGACGGCTGCTGTCGAAAGTCCGACAACGGCGAGTGAACAAATTCTCATTTCGATTGTAGATGTGGTTATGGAATCTGGTCGATTAAGAAGAGATGGACAATATGGGCTGATTCCCAGCTTCTTATTCAGGCATCTGATGAGGTCGTCATCTGATAGCTAAAGCGGAATGCCCTCCGCCGCCGGATAGCGTCATATTTCTTGGCGTCCACTAGTCCTTCTTCCACCTGATGACTCGAAGACTTGTGACTGTGTCCGTATATAGACAGATTGGTTTGCCAGGGAATTCTTTTTTATCTGTCTACCTACGTGTGGAACAGACATATAATCTCTGCTCTCCCTATCACTGACCAGAAAGCGCCCCTTCGACGTACGGAACTTCGGCAGAATGGCAATCTATCCCAACGCCAATGCCTACGCGCAGAACAGTGGTCTCAATAATACTTCGCCGCCTCATCCCATCAATATTGAAGCATGGACCGAGGAGGCCACGCAGTCACTCAGTGCAGTCTCGCTGGTCTCCCCAGGCCTTGTCCCTGATGCAAGCGTATCTATTGCCATTGACCTCGAGGAGCCGACCCATCGCAAGCAAAGCGAAATCGCTGGGACTGCTCGTCGTGCAGACGACGCTTCGTCCGCCTATCGCCCACGCCGTGAGCCTCTTCGGCGCGACAGCCTAAAACGTCGTGAGGCACTCCTCAAAGGCAAGGAAGGAAGCCGTCGCCGTACACGCTGGGAGAATGGTTCGTATCATACTTAGTCGCTATGATACGGAATCTCGATATTGACGATCTTCGGCTTGCGTAGATCGTCTGTTGAATAACCCATGGGCGCAACCCCCACTACCGAGCGATTGGGAAGTTCACCCAACATATCCCAAACATGCCGTTCCTTATTACCTTGCGCCGCTCTGGGACCTGGACATGACCGTACGAGCCGGCGCTGAGAATAAGAAGAAGCGCGAGACTGCCCGTAAGCAGGCCCAGGGAGAAAACGAGAGCGCTGGCAAGATCCCAAGAGAGCTTCGCGAGAAGCTCAAGAGAGCCAAGGCTGCTAAGGGCTTGTTGAAGGATCTTGAAGAGCAAATTCGCTTCTTTGTAAAGAATTGGGAAGACCAGAAGAAGGATGTTAGCGAGCATGAGCTGGATTCTGAAGACGAAGAAATTGTATTCGTCGGCCGAAACGGGCAAATGAACGATATACCTTCGTCTCCGAAGACCAGCTTAGATGAAAGTGACGCTGAGAGAGACCAGCGGCTGGTCTTCGACAGCTTGGCAAACGACCAGGGAGCGAGCTTTGGGTATGTGGCTTGCTATTTTCTGCCATCGACAAACCGGGGAACTGACATGGTTTAGGCGCTGGCTGGTCCATTCCATTGCATCTTACTACGGCCTCCACACCTGGTCCATTACTGTTGGCGATCCGGCGAGGCGTGAGGCGTATGTTGGAATACCACCGCAGCAAACCAGAGGCAAACCTGCATCTCCAGTGCTAAGGCCTCGTCCTCTATGGAATATGGTCTAATTAGGCCGCGTGCTGCGCTTCAGAGTCTCGAACCATGTTGTCTTGTATTTGTCTATGCATGGAAGCTCGATTCTAAATGTTTCGTCTTAATCTATATCTAGAGCCTTTAATAACAGCCTGCAGCAGGCCATTTCAGATAGAGTATCCATGCAACATAGCTTTAGGGAAGAGCAATTTCTGAAGTACCTAGTAAACTATCTGCTTTACTGTCTATTATGGACTTCGACTATTGAAATTAGTCGGCTTTGGTGGAGAGACACGCTAGTACGCGTCATACGCGACGGACTTCGCCAGATCCAGTGCACCTTCACTTCAAAGAGCCGCTTCGAAGCATTCTAGAACCGATTGCAGTTTTAGCTACAATGACAGAGACAGAAAGAGGCACACTGTCCAACGGATATGACCTGTCCCAACCGCATGAGGAACACCAATACCTTGACCTGATCCGGAACATCCTTGAGGACGGCGAGCATCGCCCGGACAGGTATTCTCAGCGCTTTCCATGTTCCCAATTGTGTCCTATGCTCACCCTCGCAAAGAACAGGAACAGGTACTCTTTCCCTCTTTGCACCTCCAGCCCTCCGCTTCTCCCTCTCGCGGCCCTCACCAGATCCCTCATCACACCCGATCCCGGTACTGCCACTTCTGACCACCAAACGGGTCTTCCTCCGCGCCGTCATTGCGGAACTCCTCTGGTTCATTACCGGCTCCACTTCGTCCTTGCCTCTCTCTGAAGCCGGTATAAAGATCTGGGACGGCAATGGCAGCCGCGAGTACCTCGATAGCGTTGGCCTTTCTCACAGAGAAGTAGGAGATCTGGGACCTGTCTATGGTTTCCAATGGCGGCATTTTGGCGCAGAGTATGTGGATGCGAAGACAGATTACATGGGCAAGGGAGTGGATCAGTTAGCAGAGGTCATTGAAAAGTTGAAGAATAAGCCGTATGATCGAAGGATAATACTGAGTGCGTGGAATCCTGCGGATCTGGGGAAGATGGCATTGCCGCCTTGTCATATGTTTGCACAATTCTACGTTTCATTCCCAAAAGCCTCGAAGTCTGGTGTGCAGGCAAACGGCGACCACGCGGAGTCGGCAGCGCGTGCCAATGGCAACAGGGTGCTTAAACCTCGAGGCGTTCTTTCCTGCCAGCTGTACCAACGTTCATGCGATATGGGACTCGGTGTCCCTTTCAACATCGCCTCTTACGCTTTGTTAACACACATGCTTGCAGATGTATGCGACTTGAATCCCGGAACCTTCATTCATACGATGGGAGACGCCCATGTATATCTGGATCACGTGGATGCCTTGAAGGTACAGCTAGAGAGAATACCAAGGGATTTCCCAGATCTTAAGGTTTTGGATCACCATGAAGGAAGTATTGATGGGTGGAAGGCGGAGGATTTTGAGATAAAGGGGTATAAGCCGCATGCGAGTATTCCCATGAAGATGAGTGTTTGATGTAGATGAGAAAAAATGTGATTCAAAGTCAAAGACGCATTTTCATGAGCTGTGTTCATGTATGAACATTGACCGAACCCCCGCGAACTATCTCATATGCCTCAAATCTACCATCCTACCAACGCCATCGCTATGCGCATGTATCAAACACCAGATTGTGTCATCAGTCGGTCTCCGCAGGGCCCACCCCACGCAGCAGAACGACCGTATTTCCATTCACGCAAACATCCCCAGTCTTCTCTCCAAACTCCAGCAGTCGTCCATGCTCCACATGGAATACCCTCAATCGTTCCTCCTCTCCGCCTCCTCTGTTATTTACATTCTCCACTTGTAGGCTTTTCGCCGCGGCATCTAACACCCTGCCCACACTCCAGTCCTTACTGTACCAGTATTCGCCCTTCGGCAATTTGCTGCTTGTCGTGTTCGCTTCAGCTTCAACATACAGATATATTCTCTTATCCATCGGCACTTTCGCATCACCTTTTGCCGTCCGCTTCAACGCGTTCACTGCTATGATTCGACTAGCTGCGGTCGACGGTTTGGGCTTCGGTAGAACAGCCGCTTGCTTTTCCTTTCCCCAGACTCGTAATCGACCGAAAGCTGCCTTTGCTTTTTCAGCTTGTGTGGGACCGCTCGAGGGTCGCGCACCGATGGGTATAAGTTTGGAACAACTGTGATCTTCCTTCAAGCGGTGTTTGAGACAGTATTGCCGGTTACAAGTCGGACAGCCAACGCCAACGGAATTGAGTGTATTGATATAGGTCTTACAGCTTGGATGCGAACACTGCGAAGCAGTCAAGAGGGTCGGCTTGCCCGGAATAGCACTATTTGTAGTTGAAGAAAGCGCAGCAGCTTTCCGCCTTGCGGCCGCCCACTCGCCGGCGCGAGGGCATTTGTGAGCTGTTTCAGTGCGATGGTTGAGGCAGTAGGTGCCTTTACAGGATTCGCAGCGGAAAGGGAGGAAATCGAGTTGGTTGCAGTAGGTGTACTGACAGTGGGCACCGATCGCTTCGAGATCTTTGTCCATGGTGGTGAAGGTTTGGGACTCGAGAGGTGCTGGGGAGGTAGAAGAGGACTCCATGATGAGTTGCTGAACAGGTTTGTTTGATTTGATTCTGGTTGGTCTTTGCCGCCGTGTAGGCAGCGTAGCTTGGTCAGCTCCTTGCCATGGGTTAATGGGTGGGTGTTTTGATAATAGCTTCCAGAAGTTACCAGAATGCCAAGATGTGTGACATAAGGTAGGGCTGAAAATCCCATAAAAAGCAGTACTTACAATTAGCAGCCCAAAATTAGATTTATAATCTAACCCGATCGAAAAATTTTTTTTTTATTTACCAGGGGGAACCCCCTAAACCCCCTAACCCTCCGGGGGCTCCGAGGGCCTCCGGCCAGCTCGATAAATCTTTAGTTTTATATATCTTTACGAATACTTTATCAAATTTCGTCTCCGCATTATTGAAAGCGATATTAACTCTATAACTCTAAAAATTTACTTTATTATCATTTATTACGTAACGTAAAGAATTAAATAGAATAAATCAATAAAGTGATTTCAAGGTTCAGCCTTATGGCTTCCCTTTGGACGTACCCGGTTAGATAAAATGAAGAAATAAGGTGGTTTTAACAAAACGGAAATCGAGGATATGATTGGTCACTAGCTACACCCATTCTCGTTTTCAAGTCTTGAGCATTGAAAAGCAAGCTTCAAATTAGCACTTTTTACTAAGGTATTGTTAAGTTACCGCCATTGATCCTCAACGACTACTACAAGATTTCCTGCTCTGGATCCCTTACATATCTAGTGATTATCATGCAAGCACGCAAGTGTCTGAATTTATGTGCATGGAGCTGAAATCTTGTGTCCTATCTGGACCGTTGCACTGCTCCTTGTTTTCGTGTTGAGCTGCTGTCGTTGCTAAGTCTCTCTGGAAATGCAACAACATCTGCTGGACATAACATGGCTGTGATCCTGAGCCGAAAGACACTTTTTGTCTTCGATTTTGCGTTCCGCATTGGACTCAACAAGCTAACATCACTGCTATTCTTGTGCCTCGGAGTGCATAAGGGTGGAGATTATCTAAACCATAATGGCACCTAAACCATTCCCTTTCCCTATTAGCATTGGGATCGATGTGTGTCGAGTCAACCGCATCGCAGCTATTCTACGTCACGAGCAGACGCGAAATCGTTGGGCTCGAAAGATCTTTACCCGTCTGGAGTGGCCAGCTCTATGCAGAAGATTGCAGCGCGTTGAGAAAGCGATAGGAGAGCCAGTTGGACAAGCTGATGCAGCGATTGATCCAAAGCTGGACAACGAGAATCAGGCGATCGACAGTAATTACGACAACGCCATTTGGATGCTGCCCCGATTATCTGGATATTCATCGACTTTTGAGGACGAACATTCGTATTGGTCGGCTATTGCCGATGAGAGGTCTGCTCTGGGAGGCTTGGCGCGCCATCTTGCTGGAAGGTCAGATTGTCTTTGAGGAGCTGGATCTGGAGATTGCCTCCTTACTGACAATGCGTTGCATCGATAGGTGGGCGGCAAAAGAAGCGGCGATCAAAGCCCATCGTCATCGTCAGCTTTACATGCAGAACATTTCAATCGTAAGACCAATTCTACCGCCTGGCTCATTTTCCGGTGCAAGTACGAGTACGGTTACGGATGGAGCTCAGAAGTTGATCGCGCTCATCGACCCTCCCAGTGATAATATTGAAATGATTAGGCGTGTAGCGACATTACGAGGGTTGAGAGGCTTTGGTCTTCAAAATCATGGGCTTCACAAAGGGTCTTTGATGAGCAAAGTCGAGCTTCACAAGGATGTGCAGGATTCAAAGGATGGAAAGGTGCACAGAGGGGTGCATTACTACAGGCGATCTCGAGTCAAAGAGTCTGATAGGCAAGTCGCCGAGATTAACATCAGTCATGACGGCGATTATGCTGTCGCAATGTGCATGGCTTTCGATCCACCAGGGACAACGATCCGCGAGAAGACCATTGTTGACCAGGGAGAGGGACTTCCCCTGCATGAGCCGCAATGGGGTGATGAAGGATGGGTTGATTTGGTCAAACCAGGACTTGAAGGGGGCTCATTTGGACTGAAGAAGGAACCGGCGTCGGACATGCCATTAGGTAATCTGTTGGATGAGCTTGAATCACCACCAGATCCAGACGCGTTCAAGAAGACATTCAAAGAAGTCTTCGAGAACACCAACGTCCCTCCTCTACTATGATGCAACAAGCAAGCTCCGAGAAACAACAGCTCTAGATTGTGGCCGCGAGCTACAGTCAAAGCGTACCATTCGGACCAGCTGTCTTCCCAAAACTCTCGCTTGGTTCGCAGGCACCTCAAAGGCAATTCTCTTTTACCAATTTGAGGCTTCAAAAGCCCAGGAGACAGGGCCGAGTCGAATTCATTTTGCATGAACCTACACTGCCCTTCGATACTAGATGATCGGGCATATGCATGCAGATGCGTACCAACCTACAAATCTTGCGTAGCATAGTGAAGGTCGGAGGAATGGAACAGTAGGGAAGGTTTTGAATGAAAGCTCAACATGTATACCAAATAAAAGAGCAGCGTAAGGCGTACAGAGTAAATTTGTGCGAGGATCGTATAGGAAGATAACAAACAAACTTTCCATGTTGACCTCCGCAAACTTTGAGGTATATAAATGTAATGATGGTAATTTTGGAAGTGATTCTAGCATGCGTGAGCAGATGGTGTTTTCTGCGAGATCAAAGCGCCGTCATCGATATTCAAATTTAGGGAATATATAGAACATTAAGAAATTTTCAATCTCCATGACCTGGCATCTCGCTCTCAATAAAAGGCATGTTCAAGGGGGGTTGGCGCAATGGTAGCGCGTGTCTCTCCTACCAAAGGTTTGATACAAAGACAAGGTTGAGGTCGGTAATGATGTACATCCCTTTTGATTTCACGACCTATACTAACGTTATTCCAGGGTTCGAGTCCCTTGCTCCTCGCATTTTTGGAGTTTTTTTTTAACACGTTTCCTACTAGCCTTGATCAATGATTTGTTCTACTGTATAAGGTGAATGAATCACTTTCTCTAGGCGAAGGAAAACACCTCTCCGGCATTGCGAAACTTCACCTAAACTTAAGCATTGGATCATTAAATCCTTAATCTCTATCAGCTAGTGTGTGATCTGCTTGCTTGCTCTATCTTAAAGGTTCACATCCATCTGAACAATAGACAGCAAATCTGGTTTTCTCACAAAGTCCCTATGCCTTTCTCTCACCATTCTCACTCTGGTCAATTCTGCGGTCACGCGGAGAACACATTGGAAGAGGTTGTCCAGACAGCGATCAGCAAGCAGATGGATCTCTACGCTTTGACCGAGCACATGCCGAGAGAAGAGGAGGACCTCTACCCCGAAGAGGTAACCGGATCCTCTGCATTAAAATGCTCTCGGGCTTACAAGGTCCTGCCAGATCACATCATCACATACGGCCGCAACGCTTGCTAAGCAGTTTGACGATTACTTCCATGAAGCCCAACGGCTTCAAAAAGCGTACGCTCCAGCGATTAAGCTCTTGATCGGCATGGAGGTCGACTGGATACGGCCTACATCTCTAGAGGTGATCCAGGGCCTTCTTAGCAAGTATCCTTGTGACCTTTTCATTGGATCTGTGCACCACGTGCATAACACCCCCATCGACTATGATAGAAAGATGTATATCGAGGCCCGCGAACGGTCAGGTGGTACCGATGAAAAGCTGGCCGAGGATTACTTTGACCTACAGTATGAGATGCTTAAGGCTCTGGAGCCCCCTGTTGTCGGCCACTTTGACTTGATTCGATTACTCAGTGATGACCCGGAAGCGAGCTTCGTGCAATGGACAGGTGTCTGGCAGAAGATACTCAGAAACCTTGACTTCATTATTGACTATGGAGGCCTTGTTGAGCTCAACTCAGCAGGCTTGAGAAAAGGCATGAGCGAGCCATATCCTAAGGCGGAGATTTGCAAGGTGGGTATCAATCATCTACATCTAACGACTTTAGTTACTAAATAGGCCCATAGAAATTCTTTGCCAGGGGTGGTGCCTTTACGTTGTCTGACGATAGCCATGGGATCAAACAAGTCGGCACAAACTATGGCCGATGTCTAAGTTTTGCTGAGAAGACGGGCATAACCAGCGTTCATTTCCTTGAAAAGGGTGCCGCCACCAAGGACAGCCGGTTTCCAGGGATCTCTACCAATGCCGTTAGCTTAATAGAGCTCAAAAAGCATCCAAGTTTCTCCTACCTCGAGGGATTTTGATATTTTCTCGAAACCTGTCAAGCTCATGGATTTAGCGGACTTCTGCTTTAGCGACCGATGGATGCAGGGCCTCGTAAAGAGCCCAAACGGCACGCGGAGGATCGCCCGATCCTGTTTTAATCATGACCAGGATCAGGTACCCGCCATTGGCGGTTGATCAAGTCATCCACCCACTCACGTCTCGGGAACCCCACAGTTCATGTCTGTCGCGGCAGGCTGGATGCATGCTTGACAGACGTCAATTCTCGAGTGACATGTGCAGACAAGATCCAGAGCGATAAGACAAGCAAAACTTTCATCAGTTCGCAGTAGCGTGGGGGAATGGGGCAAGTCAGACTGCATTGCATGCGGGCATGTTAGAGTGTGCCAGCACATCTATCGGCACCTGCAGATGCAGAGACGATGTCTGCGAGGGACGAGATGAATATCTAAATAGAACCTGCCATTTTGAAGCGGATTGCGACCAGGGGGGCGAATGGCAGCGGAAGGATGGAGGTGCAGATGGCTTGCATGAGCAGTAGTATGGTTCTAGAAGGTGGGAAAAGTCAATGCGAAACCTGGGCGATCATCGATGTCCGCAAGATGCACACTGCACAGCACGACGACCAGCAGTAATGCCTCTGATTGAACGCTTGCCAACTTTCCAGACCCATTGCAGTTCCCCATGTGTCAAGGAGCAGTATGCACGCGACGACCGTTGTTCATGCAATCTATCACTCACGTGGAACCTTGTGCGAAGAGAAGCATGAGCTGAAGAATGTGGGGCGGTGAGCAGCGCGGATGGAAGAGGCTGTCGATCATCCCAGCATAGGCAGAAGCAGGTTCGGTCGGGATCTTGACATGCCGGTGGCGATGTCGGATATTGTGTAGTTCGACGTCTTTGTGCATACTGCAATCTTTTAGACCATAATGCCTGGTTTTTTTTTCTCTTTTTTCTCTTCTTTTTTTTTCTGTTTATTATAACTGTTTGTTGTTTCAATGTCAAACTGCCTTGATGCCCAACAACGGGCTAGCACATCTTTTTGCCACGGAGCATAGGTAGCTCGTCGATAGAGCAGGTAGAGCAGGTAGGTAGGCCAAAGCAAAGAGCTAAGGTACTTACTTCACCTATTATTCGTGAGGCAATTAAGTAATCTAAACCGTCTTCAGCATGAAGCTCGTCTAGTACAATAAACCAAGTGGGATGCTCCGGATGCAGACCCTTCAGCTAAACAACCCTTCGCTCACACTTCTCACCACTCTCTTTGCTCTCCGACTTTACAACCTTGCCTTCATCTCATCATAGTTTCCATCACCCATGCTCTTGGGCGTCAAGACGAGTATTCCCAGCTGGCTCAAGACGTTAACCATAGGCTTATATTAATGCCACGAGTGCTACCACAACCAAGCCTTTTTCCAAGTGCCGAAAGCATTGGTGGCATTGCGCAGTTGTGTGATTCACCGCAGCGCAACAACAACTCCTCAGCTCGTCATTCGACCATCTTCTATCTCAGAACGTGGAGTGTGATGCTTGAAGTTTGAAGCTTGAAGCTTGGAGCTTTGGAATTCGCTCCTTGAGAAAGGTCCGGCTTTCTCTTCCTCTTCATTCTACCTAGAAAGGGAAGCTCCGAAGCTTCACAGCACCTCTCCCTTGCCCTTTTCTTTCTTTCCCTTTGCCTTTTTCCCCACTCTTTCCCTCTTTTGCCTTCACCAACTTGGAAGTCAAAAAGACATTCCACACCATTCTCCTAGTCAATCCCACCGTCATATAAGTACTTGCCAACACCGGCCTCAAAACCCTTCCACAATCCCACCCCTACATCACTCTATAAACTCTCACTTCTCAACTCCAAACTCCCAACTGCCAACTCCTAACCTCCAACTTCCAACTTCCAACTGACTGCACTCTCACTCCATCTCCACTCTTACACACGCAACCTTCCGAGCAACCTCAACCAGCTCCACGAGCACAATGGGTGTCACTAGGAAAATTGTCACCAAGGGCAACGGCACCGATAGACCCAAGAAGGGGGATACCGTCACCATCGAGTACACTGGCAACCTCTACGACGAGGCCAAGGGCTCCAAGAATGATTTCCGAGGCAAGCAGTAAGTCCCTGCCACACACTCCGGCCCCTCCCTCCATGACCAGTCTTGTTGAGAATTACGCTAATCAGCGCTGTTCAACTTCTAGGTTCGACTCGTCCAAAGGCCGGGGACCCTTCAAGACCGAGATTGGCATTGGCAAGGTCATCAAAGGTACATGGCACCTTGAATGTAGACAAGAGAAGAGTCGTTGGTTGACACATCCAAGGCTGGGATGAGGGTGTGACGGAGATGTCCCTGGGAGAGAAGTCCATCTTGACAATATCAGGGTACGAGCATGCATCTCAGGGCACAAAGGCCAATAGTCTCCATGTGCTGCAAGACACGCTGTGCCAGATGGCTAATGCTATCAAAAACTACAGTGACTATGCCTATGGTGACCGGTAAGCCTACGCACTCTCTGACTGGGTCGCCAATCCAAACTTCTTATACCCGTGGACCCAAGCCTCAATATGTCATCGACAACAACACCCCTGCGGCATGAGCTGACTTGAATTCTCCGCAGTGGATTCCCTGGCCTCATCCCACCGAACGCCAGCTTGGTCTTGTAAGTCGAAGTTACTGTCTACTTTCCGCTCTATATTGAGGCTCTGCGTTGCTCCCCTACGACGTCATGACTACCTCTGTACATTCCATGTGACTAGAAGTCATCTTCATTGGCTATCCTAGATGGCGGTACATGCATCAGCAATCCTGTCGCACGGGAGGCTAACCAATCATTTCCACGATCTAGTGAGGTGGAACTCAAAGCTGTCAACGACAAGAAGGCCTAGATAACTCCAGAACTGCTGCGACCGCCATCGGCACATCCATTTCCCAATCGGAGCTGCATGAGGCATAGACCAGTCAATCTAGACCGTGTTGCTTGGCTTGGTGCGAGACACGAAAGAGACCATTGCTTTCACGATTTCCGTCGCATGATGAGAATGCTCTGATAAACAGATCAACCTACACTATATATTAAACATCGATCCTACTAGCTTAACTAGCCCGTTTCCTTTGAATTGCATGTGCCGTCGCTTTTGACGATCAGGGAACCACCAGCATTCGCTCCTTCCTATCTGATAACTTTCGCGGAAACCCCCCCTCTCCTCCCCCGCCAGATCTTTCCCGGAGCAATCATTCGCCCTCAACACTCCGTACCCACACGAGAGCAAATCCCCACGTAATCCCACGTCTCCGACACTCCCAACCACCTCCTCTTCCACCAACCGCCCCTCCCCTCTCAAAGTCCGACCCTTCACCTCCGGCGCCGCTTCATCCCCCCCTCCCACAATATCCCTCGAAGCCATTCTCTCTCCCTCTCTCTCGCAACACCGGTACACATTGATTGGCACTTGGCCCCTTTCCCAAAAAAAAACCCCCCCCCAAATCAAACTCGGAACCGCAGGTCAAGCTTCTCCACCCAGACACGCTCCGAACCCACCAAAGCTTTCCGCCCAGGTCTCAATTCCCCCTCTCCCCCCCGGGGAGCCAAAACGCGTGGTTCCCGAACAGCGCCGCCGGCGGGAGGAATCGGTGACTGGGCTTGCGAAAGAAGAACGATCCATTTGTCCGGTAGGAATGAGATTTCCGTAGACGGTTTGTTGGTTTGTTGGTTTGTTTGTTTGCATCTGGCAGTGTTTTTCTTTCTCCCTTTGGGGGAGAAATGGGGGAGATGTGCACATCGTATCGTCACGGTGGGGTGCGTGTGCGCAGGGCAAGGAAAGGAAAGGAAGGAAGAAAGAAAGAAAGAGAGAAAGGAAGAAAGAAAGAAAGAAAGAAGGGTGTGTGTGGAAGGGTGCGGGTGCGGGTGCATGCATCCGACACCGGTCCGTCGTCGTCGTGTCGTCGTCGGACGGACGAGGTGGATGTAGCATCCGGTCAGGCATGTGGAGGTAGCTGAGATCGAACCCTTCCCGCTCGCTGTCATTCTTCCCCCCAATTTTTGTCCTTAGGTGAACGCCAAAGCCACAGAACGGCATCGTGAGCCCCGCTTGTTGACCGAGAGCGAAGTGGGGATGAGTTCATCTCGAGTCCTCGTCAGCAAGGTGAAAAAGACATGTTTTTGAGTGAAACTTCTTGGATTAGGCTATCCTACTGCTAAATATCGACAATGGACCTCTCCAAACCCAAGCCTCCTTCTCGCTTTTTCATTCAGTCGCCTCTTCCAGTGTGACAGTTGGGGGAAAAAAAAAGAATGGTGACGTTTCGAAAACGTAAAATATACACAGGGGGTATTTTGCCCTCCTCGAGCTGCCGTCTCTCATGCACTCCGCTCCCACTCAGAAAATTCTATCCAATCCGAAACGCTTGGGGAATAAGTAGGTAATAAAGCACTCGAAATAATGAAGATCTAGGTCATCCACTCCGTCGTAGACCCCTATGACCTGGTGTGAAGAAGATTGCTATAACGTAAGGAGGCTGGGATGGAAAGGGCGGTGATGCGTAATGGTCGTCTCAGACAGGTCCGTCTGTACATGCGACAAGATGCATGGCCCATGCCATGCCAAAATTCCTCCCACAGGAATCATGTTAATAGCGTACATATAACACAGGCCCCACCGGCTTTTCTCAGTTCCAGCCCAGACTGTTCTCCGCCATGACTGGCGCACTGATCTGATGCCTGCTGCTCCCACTCCTGCCACTCCCTCTGCTTCCAGCTCTGCCGTCATTATCGTAATAGGGACTCGCGCTCCTCTCCCCCATGGCTCCACTCATCAGCGCCGCACCGGCGCCTGCGTCGGGCCCAGCGTGCGAAAGCACTGGCGAGCTGAACATGCTTGGTGACCGCGTGTGTGATTGTCTCCTCTTCTTGTATCGCCTGGCGACGAAGAACATGGCTGCACCGTAAGCTGCTGCACCGCAAGCGACACCGACGCCGATGCCCACGGAGGATGCTCTGACGTGTTCTGAGTTGCCAATGTCACCACCAATGGGAGCACCAGCGTTCTTTGCGGAGCTGGTCTCCGTTGGTATATTGCCGAAGGGTGCGGATGCACCGTCGGTTGCATTGCTGCCGATGATGGGTATTGCGCTATCGATCATGGAGAGGAGGAATGCCGTGCTATTGTCAGGGTTGTGGTAGAACCTGGAGGCCGATGTGGAGACCAGAAGTGCAAGATTGTCCACGAGACCATCAGGGACAAAGGCTATAGCTAGGGTAGTGAAATAACCAACGTCCTCGTATGTGTCCCAAGCTCGCAGACTTTGCATGGTTATCTGCGTAATGTCGATTTCGAGACCATAGCAAATGCCCAAGGGGACGTAATGGAACATCTGCTCCGACGATATAGGGTGATTGTACACGAATAGGTAGTTGAGCGGAAATCGGAAGGCAATATTGATTAATCTTGTGTTAGGAGGTTGCGAGCCAGGGCCACCATTTTGGTACAGAATTAGAGGGACGTTGGAAGGAAGGCTGGAAGGTCCGAAAGATTGGCCTTGAGTCGCAGACGGCATCGAGGATGGTCCGTGAATGATGTTCGTGGGAACAGATTGTGTAGTCGAGGTATCATAACCAACTGGTGACTGGGTATAGGGTCCTTTACCGGAAAACTCTTGATGTGGAGGAATGACGGGCATCGCAGTCGATCCTGGAGGAGCAGCGTTCTGAGTAGCACCAGCGGCAGCTGCAGCTGCGCTTTCTACTGCGTTACTCGCAGCAACTGGACCAGTCTCATTGGGCCCAGGTGACTGTGCAGAAGCTTCATTACCTGTAGCGACTGGCACAATTTGACCATTGGACACTGTAGAACCTGTGCCAGCTGCCGCCGAAATAGGCACAACGTTTCCATTGGATTGCGTTGAGTATCCGGCAATCCCAGACTCCGGCGTTGCTGATTGAGGCGTAGGGGTTGGAGTTCCAGGGATTACTCCTCCATACGAAGCAGTCATCGGCCCTGGTGCTGTGTTCTGAGGATTTTGATGCATAACCCCTGATGGTAGTGCCAATCCTCCAGAACTTTGGCCTAGAGGTTCTCCAGACGCGTGTGGTGATCCTGTTCCAAACGGCGATCCTGTTTCGCCCACTGGTGACCCTGTGGCAATTGGTGATCCTGTTCCGCCCGCGGGCGAACTTATTGCTACTGGTGATCCTGTGACACCGACTGGTGACCCAGTTTCGCCAGCTAAAGAGCCTGTTGCTCCAATTGGTGATGCTGTTCCGCCCACTGGAGAGCCTGTTGCTCCAATTGGTGATACCGTTCCGCCAACTGGTGATGCTGTTCCGCCAATTGGTGATGCTGTTCCGCCCACTGGAGAGGCTGTTCCTGTTCCGCCAACTGGTGATGCTGTTCCGCCCACTGGAGAGGCTGTTGCTCCAACTGGTGATGCTGTTCCGCCCACTGGTGATGCTGTTCCGCCCACTGGAGAGGCTGTTCCGCCCACTGGAGAGGCTGTTCCGCCCACTGGAGAGGCTGTTCCGCCCACTGGAGAGGCTGTTCCGCCCACTGGTGAGGCTGTTCCGCCCACTGGAGAGGCTGTTGCTCCAACTGGTGATGCTGTTCCGCCCACTGGAGAGGCTGTTCCGCCCACTGGAGAGGCTGTTCCGCCCACTGGATGAGGCTGTTCCGCCTACTGGAGAGGCTGTTCCGCCCACTGGAGAGGCTGTTCCGCCCACTGGAGAGCCTGTTGCTCCAACTGGTGATGCTGTTCCGCCAATTGGTGATGCTGTTCCGCCAATTGGTGATGCTGTTCCGCCCACTGGAGAGCCTGTTCCGCCCACTGGAGAGGCTGTTCCGCCCACTGGAGAGGCTGTTCCGCCAATTGATAATGCTGTTCCGCCCACTGGAGAGGCTGTTCCGCCCACTGGAGAGGCTGTTGCCCCAACTGGTGATGCTGTTCCAATTGGGGAACCTGTCGCACCTGCTGTATTTGGGGGGACCCCTCCAGCCGTATTTGAGCCTTCTGGAATCACCAGCGAAGCTGATTCTGGTGAGCCCGCGAGCGAGACCTGGTGTTCTGGGTTCTGTATAGAAGCTGGAAGTGCGCCCAGGACAGACGCTGCTGCTGTCAGGGCTGGGTTGAATACCAACGGAGGATTTCCCGAAACAGTTGCCAATGGATTTTCAATTGAAGCTGGAACGGCATTCAACTTTGATGCAGCTGCTGTCAACTCTGGATTTACAACAGAAGCTGCTTCCGTCGCTCCTGCATTCAGGTTTGGGCTTGAATTTTGGTCTCCGCCCGGAGAGGAAACGGAAGCTGGTAGAGTTTCCAGAGGTGTCGCAGTGTCCTTCGCTGCTCCAGTGATCTGCGCTGTGCCTGGCACAACTGCACCATCAGCTAGCGTCGTTTGAGGCGGTGATCCCCCAACCTGAGAAATGGCATGAATTGGATTGGGTTGGAGCGCCAGCGACGCCGAAGTACCTAAGATTGCACCATTCTGCGAGGTTGGTCCTGCTCCCGATCCGGGGGTTGGTGTAGGCTGAGTATCCCCTGAACCATATGTTCCTGTAACCGGAACAGCCACAGACTGCGGAGCGAAGGGTGAAGACGCTGGCTGGGCGGCATTTGTAGTTACTGCACCTGCTTCACTGGTATTTGGCGCGGAGGTTCCGGAGGTGGCTTCCCCACCAGGAGGCGAGTGATCGCCATTGTCCTTGGAGGTCTTGATGGTCTCTCCAGGCACAGCTGCCAACGAACCCCCTGCTGAAGTAGCCGCGGGAGGGATTCCATCGGTAGTCGTAGTCTCAGTTTGGTCGTTTACATTAGACTTGATCGTCGTCCCAGCAGGAGGAAGAACCGCTGAAGAACCCGCTCCTGCAGTAGTCACAGGAGGGCTTTCAGGGCTTCCAGTAGCCGTAGCAGCAAGTACAGTTGACGGTGAACCCGCAATTGAGGTAGTTGCAAGTGGGGTTCCGGCGCCTTCAGATGATAAGCTCGATTGAGGCGCATCGATTCCTTGAGTGTTCGTCTGCTGCCCAGTGCTGGGTGGCATCTGCGAGCCTAAAGTACTCGCAGCTTGTGGGTTTTCATGCGAACTCGGCAAAGCAGCACTGGAGGGAGATGCACTGGTCTCGGGCTGTGCGGTGGAACCCAGCTGGGAGGAGGTCACGCTAGTCCCAGGCTGCTGGACTATGGATGAATGGGTTGCTTGCGGCAAACCCTCATCCCCAGTGAGTTGATCCGAATTACTTGCGCTCGATGAGGGCGGGGACTGGCTCGACGTAGTGGATCCATGAGAGTCGCCTCCTGGAACGACGCTGCTTTGTGTTGTTGCTCCCTCGCCGTCGTTTGGACTCGATGACGGTAACGGTACCGATGAGACAGGCGAATCTGTTGTAGATGGGTGAACAGCCAAGAGTGCCTCGCGATCATTCTCATGGTCTCCAGCCAAAGACAGCGGTATATCTGAAGATAATTGTCCATTGTCAGATGATGTGACACCGGGTGTAGTCGTAATGGTTGGAGTGGCTGAAGTAGGCGTTGCATCTGCCGTAAGGTCTTGAGAGGACGACGAAGTAAGGGCATCGAGCAAGGCTTCGAGGTCAGAAGTTGAAGCTTCGCGAGGAGTATCATCTCTCCACGTTGTCGTATTGGTAAAAACGAACCGCTTGATCTCCTTCTTCAAAAATCGAGGCCTTTCCAAGTCTTCCCGTGGCTGCGCAGGTGCAGCGGCAGCGAAACATGTAGCGGAGTCAAGTGTAGATAGCAATGCCAGAGATGCCGCAAATATTACTGAAGATCTTCGAAACATGATGGAGGAATAGATCTTTATTAATAGAATAGATTGGTGATGTAGATGATGTTGACGCCTTCAGCCTCATCAGATGTTGTATTCATCGGCGTAAGACTAGCACTTACTGTCAGGAAGAAGATAAACGAGTGAACTTGACAAGTCAAGGTTGAAAAGATCGTGGCTGCGATATGAGTGTCAGTGAACGAAGCTTGGTGCCAGTAGAGTCGTGGTGCAAGCACTCCAGTCTGGCCGGTACGGACAGTGGTAAACTTACTTCTAAAAGAGTGTAAAGGGCACAAGGGCCCAGAAGAAGAAAGGAGGAGCTTGATGCCTGTGTCCCTTCGCAGGCCTTCGATGTTGACCCCTTCTTTGGATTCTTGAGAAAGACTGGAGTATCTTTGCGAACGAAGTATTCCACAGACCAAGGGGCGTCGGCAGCAGTCAGAAATGCCCGCGACCTTCACCTCGTTCTTTGTTGACCAATCCTATCTATAGCCACATGTTCGGATTTCCAACAAAGCGTTCCCTCTCTTTATTCCAACGTTATCCCCACCACGTTCCAGAACACGCCGAATCCTAGGTGATTTTGGAGAGGATCGTTGTTATTGGAGAGTCGTGAGGCCGTGTTGAAGAGAGTTGAGTTGATTGCGATGTAAAAGATTTGACGGTCGTCTGCCACCACGTACCCAACTTCCACCGGTATCCTATCACAACCCTCGATCTCAGGATTGTCGCGACGGATGGAAAAGGTCAAACGAATGTATGAAGATGCAGCATTTAAAGAGCGTGGAGGACTGTCAGAAGCGTCGGGCGGAAAGGGTAATGGAGATTTGAATTCTGGCAATGGGACGGATGTCTTTGGCTCCTCTATTCGTCGGCGTTCCTCCACGACCAGGAGATGGAATTGTCTGTGCTCGGAGTCGCTTGCACGTCTGCTGTCGGTCAGTAGTAGTAGGAGGAGGAGGAGGAGGAGGGAGGAAGGCGATGAAATTGATTGTCGTTGCGTCTTTGGAGTTGGGAGATTGAATGGAAGGGTAAGGTAAGGTAAGGTAGTCTAGGGGGAAGTTCCCGCTAATTACTTTTGCCAAGAGGGAATGAAATCAAAACTGCAACATGGCCCAAATGGAAGGTAAAGTAAAGTAAGCTAGGGCTGTTTAGGGAATAGTCTAAAATTCCTGTGGCTTAGATCGTTGTAACTTGTAAGGGTCCTCTAGAGTAAGTCCTTTGGTAAAATTCTATCTATGGAACTAACTAATCCCTTCTGCGCCTATTCCCTCAGAATACCGTAAAGTACTTTACGGAGTAGGTGTTCCAACAACAACAATATTGCGGACAGCGATGACAAGCTAAAGTACACACGTCTACGGTGAAGGTGTCGTCGATCTCCCTTTGACGGTGACTTGGTTACTTGGTTACTTGTACTTGTTCGATGGGTACATGTAAAGTACCTTATAGTCGTAGCGGTATTCAACGCCTTGACTGATGAGTGACAAGGTACCTAACGTAATAATCCGCTCACTTTGGCGGGTGTCCTGAAGAGATTTAAGTGGACCGCTGGGACGAAGAGACTAGCGGCAGGTACAAGGCTTAAAGTACCCTTACTTTTATGCACTTCGAACGGCGTAGCCCTGCCTCATTGGTTCACTGCCCGAGAATGGCGCAAGAAAACACACGTGTGCGTCGCAATAAGCATCTGGGGTTGAAGCTCTACCCGCAAATGCCAATTATCTAGGTAAGTTATCATGAGGATGCTGCGAACGATGCACTGAATAATGGCTCCATGAGACCGTTGCAAGAGTAATAAGAAAACTGGGGTGGGACCGTGCCGAAATTTGGTGAAAGAGTCCGTCCGAGGGAGAGACAGAGAGAGAAGAGCTCATTTCACTTTAATCTGGGGCGTAGCAGCTAACACGAGGCCACAATACGTTGCTGCATCCAACGGTCAAAGGTTTGCTGACTGTAGGAAAGGGTGAGTCTGCGTCCATGTCCTCCTGTGCGTCTGCTGGAAAAAGGAGCAAGCACCCACGCTCATCCGGCAGTAATCCCCAATCAAAAGTGCTTCGGGTCCCCAAAGCTTGGAGATGTACCCCGTACATCACCTATCAACCGTTCGGAACACTGCGCTGCAGCTGCATTGCTTTTGCAGGCTGTGCGCATACTACTGACTGCTGAAGAATGAATAGCCGACGGGTTGGGGACAGCGGCTTTTCCATTGCTGACTGGACTCATCCAAGCCTCGAAGGAATCTGCGAGGGACGAGGCAGCATCGACCTGAACCCGTCCCTAGAGTTGGTAGGATTCATGAGGCTGGAAATCTTCCGAGGTTGAAACAATTGGAAGTCTAGTTCGAACCGTGGTCCGACCAAATTGCCCTTCCTGTTTCCTGCTCCACATCTACAAAAAGAAACGCGCGCCCACCCTTTCTTTTCCGTGTTCTTGCAGTTCATGTCGGCTGCGAATTCTACTGAAGCCCGGAAGGACCCAACACCAACAGCGGGACTACCCTGCTAGAACAAAGGTGAAATGATGACTACGATCACCACTCCTAATTCCATTCATCAAATTAAGGTGCACAGGTCGTCTCTTTGATACGAGAAACATTTGTTGGCAAGCCTCGGTTCTCGAAACCAGAATGCCAAGTGGACAAGCATATTCCTGCAACGAGGAAAGACAATCAGACAGTCTTTGATACTCACTCTCGTGCTTGCAACAAACTATTCTTGCCACTTCGCGGGGACACTAAGCTACAATTCTGTAACAAAAAAAAAAGGCCCGTTGTTTTTTAGTCAAGCATAGCATAGATGCTCCTTAGTGACTGTATTACTGCTTGAAGGAAAGAAATGACAGGCGCTCCTTTTCTTTTGGCTTTGTATAAGTCAAGAGAGCAGGCCTGATGCGTTATTCGATGCAAGTGACCTTCATTGATGCTACGAAATGATGAGCCGAGAGTACGTTGTTGTCATTCGAAATTGCTGCACTGCACGTGAGAAAAAAAGCATTTGCTCCGCGATCTCTGCTCATACCCTAGTGACGACGTGATCCAAACGTGCCTGTTTATCCATCAATATTCACAGAGCGCCGTCCTGACTCCATTCTCTCTGTGCTCCATGACCTCCTCCCAATTCTCATCACCAGCTATGCATCATCTCAGATGCCACACCCACGCAGTAGCAGCATGCTGCAGTAAAGGCACCGGCCATGAACATACGGTTCATAGTCTTACGACGTCGGACTGCGGCTCGCTTGCTCTTCTTCGGCTTGACGCTGTGGTCTACCCATCTCCCCGGCCGAGATCCTGAGAACACTGTCTCCTGCCTACGCACTTTGTCACTCGACGTGTGGCTTGGTGATGCTGATGAAGTAGACTGCTGCCTCTGGGCTTCCTCGAAGGGCTGCTCCTTGTTTTTGATACCGTCCACTGCTGTCTTACGGGCTTGCTCCTCTTCCCTCTCAATCTTCTCCACAGCCTGCTTCTCGGCTTCTTTAACTTTCTGCTGATCCGCCTTCTTGATCTCTGCTAACTCTTGTGGAGCAACCTCTTTCTTGAACACAAGGATGTTGCTGGTACCGGAGACAGGCTCATATCCTTTGTCTCTAAGAGACATGACATGAGGAAGAAACTTGCCGGGATTACTCACACGATTAAGCGCGTCCAGGGGTAGTAGCGATTGCTCCTTTGAAAACGGTGCGAGCATGGTAGCCTCGGCAGATTTGACCTTTTGAGTAGCTGAGTCGTAGGCGAGGATGCAATAAGTGTTCAGCTTTTTAGCTTCCCGAATTTCAAGGTTGGTAGACTTTGTTGCTGTCATCGAAAGCGGACGGTTGATCGTGGGTTCCTTCGAGTCGGCCGCGGCGATTGCTTCAACGGAGCCCTGACCGATGGTGCCGCCAGCTCCGACTCGGGCTAGTTGTCCTGAAGTCCTCACAATTTGTGTGACGCTCTCCTCGAACGCACTGGGCGTTTCGAACACACTGGTGTTTTGGTCGCTGGGACCCAAAGCTTGCTTTGTTTGACAGCGGTATTCATGGATATTAGACTGAGCCTCACGCAGCTGACCAAATAACTTCTGAATAATCTTCAACGCATCTGAAATTTGAAGTTTGTCTAGGCCTCGTGCGGGTTTTATTATGCTTGCGGCACTCGAAGCAAGCTGAGCATGTAGAGCGGCATTCCCAGATGAAGCGATGGATTGACCAGATGGTTCTGGCAGAGGACTTGAAAGGACGTGAGGCTGGCGATGTTTCGTGTCAATGGTCCCGTAAGTATCTTCGTAGATACCCCTGACTTCACGAATCAAAGCTCTGTCCGTTGCGAGTTTCTGAAGCTTAGCGTCCATTTCAACGTCCTTTGCATCCATGGCATGTGGTGCTTTTCGCTTGTACCATCGATCTCTACCTGCAAATTCATGAACATTGCTTGCCATATCGCCCTCGCCTTGAAGGAAGCTTTGTAGCCGACGAGGAGCTGGCTTTTCGCCATCATCGTTTCCCATGCCCTTAGCGAAAGCGGTCTTGGCCGTATTGGTACTTCCATGGCCACTACGCATCTCCATTGCCTCCATAGCTACCTTTTGAGTCTTTATTTCTTCTTCGTGGATCTCTCGGGCCTTCTTCGCGACTTTCTGAGCCTTCACCACCTCCTCCTCTTTCTTCGCAGCTTTCTCTTTCACCCTTCGGGTTTCTTGAAGCCACTGCTGTCGCAGAGAGTCGTAGTCTGCTTTCATGGCATCCAGCTTGGCTTTAAAGGGCACAATCTGAGCCTTCAGCTTGCTGGCTTTGTCTCTGGCCTCAGCTTGCGCCTCAGAAGCTACCGCATTCGATGATTCAGAGACAGGCTCATCCCTGGACACTGGCTTCGAATTTGGTGCCTGGTCGACATAAACAGGATCAGAGGCCCTCACATCTGAGAGTTCGTTTACCCCTACGGCAGACGTGCCTTTCGAAACTTCTTGGTCGCTGAGCTCTGCATCCTGCAGTGTTCCTTTCAACCAGGAGGCAAAACGGAGCTCTGTTGCTGTGCTCTTCTCTGCAGGACGAGCCTCTCTCTTTTGCACAAGCTTGTTGCTTTCAGCTTCTCCGGCTAACAGACTCCCGTTGTCTAGAGAACGGCTCTCATAGTTCTTCTCCAATTTCTGCCGTCGTGCTTGCTTATCGACGTCAGTCTCTTTGAGTGAGTTACCGCGGAGTCCTGCCGAAGCTCTCACATCACTTGGTCGAAGCAGGTCAACATCATCGGTCTTGTTCTCCTTGGGCTTGTATTGCAATTGTGGGCGGTCGTTGTTTTCCTTTTCATTGGTGCCTTTGCTCCTCAAATGCCGGTCTAGAGCACTCTCGATCTTCGTAGCCGTGATGTTCGATTTGACACCATGACTTTTTAATATTGGTTGAGCATCAACTTTAGGCTCTTGAAAATTGCCGAAGCCTTCCTGCGCAAGCCATCCATTCCCATTATGTGGCTTAAGAGGAGGAGTGTCTTTGCTTGGCGGGTACGAATTTGATAAAGATTGCGCGTGTTCTACCATGATAAAGGGACGGTCCAAAAGGGTTGGGGAGACAAAATTCCAGCGTTTGAAAAACATTTCGGAGGCTTTTTCTACATCCTTGACTTGAGGCTTTATATGCCCAACCGATGACACTTGAGAGGCAGACGTCTTCAAAACTTTCCGATTTGTGATTGGGTCAATGTCGTATTCCTGATGATGTTCCTGACTAGGCATCGTCTCGCTCGTTGACTGTCTTCCACAAATGTCCTTATTCTCAGAGATCTTCGTGCTACTGGACCTTGATTTCGAAGGCCATTCCTCTGGGGTCTTTTCATTCTTTGATACGGAGCCTTCCTTGAGAGTACTAGGAGACGGGTTCCGGGCTACTTTGGGCTCAGAAGTTTCGCCACTGAAGTTCAGCCAACTCTTGCCAAATAAGGCTGTATATGGATCGTGCTCTACTTTCCTTATAAAGTCTTCGTATTGTCTCGATTTTTGCTTTTCCCACCTGGTATACCAATCTCCTTCTTCTTCACTTGCCTCGGCCTTGTTCTTTGAGCTAGAGAGTGTCTCGGGCTTCTTTCCCCAAGAGCTCGAGAATCGCCATTCTTGTATGGAGGCATACCTCGGAAGGTATCGGCGAAGATGGCGATTACCCCAGAAAGTGCTCCGGTAGAGTTGCTTATGAGTCACGTCTTTCCCGGCAAAATCTTGAGTGCTGAATCCTTTGCATACCTTGCCTGAACGGCTCGTGATGTTTTTGTGCTCCGAGCCCCATGAGAATTGGCGATGAAAGGAGGAGAAGAAGGAGGAGGATGATCCGGTCCTTACTTGGCTCAATAGGATGATTCTTGTTGTCGAAACTTGCACGCTTCGAGGCTCAAGAGCCTTGCGTGATGAAAGCATGATGTTGGCAAACTATAAGGTCATATTATAGCGTGGTTATCTTGTCAGAAGAGGTGTAAGAGTCTGGGAAGCCTGGCTGATAAGACTGCCTTGGCTTCCTTTCTCTGCCACAGCCTCAGCTCACGAATGTGCAGTGACTCCAAGAAAGAGCTTCGAGACAACCCAAGGTCAACCCTGTAGATTGCGGGGTTAAAACCAGACCCGCTTTATAACTACATGTAGCTATCTGATTAGGGCTTCTCTCTTGGGCTTGGCTATCAATTACAAAATGTCCCCACCATGAAAAGTCTATTCTCATCAAGTTGACGGAAAAGAAGAAGAAGAACAACCCGAGAGGAAATACTACAAGTGAGAAAGTGAGTTGAGTGTATTTTCCCAGCCTCATGGTTCAAACGTTAGTCAAGCCGCAAGATACCAATGACTGCAATCGGACATGAGTGCAAATTCGGCTTCAAACATCTCTCATATACCGTCAAGAGACGAAGAGATGAGATAGATTGAGAGGTTCATCATCAAGCCCCTTCTTCACAACAGTTGAGAGATGGTGAAAGACGATCAACGTTAACTCTGTCAAAATTTACCAACCTCGCGATGTCTTTGACTAAATCCTAGGTAATTCGATAGTATCTACTAATATCTCTGCCATTCAAACAACAGGCTGGAAAATTTTCGTTATTGGAGTGGACCTGTGGACCTGTGGCTGGTGGTTTCAAGACAAAGAGCAATCTCTCCTCACCTTTCAGAGCAGAAACAGCTTGCAGACTTGCAACATAGCTGTCTCCCATACTGTTTATTCAAATAAGCTAAATTTCCTTCCAGACCTCCCGGGCTTTCCAGCTGCATCGATGGCGAGGGATACGGACCGGCTGAAGACGATGGAGGCACCACTGGATGGGAAGAGCTCAAGGAGGCTTATCTGATGGGCAACCCTGCTGCAGAAGAAAAGGATGCTCGACCATGGTATAAGGAAGATGCTACAAACGGGGTTTCTACTGGACTTGGGGGGGACAGAATTTGGTGTTGGAGCTAAGACAAAGTCAATAGGGAGCTGGCGAGACTTCTTGAGCTGAGTTGGGAACACGATAGGGATGTGTACGCTTCAATGGTGCCTGGTGGACGCTTCGAGGCTTGCCGGGAGGTAAGACAGAGATATGGTGCACACTTGACGAGGACCTGGGGCGCCGAGCTAACTCACACTGCGTTGCTCTTGCTTTGCAAAATCATATCAAGCCAGCGATATAAGCCATGGCTAACGTCACCAGAACCTTCGAACAATCATCTGACTTGAGATACAGATTTCTCGATCTCTAACGTCATTTCGTTCTCGTGACTGCTGCCCCCGGAAAGTCAACAAACCAAGACACCGTTCCTTGTGCAAGGGCTTTCCCTGACGTTCGAACTCTTCCACACCTCAAGACGTAACAAGTCCTCGTCCCCTTCAATGTGCGTTAAGTTGTCTCTTTAGAAAACCCTCTCATTCGATCACGATAGCTCTGGATGCTTCATATGTTCCCTCATGCTTATGCAAAATCAAGCAAAAAACCCCCAATACTCTGACTACTTTTCACTAGCCTGCTTTGAGGCAACCGCCGAGAATCTGGTTACCGATCATGATAACTAATTCCCACGCAAAAAGCTCGTTCCGGTGCATAAGCTGCTCTACTCGCACATTATCCCAAGGGCCGAATCCCGAGGATATGAATCTCCTCAGTCGCTACAACACGTCTCGAATCCGATCTTCAAAAGTCCGCAGAATGGAAAAAGGGGTATTGCGAACCGACTACCGAAATTTCAAAACGCTCAGGGGGAGCGTTGAGTAACCTCAAGCCGACCACCTACGAAGACCCCAGTGAAGGGGGGTTATACCACACTCCCGCGAGGGAAGCAAGAAGGCTTCTTATTGAGTTCTATAATTAACATCTCATTTTGCTCCTTCCACGCGTTTGTGCTCTCTCCCGAATCTCGTGAGCCAAGCCTGAGAATAGATCTGTTGATCGCTCCAAAAAAAAATCATTGGCTTATCGAAGTCATTCAATCACTGTACTCGCTAGATAGTTTGATATCGACATGCAAGATCTCTGAAAAGCCACAGATCCTCCCAACCATAACATCAAAGACTTGTCATCGCTACAGGCTTCTCGTCATGCTGACAACAACACTAGGCATGCCCTCCCCGCATATCTGTTCCCATATAGGCTTGGAGACGTAGTGCGGTCCACATCGCACGTACATATATTGCGCCACACCTTTCTTCATGCACGCACTGCAAGCTTTCCCGCTCTTTCCCCTTCTCAACTCAAACTCCCAACAACGCCCCTCTCGTCTCGTCCCCCATCTTCACCCTCCAAAGCTTGAACTCCCCAAAACACCACATCTCGCCGTTCCTTCCGAAGCAGAAATTCGCACAACCACCCTCTATCTGTATTTTCCCAATCAGCATCCCAGCCGGATTCCAGATGTTTATACCGTCTCCGCAGCCGCTGTACACGTTGCCGAACACATCACATTTGATGCCATCCGGCGCACCCGTGTCCGCATAGGCAAACACCCGGCGATTGGTCAGGTAAGGGGAGTCATGTTCCCAAAGAACGGAGTATGCGTATATAGTGGCAGCGCGACGGTAATCGGTGTTACCGTCGCCATGGATGAGATCGGTATCGGTGATGTAGACTGTGGTTTCGTCTGGGCAAAAACAGATGCCATTTGGCCTGCCGAAACCGTCCGCTACCACTCTGATATCGCCTGTGCTGGGGTCAAAGCGGTAAACAAGCTGCGGTAGTTGTGGTTTGGGTCGGAAACCTTGCTCATAGCCGTAGATTGGATCTGTGAACCAGATCGAGCCGTCAGAGTGGACAACGACGTCGTTGGGAGAGTTGAAGGGGCGTGAATGGTAGTTATTGAGGAGAGTAGTGGTTTTATGGGGCCGTTTGGCTTCCATATATATAAGGCCAGAGGGTTCACGGAGTGAACCTTGCGCACAGATGATGAGGCCATCGCGGTAGTTGGTTCCGCCATTGGCCATGTAATTGCGCTCTGGGCATCGTACCTTGTCGCGCGTGAAATCGGTGGGAGAGAAAAACTCGATTTTGGTGATGACGATTGTCTTGTTGCGAGTGGTAACCGCGTCCGGAGAGGAGTCTTCAAGCTGGTTTGAGGTTATGAAGAGGGTGTTGGTTGGAGGGTGGAAGACGCCAGCTTCATGGAAATAGGGAGCGCGGGGGTCGTGTATTAGGAGTTGAAGAGTCGGATTGGGCCCAAGGAGGGGAAGGAAGGAGTCGTGATAGATGAGAAAGGGTTTAGGCTGTGGGGCTGTTGGAGATACAAGAGTGGATCTTGCAGGAGGTCAGTGGCAGGTGGTGCAAGCGGAGCATGAAGGTCTACATACTGCCACAATGCCTCACTTTGTCGATTGATGCGCTGAAAGTTCCGATTGTCTCCCCATATCTGCTGGGAAGAAGCTCTTGTGGAAGACGACCTTCTCTGTTGAGAAGCAGCTCTTGGCTGCGGGGCAGCTGGAGAAGACGGGCGGGAATTGGAGGCGGTGGAGGGTCTGCCGCTATCTCTTTTGTTGGAAGATTTGGAAGAGTCGGAGAAGGAAACCTTGTGACCTGGAGTAAGCAGGTTTCCGTCCGAGGTTTTGGGACGATGCCAGAGATGCGACATGTTTGTGTAGCCTTGGCGGTCTGGGAATAGTGGGGCTCTTGTGCCTTGCCTGGCCTCGGTAGATTGCGTAATTCAAAGGCCGGGAGGGAGCGGGGAATCGTATGCTGAGGCTCAAGAGTATGCAATTGAATTACTTGTCCTTTTCCTATTTTATTCTTTGGTCAAATAAATGGAAGAAAATCAGAGGGAGGAGGCTGAGAAAGCTGTTTTACGCAGCTACATGATACCTACTTTAGAGTACTCATAGAACAGGAACAGATGGCTGCAGCGCTAGAAACCGTCCGGTGCCATCTTAGTCAGGTATAGTAGTACCTTTCGAAGCATACGTGTTAAAGATGACGCAGAATCAGGCACAGGCACAGGCACAGGCACAGGCACAGGCACAGGCACAGGCACAGGCACAGGCACAGGCACAGGCACAGGCACAAGCACAACCTTCCCTTTCGCGTTGCCGTAATCGATGCGCAAGGCTATTTCAGCTCCTGCCTCATACTGAGTGGCAGTGAGTATGCAGGATCAAGATCGGCGCACTCGCATGATGCACGTCAGATTCAGACCAAGGGGAGCTGGGCCGATCGGCAACTAAGGCAGGTATATACCAGAGAAGGCCCGAAATAGTACTTATCTGCTTATCCAACGCCCTGTTGGTGCATGCAGATGGAGTGATCCTGGTGCAGGGAGTCCAGTCCAACAGAATACTCCACACCCAAATATCACATACTATCTTCTCTCCACCTCGACCTCAATCTCTGCCAATCCAATTTTTCGTCCAGCCCACCTCGGTCCTCCATTCCCAGACCTTGCTCGACCCATTCCTGACTCCCCATCAAACTCAACCTGCTTAGGGCTCGGGAGAAGGCAAATCTTTCTTCGTCGCCGGAAAAGAGGCTGCTGTTCTTCAGCATATTCATGCTCATCCCGAGATCGTCCATCATCTGCCGCATCACATCGTCCACGCCTTCGTGTTCCTCTGCATGCTTGACTGAGCCAGCCTTCCTGCCGCCTTCGAGGGCATCATCCACTTCATCAGGTGACATGAAGAGCTGAAAAAGGGGTACCGTAGTCGTGAGGACCAACTTCGCCTGTTGCTTTGATTAATAAAAACAATGTATGTGCGTTGCGCACATATGGAGTCTTACTCGACTCTCGTAAACAGCGTCAATGAATGTAATAAATCTTCTTGCCAAGTCCCTTTCTCGGTGCGTCATACCCGGTACCCCCGTGACTACGAAAGCATGGTAGCTCCTCATCAGCTCTAAATAGTCGGCAGCGCCGGTTGCTCTCCCAATCAATTCGTCGAATTTAAACATGGCCGCACTTCCACTGGCTTTGGGAATCTGGATATTCCTTCCCCAAACTTGCTGAGTCGTAGCGTGAGGTGGGTCGTTCTCGAAGTCACCGAAGAAGCGAAACCACCTATCAGCGTGGGAAATGGCAGCTTTGTCCATAGGATGGTGATAAACGCCAGAAGGTGGCCGTGGTATTTTTCTGTAATCCGTTGTAGAGTCGAGATTTAGGACTCTAAGACTAGTTTTAAGCAAATTTATGCAGGGGATGAACGACTCGCGTTGAATGCCATTTTTGTACAGGTCATTAGGGTGCCGATTCGAGGTAGTAACGAGGACTACTCCGTGAGACATTAGAGCCTCAAGCAGACTGCACTTTTTCAGATATTGCACCTCCAAGAGACGATGGCGCTACGTACCTTCTCAAAATCATAGCATCAGCAACATCTGTACATTGGAACTCGTCAAAACAGAGTACGCTCCCCTTCTCAGCAATGTCAGCAGCAACATATCGTACAGCATCCAGATCAGTCCCATGCTCCATCTTCATCGCATGCAGTCTCTTATGTACATCTTGCATGAAATTGTGAAAATGTATGCGCGTCTTCGAAGTGATATTATGCGGCAGAGTATCATAAAACATATCCATCAACATCGTCTTCCCACTACCGACATCTCCAAACATATAAAGCCCCTTCGGTAGATTCGGAGGTAATTGAGTACGTTTCTTTGGAGGCTGGCGGTGGAACAAGGATCCTAAGAGGGACCGCGAAGGTGACTTCAAAGACTCGATGCTTGGGTGCACGACTTTAGGGGCGTGGTAGTCTTTGAGCATATCGTGAAGATCTTGAAGGCTCTGCACGATTCCTATCATTCATGAACCTCAGTAGTGCAGCTTCGGGGATACTTGGAAAATTCTACCTCGCTGGTGCTCATCCTCTCTGAGCTGGCGTGTTTGTACTCGCTCATCGTACTCATTGAGAGGACCCCACATGTCGGGATTCGCTGGAGCAAGCATCAGCCCGCGCCCTTTGCTTCACATTTCATGCAGTCCTACAATGGCTCACTGTGGCCATGGCCCTGTCAAATCCTGATCCCGGCCTTTGCATCCGTAGTGGTCTCTTGACAAGAGCTTTTCTTCGTGGCGCGGTACCATCACATCCTCTTAACGTCACCTTTGACGCATGACCCCGGAAGCATTCATAGCATAAAGTCCGGCGAAGCTCCCAAGCTGTCGTCGCTCGCACGAGAGCATGTTTAAAACCCAGCAAAGGCACAACTGGCACTGCTAGTCCCATATCCTGTGGGTTGTTGGAGCCTTCAATTTTTTTGTAGACCACATGAAAAGCAGGAGCTGTGATACGCTGAACATCAAGTAAGCATCAGCAAAAACTCATGGCTGCCACCGTAGCATGCGTCTAGATCTTTCCAACATCACTTTGGCAATCAGTCGTAGTGAACTTGGTTTTGCGTCCCCTCAGCTCTAGAACCCTAATCTTAGCTTCGGACTTAGAGTACTCTCGGCGTTTACGTCCTGCGGACATCTTCAGCTACATCAGCTCCCAAATTGCCTCCTACATCCAGGTCTGCTAAACTGTGAATCTTACAAGGGTGCTAATTGCGAGCCACCGGTCACACAATGATTAGGAACCACTTATGAAAGAGGTGAGTCGCCGTACACTTGCACTTATAGCTATGCGATACTCGCACTCTTCGTAACTTCATGCTCTGGACATCGCCATGCCTCACCCACCTTCTCTTCTCACGACATCCATCCCTTTTGCTCCAGGCATACCTTTTACGGCGGCAGCACTATCACTGCCCCTGCTGACCTGATATGGGCTACCCTCCTCGACTTCCCAAACAATACCTGGAACACTTTCACCCCGACCGCAGACTTCTCATCCCCCACCAAACCGCTCCGACTAGGCGACACTGGCACCGTCTCCGCTTGCGTTACCCCCAACAATCCTCGATGAAGGCCCACACACGTGCAAGTGACGCTTGTAGATAACGCCGCGCGTAGACTGTGTTGGAAGGGCATTGATTACTCGTCGTGGGCAGTCAGGCCGGAGAGAATGCAGGAGATTGTGGATTTGGGAGATGGAAAGTGCGAGTAAAGGAGCTGGGAGACAATTGCGGGGCCGGGGTCCGTGGGTGGTGGCCTTCATGATGGGTGGGCAATTGGATGAGGCGAATAGGCGGTGCGGAGAGGATCTAAAGAGGGTGGTGGAAGGCAAGGTTAGGGAAAATGAAAGCTAGCTGTGAAGGGTGGGGAAGTTTTGGAAGCACAGAGACTCATGGAAGAGGGTCTTTTAAGGCATTCTGATACTTCCATAGGTACCTCGCACCCTGGCTCACTAAATATCAATGATCCGGCTCCACATACGCCTTCCCACCTGAAGCTCTTTCACATTGCGTGCATGCACAAATCCACCGACACTTGGAGTAGATCCCCAGGTAGAACATGATGGGCGAATACAGTCCATAGCATGACAGCCAACACCGAGATAGAGATCCGAACGCCTGCGCCAATATCCAGTGGGAGAATGCGACATCCAACCCGACGTTTCCCTTCATTTCTTGTCCAAGGACGAAAGATTATGCACATTGAACGAATAGTGTCAATTTTTGATTCCTGCTCAGCGCCACATCCAAATCTCGATCGCTCAGCATTTCGCAAAAGGTTTCCGTAGGCTCGTCTTTATATTGTACGATAATATCATCTGAAATCTTCAGTCTATCTCTCAGCTTCTCCTTCAGCTGCAGATAGCCAATTTCGTTTGGCACTCTGATAGCAATCATCTCATTTTCGAAGCTGACTTTGATTTTCAGTGCGCCGGATGCATTGACATTGGTAGTCGAGTTGTTAGGACCAGATGAGTTTGCGGAAGCCTGAGTGATAGAAGAGGGTTGAGGCTTGACGGTATTCTGATATTGATAATCCGATTGATTACGGTAATGCTGCTGTCCTGGAGAAACCCCATTTGCTGCAGGTATCGAGTTCTGATTTCTGTGACTACCTTTGTGCGGCGGCGGCCCCATGGCTCCATAACCATTCGCGCCATTCATCTGCCCTTGAGATGACTGCCTGGATGCTGTCCGTGACAGACTGCCGGTAAAGGACGATTGTTGCGACCCACTCGAATGCCGGTAATCTTCAGTTACCCTGTCAGGGTCCAGCTCGTGGTCACCCTCACGAGGGGCGAACAATTCCCTCACAAGAGCGCATTGTGAGATGTAGGGCGGCAATGCAAGGAGCTCTTTGACGTACTCATTAAGACTCTCTCGCCTGCCATTCGAGATTGCATCTGTGACATAGGTGACCGGCCCAGGCATGAATGGCAACACCCTCTTACCACCGGGTGGAGCGACCGCCTCGTTGGGAAACTGCTGCAGAAGGGCAATCTGAAAATCATAGAACTTCTGGTAGATGCGGGAGAGCTCCCAATGTCGCCCATCTTCCATTTGGCATTCAATTATGTACCAGTATTTGTCATTCTCGAAAATGTATCGCGGGATTGAAGCAGATGTTGGGGCAAGCCCGGAGCGTTGTGATCGTCTATCGTAGCCATTCTGGTTACTCCTGGATGGCTGTCTCTGATGATGACCCTGATTCTGGCAGTCAGATTAGTGTTTGCTGTGCATGAGAGCCTGCTCGGATACGTACGTAAGGGCTACCATTGCTTTCATTGCTAAGGCTCATCCTCTCCAAATCTTTCAACCCTGAGTTAGCAGTTTCAAATTTTCCCAGCGTAATGCTACTATTCTTATAGTCGGCGGCCATCTTCTTCCACTCCTCCACCTTTGGCACTCCTGCTCTTGTCACAGCGCCTTGAGCGTCTGGCACAGCTTGTCCTGTGGACATGTCCCTTATCTCGATGAACGATACCGGTATGAGGCCTGGGCCTCCGAGTCTTCCGATCGGCTTCGCCACAAACCATTCTGGGTTCGACTGGGCAATTACAATGATGGCTTCCCCTGCTTTTGCTTCCAGCTCGTCTGGTCTCTCAGCGCTGAAATCGTACTGCACGATTCCGTACACCATCGCCCCCGATCCCTTCCCCACGCTTGGTATCCTGCTGTGGCCATGTTTCCGTGGTCCTGTAGCTGATTCCTGGCGAGTGTGGGTAGGTTTTTCGACGTATCCCGAATCATGTGACAGGATAACATTGCTCGAGCCTGATGTTGCCGAGCCACCACTCTGTCTGCCTCCTTCTGTCTTCCCGATCACCTCAAAGTATGTCACTGGAACCAGTCCCCGAGCACTCGGTATTAAGGGATTGCACGCCTCATACCAATTTTGGTCATCTTCCCTGCTGATAACATGAAAGAAATCGCCTTTTGCGAAGCCTAGCTCTTGCGTATTGTTAGGGTCTGGATTATAATCGAAGAGCGCTTTGATAACCTGGATTGAGTATTAAGCTGTCATGTCCATTTTGTAGGTACGAATCGCAAAGAGCACACCTTCTTGGGGGGGACTATGGCAAGGGCGCTCTTGGGCGTTAAGGACGTGTGGTGGACTTGTCGAGTATCTTTCTCGCCTTTTATCGACCGGCGGATCGCTTTCATGTTTCGGCAGGCAGGGTGAGACTTGTCACTGTGGTGGCTTGGTACCTCGTTTCCGGACCAACTAATCTGAATGTCCAGAGAGTTGAGGATGATCGTCATGCGACCAGATCACAGCGATTGAAATCTGCTGGATTATCTGAGGATGCAAGAAAGCAAAGAAGAAAGTAGAGGATTTGATCGTGCTGATCTGCAAGTTAGGATCAAGGATGTAGTGATGAGGGGTGGCAGGGTGCTTGTCCGCCACGCCTTGTTCTCGCGCTTATCGATACGAGTTAGGGATCAGACTTGATCATTTGGGAAATCTATTAGAAAAACTGGGCGGAGGTACGGTGTTTCGAGGATGAGGATTAGGATGTGGATTAGGATTCCTTAGGCTTGTTATCAGGATCCAAGGTATGCATTTATTTCTGGAGCTGAGTAACGAGACGGTAGACCTGCAGGCGTGAAGCCTTGCCGAGTCAAAAATTCTACCCTATCTCCCTCATTGTACTGAGTACTTGCAGTATGAATGCATGAGATGGAGGTATTTCTCGCCGCTGTCACACGTCACATAAGCAGTGGGTCCTTGGCTAGGGTCCTCGTAGGAAAAGCCAGTAGTATAGTAAGATACCTCTATGAAGGGATCACATGGCAATTTTCTCCCGCTTACGAGATTCGCCAGACTACGGAGGCAGCGCGTAGGGTTACATGCATTTGCACCAATGATCCTCTCCCCTTCTCGCCCAGACCTTCAGAGCAGATCGTAACAGCAGCTCTTTGCAGAATCTGAAATTCTCCGTGCACGCTACCGGTAATCTGTGTCCCTTGACTTGGGTGGCAAAAGTAGGACTCCCATTGCCACAAGCCCCAAGTCCTGTGACAAGTACAGGATGAATCGTCATGCTCATGAACAACAAGTCAGTAGCCAAAGTGGAGGACAGAGCTTCCCAATCCACTAGATCGCAACCTCGAGCGCCCCTTCAATCCTTCATGCATGCCTCCGTCTACAAGCCCCCTATGTTAAGCCCTAATGTGTTTAGAAATGGAAGTGCGAGAATACCTAGATATTAGTAATGTTTTGACATCTAGACCTCCGAACCCCATGTAGCCGTGAGCGACCGACAGTCTGAGGCGAAGGAAAGCCTTGCTAACGTAGCCAAGGCAATGAGAGCGCGATTTTGACAATAGAAGACGACGAACAGCCTCAGTGCTTCGAGGAGCCCTTGCTTAGCGGTTGAAGAAAGTAAAAAGAGTAAAAGGCTTGGGAAAATGATCGATGGCAGGATGACCGTAGGGCGTGGCAGATTCATATCTGGCCCTTAATGTCCACTTTCTTAAAAGCAGCGTTCCTGGCAGTCTCGAAGAATCTCAAAGCCTTGCCAGTGAGGAGCCTCACTTCACCGTCGCGTTCCTCAAGGAATGATTGACCGCCTTGATCACATATGAATCTTGCGCTCTCATCGTCAGACTCGAAGCCGAGTTCCTCAGTGAAGAAGCGCAACCTGACGTCGGGCTTGTACCTGCAGAAGAGGTCAGCGATGAGTAGAGTCACGAGGAATACCACATACGATATGCATATATTTGACAATGCATTCAGACGTTCACGAGCCACAAACATATCCAAGAGATATGCGCCCATATTTGGGGTGTCCAAATATAACTGGAAAAAGCGATGGTAATTTCCTAAAGCAAGCGCGGAGCGGGCGTCTAGTGCATGCTTTACTGCTGGATCTCTCTTCTCTGTGGGTGTTAGATCTGCCAACACGTCGTTCATGTCGGTCCGATTTGAGGTATGAATGAAATAAAGAATACGATAAGCCTTGAACTCCTCGGGATGTCCTCCAAGATGTTGCGAATACAGTGCGCGCAATTGCGTCTGGCACTGATTATACTCACCCAGATCTCCCTTTTCCAGCGCGATCCTGGCATGTATCTCGTAAACACTGACTGTAAATTCCGTCTTGATATGCTGGACTGTCAAATCTTGGCGCAGAGATTTGAACTGATCACATATGTAGGAGTAGTTGTTCTCCTTCTTCCACTTCCTCTTAAGAAACTCAAGGGTCTTCTCGAGCACAGGCAGTGGACGGACAGTATCAGGGTTTGGAGCAGACGTGAGACGGAAATATCTTTTCTCAAGATCCTGAGACCGACCGATAACGGGACCTTGGTCTACATCAGGTGGAATACTGGCCTTGCTTGGAGAAAACGGCTGTTGGGAAAGGTATCCAGGTTGGCCATCCTCGAAGCGTTTCTTCCGGTTGGCCAGATTGTGATGGGACTTACTTGATCCTTTTCCAGCTACATCATTACGCTGGCGTTTGTCCGGGTGGGTGATTCGGTCCTCGAATACGTTGCGCGGATTAGCGATCCGCCATGGTGGTACTTTCTCCTGGCCATTCTGGGATAGATCCAATTCGGAAGACTTTCTCTTCTTTGACAATGTATCAGTGCTTTTCACATTAGTTTCTTGCAGGCTCAGAGGCTCGAGACCGTTCCCCCACGGTGGATTCGCAGACAAAAGAGCTGGTCTTGCACGTTCCTCCAAGATCATTTGCTGGGGCAGTGGCAGCTTCGCCCAATCGATTGTGCCTAGAGTGTTATTTTCCGCTGAGTTTGAGATGATTTTCTTTAATTTGATTTCCATCTCTTGTCGGGGTATACTGGCTATAGTGTTCTCCGTAGCGAATGCTCTCTGCACATAATGACGCACAGACTCAGGCCAGTCTCGTTTTGCCTTCTCTGCAGCTGACGGTGGAGGTGATGGTGTTGTGGATGGTGCTGGTGTTGGCCTGGCAAAAGTGCGTCTCGCCGAGACTGATGTAAAGGCACCATGGGCTGAGTGAGGATCAGTATCATGACTCGCAGTTGAGGTGGAGAAATTGGACACACAAGACATTTGATGAGATACGGTCGAGCTTGCTTGCCAAGCCGAGGCTGCTATGTTCATTGAGGAACGCCGAACGTTGTCGAGAAATACAATGAAAGGGTTCTAGAAGAGATAAACCATTAACATGAATAGGCTGGAAGTCATGTAACTAGGCTGACGTGGAGTTGTGTTGTTAATGGTGAGAAAGATAGAAGTATGGAAGAAGAGAATGAGCCCAAAAGAGAGTGGAAATGAAGATTTAGATCTAGACCTAACCAAGTTTAGTTCAGCGGCAGGTTCCGCGTACTGGAATAGACGATACGGAACGTAGGCAGAGAGCAGAGACAGTGGGCGTCACTTTGGCTGAAGCCATGATACTGAATGTTCCTCCAGCCTCTGGACCTCACCACTGCTCTCCGGCCAACCTTGCTCCCTGACGAAGCGCTACTCTTTGTCCAAGATGCAGTCGGCCTATATGAAGGGTGCGGCTCCCTGTACAATTTGACAGAACGCTCTAATTCGAAAACTTGGATAGGAAGTACAAAATACCCGGCCTGCAAAATGGGCATGCGTACCTCACAACGCACAGAGCATGCTACGTCGATAATTTGGAACCCCGAAAGAGCTCGAAAGCAGTCGAATTGAAGAGCGTTGATAGATATGAGTTCTACGTAAGCAGGGAGGTTTTCCAGAACGCATCAGCAACATACTAAATTCATGCAGGCAGGCTTCTTGAAGTCCTCTCCCAAAATCACTTTGCACCCCAAAGCTCCCAAGCGTGCATCCGTCCAAAGTCGTAGTCACTCCACTATCCCCATTGCTCAGAGAGCGGCACAATCTCCTTCGCGCAGCTCGACTGCATCCCCGGTACATCGCGGAGCAAGCCCTTTTTCGAGCACCAGGTCAGGATCCAGCACTTCCAGATTGAGCACTGCGACATGGGTCTGCACGATTTGCTCCTTCTCCAATCCGGTGCCGGCGAATTTTGATCCAGCAACTGCAAACTCGAACACGCCTCTGCCCGCATGTGTGACCTGCGGAGTCAAGCCTTCCTTCCCACATGTCCTCAAAGCATCCATTGCAAACGCTGCAGGACGTCAAGGCTCTCATTCTCAGAGCCAAGCGTCCGTACAACCACTTTTAGAGAGTCACGGTCAGTACAGTGAGAACTCAAGCATCGAGTATATTGAAGCACAATGGCGTGAAGAAACTGCTTTGCCAGCAAAGTCCAGGTTCCAGTGCCCTAGATGCACATTTCTGAACCATCCATCTTTGCTCGCGTGCGAGCTGTGTGGGGCTCCTCTACTCTCAACGGAATCCAAAGCGGCAAACGTTCTCGGAGAGAGCATTGGACGTCCCGAATCTCCTGGTCCAAGCCTCGACATCACAAGCCTTGGCGTCGATAACGACACAGAGTGCGTCAAGTTTTCCTTTCGCGTGGGCGGTGAGAAGATATTTCACGAACGGCTCAAGGGTGCCATGGTGCAACGTAAATGGCTTCTTCAGAACGCTCCTCCAGTTCCAGATTCATCCCCAGGCAACATTGGTAGCACAGCGATCGGCATAGATGGTCAGGTCCGACAGCCACCGGGAAAAGCAAGAACAGTCGGAATCGCTGGCCTTGAACGTCAAGGTCTTGAGCTCCGGAAAAAGAATGAAGCAGTCATAGGTTCTGCATTCGAAGATCTTGACGCTCTTATGGTCTCGGCTAAGGAAGTTGTTGCTCTCGCTGAAAGCTTTGCGAAGAAATCTGACGAAGGATCAGCGGACGCCAACCAGCTCATCGCCGAGTCCGCCAAAGCATTGGACATGGTAACAACCAAAGACATGCTTGGCTCCAGCGCTGGCTCCGAGTCTCTTTATCTATCTGAAATGTCTCGCAACCTCGCGGAGTACCTCACCGATGACGCTAAGGGCATTTTGCGGAAAGAAGGAGGCATCATGAGTCTGGTTGACCTTTGGGCGATGTTCAACCGTGCCAGAGGTGGTGTCGAGCTGATCAGTCCTATGGAATTTGGGAAGGCCGCTCGGTTATGGGAGAAACTCAGATTGCCTGTACGACTACGGCAATTCAGAAACGGACTTCTGGTCGTTCAGCAAGCAGACCGAACGGACGACAAGACAATAGCTCAGCTGCTCTCGTTACTTCAAGAGTTGTACACTTCATCTGCTCATACTGAGGTTGAACGGGTTCACAAGGCTTTTGGCCGAGGCATTACGGCTCAAGAAGCAGCACAGAGGTTTGGATGGAGCGTGGGTGTCGCAAATGAGGAACTGGAGATGGCAGAGGAGAGAGGCGCGCTTTGTCGAGAGGAAGGCATTGAGGGACTGCGATTCTGGGAAAATTGGATTGTGGATGATCAGAGTGACGGTTCTGACGATGACATCAAGGTTGATCCCTTTTATGAGGTCGATCCAGTGATGAAGAATCTGGAAGACATGGGAATCTTTTAACGAATTTCGGGTAGCAGCTGATGAAATTCATTACAGTGACACCCAATCAAGACTCAAACGAGTGGCATTTGCATGTGAATTTGTTGTCTGAATACTTACAAAGCCCGGTGTCATTCCTGCCTTCACGAAAAGTTAAGAGCCCTCTTCAAACTTCGCCTCAAACCGCAATCCGTCTTCATCAGCAGCGATATCCTCGTCCAACAGCCGCAGCATCTCCACACGCTCTTGCTCCAGCTTGGCCCTTTCCGCAGAATGCTTCCTCTCCATCGCAGCAAGTTCTGTCCCAACAGCAGCTTCCGCGGCCCTCCTGCTCTCTTGGTCTTACGTATGTTACCTACTGCCCCAATTGTTGACGCCATCAGATTGCTACGTACTTTCGCTGCCGGAGGACCAAATCGACTGCTCGATGCGGTCGGCGAGCAGTTCGACCTCACAATGATGACACAATTCAGGGTCCCACGTCGGTACCAGGCCGGACGTGCTTGCATCGTGGCTGCGTAATGGGATACCTGAGTCCGCCCGGGGGTAGATTAAGGAGTGAAAGGAAACAGAAGTGAAAAGGGAATCAAGTTAGACGGCGATACATGGGTACAACACATTGGACGATCGCCCTTTCCCGCCATCGTTTTGACCGCTCACCTGAAGCTCGACCATAATTCCAGTACCAGGTCATTTTTCGGTAGATGAAGCAGCACGAACAAGATCAGCTGCTGGTGTACGAGACAAAGGAAGGATGACTTCGGAATCGCCGTCATTGGAGGCCCTCGGACGACGTAGTTGCGGCACAGCAAATTTCAGTTCTTTTGCCAAGCATCTCTACCCCAACGACACTTCATACATCACTCTAGCAAATTCCCGTCAATCATCGTTAGGGTCGAGTCTACAGCCCATGATGCCTCTTGAGGATCCGCAGTACACAATACCGATCGTTCTAGCAATCATTCGTCTGCCAAATACAAGGTGTCACCCCCATATCTTGAAGAAGCGCGGTGACTGCACAACACATCGAATTCCGTATATGTCATATCTGAGATAACTTCAAACCCACCATTCGCCGATATTACAATCAACACTACGATCAAGATATATGTACACGGAACAAGACGGTCAGAATATTCTCCAGGATGAGCTAAGTGCTCTGCGGGCTCTAACTTGGACATGGAATGAACTACTTGACTTGCTTCACAATCAATACAAGAAATCATGCTGGGCCCGAAGGAATGACAATCTTTCGCCGACTGCCCGAAAAGGGGCAGTAAGCTACGTCTGCCACCACATCGTAGTATATATTTACCGGTCTATGCAACAGACACCTTCAACCAACCAAGTCTCCCTTAGAGATTTGTCCGTGTAGTGGACAAGAGGAGAAGTGTAGGAGTGGATGAAGTATGGCAGAGGAAGATAAGAACGGAGAGGTTGCGGGATAGCAGGGCGGCAACTGCTGAAACGGGATATTGATGGCCTCGAGGTACAGTATCTTCACAAACAGTCAGCCTCGCATAAATCACCTCTCTCCGTTTGGCGGTCTTTTTATACGACTCTTTGAGGACGGCACCGGGATTGGTCTGTTTCATTACCATGCTTTCATCATAAATGTGACCTGTAGACCCACCCCACAGATCCTATCTACAGATCCTATCTTTCATTCGGTCCAATCGCTCGAAAGAACCCACATACCAACTAAGGTAGCTAATCGGTTTTTCTGAGTCCTAGATAACGAGAGGCTACCAATTGAAGCAGATGATAGTTTCAGTGAAACGCCATGAGAGCACCGGCGCACCACCAGCGGGTAGCTGACCATCTCTGTCACGATAAGAGTACCGGCACACGATCATTGGCAGCTGGTAGTCCCGTCAGAGCCGCAGCAATCCTTTGAGGGTAGCCAACCGTCCCTGTGCTCCCAAATTCGATCAGATCCATAGTATACCCATCTCTGCAGACAGCCGGTAGTCCCTGAGGATGGAAAAAGATTGGCGTGGCGAGCTCAAAGCCAGCCGGTGGTGGGGATGATCCCCAAATGTGACGGGAACATTGGATTGGTATGTACGAGCTACTTCGGTCTTCTCATCTGATCTTTCTCAAGCTCATGCCTATCATATGCACAAGCCAATCTATCTACTTCATTTGACGGTTTAGTTCAAAATTCAGTAATGTAGGTAGGTATCCTGACTACTTGGGTTGCCAACCCATTTCCTTGCTATCAGAGACAGCCTTCCGAAGATCAAGGATCGCCTCTGGGCTTGACCTGATACCATGGCAATGGTCCTCACCAGTGTGCCTAATCGTGTGAAGGAATGCTTCGTCGAGTCGGAGGAAGCAGGCTCCAACTTCAAGACTGGATGCCTGCATCGGCAATTCAATTGAGTCACCTACCTTACGCGAGGATGAAACATTTACAGCGTAAGGTACCTTACCTTAATTACTAGGCGATTTTCATGGCAATTCCAAATTCCGCGGTGAACTTCGCCAAGGCTATGTTTCGTTACCGGCCCTACCAGAGCAACTTAATCCAGACGTTGACGGGATTCCTCTTTTCCTCCTCCATCGACGACCTGTCGTATAGGGCTAAGACAATTGTTCAAGGCTCGCATTTCCTATTACATAAGGCTTCGGCGTTAGTTCACGGCTCCTTTCTCTTTCATCGTTCCTATTATCTCATTCTTATACTCAGTCTTCTTTTCCCCCACTTATATACGCATCATATACGTCCTCCGTCACCTCTCCATCTCGATCAGCGACTCAGAACCCACCGCACTCACAATTATACCGCCTCAACTCCCTCTTCATCCATCCATCCATCCATCCATCCATCCATCCATCCATCCATCCACATGATACATCTCAGTCAACGCCTAGGACCCTTCCCCTTCACGTCCATCATCTGCCCACCATGACAAAATGGAAGACCCGTGTGGCGATTAGGAACGTCAGACGCTTGCAGGAAGAATTTGACAAGACCGAAAGGCTAGATTTCAGACTGCGGCGAGATCTCGCCGATGCGAGAGCTTATCTTGAGACGGTCAAAGCCAAAGATAAAGCTAAGAGAAAGACAAACAGAGCAGAGAGGATCAGGGCTCAGCTCGTCGAAGCTGAGGAGGAAGCCAACCGAGCCTTCGAAGTCGCAACCGAGACAAGCAGAGCCGCGGAAAAGACCAAAAAGGCTGCCAATGCGTCGAGACAAGGTACGTAAGATACATTCTGAAATAAACCGTTTCTATTTGGTCTCCAAATCGAGTTACAAGCCGCTTTTCCAGAGCAGAATATGCTTCTTATGTTAAAACTTCGTCTTGCTATTCGGGTTACAAACTATGTCTCCGGAACAAAGAAACCGTATCTACTCTTCAGATTTAGGGTTATAAAATCTTTAAAAGAAACACCCCCCCAGATTTGACCTCTTACTCGGTCGCCCTCAAAAACTAGCGATCCGATATCTACGCAGATCTAAAGCACTTCGAGAGAAGCACGCATCGACGTCGATATTGGAAGCGGCGGAGCTGAAAGAAGAAAAGACGGCTGGACATTCCGAAAGAAGAGACGCACATTTGTTGAAAACAGCTTTATAGGCCAACGGCCAAGTCTGAGCTTGCAGCGCCACCCCCCAAGCCGCCCAAGACTCGACATCGAAGGAGCCGGCGGACATCACCCACAAGCAGGCATCACCCAACGGCAGCGAACAGAAACATTGTTTGAGTCCACCACCGAGCAAGTCTACACCCCCATCCCCTGCAGTCAGCAATGCTGCTTCACAAGATGACGACGTCTACTATGACGCGGAGTGTAACAGCGACGGGGACGCCGAGATTTTGGGCTCAATGTTCCCACTTTAGAGGACGATGTCCCCACGTTTCACCACGATGAACCCAACAAGTGAATCAGTCCTAGGGTACATGAAATGAAAGTAGCGAGTGTCTATTGATCTTTCGAATGCATTCCGACGATCGAATACTTGCAGACTCTTGGCAGCGGTTTGTTCAGCAGCAAGTTAATGGGAGAGGCACCATCTGTGGTTGAATAGCAATAGAAGGCTACAGAAAGCGTTGTACGTCTAGCAAAGCCGAGTCTCGATGGTGGGAAGCGGATGGACTGGGCGCAGCTGCTCTTCACTGCTTAAAATTTCCAGCAAGCTCTGCAGCCTCACCTTCGCATCCCTCGACGATCCAACCCGACGACCGTTGCAGTTCCTTACAAGGCCATGATAAGGCAGCCACTCGGCGTAGACAAGGAATGATCCCCTGGCGTAGGACCTAGAGGCAAGTTGCTTTCCTACAAATTCGACCAGGATGGTTTCCCACAGTGTCGTTCAAGCACTGGAAGCAATGAGACCGTTGGTGCATTGGCACGTGTGATTTTTCGACCCTAGTAAAATTGTTTCGTCAGTGTTAGGTCCGGCCGAGTGCAGTCTGGTGACAAAATGCGTCAAAATGCTGCAGGCCGGCTTGGGGGTCCCCGAATGGCAGAGGGAAAGCTCGTTGCGCGCGGATTTGCTTGAGAGATTGCTGGATCGATGCAATGCCGGCGTGACACGATGATGCATGTAGTACCATCTCCTGTCTCGTAGCGCTTATGCAGTGTGTACTTGCAGGAAGCAAAGCCGTTGAATGATGCAGGTGCGGAGCGAGGAGAAAGCCTCGGGGCGTCATCTCTGGCTCTGTGCGTGCCAAGGCTGAGGGACAAAGAGGAAAAGTCCAGTCGGGCACTTTTTTTTTCTTTTTTGTTGTTTTCTTTTTTGATGGAAGGCGTGGGGCTGAGGGGGCAAAGGTCTGCGGGCTTAGTCTGCGGGGATTATTTTATTATTATTATTATTATCATTATTATCATTATCATTATCATTACAGGTTTATTATTATCATTATAAGCTTCTGGGCAGGATTATTATTGAGCGATTACCTAGCTCTCCCGATACTTTAGAGCTTCCATGGGCACACCAATGGTAAGATTAAGGTTCAAATTATCCGACACCGGGAAATTCCTCGTGGGACGTGGGATGACCCGTGGGATGACTGATTTACGCCCACCAGGCATCAGCAATGTTGACATCTTCCTCCAGACATATCACCCACTCAAAATCGGCCTACGTCGTTCCTTAATATGGACCTGCATGCATATTTGTAGGCGATGAACTGCTTGACTGACAGATTCCTGGCAGTCTGTCATTGCCTTTACATAAGACAACTATCCTCATCGATCAAAGAACGTATCTAGACGCTTCCTCTAGCAGAATACTCACAAGAGTTTACATCATGCCGTCCCGAACACTGCGGACACAGTCGATGTACAGCAATAGTAGCTCAAGGTCCGACTATAGCGATAACTCGAATTATTCCGTAAGCACTGCGACAACAGTAAACAGCCAGCAACCAACGATACAGCAGTATAAGACCATCGGCAACCCTCACGACCAAAATAGCTGGGACGAAGCGCAATTTGCGCATTTCGATTACCCCGAACCTAGGATTTCAGTAGAGACCTACGCATCTACCGCTTCATCAATCGAAGATCCAGCTGATGACCTGCCACCTTTTGAGGTACCCGAAGTCTCAGACTATCCATCGGAGACTCTACCCTCTACAGCTCTTACATCTTCGCCGGAAGAATTTGCCGAGTACTTTCCCTCTACGCAAATGCTCTCCATCAGGCACGATGATACCACGATCGATGGCAACATGAATCTGCGCATCGACACCGAGGCTCGGACACTGGACGGAGGAAAGATCGACCTCCAACTCTTCCACCTGCGCATGCATGACTTGAAGCGTCGGGAATTTTCTCTCCGGAGATATTCCAGAGACTCTGGGCGAGAGGTCTGCCATTCAAGTAGGAAATACACCAAGCCATCTGTCATACGAAGGCCCGGACTCCAGCGGTCGATGAGCAACGCTTTCTCAAGCTTGCGGTCAAAATCTGAGAGCAAGACATCTACAACGATGAGCTTTGGAAGGCATGACTCTGGCTATGGCTCCTCGCACCAAGACGACATAGGGGGAGATATAGCTAGCCAGTCACCAAGACCCTCGAGCAGCATTCCTATACCAACGAATACCACGCAACTTGAATTCTCGAATTACGCACATCTCGAGATCGAACGTCGAGGGACCAAGACGTTCAAACGGTATGAGATTGAGTACTGGGGCATCAAGTATGCCTGGAAGCGAGCTGTCGCCGTATCAAGCCGTATCGAAGAAGTCTCGTACCACTTCATCAACACGAAGACCTTAGCTCCTTTGGCACATATTGTACAGGCCCCGCTGACTGAGTCACAACAACGGGAAGAGACTGCAAAAGGGGGGTGGGTGCCGCCCTGTAGTATGTATCTCGAGGACTCGGTGCTCGACGGATCGACAGATCTCGCCGAGTGAGTAGACAATCCCTTCCATATTGAAGGCATAGTACTAAATTCGTCCAGTGTGGTCATGGCATCCGGTCTGGTTGCCCTGGTGGACGACTGCATTAAGCGTCGGTGGCATCAAAAGAGCCGTATGCAAATGACTGTCCCAATGGTCACGAAATCCCCACTCAGATTGAACATGGATTATGTGACACCCAAGCGTCTGATGAGTGAAGTATTTAACCGTAAGGAGAAGACCACTGCCCGACGTCCGACTCCCTTACGAGAGATGACATGCTGATTTGAATTACGGTTTGATATCTGGTCTTGGATCTTGTCTCGGTGGCATGGGTGCTAGGATAGGTAGCAATTGCAATCCCTTTGACTCGCCTTATTGATATGATATGTCTTATTATACCCTGTACACTAAGCCTGGCGAGAGATTTGTACTGGAGCATTGCAGTTCATATATTACGATGTGACCAGATAGTTCAGCTGTCAGGCCTGGCTGAGATTGTCTGCGCTCAGATACTTGTAGATTGCTAAACCGGCTCGGCTCTTAGTTGCATCTTTTTTGACCTTCCGGTCTAACCGAAGGCACTCAGATGTATCAATATGTGGATTATGAGGATAAAATATCTACATATCTACATATCTACATGACTACCGTGCCTGAATGAAAAATGAAAACCCCATCCCAGCAAGCGGAAGGCATCGAGCGCTTTTTGATAGAAGTGCTTTCAACGTCATCTCATCACACTCCGGTCATTGCAGCCCAACGCAGCCCGAGACAGCAGCTTCAGAGCCTCGTAACGTCTATTTACATGTGGGAAGTCTCAAGTTTGCCTACCAGCTGAGACACGTCTAGACGCATTGTTACAAGTAGCCTCACCGCGGAATTCGAATCGATCTGCGCGGCTGCCTTAACTATTATCCCTCCTTTTTCCCCGACGATTCCCATCTTCCCCCATCTTCCCCCCCCCCAATTCTTCCTTCCCCCCGCGACTCATTTTCTTTACACAATCCCACACCGACAATTAACGGAGATCCGTCACCTTTAATCCGTTTGATAGGTACAGCATAATTCCGCACATGTCAGCATCCTACGGGACAAGCATATGCTCTAGCGACCTAGCGCTCCAAGGGTTTGGTATTCAATGAAGAGCCACCATGGCTAAGGAACACCTCTCGACACCCACGCCCAACTTTGCGAGCCGTCTCTTTCAACTACGAATCATAGAACCAGATGGCTTTGACTCCTGCACCTGTCCATACCTGACTTCTTTTTTACCCTGCAACGGCCGTCTTTACCCTTTTTCGGCCCAAGAACCGGGTCCCCCGGTCCCACCAATGCCATCCGCCTCGTTCTTTCCTGCTCTATAATTCCGCAAAGATGTTACCACTGTTGCCAGCACATCCCTTGGGTTCCCCATACACCTGATTCGGCCCGTGGGAAAATCCCGAACGGCTGGTTCCGTCCATGATTGACCCATGTGGTCGACAGGAAAGCCAGCATCCAGCCCAAACCCAGAGGGCTTCGAATCACGCATGTCTCAAACATTTAGTACACGACCATGCAAAACCATGCATGTACTTCTTATCTAGTCCTCTTCGCCATCAGACCATTGCCTCACGCCTGCCTTCCTCTCGTGTCTCTCCCTCATCTTGCGTTGCCCTTCTCATCAACTTGTTTTGCCGTCTGTATCTCTGTACCGGAACCCTTACCAACTTATCCTTTCCTTCTTGTAACACTTAAGAGACCCTCACCGCCTCTGTTTCAATCTATTCACTTGCTCGACCCGGATTTCCGAACAACTGCTCGACTACCTTCCTGTATCCCTTCATCCCACTTTACCAGCCTCTGCGTTAGGGCATCCATCAATTTCAAACTCCAATGTACCAATATTACTCGCCTTCATTCATCAGAGAAAAGCCGTCCTCAGCATCTACGCTATACGCTCGACCGATGATGTCAACTGCATCATCCTCGGCTGGATCCACCGGTTCCGGCGTTGCTCAACGCTCTTCGACCTGGCAAGACAGACTTCAAGGTCCGCAGAACCCATTGCCTTTTCCTATACAACCTCACAGGCCAACGAGAGCTTCAGCCCAAACCATCTGGTTTCCTGGACCCTAGCATTCCAACCCCTTCCTCAACGAACTCTTTCTCAAGGCTTGATGGAGACCCACTTCTAACATCACGTTCTAGCCCACTGCTCCCAACGCCATCTCTCATCCCCAGAATACAAAGTCTTCTCCGACCGTCGAGGCAAGCGCACCGCCTGGTCCTGCCACATCACCGTCTCGGGGCTTACGATCCCGGCTCGCTACTGGTACGATGGGCAGTATGTGAACACTGCGAAGGAAGATGCGGCAGAGGCTGCCCTGCAGAAACTGCTGGGACGGGGGAATGGTGCCATGGGCTCTGTAGGGCAAGGGAGGGTTGTGGGATGGTAAACGATAAGGGACGATGGTGGACAAAGGAGAGGTACAGATTGGTTGAGGAAATTTTACTCTGGGATTGGGATCAAATTGCTTGGGACATTGTGCTTTGGGACTGAGACGACTTGGGGTTTGAGAAAGGGCACCCACCTGCTGGGGACATTGCATTTCACTTCGCGGCGAATCTAGGGAAGGGCATATGTTCGGTGTGTGGGGAGATTGCATTTTCCTTCGCGGTGAGTCTAGGGAAGGGCAACGTGGTCTGAGAAATTGTATCTTCTTCGGGTGTGGTTTTAGACAAGGGATTGGTAGATACCCGGAAAATGCATTGCTCGTGGATCGTAATTGATGGGTCTCTTGTTCTGTAGAAATATGCTTGGGCAGGGACCATCGTTATCTTTTCAGCCAAACATGTGACTTCATAAAGCAACCTCCACTTTGCATCACGGGTACCGTCCGTTCAAGTCTTCGAGCAATCGGATTGGCCGGATTCCTCTGAGCATGCTGCCTGATCGTCGCTATGTGAGAAGATCGACGCCGACCTCGCCCAACGCCGTCACCGCCCACATTGGCACTCTTGTCACGTCGCCCCCATACGCCTTGCGGAAATAAGAACGCAGGAAGTCCGGATATCGGTCCGCGACGATGGCCGCTCGCACTTTGCCCATCAAGGAGAGCACGTGATGCACATTGTGCATGGTCAGTCTACGCAGGAACAAGGTCAGCTGCCCGTGCGCGTGCGGTTTCCGACCGAAGAAGATGCCGTCGAGGGGGTTTAGGTGGCAACGCACAGATGAGCACCGGCCGTCTCCTTGGAGGCGACGTGATGGACGTAGGCGCGCGTGACGCCGAGACCGCCCTCTTCTTCTGGCCGGCAGCATGGGCATGTGCAGTCCGCTTCTATCGTGGCGAAGTCGTTGGCGAAAGATGCATGGCGGAGGTTGAGGGTGCCGGTTGAGACTATGGCGTTGCCGAAGCGCTGGCGGGGTCGGACGTCAGTAGGTCGAGGGTCGGGGGGGGTGGGGGGATACGTACGGCGGTTCTCGTGGGCCAGACACAGTCGAACATGTCCGCTCCGAGGGCGACGGAGACGAGGAGGTCTTCGGGGTAGCCGACGCCCATCACGTAGCGAGGCTTGTTCGGAGGGAGCCAGTTTGTGCAGGCGTTCACACTGGGTTTCTCACGTTCAGCTCGTTTCCGACACCGTAGATTCTCGATCGGCCGTACACCTGGCAGTAAGAAACTTTGTCCTCCCCGCCGGATAGTCCACCTATAGCTACACCAGGCGTACCTCTCCTTGCCATCTCCTCACAACACACTTTCCTCATCTCAAGATCCAAACCCCCTTGAACGATGCAGAATAGATTCTGGGTCTCGGGCTTCTTGTGAGCTGCTATGCAGCGGTCTAGCCATCTGATAGACCGCTCCATTGCTTCTCTCATCCTCTCCGCGTCTGGAGATGTGGTCGCTATGACGTCGTCGAGTTGCATTATGATGTCTGAGCCTATGGTGTTTTGGAGGGAGATTGAATGTTCGGGAGTCAGTAACCTTGGGGCTGTCACTCAAGGGACGATGCAGAAGATTCTGATATACTCCTTACATTGGGGTTCCATCATGCGGACTTAGAAAGCGTACACCCTCTTCCGTGACCTTGGCGAGCTTCAGTAGGCTCACCATTTGGAATCTATCATGAGATCAATTAGGTCAGAAAGCGCGGTCGATCTATCAAAGGAGAAAACATGGTCTTTCAAAGTATGGATTAAGAATCAAAACTCACCCACCGCTGTCCGTTAGGATGTTGCCATTCCATCCTTGCAGAACATGTGCTCCTCCAATCTTTTCGAGCGTTTCCTGTCCTGGCTTGAGTCCCAGATGGTATGTATTATTGAGACAGAGGTTACATCCAGTCTGAGCCAATTGTTTAGGAGTCAGGCCCTTGAGCGAGGCTTGGGTAGCAACTGGCATGAACATAGGGAGCAGTACGGGGCCATGGGGAAGCGTGAGGACCGAAGCGCGGGCTTTGGTGGTCTTTCGTCAGAACATGGATGGTCAGCGTTCGAACAGTGGACACAGGGTAAAGTTTTTTTTGCAAGGGAATTGTTGAATGGAAGAGATGCTTGACTGACGGAGCATTTGGCAATGATTTCAAATCCGAGCGCCGGTGATTTCGAGTATGTGGACATGGCTCGCATGGGGAGAAAAACAACAATGTCATTTACAGGAGCATGCAAACCTAGTGCGGACGATTCAAACCGTTGCTGCTATGGACGGGCTTGAGAGTCTGTGCTTCTGACGTGTTTCGTTCTGCTGAGTGTGATCATGCCGTGAGCGTACTTCTTCTTCTTCGACTCCGCAGAATACAGGATCTTCTACGGCACTGAAAGGACTTCCTCTAAATGTGAATAGGGAAGAGGGAAAGGATGGAAGGTGGCCGTCAGCGCCGTCGGTAAAAACGGCCTGGCTGTTTCTATTCTACGGGTAGAACATCTAAATACCTGTCACTTTGCAATAGAAGGATTTTGCAACAGAGGGATTTACTACGAGGTATTCTATTGCCAAATTTGTAGAACGGCTTCCAAATTAGGCTCGGCAACAGAATGCTTTGCATCAAAATTATTTCCTATGTTGTTGGGGTGCTTCGCAAGAGGAGTATGATGTTCTGTCGCGAGTTGGACTGGGACATTGTTGATTACTACGAGTGGTTTATTTTGATAGATGAAGGCTGCATTGAAGTAGCCTCGGTCGGTATACTTACGGCTGACAGGAAGTCGAGACCGTCCAATGATTCATCGCGTGATATCCCTACCAGGCATCCAGAGCCGGTCCACCCTCAATTTGGAAGCAGAACTTCAAACAACTCATGCATTCCCCCGAGACTTCCTAGTTCGTGGCAACGATAGTCCCATCCACGCAAGTTGTCCCAGCAGCCACAGGCCCAAAGTAAATCAACCCTCCTTGGTCACACTCATAGAACGCGGTTCCGCTGATATCGCAGAAAAGTTGCCCGTCAGGCGAACAGTCACCGTAGTTGTTGGCTCGAATCTTGTTCTCTGACTCGTCACAGTATGTGCCATCGGCGACGGAGCCGAAGAAGACCTCTTGGTTGCCGTTTGGTCCGGGCGCGCAAAGGGAGAAAGTATCGGAGCTGTTGCAGTAGATAGTGTTTGCCTCACAAGTGGAGATCTGTCTCTTGAGTAGGTTCCCACTGTAGTATTGGTCTGGCGCTGGTACAGCAGACACGACGGCGGCAGAGGCCAAGAGTCCAAGGAGTGAGAATTGCATTGTTGTGGCTGATAGAGATTCATGTGTCAGCATTGCTTCCTCGAGAGCAAGAAAACAAGGGCTGGAAAAGAAGAACAGATATATGGCTTCCGAGTTTGTCTTATTGTTAAAAATGTGGTAGTGGATAGGCAGGAAAAGATCCGAGAATACGTACATGGAAAGTGGGGGCGTTGATATTAGAGAAGCTTCTTGTATTGGGCAGCTCGAGATGGTAGTCTGCGTAGAAATACCTTTGTGTTGGTGCTAGTAAGTGCATGTGGGTGAAAAATTGAAATCGGGATTGCAAGGGAATTGTCCTATATACTCGAGACATTCTTGACGACCAACATTTTCTGACATCGCTGGCTTGTACTCTAGTTATTAAAGGCTTGACGAGGTGATAGCAAAGCTACACGAGCACTTTCGAAATTCAAAGACGAGATCGTAGGCAGCTCGTTTTCACGTAAACACTAACAGACTCGAAGGATGAATGAAGCTGTACATTCATTTCCGGCGGTTGAGTTCTCCATAGGCAACAAGATTCAAGCCTCAGCCAATGATTGAAACCTGACGCCGAAACGCAAGAATCTCTGGCGGAAGACACTCAAATTTGTCTATTAAACCTTTTAGATGGCTGACTTGGGCTCTCAACTAGATCATACGGAGGCTTTACCGCCGAAGGTCAAGGAAAGGAAAAGGCAGGATACAGTGGATGTGACCGGAACACAACGAGGACAAAGTGGCGTTCACCATCTAATGCAGAATGGCACGGAGTATGATGATATTGTACAGCTCTCAGCTGAAATGTTGTATGGAGGTCGGCACCGAAAGTCCTGGACAGCGCTAGTGGAGCCCTAACCCTGCTTTCGGAAGGCGACCCTGTAGCTCGGGACCCTAGAATTGATTCTGAGAAGCGCATAGGTTGAAATACAAGGACTTCCATTGGACCTGATAGGGGCAATGAGCCCCAAACTGGACTCAATTCAAGCGCAATTCCGATGCAGATCTAAACGTTTTGTGTATTGTCCAGGGAACCCTTCATGGCAGGGCGTCAACCGAGATCTTGGCGCGGGAGTCTTGGCGTCCAGGACGACCTCCAGATGTGTGTGGGAAAGCGGTCGTACGCTTTCAAGCCTACAACTAGTATAAGTTACTGTTTAGTGACGGACTACTAGTGATCACCTTTTGGTCTAGTCGTAACGGTTAGCAAAACCCGTCCCGCTTCTCCTCCGTACTGTATAGAAGAGGTGGGGCTGGAACAGTGGAAATGCGGTTCAATGCGAGGCCTACGCGCCAAAAACACGAAACGCGCTTATCCGCAGTTTCATATTGCATTGTCACTATTGTAGCGCATTTGAAGACAAACAGTTAGGACATTCCAGAAAGCCGGTCATGTCTCAGTCAACAACAAATGCCACGCTATCAGACGCTCTGAATCACCTTTCAATTTCTACAGCAGCCGCAACAGCTTTACCACCTTGATCTCCTATCGCTTCACCTATGGCAGCACATGAAGTCCACGCAACCACTCCTGGCCCAATTCATTCCAGGAAAACCCCCCTTCGGAGGGTCCCGAGCTCAGGCTCACTTGGCGGCAACGAACGACCTACAACACCTACATTGCGCAAACGGACATCATTGGGCTCTTTGCAAGGCACCGGCGGAAGGACCTCGCCGCGATCACCAGCCTTCCGCCGAACCTCTTCAACACTAGCTGCTTCGCCCAGCAGCACAACCATGGGTGCTAGATCAAATATTTCCCCACCGGCGGAGAAAATCTCCCAATTAGCACCTACAGCGGCTTCTATCGCTCACGAATACTTCAAGAAGGAGCTGCAGATGCATGATGACGGATTCGGCGCTGTACAGGAAGCCCAAACCGTGGTGATCCTTCAAGATGACTGCTACGGTCACCGTTACTCAAGACCAAGGACCTCAAGGGCAACTCTCAGCACTATAGTAGAGCGTCCTGAGCGTATACATGCCTCTATCCTGGGGCTAGCTACGGCATATGTTCGTCTTGGCGGACGACATGCAGAGGGTCATGCTGCCCCGCATCCAAAGATACATCCATCTTCCCTCCCCGCCGGACCATTTCAGATACGGAAGACTTCTCGAAGAATGTCACTGAGATCTCCTGCCACCACAGCTATCCACGGGACAAAGTGGATGACCGAACTCAGTGCCATGTGCGATGCGGCAGAGTCGAAATTAGCACTTGGTGAAAAAGAGCTCACGAGATCGAATACAAACGCCCAGACAAACGGTGCTTCCCAAGATGAGCAGTCGAAACTGCACGAAGGAGACTTATACCTTTGCTCAGGGTCTTTGAACGCCTTAGAAGGCGCTCTGGGAGGTGTCTGCGAGGGTGTTGATGCGGTCTTCAAGGAACAGGGAGCGAGGCGAGCATTTGTTTGCATTCGACCACCCGGGCATCACTGCTCTGGTGACATGCCATCGGGTTTTTGTTGGCTCAACAACGTTCACGTAGGAATAGGCCATGCTGCCTTGACTCATGGACTGACCCACGCAGCCATCATCGATTTTGATCTGCATCATGGTGACGGATCCCAATCTATCACATGGGCCCATAACGCAAGGCTTTCTTCATTACCAAAGAACACCCCCATATCAAAGAAGACAGCTATCGGCTATTTCAGTCTACACGATATCAATTCATACCCATGCGAGATGGGTGACGAAGAAAAGGTTCGTAATGCAAGCTTATGCATCGAAAACGCCCATGGACAGACAATATGGAACATCCATTTACAATCATGGAAGACCGATGCCGAATTCTGGAAACTGTACCAGGACCGCTACTCAGTCGTTCTCTTAAAAGCTAGAGACTTCCTCCGATTGCATTCGGATCGCATTCGTCAAGCGCCAACCCATCCAAAGCCCAAAGCCGCTATATTCCTCTCAGCAGGGTTCGATGCAAGTGAATGGGAAACCCAAGGTATGCAGAGACATCAGGCCAACGTTCCTACAGATTTTTATGCCCGTTTCACCCGCGACGTCGTCATGATGGCAGAAGAAGAAGGCCTGGGAGTCGATGGTCGCGTGATCAGTGTACTTGAAGGCGGCTACAGTGACCGAGCCCTCATGAGCGGCGTCTTGAGCCACGTCAGTGGGCTGACTGCCGCTACGAACCCGGTAAGGCAGCGGAATATAAGCAATGGGCTAGGCCATGAGATGGGTTGGAGATTGGGGAAACCGGATACTGATGGTGATCCTCTACAAAACCTTGAGGATGTGCCAAGACAATCGATTGAAGCTCTCGATACTACATGGTGGTCCCCTCCCCAGTTGGAAGAAATAGAGACTTTGATCAACCCTCCACAGCCCACAGCAGCTCCTAAGAAGCAGCGAAACGATTCGCGACCAACTTACACTTCAGCCACTCAGTCATATACGGCCAAGATCGTTTATCCCATTCAAGGCCGGCGATCTTTCTCCGGCAATGGCGCACATAATTATCGGACAGCGTCTCCTGTGTCTCGGGGACCAAGCCCTCCGCCACCCGCGGTAGATTGGGCTACAGCTGCGCATGAGCTAAGTAAGTTATTGGTGCCATCTGATCGTGAGACCAGGAGCTGCAAGCCCGAAGATCTGAATGCCGAAGCAACTCGAGCCCGACGAGATCGTCAGTCGAGTGTGGGGTTGCCTGTGGGTGGCCCTGTCAATGATCTTAAGCGAATGCAGCTTCGGGATCGAAAGGTCAAGCCACCGCAATATACGTCAGACGATGAGCAACCGAAGCCTATGTCTAGGGCAAACCGCCGCAAAACCATTGCGGATGTCTCATTACTGGCTCGGAACATCGAACCTCCGATTGCAGGGCATGCTAGCGCGGCACAACCTGTGCAGCATGTGAGAAGACGCTCAAGCGTGACGTCCAGCGCTGGTTCAATGCACGCCGAGAAAGGCTCAGATTTCAGTCTCGGTTCTGCAACTGATAGCCAACCACGACGGGAGCCACTTGTGGTGAAAAAGGCGAAAGCCCCTGCGATTCCTCGTCCAGAAATCGGAAAATCTAAAGCCATTAGAAAACAACCTGCAAGCTCCGTTGCGCCAAAGAGTGTCGGCCAACCAGCTCCGACACAGCCCTCGCACGAGATGGACAAAGTCCCATTATCAGAGAATGAGGAATTGAAGAACAGGGATGTTGACCAGCTGGTTTCTGGAATGACACAGATGAGGATCAAACTGAATGTTCCACCGAAGGAAGAATACGAAGCCAGGCAGACGATGTCGAAACCTGCTCCACGCGGGCGGCCCAAATCCACGACCGCTAAAACTGCAAAGGCTGCTTCCCCCACCAAGGCAAAATCCAAGGCGGTGAAAGTCGCACCAGCGATGATTGCTGAGGAGCCGCTCACGCCTCGACAGCTCCCTCAACCAGCTCCTTGCACAGGCCCTACTCCAGGAATGCCTCCGCCAGCACCAGCACCAATCCTACCAGAGCTGGGGCCGGCTGCTCGTGAATCTTTTCATCCTCCAAATACATCTTTTGCTGCTCCACCCTCTTCTACTGTCTCCGCATTTGCCTCAGACATGTTAGAATCCGGGCCATTCACCGCCTATACGCCAAGCAAAGGAATGGAGACCTCCATAGCTGCACCTCAGCCGGCTCCATCGACTTCGGCCCCCAGTTTCGCAGCACCAAGTACGCCAATGACGGCGAAACGAACCAGGCAGGACCTTCCCGTCTTCACCTCTACGTCGTCCATTTCCTTTGGCAGACCGGCTAGTACCAACGCAACCATTGATCAAGCTATGATGCGAGATAGTAATGATCAAAAGGACTCGGTTCTGCCTCAGACGCCAAGTTTAGGTCCGCAGTCTGTTCTTCCAGCTCAGAGCCAATCATCGGTGACTTCTGGATCTGCGGCAGAGACTGACACGAAAGAGGAGTCGCTGTCTTCTGGCTCTATCTGGGACGTTCCTGACACTCCACAATTTCGAATGCCTTGACTATTCTGTTCAGCGAAATGATTTTCCATCTTAGACCAAGGGTGTTTGGTAACGAATGTCCTTTGTTTAGAAATTAGATACCCCATACAGCAGTCACATAATTGCACTTCCAGTTGAATTACAGCAGTCTCTTGAGATACTCTTGGAATACACTCTCAACGTCAGGTACACCCTGCGGACAGAGTGAAAGTATTTGGTATGATGCAATATGCACTGGCAATGAATCTAGAAACACAAATCGAACATTGACCATGTTCTGGCAGATCCTAGTCAGAACCACGCCGTTCTATGCAACCTCAAATCCCAGCAGATGACGCCCAAATATCATCTCATGAACAAGACTCCCCTTCTCTGCTTACTTTTCAAGCACCAGAAAAAGACTTCTACCCTTTCGAACTTTTCCCAATACTACTCCCTAAACTGCTATGGCCGAAAAAGCTGAATTTGCTGCTGACCTTGCTCCCTGTGTCACTAACCCAGTCTGGCACCTTGAGGTGCCCACCCTTTAAACTTATCTTCATCCTACCCTCTGCTATCATGTGCACAACATTGATGATGCGGAAGGCACTACTGCCCAACGCTCTAAATAGCGCCACGCAAGCCACACTCCACAGAATGAATTTGAGATAGAAATTATTGGTGATGTGCGTGCTGTTATAGGCTTCGCTGACGGCCATGGCGAGTATAGCGTTCGAGATCATCCACACGACGACCATGTATGTGCGGACGGCGCGATAGTAATCCTCTTGCTGAGTGGCTTCGCTGACGCCGTCCTTGGGGACCTCGAGTCTGTCCCGGAGATTGCGCAGGGCTTCGTCGTAGCCGGAGTCGATGTCCAACTGCTCACTGGGCATTTCTAACTCGACCGTGTTGCCTTTGCCGCTCACAGCTGCGCCGAGATCGATATGAATGACGTTGTCGCCTTTGGTACCCCAGCTGACGTCGTGCGTGTTGCAGAAGGCGTATACCTGTAGTGTGCAGATGTACGAGGGTAGGAGAGCAAAATATTGAGCGCTGGAGGTGAACATGTGCCATGGGTCGAGGTAGAGGAAGGACATGAGGAAGTATATGCCTACGGTTGAGCCGGTCGAGACGATTAAGTTCGTGAATATATTGTTGCCAAGGTGGAACGAGGTGGTTGGACTTTTGAGTTGGACAACGACGATGTATATGGATGCGAAGACGGTGTAGGTCATGATTATCGAGTATATGACTAGACTGGACATGTACATTTTCTTGGCTCTGAGAGGGAGGTTAGTCGCTTTCCATGTAGATGAATTGGAACACGGATAATACTGACCCTTGAGGTCGATTCCCCATTGATAGGATGAATTGAGTGCAGATTAAAAGGACACAGGCGAAGCGAAGGATAACGAAGATATACATGCCGATATTGTGGCCGAAGGGATCGAGTTTCGGATCCGAGAGTGATCCAGCAATGAAGTAGAAGGTTAGGTAGAAGTTGGCCTAGGGCTGTCAATCTCCATCCCTCGGTAAAGTAGGAAGATTTGCGACTTACGAGGGAAAAGAAGGTGAAAGCCAAGCTGACGAACTGGTAGACGAACTCGATATGCAACAAAACTTTCCGTGCAATGGAATGATCGGTATGCCATATCTGCTTGAAATGCACGAGCGAATAGACCGCGGCAAAGAAGGCTCCGTTCAGCCATCTTCTTCGCTGGGATATGAATTCCGGGACAGCATCTGCATTGAGACCGTATCAGTGCAGCCCTCAAGCAAGGATTCGGGTCACTTACCAGGTACATCTGTCTCCCCCGTTGCGCTCTTGACATATTTCAGTACCCACCGCTCATCTCTTTTCGCGACCAACTCCCAGCAGAGGATTCGATCTTCAGCAAGATACATGTTCGCGGTAAAGACATCGGCGTCTTGACCATGTAACGTTTCTCCTTTGAAATACTGACTCAATGGACCATGGCCAGTAGCATCATTCTGAAGTGCGTAGTAACGATACGCACTCAAGGCTCCCGGAAGAACAGTGATATAACCAAACACAGATTCAAGAGGTTTGTCGAGGATGTTGGACATTTTGTACTCGAAGTTTTGTGAAGCAACCAAAGGATTGAGCAATCCTAACCAACCTTTGCCTTTGGCTGCCTTGATCTCGCCACATGCACCTGCAACGTTGGAGTCCGTATCGAAAGCCTTCCAAAGATGATAAAGGGAATTCTCTCCCGGTTTAGTCCCAACGTCGAGCAAGATGCAGACATTTGGACTTAATGCTCTCCCAAAAGCATTGAAGAACCACCGATGAGAATTGAGTTTCTTCTGATTTTTCTCTTTGAGGCAGAATATCATCTGACAAGGTACAATCCCTTTTTCGGCTCCCTTGAACTTGAGATCTGCATCTAGGGAGACCTGGGTGGTGTACTCGTACACGTGAGCTGTGACCTCTCGCTGGTTCACCAAATTCTTCGCAATGCCATCTTGGTACACACCCATTGCAGCAAGAGCGTCCAGCGTCCTTGGGTGCACTTTCCGACGACCATCTGACACTATACAAACAACGATTTTCTGCCACCCGTCTTTTCCCCATGTCCTTGATTTGGCACGGGAGCAGAAATGCGAAATGTTTCTCATTACTCCATGCATGGTACGCGTGAAATCAATCTCGTCCTCGTTGTACATTGTGATGCATATGAAGAGCTCTGTATCTCTCGCAGTATTGCCGATGTTCTGTCTCAATTTGTACCCTTTCAATGTGAAGTCATCAGGGTCACAAGTCACGGCAGTGTACCGCATGTGGGTGAACTCGATCTCGTCCCTTCGCGGGAGAAAGCTATAGAGAATTGTGGGTATCTTGCATTCCAGGATGAGTTCTCCGTTGATGAGCCGTACTTCCTTCTTTGCCATCTGCGCTTGCCTTGCGCCGCGTCTTCGCTCTTGCCTTCCTGTTGGTGCAGGACCGTAATGATCCTCATCTTCTTTTGAGTAGAGGTCCTCTGTGGAAGTTGACTGGGACTGAAAAGACTCGTAAGACTTGAGGCTTGGTCTCAGACGCCCACTTGATTGATCTCCACTTGGGGGCCCGAAAACATCGTCTTCGTCTTCATGGATTGGAATTGCCGTAGCTTCTGCGAGATTTCCGGAAGACTGGCTCGCAGCTTGTGGGCCAGAGAACAATGGTGCAGGAGGGAGAGGTCGTTTAGAACTGCCTCCGTACTTTGAAGATGGCGAACCTGGACGAGGGTTCCCATTGAGATCTACCGGTTCGTATGCAATGTCAGATGGAGGAGGGCGAGATGATTCGGAGGACGTGCGTGATAACAGCGATCGTGTAGGTGAGTTGCGACTTGGAATATACGGCAGATAAGATGGCGCGTCTGCTGAGGTTGGGGCTAGCCTTGGCGCAGTGTCCAGTATGGAAGGAGATTGCGGTCGTGGAAGAGAGGAGGCGGATGATGACGGACGGTAATTCAGATACGTTCGCGAGGGGGACACGGGGCTAGAAGTTCCTGGGGGTAAGCTTTGTGTCTTGAAATGCACACGAACTGTGGCACGACGTTTGGGAGATTCATTTGTTTTGCCTACTTGGGCAGAGGATGACCATTGAGAGGGGGTTGGATTGGCCTCGTCCTGATTCAATTGGTCTACGCCATTCGAATTGTAGGAGTCATTCGCCATATTTCTTTTGATGATAGGTTTGCGCCTGGGACTTGTATGTGCACGGGGGGGCCTTGTGGGGGAAACGTACGAGCGGCGCTCCGTATCATCTTGGGAACTCAACAGTCGCATTGTAGAGCCATTGTTTGCCAAGTTTGTGGGGGTATTGTCCTTTGGCGTAGTCGAGTAAGATGGAGGCGCTGCTGAGTATCCCGGGGGACCTCCATTTGGAGTAGAAGGGCGCTCCATAACTGATTGAAGGTATGCGCTCGAAGTTCGAGAGGTTTGTTGATGCGGTCAATCCATGAAGGCGCAATACTGGTGCGGAAGGGAAGCTTGGTATCGATGTCCCGGATGACTATTCGAATTTTCTACCGAAGTACCGTAGCATCAGGTCAAGGAGAGATGCGGCTCGAATCACTGGAACAATTTTGAAGTTTCAAGACATTGCCCGAGGCGGTCTTGAGGTAGTCTTTACAGCACCCTGACTCTTAGGTTTCATCCATGGTTTAGCCGGTTGAAGAGACAACGCTTCCCAATAAGGACTAAAGGCCTTTTCTGAATCTCTACTCGTACTCGTACAGCGTCAATCTACTACGAATCTGCCATCTGAAGTATTGCCTTTCCAAAAATCGATCCAGCATCGCAGCATGTCTATGAGGGGGCTGTCGCCCACAGCCAACCTACTCAGGACATCTAGACTTTTTTCCTTACCAGCACCACTCCCAAGGCCGAGCTCAGATCTTACAGCATCCGCAAATCATAAATCCGATACCGCGACTCTTCCATACCCTACTCATGCTGCCATCGAGACAACCGCATCATCTCTTGGCCGAGGTGACTGGGGACTCAAACGACCGTTGCCTCTGAAGTCTACAACAAGGACCTCAACGCCCACCATCCATATCGACAATGTAGACTCAATCGACCACATTACAGACTTCAGCTCCGCTGCAGGTCATGCTCTGACGCTTCGCAAATGGCAAGACTTTGGTACGCCTCTATCAATGGCGGAGGAGAAGCCGACAAAAGCGTCGGCGCAGCAAGAGCATTATCCACGCAGCGTATTCGAGTCTAAACATGACAACACCTACCAGGATGACAATGATCCCAACAAACAGCGTTGGAAGTACAGCGGCCCTTGGCTGGCGGGAAAGAACGAAGGAGAGTTCAGACGATACGTGGAGAAGGATGTGAAAAGGCGACGGCTGGATTTCAGGCGCTTCTTGCGGGAACGACTAGCGGAGGAAAAGGCAACAGCACGACGACGGGAAGCCACCGAAAGTGGGGAAGATGTGGAAGGTCCAGATTCAGTCGCAGTCTCAGAGGAAGATGTCGAGGTCTACGCCAGGCGCCTGAGGAACGACGAGCATAAGTTGCACAAACTTGTCGAAGAATATCTGGATTTGCCAAGGGATCGAGGCTCTGCAACTACCAGCTACGATAAGAAAGGGCCACCGACAACACATCCGTCTGCTGGTCTTTCGTATCTTCGGACTGGGTCCCATACCTATAATCATCCTTTACTCGGGCCACAAGAAGAACCGGCGCCAGTCCAAGCTCGCGTGATCAGACCACAGACCACTGCCTCTAATGCCAAACACGATAGAGCCTTGATCGGAGTTGGCGGCGTTGTGGCGGAAGATCAAAGACAGTCATTCACGCGCGACTCAACGGGCATCACAGGCTATAATCCGGATATTCCTGGTGGTGCAAAAATTTATATTCGTGTCCCTACGAGAGCAAGTGTCGATTCACGTGGAAGACTTGATATTATAACGAGGCGACCACGTGACAAAACTTCTGAAAATATTGCGAAAGGTTACTACTCATCAGAGGGAGTAGCGCCTCCGCCTGCAGCTGTTGATGCCGCGCAATATCGAGAAACGCCAACATTGACGAGGTCCAAGCTTGAAAGGTCAAGGGAGACCCACGGCTATGGACTGGAACATATGGGTGCTGCAAGAAGCAGTGGGAGAGCTTCGCCATTTCTTGGACCAGAAGACGAGCTGCCAGATCTTAATGGCCTTCTTCGACACGGACGGCAGTCGAATCAAAAGGTCTAAACTCTTCAACTGACAAATTTCTGTAAATAGAACTCGGTTCCCAAAGAGCATAGCCAGGGTGTTCTAGCCTTAATTTGTATATCATGATCGTCAAATCATGGTTGTGATGCTATCCAGTTCCAATTGCCTGCCAAGACCTCCAAATTAAGGATCTGCGCCATGATCTCTGTAGTCCACCGTACTTGTGCCCACAAACTTCTCACAAGCGAAGAATTACGACCTCTGTCCATCACGGCTCGAACTCGAAATCTTAAGTCACAGCAAAGATGGTATGCATGTCCGCAAGCTTGCGTTTTCAATCCTTACGCTTTGAGAGCTTACACAAGCTGATGTCTCTGCGAATCATAGGGTCGCGTTCGCACGAAGACCGTCAAGAAATCCGCCAAAGTTATAATCGAACGTTACTACCCCAAGTTGACCTTGGACTTCGAGACCAACAAGCGGATCTGCGATGAAATCGCCATCATTGCTAGCAAGCGTTTGAGGAACAAGGTGGGTTCGGGCTTGTTTCCTTCGCTATTCGCCGTAGAGGTCCTGTAAGAGCTAACACATTCACCACTAGATTGCCGGCTACACCACCCATTTGATGAAGCGTATTCAGCGAGGTCCTGTGCGTGGTATCTCGTTCAAGTTACAAGAAGAAGAGCGTGAGCGAAAGGATCAATATGTCCCTGAAATCTCGGCTTTGGACTTTACGCAGAACACGGAGCAAGGGCAATTGGATGTGGATGCCGATACGAAGGATCTACTGAAGAGCTTGGGGGTATGTCTTCTACCGTTGAACCCGTCGGTTTATGATACTAATGTCGAGTTTGTAGTTTGATTCCATCAATGTCAATGTTCAGCCTGTCACTCAACAGCAGACTGTTGAGCGCCCGGGAAGACGATTTGAGGGGGGCAGACCGCCAAGGACTTAAGAAGGGAACCATGTCTACGAGGTGATGGTGTATCGACTGAAATGGTTTTGCGTTGCTTGCATGGACATCGACGGGAAAGACATAGCTTGAATGCAAGATCTTCTACAACTAAGGTGTCGCTGAGCTTTCTTACGAAAGCGAGGCTTGATTGCCAGTGCCCTACTTCGTGATCTTATGAGCATACCTTGTCGGTGCTTTGATCAAGAGGCCGAGGTCCAAGACCTCCGCTCTTCATCTAAACTATGTACAAGTAAGGCAAGAACGTAGGCCGTAGTATGCAGAGCGAGTCTAAGATGCAATTGCACATCTCGATCACCCATAAATCTCGAAGATGTATTGCGCTTTAATATGAAAGCTCTGCTGGTGCGGCCATCAGCGGCATTCAGTGGGGTATCTTGAAAATTCATGTAGTGCAAGAATATTGCACGGTTCGACTCATCGACCATGCCGGTCCTCAAATGGTTGGCATCATATCTTCGTCTTCGTCATCATCGGATTCTGGCTCCCTCGTTTTCTTCCTCGAACTCTTTGGCGTATAGCCCTCGATCGAGTCAGAGCCGCCGTCGGAATTACGCTCTTTTACAGAAGGATCCGGAACAGATGCTTTGCCATTGATATTTCTGTTCTCACGGACGCCTATCTCTGCCAGTCCGAACGACCTGCTGGGGGCTTTTCCATCGCCCCTCTCAATCGCAAGCGCTTTCATCCTGACCATGACTTCATCTTCCTCCAGGCCCATATCTAGAGATCTCAATTTCTCAATCAGGTTGGAGTCATCGTCAAGCTGTTTTTGATTATTTCGTTCGTCCTCCAGAAGCAGTATGTCCCCGCCGGAGGACCCAGCTCTCGTCCATGCAGGCTCCTCATTGAGTTGCACCTTGACATAAAGCGCTCTCTTCCCGCAATCATCTGAGCACCAGCGTTCAAGTGTATGTCGTTCGACGAATTTGAGTCTATCCGAGCCTCTTCCTTTGCCGTGTAGGATTCTATACTTCGCCTTCGTGTCTTCCTGCCTGTTGGGCCTAGGACAGAGTAAGTAGCCGCATTGCTTGTTAATATTCCGCTCTTCGATTAGTGAATCATAATCTGATGGTTGGAAAGGCTTCAGGGAGTTCTTCACAAGTTTAATGTCTTGTAGACCCGGTAGAGCTGGGTCTGCGGCAGATGAGGAGGGTAGTTCAAGCAAAGCTTCAGTAGAAGCCAGGATCAGAGCCTCAACATCTTTGCGTTGCTGTAGAATTTGGGCGTGGTAAAGGGCTGTTTCTTGGTTGCGATTCTCTCGAGATCGAGCTGGTGAAGGAGACGTGTTTGGGATCGAAGACAAGGCCTTTTTAAGGATGGAGTGAGGCATGATCTCTCTAGCTACTGGGTCCGGAGACTCTGTGAGGTCTCTGGTTCTTACCATTGAAAGTTGTAATGGTGAATTTGTCGGCGGTTCGTGGACTGCATGAATTGATATAGCGGCGTCCATATCTAAAAGCGGAGGGAGGCCCCGCGACGGATGTTGACGACGCCGACGGGTATGTACTCCTTGTACATGACATTAGACCGGCATACCGACATGGCCAGAGAGCCTACATGACCTTCATAGTTGTTGATATTTTCCATTATTCGTCTGTTTCCTGAAATTTCCCTGAGTACCTGCCAAAATTACCATCTCGACCAATTCATCGGGCCTGACACTATAGGCTTCTGGTCGGAGATCATCTCTAATAAATGTCGCCGTGATAAAAATCCAACAGCTTGAAATACAACTTGGGCCTGACCGCCTCACGCTGCAGCTTTGTATAGCAGATCGAGGAAGTGTACGGCTCAACAGCCAGAAATCCAGGTAAATTATATCCCCTCAACTACCGGTCCGTCAGCAAGGATGGCTATACCTCCCTTCCGCGTCAAAGCACTGTACGATTATTCTTCGAAGGAAGAAGATGACCTTAAATTTCCAAATGGTCAGGTCATACTCGTGACAGATGAGGAAGATGCCGACTGGTACTATGGGGAATATGAGGACAGTGCTGGCGACAAGCTGGAGGGATTGTTTCCCAAGAACTTCGTCAAGATTTTTGAGCCAGACATGCCGCCGCGGCCTACAAGATCGGGCAGATCAAAGAAAGACAACGATACTCCAGCACTAGTCAGTGAGGAGGCGAGGGTCCCCGCTGCTGAGGAACCTCGAGCAGTCCCAGCTCCTGCTCCATTTCCGAGTGCTACCATGCCCGAGCAGACATTTGAGGAGCCCGAACCACCAGTAGCTCAAGCTGCGAAAACAGAAACATACTCTATCCCAGCACAAAAGCCAGCTCCACTTGCAGCGCCGAAACCTGCGCCTGCGCCTGTCGCAGAAAAGCCAACGTCGGGCTCATTTCGAGACCGCATCAATGCCTTCAACAAATCTACAGCGCCTCCTCCGGCCCCCAATAAACCTAGTGGTTTGGGTGCGTCCGGGGGCTCGGCCTTCGTCAAGAAAGCTTTCGTTGCGCCTCCTCCAAGCAAGAATGCATACATTGCCCCACCTCGCGAACCCCCTCCGCAGAAAGTGTACAGAAGAGAGGAAGATCCCGAGATACTGGCTCAGGCATCGAACGACGTGGAGAACGAAGTGCAGGTAGCTCAACCCCAAGTAGCTGCACCGGCAGAAGTCGAAGAAGACCAGCCGAAGCCCACAAGTCTAAAAGACAGAATTGCGTTACTGCAAAAACAACAGATGGAGCAAGCTGCACGACACGCAGAAGCCAGCCAAAAGAAAGAGAAGCCAAAGCGCCCCCCAAAGAAGCAAATAGAGCCTCAAGAACCTGCTGCAGATGCAGACGATGATGTGGAAGCCGAACGTTTAGAGAGAACGAATAGTACCGAGACCACGGGCAAACGATCAATCGAAGCCTCTCGCGATGCTTTTTCTTCAGGTGCACGCCATGCTAAGCCATCCAAATCTCAGGAAGCTACTCCTGTGGCGAGCCCAACCGCTGTTGCCTCGCGAGGATTCATGAGCGATCCGAACGATGCCGACCAGTCTGGTATGGGAGATACAGAGGATGGTGAAGATCTTTCTACGGGTCGGGATGATAGCGATGATAATCCAAGGCGCAAGACTTCAATCCCGCTCCAGATACCTTCGCAAGCGCCGCTTCGGGAAGCAGACGTTGGGGACGAAGAGGATAACGCTGATGAGGATGTCGCTGAGGAAGAGGAAGACGAGGACGTGGATCCCGAGGTAAAAAGAAGAATGGAGATTCGCGAGCGCATGGCCAAGATGAGCGGCGGTATGGGAATGGCAGGCATGTTTGGTCCACCAGGTGGCATGGCTCCTAGAGCCCCTGTGAAACGAGGGACGGCATCAAGCGAGAGAAACATTTCAGGCAACTCAGTGTCCGCGCAAGCTGATGATGGCTCGAACTCTAGAGCACCACCTGTGCCGATCATGCCTATGCCTAGCCTTCAAAAGGTTCGAAGCCCAGAGCAAAATGGTGCTCAGCCAGAAGTAACTAAGGAAGAGGCGGACGAACCCAAATCTGTAATACAAGGACGAGAACCTGAGGATATGCCTGATATTGAGGATATAAAGGAGGAGCCCATCCCTACACCGAGGAGATCTGTGGAGCGACCTGCACCTCCACCTGTGCCCCAAGGTAAGCTCTCACTTGTTGACGTGCTCTAGAATTTTCTGACGTCTTTCAGATCGCCCTGTTCCTGCTCCGCCCGGCAAAATTAGAGGAGCTCCTCCTCCTTTGCCTAGCGAGCGACCGGGCCCGCCCCCCCCTAGCGAAGGTGAGTACTGTACATAAAGGCCATCACAAGGATCGATAGTTGACTCCTTCTATAGCGAGTCTCGTATCCAGACCCCCTCCGAGCCAGCCAATGTCGCCGAGCGAGGGTTCCGAGTCTGACGATGAGATGTCCTTACACAAAAGAAACTCGCTGAGATTACATCCTGGGACTGACAGCTCCCGACCTCTTAGTCGAGAGGATCTTCCTCCCGTCCATTCTGCCGGTTCTCCGCCAACTTTGCCAAGTCGACATGTGGTGCCTCAATCTGGCCCATCTGACTATACAGGACGAAGTCCACCAACGCAATCAGTGGAGATGTCTCCTATATTACCAAAACCTCCTGCAGACCCTTCGAAGAGAAGCAGTCGAGTCCCACCTATACCAGGGTCGAATCCCGCAATGTCATCTGCACCTCAAAACCGAGCACCGCCGCCGCCACCTCCTACCAACGCTCCTCCGATGAGAGCTGCGACTGGAGATTCCAGAATTCCATTTTTGGTTCCCAGAACCCAAGCGCCCGAAGAGAGTGATGAAGAGGTTACTGAGTATGAAGGTGATTATGACACCGACATGGCCTCTGGTGCGACCCACAAGGATGCGCTCAAGTCGCACGCACGAGTCTCGAGTCTCGATGACGATTCGATGACGGAAGAAGCAAGTCTACACCATTCCGGACTTCCTTCTCTCGGCCCGACCCCACCAGCAATACCTCGTGCTGTTCCACCTCCGCCGCCCAGCCAGCCTTCGAGACACAATCGGCAGTCCTCCGATATGCCTAGAGGCGCGCCACCCCCACCCCCACCCCCACCGCCCAAGGAGCAAACATATGAAGATGAAAACGATTATTATGACGCATACAAACCCCCTACGTCCGGACAACGTGGTCTGGATAGCAGGTACGAGATGGAAGGCCCAACAACACCAAGATTTGAAGAACCGGAAGCCGTATTTCAGGCATCTCCACCTCAGCGGGCTGTGCCAGCGTTCTCAGGGCAAAGCACGTCACAGTACCCTTCTTCGCCCAACATGGCCGCCCCAGGGAGATCCGGGCCACGGCAGTCGACTGAAATTCAACGGACTAGCACTAGTATTCGGAGGTCAACCGATGCTTCTAGACCCTCTGGCGAACAAGGCTTTATAGCTGGGGACGCCGACTTGGGTCACAATAGCCAATGGTGGGCACGTCCTGATAATCCTCCTCCAGTATTCCAGAACCGTCGAGATCTCATCTTCGAGATTGAAGAGACCAGCACGACGAGGCGAGGCGGCAAACAAGCTGTGACAAAGATGGTTTATGTTCTATTCATGGACTATTCGCAAACCGTAATCACAGCGCAATTCGAAGCCAAGGATCCAGTAAACGCTAACTTGGAGCAACGTCACGAGCCCCCTCCTCAAAGTCTGCGGCAAGATCAACTCGAAAACGCTCACACGAGGCTCGGTTCTCGGATTGCAGAAGCCGCAAATGCCAAGAAAGAAACGACGGTTGGTGACGGCTCTCCGCATGCATTGGTCCTCGATCTTCTGTCTGCCCTTCCAGAAGCTCTGCTGCCTGTTGGTGTGCGTGCATATGGTGCCAATGTCTATGCAAATCTGGCAAATGCTTCTGTAAAGCAACTTGATGAGATACGACCAGGGGACATCGTTACCTTCCGAAACGCTAAGTTTCAAGGCCACCGTGGGCCTATGCATTCGAAATACAGTGTTGAAGTAGGAAAGCCTGACCACGTCGGTGTGGTGATTGACTGGGATGGAACCAAGAAGAAAGTACGAGCTTGGGAGCAGGGTAGGGAGAGCAAGAAAGTCAAGCCGGAAAGCTTCAAGTTTGGTGACCTACGGAGTGGTGAAGTGAAGGTTTGGCGTGTCATGGCAAGAAATTGGGTTGGGTGGAATTGAGACCAGATCAACCATAAACCTCTATTACATAACTCGAACCAAGCCATTTGAGACGATTATATCTCGTTCAGCATAGCATGAAATTATGGAAACATTGTTCCTCTCTACGCTCGTTGCTACCGTTTACGTGTCCCTCAAAGTACACTATGGTGCTACATTGAGCAGATATACACCGGCTCCCCGCCTCTTTCGATGAATGTCAATGGCTGGGTCTCATATGTCAATCGCTTTGCCACATCACCTACCGCCGATCAGAGCAGACAGGATTGCACAGCAAGTGGTCTGAGGCATGTTTTGGATGAGAAACCCGGACACTGAGCGTGCTCGATTTAGTTTCAGCTCCCGACGAGCCTTTTGGAGGAGATGCATCAAAGGGGTAAAAAGCCAAGCCACTGCACAACACAACGCCTGTGTCTTCCACACGATTATCTAAAAGCAAAAATGACCCTCTCCAACGGCTGCCTCTCCGTCTCCCAAGCCAACCAGTCACTCCTTGTCGTAGGGAGTAGCCCCATGCCATTCACCTTCCAAACCCCCAATGCCAGCGCCACGCAGTTCATCAGCACGTAGCACGCCTTGACCACCCATAGCTGCTTCCTCGTCCCCTCGGATTCAAAGCGCCTGAACACTTCATTCGTTGTAAAGATGCCGGTGATCGGGTTTTTGAACAGCATGAAGACCATCATTATGCTGAAAATCTGCAGCGAGTTGCCGGACATGTACATCATGATTGCGTTCATGGGTAAGGCTTTGGCCGGCGCGAGGGCGAGTTCCCAGGACTTTTTCAGCTTGAGCGTGTCGGTTTCGGCGGTGCTTGGGGGTTTGCGGGCTGGGGTTTTGGACGAGGCGGCATTGCGCTGCGCATGTCGTTAGTCTTCGGTACGAGGAGATGGAATGAGAGCGGAAGGGTTGTACCTTGCCGCTGCTGGCTTCAGTGTAGCCTGGTGGATTGGTAATGTGGGTGTTGTTCGCTTTGCGCCGGGGAGGAGAGTTGAGGTTTATGACCCATTTGGGAGGTGGTGGTGGAAGAGGGTTTGATTGGGATTCTTGTGCCATGATGGCTGGTACTTATTCGGATGAAGGATGAAGAAGACAGTGAATGCTTGGCGAGACTTGGGGTCATAGTCGTAGCCGACTATTCGCTTCGCTTATAGTAATCCTCAATCAAAGACGCACTAATTCAAAGACGCGAAAATCTATTATTCCTTCTAATTCTATATAGATCTTATTCTATAACTCAAATCTTAATAAATATATTTTAATATATATATACTAGCTTTATAGATTATAATCAGCTTCGAATATAAGCCTTAATAATCTTATCGATTTTTTTACAAATTTCCTTAGCTCGAGTAACTCGCTTTAGAGTCTTCTTCGCTTTTCTATAACTATTTCTTCTATTATAGTTAGAGATTTATATATTTAATTTATTAATATTTATTCTTTCTTCTAGATAATCGTTTTAGAAAGTATCTTATATATTCGCTTAATTATAACTTCTTTATAGATGATTTTAATATCTCGCTTAGTAATTTATCTCGAGTAGTTATTAGTAATAAATTCTTTTATAAATTAAATTAATAGCTATTATATATCTTTTAAAATAATAAAAGTTTAAATAGTAAGTAGTTTTTAAATTATTAATTATATTTAATAACGTTTTTAACTTTATAAGAGATTCTAGTAAGTATAAGAGATATAGACTCGTCTAAAGTTATAGCGCGAGGTATTAGATTTCTAATTTTTCGAGTATTACTTTAGAGTTATAGAATATAAAATTAGTCTTTTAAAAGATTAAATATATAATATTAGATATAAAGATTTAAGTTCTTATTTAATATTATAATTTCAATCGACATTTCTTCTCTAGACTTACGCTAGGCTCTATTCGAGCTAGCTTCTTAGCGACTTAATACTCTAATAACTTCGATATATATATTACTTAATAACCTTTATAGTTAATATTCCATTTATATAATATTACTAATATTATTATTCGATATACGATTTATTCTCTAATATAATATTAACTATTTAATATAGCCGTAAGCTAAGCTATTATTATCTATCTACTTCTACCTATCTATTTATTCTACTCTATAGAGATCTCTCGAATATCGACTACTTAATCGCCTTATTATAGAGGAGATATCCGGACGATTCCCTATCTACTACACCTACTACCTGCTATCTACTCTATCTGCGAGGAAATCTCTCGAATATCGACTACTCAATCGCCTTATTATAGAGAAGATATTCGAACGATTCCCTATCTATCTATCTACCCTACCTCTACGAGAAGATATTTCGACTATCTCTCGCTTATCTTATCTATTATCTATCTATATTAGTAGAGAAATCTTTACTTAATCCGTTATAAACTCGGATTAAGAAGAAACTCGTTCTAAATCGTTATTAACGATTTAGTATTATTAGGCCTAGATTCGTAGCCTTAATACTACTATTTAGAATCTCAATATAATCGTAATACGACTTCGAGAGTTACGAAACCTTTATCGTTTTAATATAAAGACTCTTACTACTATAAATACGAAATTATAAATTAAAATTTAGACCTTAACTATTAAAGAAGAAACGATTACTTTAATAAAGTCTCTAGATTTCGATATAAATAAATAATTAATTAAATTAAAAGTTATTAAGATAAAAATATCTATTTCTACTATTCTTATTATCGAAAATAATAAGAAATATTCTAATATACTCTACTTCTATAATGAAAAAGAGAAGTAAAACGAGTAGCGATTTTATTTAGACTTTAAGTTTCGATAAAGTATTATATTATTTTCTAGTAAAAAAGATAAAATAGATTATATTCGAGATTACTATAAGTTAATTATATTCGATATACTTAAGATATAAGTAGATTTACTAAGCGAGGATCTCTATAATATTACGAAAGAGATAATTTTAGAGCTTTATAATATATTTAATAATTATAATAAGCTAGTAAAGAATAACGCTTTACTTTATAACCCGGCGTTTACTATAAAAAAGAAGAAGGTATTTAACGAGTTCTATACTCGATTTTTAGCTATTATTACGCTATTAAACTATAGCGAAAGTTATAAGATCGCTATATTATAAAGACTTATTACTCTTAAACTTCGATTACAAATTATCAATATCTTATTATCTTTCTTTCGCTTAGTTATTAAGTATTTACGAAAGACTAACTAAGACCTTCGTTAATTAAAGGCTATATATATAAATATAAAAGAGATTAATAAATAGAAGTTTAAATTAGATTTATCACCTTATTCGAAATAGCTAAAGAATTAGCTAAAGAAAGAAGATTAATATTTTAAATATCTTAGCTATAGTCATCGATTTAATTAGACTAAGATATATATAATCTTAAAGATATTATCGTTTAAAGAGGTAAAGACTATTATGACTAAGGAAAAGGCTATAAAGAAGGCTATAAAGAAGTAATAACGATATAGGCCTTACCTACAACAGCAGTAATGGATTTCTCCTCCTTCCCCTAATCAGTAATAATCGTTCCGCCTAGCCGCATACGGCTAGCGCATTCAAATCAGTTTCGATTCGATAAATCATCGGACTTTACGTTTTTAAACGAATTGGCCTCATTCGATTTCGATTTTTTTTCGCTTTTTTCGACAATACGCCAAAACCACGAATCCACCACACTACCTCTCAGCACCTTACACTATTACTTCAAGTACCTTCCCGGGCTATTGCCCTACATTAATACCCCTATTACCTATATCCGCAGGCCTGCTACATAAGATTTAGCTTAATGCCACGATCGGATACTAAGAGTATCTGCGAGAAAAAGTTTAAAGTTATTATTTTAGAGGGTAGTAAATATACTTTAGACTATAAAGGCCAGTATACTATAAATTATAACGATCGTCTCGCTGTCGCCACCTCGCCGTTGCTATAATTTAAACTATAGAGATATAGCCATTTAAGAGAGAAGGTAATATTATAATTTTAATCGATATTTCTTCTCTAGACTTACGCTAGACTTTATTCGGGCTAGCTTCTTAGCGACTTAATACTCTAATAACTTCGATATATATATTACTTAATAACCTTTATAGTTAATATTTCATTTATATGATACTACTAATATTATTATTCGATATACGATTTATTCTCTAATATTTAATTAAATATTATAAAAAATCGAGTTTATTAAAATCGTTACTTCTAAAATATATAGTTAAATCTATAATTTTATATAATAGTATTTAAATAGTTAAAAGTATTTTATATTTAATAACTATATAATATATATAGAATATAAGAAGTATAAATAAGTCGATCTTTAATTATTAGATAAATATATAAAATTTATAAATATAATAGAATCTAAAGCTATCTAGAATTAAGATTCTCATTCTTTTACTTAATAATAATAAAAAATATATTAAAATATAGTAGCTAGTTATATATTAGTTAATTATTTAATTATTTAATAAATAAAATAACTAATATAGTATTCGAAGATAAGTCGTTTTATCTTATTTATATAGAATATAAAATCTTTTAAAATTATAAATAAAGATATACTTTAATCTTCGCGCTAATATATTCTATAAATATAATATAATTATAATTATCTAAATCTATAAATTATAGAGACTTACTTTTATTTAAAGTAATAATATAATAAATAATTTTATAGTTAATTCGAAAGCTAGTCTTATTTATATTTTAAATATCTTAATATTATATATTCTTTTCTTTATAGCCTCGTTAAAATTCTTATACGCTACGCGTATACTCTTAATATTATATATATTCTTATACTCGATATTAAGAGATTTTACTCGTTTATAATATTTAAAATATCGTTTTATAAATTATATAATCTAATTTTTATCGAGTAATTTAAGAGAATAATACGAATTTAAAGCGATTTTTAGAATATATTTAATAGTACTCTAAATATAATTTAATTAAAATAAATATTTAATATTATTTAAACGATTAATATAGTTATATAACGACTATTCTTAAGTTATAATAAGATATATAAAATAGATATTTAAGTATTTCTAGAAGCTTATCCTCGAAGCTATCTTTATATTTATCGCGATTTGAAATTAAATACCTATAATCCTATAGCGCTATAAAAATAATTATTCTTATACTTATTAATAGTCTTCTAAACGAGTTTCTCTTATTTAGAATAAGATATAGATATAGTTTAATAGATTAATATAGATTATAATATAGGGTATTAAATCGCGAAAAACGCGTTTTAAGACTAGTGCGTCTTTGAGTTGCGGACTACTATGAGCGAAGCGAATAGTCGGACTAGATTAGTAGTCATCACCGGCATGAATTTGGATGAGCCTGTCAGCCCTACGAGTACCGGCTACTGCCAAAAAGGGAATTAATTGATTGAGCATGTTCTGCTCGCTTGTGTTTCTGCTTCCTCCGTCTCATGCCGTTGAAATTCATAATCTGATGCTGCGCGAAGAGAACCCATTCCCATAATCTGGTTGATGGTTACATAAAGCTGGAAGACATATAGGAGTTATAAGATTGGATTTGCTGCACCTCCATTCCCCAAGGTGTCCACGATGGCCGCCAGCGGAGGAGATGCAAAACTGTTTGCAAGAGTAGGTGCTGTCAAGATGGTCCATATAATAATGATCAGGAACGGCTATACCTCTGTCGCTCTTTCCTTTGATGTTTACCTTTGATCTTTCTTCTGTCTGATTTCCGAAATGTGTCCGTCCCAAGTCACCACTCTACACATATCGTTTCCCCCCTCCTTCCATCCATAGCCATGTTCTTAGCCATCCACATAGGGAACGAGGCTCGATACGTGCCTCGCCCTGCCAATAGAACCGATTCTGCACCTTTGCTTAAAACGTCGCCGGATCTCGCTGACAAATTTTTCATCAAGGGGAAAGTTGCGGAGCTGCGATTGGAGCTCAACAGCGGTGGTAAGAAGGACAAGAACCACTCTGCTAAGAAGATCGCCCTCAAGAAGATCGTGGCCAACATGACCATGAGCAACAACGACATGGTAGCTCTGTTCCCTGATGTTGTTGGTTGTATGCAGATTCCAAGCTTGGAGATTAAGAAGATGTATGCGTCAAGACTTACTCGGACGAGCAATCATGGCGCTGACAAACTGTATAGGTGCTTTCTCTTTTTGGTCAATTATGCTCGCATAAAGCCAGACGTGGCTATGAAAGCTCTGCCTGTCCTTGTGCTCGTAAGCTCTACTTTCGAAGGCGCCAATGGTGCACGCTCTGACGAAAGCTGTCTAGGATATGGAGGACTCAAACCCACTGATACGAGCGCTCGCTCTCCGAACTATGTCTTATATTCATGTCCGCGAATTTGTCGAAGCTACTGTTCCACCTCTCAAAGGGCTGTTGAAAGACCCAGACCCTTATGTGCGGAAGACGGCAGCTTTTTGTGTAGCCAAGCTTTACGATCACGACAAGAACCTTGTGGAAGCATCAGACTTGATAGACAGACTTAATGGCATGCTAAGAGATGACAATCCCACCGTCGTTTCAAGCGCGCTGGCGGCGTTGATGGACATTTGGGAGAGGAGTGAGACCATCAAACTTACTATTGACTATGCCAGTGCTTCAAAGATCGTACAGATCTTGCCGGACTGCTCAGAGTATGCTCTGCGTTCCCTACCTGGTTTATCCGAAGCTAACGACGGTGCAGATGGGGCCAAACATATATATTAGAAGCTCTAATGTCATACGTACCGCAAGATACTTCCGAAGCACTTCTTCTGGCTGAAAGAGTCACTCCTCGACTTTCACATTCGAATTCAGCTGTTGTACTAACGTGTACCCGAGTCATCCTCTATCTCATGAACTACATCGCGGATGAGAAGCAAATATCTGGTCTGTGTCGGAAATTGTCTCCCCCACTGGTTACGCTGCTGGCGAAAGGGCCCGAGATCCAGTACCTCGCTTTACGAAACGCCTTATTGATACTTCAGCGGAGACCAGAAGTATTGAGGAACGATATTCGGGTCTTCTTTTGTAAATACAATGATCCCATCTATGTCAAGGTCACAAAGCTGGAATTGATCTTCATGTTGGCAACGGAGAAGAACATCCGAGAGGTTCTGACTGAGCTGCGAGAGTATGGATTCTCTACTCGAAAGTCTCACATTGCCTACCGCTGACATCTTCTGAGATACGCCACTGAGATCGACGTGCACTTTGTTCGAAAATCAGTCCGCGCGATTGGCAAATTGGCCATCAAGATCGAGCCGGCAGCGCAAGACTGTATCGATTCACTTCTTGAGCTTGTGGCCACCAAGGTTTCCTACATTGTGCAAGAGGCGACAGTTGTAATAAAAAACATATTCAGGAAGTACCCGAACAGATACGAGTCCATCATTTCAATACTTTGCGAGAACCTAGACTCCCTCGACGAACCTGAGGCCAAGGCAGCCATGATCTGGGTGATAGGTGAATACGCTGACCGAATCGAGAACTCGGACGTTCTGCTGGATGATTTCCTCTATTCCTTTGCGGACGAATCGGTGGAGGTGCAGCTTGCATTGCTTACAGCCACTGTCAAACTTTTTATACAACGACCTACGAAGGGGCAAGACCTGGTGCCCAAGGTCCTGAAATGGGCGACTGAAGAGACTGACAATCCTGATCTCCGAGATCGCGGATATATGTATTGGCGATTGCTCTCTACAGATCCAACACTTGCAAAGCAGGTGGTCATGGGTCCTAAGCCGGCAATCACCGCCGAGTCAGAGAAGCTGGACCCTGCAACCCTGGAAGAAATGTGCCTTAACGTTGGTACGCTCGCCACCGTTTACCTTAAGCCCGTGCAACAGGTATTCCGAAATGCGCGACAAAGAAGGCTCATTGATAGTCCGGCTTTACAGAAGCATACTTTGCCCACCGTGATCGCGATGGAAGCACACAAGTCCTTACCTTCGGTCATGAACGGTTCTGAGCTACCACCTTCGACAGGAAACGGAGGCGAGGCTAACAGAGCAAATCTCTCGGCTGCCATCGATGCTGCGGATGTCTACTTCCAGAGCCTTAATACTAACATGGGTTCTATGGAACTTGGAGGAGATGAGGGCTTTGGAGGCAGTCCCACGGCAGGCGCAGCTGGAGAACGACAGTACGTTGTAAATCAGAACAATCCTCAGCAGGTGTATCAGCCGCAGATCGGAGGAGAGAATGGTGATTTGCTGCTTCTGTAGCCCGATTCGGGTTTGACCGACCGACAAGAAATCCATGGCTAGAGCCGTCTGGATGCTTTACGTTCGAAGTCGAATTGTTCTGGTGATCAAGAACACTTGTATGATTTGTTTAGAAACCCGGGACTCCATTGTCTACAATAACAGAGCAACTACTGGCCTTCTCTATCCAATCCTCTTCCCTACTGTCCCAGTACTTGATCCTCGCATCTATCTTCATCACTTCTCCCCGTCTTTCATCAACTAGCTTGATACCGAGCTTTGGCTTCCTTTTCTACCACTGGTGTCGGTGGATAATTAAGCCCCGAACTCCTCTCCGAAGTGTACGGATCATGAATGCCAAGTGCCATACGGAGGTCTGCACCAAAAGTCCTGCACCATGCCAAGAAAAGGGCCCAGATGTCGGATATCGCCCCACCTCAAGGGTTGCCTGGACAATGCCCTTTGAATTGTGTCGGAATTGCACCTGACCTCAGCCTACTCTAGGGCTCAAGGACCCCATAGCGCCCACAAAGATCCCTAAAAGTTCAACGTATGCGCTCCCGAAAAGCTATTCCCACTGCAGGGTCGCCTTCCGAAAGTAGGGTTAGGGCTATCACTAGCGCGGGTGCAGAACTTTTGGTGCAGACCTCCGTACGGCGTACATTAGAGTACAGCGTACCGTAGATAAGGCCTAATGGCGCTAGGGCTCCTTAAAACCCTACCTACGGTAAGGTACTGGGACCCTGTATGAACCAGCCGTTGTGGGCACTGGACATGATTTTCAGTTAGGGATGACTTTTTGCCGGTAACTCTCGTGGTTGAGTGGCAATTAGCACCACCCTAGTTCCAGAGCCAGCACGGTAGAGCCATGTTTCCATGCCGGGAATAGAATATACCGGTGTTTTCGGCGATAGTATCAAAAAGAAACGTCACTTGCATTAGCCCACTCACTACGAGTACCTTTTCCTTCAATATATAAAAAGCCTGGGGGCATCTATCTTCCAATCATGTATCAACGCAGTATTTTCTCATCGCTACCCTGGATACGGTCATTGAAGATTTCGTTCAGTAGGAAATCATCAGGAGAATGACACCCTCCGCACGCAATCCAAATGACGGTGTAACTGCCATTATCGAGAAAAATACTCAGTCCTCAGAATCGAAACATGAAGATTTTGCTGCCAAACCAGTAGCTCCACAGGAGCTAGACGGGCATGTCATTGACAGCGAGGCAGTCCCACCTGCGGAAGATGAATCTGCCGAGAGAGCCACTGAGGACCTCGAAGCTCTGCATCAAGCACCCTCGGGACCAGCATACTCCGTATTCAGCCATCGCCAGAGGAAATTCATAGTCTTCATGGTGGCCTGTGCAGGCTTCTTCTCTCCATTATCGGCCAATATATACTTTCCGGCTCTTAACGCTTTATCGCGAGACCTCAAAGTCTCAAATGAGCTCATCAATCTGACCTTGACGTCTTATATGATCTTTCAGGGGCTGGCGCCTACGGTGTTTGGGGACTTGGCCGATATGACTGGCAGAAGACCCGCATATGTAATAGGGTTCATTATATACATTGGTAGGGGTTTGCACCCTCCAGTCCCATGGGTTCTTGCTGACGCCTCAGCTAGGCGCAAATATCGGGCTTGCTTTGCAGAACAATTACGCCGCTCTGCTTGTATTACGGTGCTTGCAGAGCACTGGTAGCAGTGGAACTGTGGCACTAGGCAATGGGGTTGTCGCGGACGTTTCTTCGAGTGGGGAGAGGGGCAAGTTTATGGGTAGGTTTGTTTTCGTGTGGTTGCCCAGACAGTGACTGATCTTGCTTAGGAATCGCTCAATTCGGCCCTATGGCGGCGCCAGCTTTAGCCCCGGTCATTGGTGGAATCCTGACCCAATTCCTAGGCTGGAGGTGGCTTTTCTGGTTCTTGGCGATCTTAGCTGTCGTTTACTTGATCCCTCTTCTCATAACTTTTCCGGAGACTGGTCGAAATGTCGTCGGCAATGGCTCAATCCCGCCTCCAGGGTGGAACATGTCTTTGCTCAACTACCTGAAAACTCGCAAGATTGAGCATAACGATGCTCTGAATCGAACAGTCTCGCGTCAAGAAATGAAAGCAGCGCAGGCGGAGCTCGCTAGAAAGAGAAAGCTCCGGTGGCCCAACCCATTGAAGACTATTTATATAATTTTGGAGAAAGACGTTGGTCTGCTGTTGTTATATAATTCTTTGGTTTACACAGCGTTCTACGACGTAACCGCCAGCTTGCCTAGTCAATTTGCCGAAATCTACGGATTTAACGAGTTGCAAATCGGGTTCGTTCCCTTACCTCATAGGCAGCTTGTACATGTGCTAAAATTGTTTCAGGTTAACTTTCATTCCGTTTGGAGTTGGATGTTCAGTGTGAGTTATGTTCTCCGAGCCATTTGTTCCTGGTTCATACTGCATCAAAAGAGGCATTCTAACTCCGAAGGCGTGTAGAGCATCTATACTTTTTGGCCGCCTTATGGACATGAATTACAAGCGAGTAGCCAAAAATGCTGGCTTCCGTATTGACATCAAAAGGGGCGACGACATGAGGAATTTTCCTCTCGAAAAGGCACGTATCCAGGTGTTTATAATCCCCCTTTATTTTGGTATCGCAGCGATTTTGTGCTGGGGATGGGTTCTCGAGCGGAATGCGCCCCTAGCCGCTCCACTAGTCCTATCGTTCGTCATTGGTTTGTGTCTGACTGGATCATTCAACGTCATGAGTACAATGTTAGTCGATTTATACCCATTGAGCCCCGCGACGGCTACGGCAGCAAACAATTTGGTACGGTGTTTGATGGGCGCTGCTGGTACTGCTGTTATCATCCAAATGATTAACGGTATGGGAAGAGGGTGGTGCTTTACTCTCATTGCTGCGATAATTTTCTTCACTAGTCCTTTGTTGTGGGCTGAGCTGAAGTGGGGACCTAAGTGGAGAGAGCAAAGAAGGGTGAGGGTGGAGAAGCTAGAGGAAGAGAAGGAGGCAAGAAAGGCAGAAATTGAGATTGGTCAGGAAGATGTCATTTAAAGGATCAGTTACTATTTGTGGGCATTTGTACACACATAGCGTATCGTGTCTTTATATACCCTAGATTGAGCAAGTTTTTGTCCTCTCACCTCCTTATATGTCGTCGGCTTGCCGGGGTGAAAGGAGGATAGGAATTTATTTGGAAGGCAATTCGACGAGATTGTTGCGTCACTTTATAGCCTCCGTCGACCAAGATCCAGTAGAGAGGGATGATGCGCTACATCTTCACTCCCTTCACCATCTTTGCTTTGGGATACTTGGGTAAGATATGTAGAAGGATTGAGTGATGTTTGGAATCTGCAGACTACAAGATAATTTAAAGTCTTGCGCGCGCCTACTCACCGCCAAATATGTCCCCAAACTCGACCTCTTCACAAGCCAACAAACCTTTGACAAGATTATCCAACATCAAAGGCCATATCAATATGGAGGGGTGCAATCCTACCGTCTTCCACGATGACATCGTGCCGCTGGCGCCAGAAGACCCGCTATTCGGGCTAATGGCTGCCTATAAAAAAGATGACTTTGATAAGAAGGTTGATTTGGGTATTGGAGCTTACCGTGACAACAACGCACAACCATGGGTACTTCCTGTTGTCAAGAAGGTAAGTCCTATCTAACGGCATGGAGACCAGAATCTCCTCGGGCTCACCATTCTCTCAGGCGGAGGAATTACTTCGCAAGGATCCCAAGCTCAATCACGAATATCTGCCAATCGCTGGTCTTGCCGACTTCACCGTGGCAGCACAAAAGCTCATCCTGGGAGCAGATAGCCCCGCCATAAAGGACAAGCGGGTACATCTCTGGACTCAACCTCCGCCAGCATTGGGCTAATTACGCTCGTCGCAGGTTGTGTCCCTACAAACTATTTCCGGGACCGGTGCTGTCCACCTAGGAGGCCTCTTCCTCGCACACTTCTACCCTCGAAACCCCAAACAGCTCTACTTCTCCTCTCCAACGTGGGCCAACCACAATCAGATCTTCTCCAACGTCAAGCTCCCAACCAAGTCATACCCCTATTTCTCACCTCTTACAAAGGGTCTCGACTTTGATGGCATGCGTTCTACGATTGAGAAAGCTCCTGAAGGCAGCATCATTCTTCTACATGCTTGTGCGCATAACCCTACTGGTGTTGACCCGACTCGAGATCAATGGAAGGAAATTGCAAAGGTGATACGAGCAAGAAACCATTTCCCCTTCTTCGATTGCGCATACCAGGGCTTTGCGTCCGGTGACCTCGAGAATGACGCTTGGGCTGTCCGCTATTTCGTCTCCGAGGGGTTTGAGCTCTGCATTGCCCAGTCCTTTGCCAAGAATTTCGGTCTTTACGCCGAACGGACTGGTGTTTTCCACTTTGTCACGGGCGCTGGTCCAGATGCTCAGCGCACGATCGCCCGCATAGGTTCTCAGCTCACCCTCCTACAACGCAGCGAGATCAGTAACCCACCTGCTTATGGGGCTCGCGTAGCCAGTCTTGTTCTGAACGACCCGGAGTTGTTCAAGGAATGGCAAGCCAATCTGCGGACTATGGCTGGCCGTATTATCGACATGCGAAAAGCATTAAGATCGAAGTTGGAGGAATTGAACGGGAAAGAGGGCAGCTGGAAGCATATCACGGATCAGATTGGCATGTTCAGCTTCACAGGCTTGACTGAGAAGCAGGCAGTGAAGGTCAAGGATGATGCACATGTCTACATGACGAAGAATGGGAGGATCAGTATGGCAGGGCTGAACACGGGCAATGTCGACTACACGGCCAAGGCCATCGATAAGGTCGTGAGGGACACAGAGTAAGGGCGGAAGTTCTTTCAAGATGAGACCGATCGGGAAGAGCTGCATATAGATGGAGTCGACTCCGGGTATCACTGCTCTCTGTCCATACAACGCTCCCCTTGCTCCATGAGTATAGATAGACCTTAAGCAATTGCACGCTCCTAGAATATCAAGTCCCATGTCACCAAGAACCCACACAATCCACAACTAGCCCAGAATACCATTCTGGCAGTACTCTTTCTCTCCGTTGCCTTTTTAAGCTCTTTGTTTCCACTACCAACGTTCTCCGTTGTAGAAAACGAGTCGGACACCAATTGAGATATATTGGCGGTCTGTACGTCAAGGTTCTGGACGAGGCTGGTTTGCAACTCGGAGATCTCAAGCATGGAACGTTCAGCTGTCCTGCGAAGTGATAGTGGGTTAGAATAGAATAACGAAGAAAGGGATGGAGAGTACCAACCGAACCTGATCCAACGTATCTTCATACTGCTTCAACATATCCTGATTCTCTCGCGCAAACAACTGCAGTTGTTCCGGACTCAACTGTTGCTCGATTTCCCTCCGACTCTCATCCTCAACCACCCCTCCGCCACCCCTATACTCACTCTTTTCCTTCCCCGCACGCCCATCCATCCCCTCACCGCCACCTCCACTCATCCCAACCCCTTCCAAGCCTTCCCCAGCACCCACACTCCCTTTCACTTTATACAACACACTCCTTCCCCTCTCCACCTCTCTTTCCAACCGCCTCTCCATCATGGCCCTCTGCACCTCCCCCACCCCTTCCAATTCCCTCCCTAGATACCACAACACGCTATCCCTATGCGTAGCAAGAACTTCCCTCCGCGCCTCTTCAACTACCTGCTCGGGGCTCTTATCCCCGCCGCTGGCTCCGGCCGCCCAGCGCCCTAGCACACCTTTGGCATACTTTTTGGAAGAAACGCGTGACTCAGTGTCCCGGCGGATTTCTTCGGCGGAGGCGAGTTGCCGGATGCTGGCGTTCAGGTCGCGGAGGACGGTTTTTGAACTCGCGTCTATGGCGTCACGGGCGGAGGCGGAGAGGTAGGTGGTTTCTTGCGAGGGGCCATTGCGGAGGCGTGAGGATGGGGGATGGGCGGCGCGGCGGGGTGGATGGGAGGTCGAGAGGTAGGCTTGGCGGATCGAGAGGAGGTAGGTGTGTAGAGAGAGGATATGGGAATTCTAAGGAAGGGGGTTTAGTAGGATGGTAGGGTATTTGGGGGCATTTAGGGGAAGGGTACTATTCTGTATGCTTCTTTGAGGAATTCATCGCGGGTGCTGGAGCGGGTGAGAGGGTGCTGGTTGCAGTGGGTATTGTGTTTTTGGAGGAACTCGTTGAGGGTGGGGGTTATGTTGGACATTGAAGGTGTTTGCGAATTGCTGGCAACACTGGCATGGTTCTGCAGGAGAAGTGAAAAGCAAAGTAACCCTAGTCTAACCCTAAGTACATTATCTTATCTATCGGCAGCCTGTTAGGGCTTAGCTTGTCAGAACACTTAACGCGGCGGGCTTCGCGACTGCCCTGGGACGCGATTGTGCATTAATAAGTCGATTGAATCGTCAAATTCGAGTGTCCGAGCATAATAGGCCGATCAACCTCGTCGCCGGTCTGGCTACTCATGCTATCTCGAGGCTGCGTATCTCTATACCTTCCTTCAGATCATTCTCTCCGCCACCCTCATTCTACCCCGTCCTGGCCTTCACCAAGTCTTTCCATCGTCGACGAGGCAGCATACAACATCAGATTCGTCCGATCACGGCGACGACTTACTTTCCTGAGCCAACTATGCCACCAAAACAAGCTACTTTGGGGTATGTCAAATCGGGGCAGCAGACCTTAGGGTGCATGCTCCTTGTTATCACCAATTCGCACACTCACTAATGCGTATCCGTCGGATAGAAAGTTCTTCGCACGCCCTGCTGGCTCCTCACCAAAGCCTCAACAGTCGAAGCTGGCTTTTCAGAAGCCGCACACGACAAAGGCTGTCAAAGACGAGCATGAGGAAGTAGACGGGGTCGTGAAAGCAGAAGATCGTGAAGAAGCAGATGCTGTGAAAAATGATGTCTCCGATGAAGATATCAACATGGACAGCAAGTCTGAGGTGCATCAGTCAGCTATGGATACCAAGCAAGAAGACCCAGACATGAACGGCATGGAGAAAGTCAATTCTGCGCTAGCCAACGCCAAAGGTGAGTCGTCCATGTAGACTGTTCGCCTCGAGCCAAATCACTAACAGCAGAGCATTGAGTAGACCATACCGGCCATACCACAGCTGAAATTTCGTCTCTGCCACGCAGATCGACCCCATCAAAACGTAGTAAGAATGAACTAGAAGACGAACAGGACGAGGATGATGAAGAGCCGGTGAGAAAGCGTTCAAGGCGGGAGAATACTAGGGAACAATTTGAGCACGCAACAAGGCAACCAACAACTGAAACCGACAAAGAACCTCCGAAGCCGAAGGCGAAAGCTACTTCCCCGAAAGCTGCCCAAGCGAAGAATGAGTCGAGGCCATCATCCAAGAAAACAGAAAACACCTCCAAAACGGCAAAAGCTGCTGATGCAAACAAAGCAAAGGGGCCTCGGATAGAGACAGGACATGCTCCTGCAAAAGACGCCGGAAAAGAATCAGAAAATGATGTTTCTGACGAAGTTTCCTCAGAAGTAGAAGACGAAGAAGCCGAGTCTGACGAAGAGGACAAGCCTGAAGTCGCTGCTAAAGCTCGGGAGAAAGTCCAGTCAACACTCAAGAGCAGTGCAGAAGACCCCTATCCCAATTGGAAGCCCGGGGAGCCGGTCCCATATGCGGCATTATGTACTACTTTCTCATTGATCGAAATGACTACAAAACGGCTCATAATTTCAGCACACTGCTCTCTGTTTCTCCGTCAGGTCCTACGGCTTACACCTCAAGATCTCTTACCTACTGTGCAGCTCATGATCAATAAGCTTGCTGCTGATTATGCTGGCATTGAGCTTGGTATTGGAGAATCGCTGATCATGAAAGCTATTGGTGAGACCACCGGAAGGAGTTTGCAGGTCATTAAGGCCGACCAGAACGAGATCGGAGATCTAGGTCTTGTTGCCGCAAAGAGTCGCTCGAATCAGCCTACGATGTTCAAACCAAAACCTTTGACGGTACGAGAAGTTCTCAAAGGTCTGATGGGAATCGCTACAGTCTCAGGCGACGGCTCCCAAGGGAGAAAGATCGCTGGTATCAAAAAATTACTAGCTGCAGCAGACGCTTCATTGGCAGGCAAGCGCAGCAAAGGGATCGACATCACGAAGGACAAAGGCGGAGCGAGTGAAGCTAAATTCATAGTACGATTCTTGGAAGGCAAGTTGAGGCTTGGACTAGCAGAGAGAACGGTACTTGTCGGTCTCGCGCACGCTATGGTCATTCACGAGACCGACAAGAAGGGAGACAAGCTACCAAGTAGCGAAAAGCTGGCGGAAGGAGAGGCAATTCTGAAGACAGTCTATAGGTGAGATGTAACAGGGGCGATGCTTTCCTCTGCTAATAGACTTCCAGCGAACTACCAAGTTACGAAGTCATCGTTCCTGCAATGGTTGAACACGGCATTTTCCACTTGCGCGACAACTGCAAACTACAGCCCGGTGTGCCCCTCAAGCCAATGTTAGCAAAACCTACGAAGTCTATTACCGAAGTCCTTGACCGGTTTGAAGGCAAGAACTTCACCTGTGAATATAAGTACGACGGAGAGCGCGCCCAGATTCACTACGTTGCTGGAGACTCGCCTCAACAATACACAAGCAGTGTGCCAAAATCTAGTAAATCGGCCAAAGGTCTTTCTGCTATCTTCTCACGGAATTCGGAAGATCTTTCGAAGAAGTATCCTGACATTTTAGCGAAGCTAGACTCATGGATCAAAAAGAAGACCAAAAGCTTCGTACTGGACTGTGAGACCGTGGCATGGGATCTTGTCGAGAAGAAAGTTCTCCCGTTCCAGCAATTAATGACAAGAAAGCGCAAGGATGTCAAAGCCGAGGACGTAAAAGTCAAGGTCTGCGTCTTTGCCTTTGACATGCTCTTCTATAACGGAGAGGTGAGTCATGAGCTTCCCGTCCGTGAATGCTATGTGCTGATCATTGAAAGGCTATCGTCCAAAAGTCTCTGCGCGAGCGAAGAGAGCTTCTACATCAGGCTTTCCAGGAGGTCGAGGGCGAATTCTCTTTCGCCCAACATGGCAATACCGACAATCTCGAGGAGATCCAAACGCTGCTTGACGAGAGCGTCAAAGCATCCTGTGAAGGACTCATGGTCAAGATGCTTGATACCGACCAGAGTGGCTACGAGCCCAGTAAGCGAAGTCGTAATTGGCTCAAAGTGAAAAAGGACTACCTCTCCGGCATTGGCGATTCCCTGGATCTCGTCGTTCTGGGCGCATACTTTGGCAAGGGCAAGCGTACGTCGGTATATGGCGCTTTCCTGCTAGCTTGCTACAACTCCTCAAAAGAATCTTACGAAACAGTCTGCAACATAGGCACCGGTTTTTCAGAAGCCATACTCGAAGAGCTTCATACGAAATTGAAGGATCACACCATTGACAGACCGAAACCCTTTTACTCACACAGCACGGTGGCCAAGGACCAGCCAGACGTCTGGTTTGAGCCGCGCTTCGTGTGGGAGGTTAAGACTGCAGACCTCACACTTAGCCCGAGGTACAAAGCTGGGGCCGATGCGCTGGGTGATAGTAGTCATAAGGGGATTAGCCTGAGATTTCCGAGGTTTATCAAGGAGAGGGATGATAAGAAGGCTGATGAGGCGACGGGGAGTAGGATGGTGGTCGAGATGTATCAGAAGCAGGAAAGCGTGGGTAAGAATAAAGGGCCGAGTGTTGATGACGATTTCGAGTACTGATATCGAATGCGTGATGGCGGAAGAGAGACGAAGCACGCTTATGGCTGTTCTAGCTATGTACGTATTAATCGTTACATACCTTATACTTCCATTATCTACGATTATCCAAAGAAGCTTGCTTTATCCAAATACAGCTGCATCCCAAATCTATCCAAGAGTTTTTAGCCAGTACACCTATCCCAAGGTTCTTGGTAGGCCAATCCCATCCCCTCGAAAACCCTTCTCTCTGCTTCCTTCCAGTCCCGACACCTGGTCGTCCTATCTCCCCATCCCTCCAAGTCTACCCATTTCCCCGTACCTCTTTGGCGTACGCCACTACTGTCGAACTTCCAGCCCCTCACATGTTTCGCGTACCGTCTCAAATCCCTCTGGAACGTCGTCCCAGACGTCCATCCCGCTACTCCGCAGCCTACAGTACGCCACGGACTGATGATAATATCAACCCGGCGGTGCAGATTGGGATTCTTGGCTTTCGGGTTGGCTTTCAGATCGGCGGTTCTGGTGGGCCATTCTGGATTCTGCCATACCAATAGAGCTTTGTCCAGGGTGTCAAAGCCGTGGCCACCAAGGGAGGCGGTGCTAATGGGTAGACTTGATAATTTCGGAGTCAGCATTACTCTTTTGGGAAGGGAACTTGAGTCGCGAGGCACGCCTTAGGAGCAGATAACTTTGAGACAAGTCTGAGGACTCATAAGACAGCATGAATGGGGGAAAGTTGCCCCGGAAATGATAACATACGGTTCTTGATTGCGTTTGGTGTTTGTGAGATTCAAGGTCAGGGTGTGAGTGATCCAACCCTCTTTTTCTAGAGACTTAACCACTTTGTCAACGAGGTTGTAGGTCATTGCTTCGTTCTGGTGAGAGAGGATTAGGTCCACGTCTCCGCTGCAAGTTCTCTATTCAGTAACATCCTTTTCGAGTTCCAAATTGAGTCATAAGACAGTTACGGGAGTCATGGTACTCCCGCAACGTGTCTTGCCACCCAGATTAGGTTATGGAATAGGAAAAAAAGAGCTGGGGAATCTATTTACCATTCGGACTTGCCGCGTCGATACCCACCAACAATTATGGAAACAATGTCTTTGTCGGTGACCAGGCAGGCGTGTCTGGTGATGGTTTCTGCAATTGATTCTACCTCAGCGCGAGAGATTTTGTGCATCAATTCGTCATAGTATTTGAGACCAATCTGCTGGACACGAGACAGCGATTTCCACCCGTATTCTATGACGTCGTTGAGGTCTCGCCAGCCTTTGTCGTAGTAGAACTCTCGGGCTGTTTTGGCGCCCACACCCCAGATCTCGTAGAACTCGCGGAGGACTTTGAGGGCGGGGTCGGCTTCTAGGTCGGCAACTGCTTGGATTTTGCCATTGCTGGCTTGGTATTCGTGGAAGAGGTGGGCAATCTTCTGGTCGCAGCTTACGCAAAGTTCGGAGTCAGCATTGCTTAGTCGAGGTAGGTAATGGAGTTGCAAGACAGGTCTCGGGGGTTAGAAAGGATGTCTTGCGGCTCAATTTGAATACCATATGGAAAAGATCAGCTCCAAAATGTACGTACCTGCGCACAATTCGGAGTCAGCGTTGCTTCTCAAAGGCAGAACTCAGGCTCGCACAGAGTCCTTGAGTGTTGTCAGTACAAAGAGCTGTTTGCTCGGAAGGCATGTCTTGCAACTCGGAAGTCGGCACTGAAAAGGAAGGAACCACTCAGAAATGTACGAACCTAGGTAGTGCAAGGATTTCTCGAGTGCTCTGAATTGGATAAGGGTATGCCGCAAGGGACGCAATGCTGCTGCTGTAAGCTCGAACGCCAATTTCATCCAGCGTCAATAGACGAGCTAGCTTGATCTCTTTCAACAGGCAAATGAACGCCTGATTGGGGGATATCAGCGGCGTAGCTCGCTCACAGGCATAGATTTTCTTCTCTCGAACCCAATCTGGCATCAGTGGGAGGGCGCTGCTGGCTGCTTCATCGTGCTCCGAGGTTGTTTGATGCAGAAGGCGAGTAGGTCGTGTGATATTCTGCCTGGGTTGTTGGCTGGCAGCCTGAGTTGAAGACGAAAAGCTCTTGCCGACAAAGTCTTTGTTCGCGGCGGCTTCGATGCGATCCCGCTTTATGTACCGGTTGATTGATGGTTTGGAGTCGGCATTCGCGCGCTCGATGATTCCACTCGGATCTCCTTTCTTGATGTAAGTACTCTTGTTGCCTGTAAAGGGTTTCAATCCATTGGCTTTCATGGTGGCTGGGCGATTCATTGCAGGCTCTTCAGGGGTAATAAGTGTTCCAGTGTATATCGTGTAGGGTTCCAACGGAAGTACTTTCCCAGCGCTGAGTGATTCATTGAGCCAATCAAGCTTGATAACTTTCACTTTGTCGGTAAAAGACCCTAGGAAAATCGGTGGTGGAGGGGTATCTTTTGCCGCCATAGAGTTCGGTGAGGACGCATCGGATGATGTGGACACTCGAGATAGAGAGAGCTGTGACATTGGCTTGGTGCTCGCATCTGCTTCGTCCTCTGTTTCGGAAGACGTGGATGAGTCGTCGATGACTAGGTCCACCTTTCGCTGTGAGAATTCATCACTCCTATCCCCAACTTTTCTCCGTTTCTTTGCCGGAGCTCTACCTTCTGGGCCTCGGGGAGAGGTAGGTTTTTCTGCGCTTGGTGTGTCCTCTGTGTCTTCTACACGAACCCCTTTCCATTGCAGCTCAGATTTGGCACGTCTCGCTTTGGAGATGTTTCCAAGGACGATGTTTGCTTCTTTGATATCATATGTCAGAGATGCACCACCATGACTCAGGGCATCTTCAGCTTCGTGTTGCTCATTGATGGAAAGATGTGCTGCAAGCACATAGACAGGAGGCAAGCCGCTAAAATCGAGCTTCAGAACTGGATTATGCTCATCAGGGTCAATGGTGGCAATGGAGGACCGGCTGTCATCCATATCGCCTTGAGGTTTGAAATGCATCAACCAGCTGCTGGATTACGTCGAAATTATTTACGATATGAAAGTTACAACCTTGGAACATGTTGCGAGATGAGAATCGGTATTTTAAGAAAAAGGGGAAATGGAGAAGAGGACAACGAATGACAAGTGAACCGACGTTGGCTATGTACTAGAAGAAAGAATCGAATGAAAATGGAAATGAAATTGAAAAAACCGAATATTTACGAAAGTCTTGAGATTTAAAATGTCACTAGTACTTTACTGGACGTCATTCATCGGTATTTAAAATCTGTAGTATGTATATTTAGACTAGCTTCATCCGATATAGTGCTAGACATCTCAACCACCAAGCGTCACCAGAAGTCTTGGCTCCTGGCACCGCTTGAGAACAGAGGATAGTAGTATTTGGAGGCAAAAAGAGAGCCTGCTTAGCCATTTCAGATGACCTGCGCCTCATATTCAGTCGCGTGTACACACTGCTAAATTTCTGAATCACATCGTAAACCATGGTCAATAGCAAGCCTGACTTCCCATCTCTCACGGGAGGCACATCTGTGCAACTCCTTCTACTACTGTCCGGCAAAGGAAGTCGCAATGGTCACAGCCGGTCTTTTACCAGAGAGAAGGGCAGGGCGAGGGAGAATGGAGGATCTCATGACCACGACCTTCCAGTCTCCTTCACCCAGAAATTCGCTTATCGTTCTCCCCTCCTGTTCTCATTCTGTCGTCCTTCACAAACCAGCCATGGGAGCCACACGAATTTAAATGCGGAGAAAAGGGCGGTAGACAGTAGCAATCCCAATCTCGTCCGACTGGAGCACTTGTTGTGGAGGCCATACGAGATCTTCCCTGGAGTTTGGAAGTACAGGTACCGCATAGGGCACCACGATTGGCTGATTTTCGACCACCATGCTGAGGTAAGGGATTCCACATGCGGAGTCATGAGCACAAACTGATGTGCTTTTCGCAGAGATAGATACTTCAGGCGAAGAGTCCAATGTCCTCAGGGTCGAGAAAGAGGGCCCCGCAATCCTTCAGTCACCCGCAGTACTTCCGATCTTTGGGAGCGAGATATCCTCAAGCCAGGGGTCTCACCAAATATCATCTTTGGATTAGGTTCATTGTCCTGACAGAGTACCACGGATGGTCCCTTAGACCCTTTGGATGTCCGACATCGAAGGGGTTCCTCTCCATTTCCCCTCGGCGATTCCTTTTAGTTGTCAGCTGCCAATGTTGCAGAAGAAGGTTACGATCCATTTCGTAATCCCCAAATTGGATGAAGAGCAACAGTTGCTCGTTTACCAAACATGGAAGCGATCAAGCAGAGTTAGCGGTCTTTCGGGTGGCGAGGCCTTTGTTGAGTCCAAAGATCAGGAATGCTTCTTTACGAGCTGTTTGCGAGAAACCCATAGCTTGGACCTGTATCCTCTTCACCAAGGTATCCAGTCAATTTCCCAACTCGTGACAAGAACAACCTCGCCCAATTGGAAGGTTTCAGATGCTATGGGGACGTTGGACCTGCCTTAGTCGTTGTCCGGACTCTGAGAGATCAAAGAACTGTAGCGCTCAAGCAGCAATCAAACGAAGTGTGCGGGCTCAGACTTTAGTGGGGCGAAAAGTTGATTGTGTTGTCTGATGGGGGTCATCGCGCCGCGGTGATGAACTCGTTAGCACCGATTTTCAAAATGTAAACAACAACATCGCCGCTCATATTCACATCCTACCTCATCATTTTCTCATATCCTATTTACACTTCGATAGTAACATTCTTCTATCACTGTAAACCTACAAGAGGCTCTGTCCATCTTCTTTCGGCCTCCTTTCCAGCCCGCAATTTTGATAGAGCGAATTTCTCTCTCATGTTCCGAAGACTCCTTTCGTTTTAAGTCCCAAGCTTCTTTATGCAACAGTTTTCGTCTACAGCTTGACCTGACAGCTTTTGCGATGCCCGACCAGGATAAGCCCAGCGTGAAACCACCAGGTGTCATATCGAGGAAACCTGTGGTGCCAGGTCCTAACTCGTGGGCCCAGTCGCAGCAGGAGCAGCAGCGATCCTCAAGCGGTGAGCAATTAGAGGTTGGACGAGTCACGAACAGGGATAAGTATGAACATAAGCCGATGCCGCCACCACCAACAGACTCCTCGCCTCACAACAAACACCTACAGGCTAAGGCATACATACAACCAGCTATACCTTTGCTGAATCCGGCACCAAAACTGCAGAGCCAGCAGAAGCGAGCAGTGACAGACCCAATCGCACCGAAGCCCCTATTCGCAGGCAGAAAGCTCAGTGTTGCTAAGCTACGCAAGAAGTACTCCTTTTCAAAAGCAGGAGACGACGTTCCGGTGGCCGAAGCGATGCCTACAGACCAATCTTCTCCCGCTGTTCGGCTCTCTTCTGAGAAAGCAGCAGAGGTCTTAGGACTGTATCCGCCGCCAGAGAACAAGCCTGATACGCCTCCAGCCTCCGCACTTCCAGCGCCAGTGCTTGACTCTTTCCGCCCATCATCTGACTCAGTAGAAAGAACGGCTAGCCCAGTGCGGCAAGTTCAATCAACACCTGTGCCTACGCGCCGCTACTTAAGAGAGAATGACCTACCAACGCCAACAACTACAGAGGCTCCCGTTGCTCCCAAACTGCAGGCGAACGAAGAACCACAGAGTCAGAACAAAGATCCAAAGAAAGCAGAAAACGGTGTGTCTACACCTGGAATGCTCCAACCTCCCAGACTTGGGAGATACGGCAATGTGGGCGAAGTCGGATTGGTGGAGTCAAATCGGATGCACAGGGTCGAGAGCTACAGAGGCGTTATAGAAAACGCAGAGTCTTCCGTGGGCAACAATGAACAGGTGTATGCGGGCTCGACGGGAGTCCTGTCGCAATCAAGCATGACTCAGGGTCTGAACACTGGAGATCTTCTGCCACCTGTTATCTACTCGCCAAGCAATTACGGCGGAGTCTGGGAGAACGATCCTGCTGTTGTCAGTATTTGAGGAAGCTCAATCCACAGATCGGTGAAATACTGACTATGTCCAGGGCTATTCACTTCCCCCTTTTAGCCCCATGCCGAACGGGCTCCCGCCGAGTAACGGGATAGACGGGAATGACCCGTCCGACAACCGTGGGATGCCTCTCATGCCTAATGAGCTTGTGAATGGTTACGGCAATAGCAAACATACAGATTTTCATCCATTTGCAAGTTTCGAAGCAAACAAAAATCAAAATCCAAACACAGATCGCTCATCGGAAATTTACCGTCCATTGCCGTCCGCCAACTCGTGGGTCTCCGGCAACTCCTTCACATCCACAAATGCGCCTTTGTCGGCTCTCTTGCCCCCTAGCTGGCCCAATCATCACAGCAGTAATTCCGTCCCATCACCACCTCACAATCAACATGATTACCAACGTCCGGGGTCAATGTCAGCTGCCATGGCTCGATTAGAGCTCACACTGCACCACCACATCGATAGCACCGCTGGGTCATTGTCAAGGTTGATCACTGATAAGCATGATAGAATCATGGACCAGACAATCAGGCGACTGGAGAATCTAGAGGAGACGGTGAGCAAAGGATTCCGTCATCTCAAAGCCGACTTCAAAGATATCAGGAAGGATATCGATGATTTGAAAGAGGAATTCAAGGATGTCGTGAAGGGCAGTGACAGTGTCCAGGAACTATTCAAAGGAATGGACGGAAAGCTCAAGGCATTGGAGAAGAGTGTCGAAGGGCACAGTTGCAACTGTCAGCTCGCCGTTGCAGAACGGAGCCCCAGTGAGCCTGCGAGCGAACCTCAACAGGAAGCCGCATCGCATCGGCGAACTGAAAGTGCACATGGTGCTTTGGGTCACGGCGAGCAACGTCAACAATATCGAAGCGGTGCCAGTCGCTCGTCGACCAGCGCTCGTCAAAGCGGAAACAGTAACAGAGTTCATCGTTCCAATACAGTCAACAAGCAGCTCGGCAACAGGATGAGTGACGAAACTGATACAAGGAGGGAGTACTTTGCGGAGCTAGGAGCAGCTAGAGGTCCCATGCCAGATCTGAGGGATCACCCAGCATATTCAGGCATGCAACAGGACCAAAGCCAGATATACGGGCACGATCAACATAGCATACCATCAGTCTTACATGGCTTACCATATGAGCCCCCGTCTCTCAGTGACGGTCGCTGGTATCAGCAAGCTTATGGTCAGAATCAATAGATACGAAAGGTCTACGCGCAATACGAGCGGAGCGAGATACAGTGGTATGTTGAAGCTTTGAGAGGTGGATTTGAGAGTGATGATTCGATGTGGGAGGCCATGCTCCAGAATAAAGGACTTCAGTAGAAGGCTTGCAGTTAGGGTTCAACCTGCAAATGGTAACATAAACCACGTAAAGTACATTTGGCACTAGGTTAGTAAAAGCAGTAAATTACAGGGTTCGATTTTCCGACATCTCGAACACTATGGATATGTTTTCTACCTACTGCAATGGCATTTCCCCCAGAGCGTATCACCGTCAAGAGGCGTCGGGATGAGGATCCAGTTGAGGCTTTATGTGAGTGTCATCACTTGTAGAGGTCTTGCTCCCTGGCGTCTGGTTCGCTCACTAGCTTGTGTAGTTATACAACAGAAGAAGCAGAGGCCCAGTGGTTTCTGGAAGTTGGTGGACGATGACAATGACACGCCTCAATATGCAGTACTTCTCTCCTCATCCAATGCTGTCAAAGAGACTCGGACTACCACGACTGCATTTCAATCACCCAGAGTACCCACCGTGAGGACTACTCTACCAAGTGAAGACTTCGATGAGTCAAACAACGCCATTCCTCGTTTCTCAAAGACTAAAAAGCCTAGAGCTGAAGCGTCTGCCATCATTGACAAGCGTCAGTTGCAATCTGAGATTACGCAACACAAGCAATCTCGCCAGAAACCCCAAGATATTCTTGCGTCCGCGTTGAGAGCACGAAAGTTCCATCTGGTCATAAATCCTTCGCCTATATCTTCGCCGCTTTTGGTTCCAAAGACTACCGCACAGAAGCATAGAAAGAACCGGAGGAAGGACCTTGCTATTTTCGTCGAGAGAACAGAAGTTATACGCGAAGCAAAGAAATCAGGCAGTGTTTCGAGACCTAGCAGTGGCGAACCAAGACATCTCGACTATATTGAAAAGAAGGACATATCGCAGCTTGAGAAGCCTCGTAAACGGCCAAACGCAACTGCTGCGGAGCGGAAGTGGAGGACTGAGACCTGGGCCAATCCCCCAAAGCCAAATGAAGTCACCGAAAATCTTACAAGAACAGCAGAAAACATCAACGAGCCGTCAAGTCAATGGAATTATGAGTCCACTGGGCTTGCCGAACAGCTGCAAGAGGTCGCTCTGGAGGAGATTCGTGCCAGCGAGGAACGGGCAAAAGGGCTCAGTGGTGGTGGAAAACTCAAGGTCAAGCCCAAGCCTCCAAAGCCTCGTCAACCTAGGACAGAGACATCGGCCGATGAACGCGGTGGGGATGATATCATGCTAGATACCATCAAACTCGACGACGATGGTGATTATGTGCTAGACACATACGTTCGGTCAAGTGCACAGCCTTTCCGAGTTATGGAGCCCACCGAGTTGCATCATGATTCGTTGAATAGTATAGATCCCGGCAACATTGGAATCCTGGTGATTGAAGACGAAGAAGAAGAAGCACTCTGGGAGGCTTTCGCCGAGGATCAAGAAAGCGACCCGGAATGGAATAGCGAAGAGGAAGATGAGAATGGTTTGTGGACCGACTCTCGAACGACAAGACTCACTGACGCGACAAACAGCGGAAGATTATTATGGGAATGACTACCCCGAAGATGAGGTCAACTCTGACGACGAGTTCGGTAGAGGTGCTTACAATTATCGACATGCTGCTTCTGACGACGAGGAGTTTGGTTGGTCTGATGACGAATAGCAGGCATAGCGTCCATAGTTGCTCCTCAGTCAGACTTTGGGACACGAATATATTACTCTGACGATAACAGCATGCAATGACTGCAGACATTGAATAGGGAAAGCATCAGCTATCGATATTCTATGACAGGAGGCACCTCAGCGCAAATCAGCAATTTCCTCTCACATGGCCTCTTCTGTTGATGACTGCATTCCCGCCATAAATAATTGCCGTGGCCACTTTCAAGGAAAGTACTTGAGACCGCAATGCCAAACAGATTCAAAGAATAAACGCTTTCGATGTTTCCTCCCAACTTCCACCGCCCCGAGGAGCAGAATGCTGATATGCGCTGGACCTGAATTATATAGCCACAAGGTTCTGGCTGTTGTCAGTCTGGTGGTTCAAGCACGGTGAAGGTGTGTCTTACATCAACGGCGCCTTTCGTCGCCAAGGATATGACCGTAGGCAGTACTGGCTGGGTGTCGGCCATCAAGCCAAGACCATGTCTCTCGCGTGTATCCAGTGGTCGCTGTCATCCCGTACCTTTGCACTGTATCTTGAGCGCTTCGCATCGCTCTCACATTCGGCAAGCCATTGGCTTTTGTGATTCGATAAAATTTACATTCGAGTCCGGGGATCTTGCGTCCCCCTCCTCCATCCTGAGAGAATCGAGCATTGTAAGCGTCGGCGATGGCAGTCCAGGAATACCCACACTGGACAGATGTTTCGAAGTCAGCATTGCCTGTTCAAGAAGGGGTCCCGAGACAGTCTGAAGAGGGAAATCTCCCTAGACAGTGCAAGAGTAAAGTCGGGCCAGAATTTTTTTGTGTCAGCAAATACGTACGTCAATACGAAGGTACCAAATGAAATGCTCCTGTTCTTCGGTATAATCCGGTCGAGGGGAACGGGTCTGCGATGGGGGGTCCGGCGATCCTGAGCCCCTGCTTCTTTGTCCCCATCTTGGTTGAGGACGAGAGCATCCTCGAGACCTAGCAGGTGCGCTGGCTCCGTGCGAGTGAGTTCCGGACCTAGGAGCTCTATTGCCTTGGAGAGAGCCTGGGTTTCTGGATACTGTTCTTCCAGCGTCGGATGACCTGGAAGACTGTGGCTGTTGATACCGTCTCGTGTCCTCGTCCGAAGGGTTCAACATGTCTTCAATGTTCATACTACGATGTCTTGACGTAGTGTCGGCATGGGCTGGAACAAGGCCTGGGTTTCGATTGCCACGAATGCGACCTTGGTTGTATGAGCCGATGCGGTAGCCATTCGATCTTGGATCATCTGCCCCAGAATCATTCGACGTGTAGCCAGATCCTCGGCCACCAGAAGGCATGATGTAAGACGCTGGCGTAAAAGTGTGGATGCTGAAAGATGTCTCGAAGCTGGATCTAAAGCTTGGCAGGCTGGCGGTCATGCACGCGGGAAAGAGCACCTTTTAGCAAGCAGATCCACTCCTGTACCAAAGATGCAGCAGAGAAGCGAAGCGCTTGCAAAAGGACCAAGAGTCGCCTTAGCCAGGATCTGGGGCTTGCATGCAGGATCTAGGGTTGTATTTCCGGAGCTGTGCTTCAAGGCTGTGGGGGTGTCCACAGCAATGTCTGGTAAGGAATCTGGTTCGCTGAAACCAAAACAACTCCTACGGGTAGCAGGTGACGACGAAGGATCTCTGCCGACCACTTCAACGCGGTCACTTGCCGCAATTGTCGTTGGGGAAGCGGGACTCAGCGAAATTATCCGTCAGTCGAGCATAGAGTGGATAATAGTCCCTGGTCGGTCGCTAGCAAGGAGTCCAAGAATGATTGGACGAGAGAAATGGTCTACCAACAGATGCTCGGGTTAGTCACTGCGTTCTGTCGATTTCCTGCTGTGCTTCTACGCTCGTGAGCGCCTGTTTACCCTACTAAGCTATTGAGGGACCGGTGGAAGAAATGGCAGAAGGCGCAAGGATTTGAGGGGTCATTGACGAATATCTATAGATCTGGGTACAGCCCAGGTCAAATTTAGCCGGAATTTGATGCATGTTCGGCCAGTAAGGGAGCATGGGAAAAGGTGCAGAATGAGCGACTACTGGCCTCGGGAATGGCCAAAATCGGAGTCTCCGTCTTCTCATACGTCCAGCTCACATGTACGCGAGGGTTCACAGTCGTTGAAGCAATATCCAAACAAATATTCGACCCAAACAGGCTTAGCTCGAGTCTACCCACCCATCACTGTTAGATAGAGCAAGGATCCCAGGTGGACCTATTTCTGCAACTAATGGATAGTAAGACGCATTTCCTCAAGTAGTCCATACCTACTTATCCAATTGAGAACACGCGCCAACCACGGGAGCATGAGAGGAGGGTTTCATGTATCGTCTGTCGCCCATTGGATGCTACTGCGGTAATTTCCGCGCGACTCTTGTGCCAGCAATGCTGGCCAAACGGCCTGACAGGGCCTGTGCAGGTCTGCATGATTTGGAGAGACTGCCCGGCGGTGATAGGCCGGCAGGCATCTGCAGCCCCGCGTGCGCACGAGTTCCATGCATGACTCCATGGCTGCATCGCATGGCTAGGTCACATCAGCGCCCACGTCTTTGATTTGACGTGTACCCAAACCCAAGGTTCAGGCGAAACAAGACAGCTGAGACCTTATCGGCCACACGAGTCCCACTGCCAGGGGCATGTTAGCTGTCATGCTGTGTCCTCCTTATCTCTTTTCCCATTTCCCATTTTCGGTCTTCCTTTATAGCCTGCAGGAGAGAGATGGCCCAGTATAGCCACATAGTGTGCTCGGGATGATGATCGGGTTCAGCCCTCAGCTGTACCAACTTGGTCATCCTTTCCGACCTTCACGCATGTGTTGCGGGCGTTCACCGTGAGACTTTCCGTTTCATGTTGCAGATCTCAAGACGTCCCACTCCCACGCCGTGCCGTGTAGATCCTTTTACTTAGACTTAAGGATTTTGGCGCGCCGCCGCGAGATTTCACCGTTCCACTCATGTTGCTTCTCTACGCGCCGACATGGAAGCGTATGGAGGTAACTTGTGAGGAACAACCAACAATCATTTTTGATAAAGTTCCTAAATTTGTCGCGGCTTGGTCCATGCGGAAGTTCTATCTTGACCGACGTTGGTCTAAGCCCCGTACTTGTGATACAAGTCATGTTGGAAATCCGCCCACGTCATCTTCTTCTCGATTCTATCTTCTCAATCCCACAGTCTGCGGCTGACGTCTCCCGACTCGACCATCTCACCCCGAGGGAGGGCATCGACCCTTGTGCGCAGGACTACCGCCCTGAAGCCTGCTCAGGACGCTCATGCCGCTCCCGGCCTTCTGGCTCAGCCCGTGTGGCCCGTGTGCAAGCCATGTCAAGATGAAGGAGCCTTAAAGAAGTCGACCCCTTGCCGCATCTCCTCCTCTTCTCAATCCTTCAGCACTAAGAAAGGCAAAGGTAACCCTAATCCTTCCTCTCAGCTCTCAATGCACGTCAGAAAACCGGTTTGTGACCTTTCGGCTTGTTGCGCGCCTGGCCTATTTCTCCCCTCTTTTCGCGTATCGCTCTTTTTCATTGTTCGCAATCCAGCGTTTGGCTGCATCACCCTGCATATGTCATATGGGAGACTTCCGCACTATGGACATGACAGGGCTGATGGTGCTTCTATCCGAGCATCTCCTGCGACACGTTACGTTGCTTTCCATTCGCCCTCCCCCTGCTGCCGGTTCAACTTGGCAGGCAGCAAATGTGCAGCATCTACCTGCAAAGCACCACGAGAGGGAGGATGTCCCGGTGACGTATCATATGATCCTTCAGAATCAGCAACTCTCGAGTCATTTGCGGGATGAGGGGAGCTATTGCGTTATCGCACTTGGGTATATGTACCTAAGCGCCGCAGGAAGCACTGAGTCAATGGGCCAATGGCCAATGAGGAAATTGTGGCGCCGCGTAGCCGCAGTTTTTTGGAAGGATTATACTTTTATGGCTGACGAAACGCAAACGAAACGCAAAGGAAACGGTGTCATGCAGTCCTGACAGGCTGACAGCCAGCAAGAAAATGTAATAGGAATGGGAAGGAATGCAAGGAATGCAAGGATCATGATTTGGCCCATCCCTCGGCTCCACTCCCCCCTCCTTTTCCCCCCCATCCTTTCGGCTTGGAAAAGTTAGAAAGCCTGCAGCAAGGACCGAGGTGCATAAGGTGTGCTACCACAAACCACGTGGGCTTGCACATCTTCTGCAAACATGTCGTTCGGGCTTGAGAGAGATACGCCGAAAAGGCAAAAAAAGGTAAAAGAAAAGTAAAAGTTATTGGCTGTCAAGAAAAAAAGGAAACAAAAATTGAAGAAATTGATTTGGTGGTGCGTCAGCCACGTGCCAGGAATCTCTGGCAAGCATTTTGACTGGTCGATTGGTGGGTCTGGGGCTGACTGTTATTACTTTATTGTTTTTGTTGTTGTTGTTGCAATTCCTTGCCGTGGCGAATTTTGCTTTTCTATCCTGGCGATTCCAAATACAACATGTGCTCTTGGGCTGCTCCCCTTGCCAACACTATTGATGGCGTCGAGTAGGCAGCAGCGGTGAGAACTCTTCGGTCGAACCAGGCATCCGGTACCGATAGCGTAGATGGGCCCAAGTCTGTTTCGTCTGGCTTTGCGTCCTTGGTCGATAGTTGGTTCGGTAACCGTCGAGGAGGCCCGGCCCATCCGTACTCTTTCTTCAGCTTACAAGGTGCGAACTTCTTCAGGGACGTGTTGGATGTTAGATGTACGGTATATTTAGATGGCAACTTCTCAACGCATCTACCTATCTGGTCATGACGTTCTAGAGGGCATGGATTCCGCTTGATGGATCATCATCAGTTGGAAGTCAAATCTTGCTTGTTGGCTGCATCTATCTGAGTTTACCGCAGTCCGAACGTGGAGTTCCCGTCGTGCCTGTAGAGTAGGGCGCCGGCATTCGAAAAGCTATTGAACGGAATTTGCCTCCTTTCACGTATGCTCAACTTCCTATCGTACATTGGTAAAAGCAGTGGTGATTTGATCATCACTTCTCCACTTTGCTCAACAATTGGCCGCATTCGTAAATTGATCACTCTCATCACAAACATTGCTAGGTGTGTTGGCAACGGCGATTAGCCCGTCGAAGTGCACCCCGACAGCGATAGCACACCTGTTTCAATAAGTCAGCCCGCGGTTCTGAAGCGAGAGAAGGAGTGTACCCACGGGTCTGCGGCGTAATGGATATTGCAGTGCTCCCATTCCTCATCCCGGGAAAGTGCGGCTCTGAATTGGACTGCGTCCTCGACTCTACAGAAGCGGAACATGACCGAACGTGCCTGCCGCAATGATTTCAGTACTGTAGTGGGAAGGAACCAACGTCGGTACTCACACCGCCGGGATTTCGCCCGTCAACAATCTTTTCCACCTTTCGATTCTTTCTCTCCGCGATCTTTTCAAGTCCGTCCATGTCCCACTCCGCCTCGACCCCCACGGCACGTACACAGCGCGTAACCCCGGAAACGATCCACCCCTGCAGCAAGCCACCGACGACATCGACATCTGGGGAGAGCTCGACAAATAGGACAAGCTCGCGGCCTTTGGCATCTTTCCGGTAGACGAGGCCATTGGAGGTCTCCTCGTAGAATCTCATGCAGTCTCCTGCGTCCATGAACCGGATGGCTGCCGAGAGATCTCCAGCGGCGGAAGAGCGAACGTGGATCTCTTCGATGGGTCCACCGTACACAAGCGACGCTACGAAGGTAGCTGTCGAGCCACGAGGGAGGTCTTTGATGATGACCTTGCGTACCTTGGCGGCTGCTTGCGGGTTAGCGACCACTGGAAGGGAAGAGCTGTGGGAGCACACACCAGGTTTACTTCTCTCCTCCAGCTTTGGCCAGGCGTTGAAGAACGTCTTGTGCTCAAGATTCTCACTCTCGGATGCACCTTTCAGGGGCTTCGCACCCACTGGACCGGTGATGACCTGGGGTTCAACGCCCGTGGTAGCAGCTCGAACGGCATCCTTGACGGTGTTAGAGTCAGCGGCTTTGCTCGTCACATCCGGGGAAAGCCCCCCAGGGCATGGCGCGGTCGTCTCAGCCTCGACAGTGGGCTCGGAGGGAGCAGGGTTCTGATCTGAAGATGGAGCTGTCGGTGATGATTTTGATGGACTGAATTTGTTTGCTTTCTGGGCAGGGACCCGTGTATTGAAATCAGACTTCTGGCTAGAATTCCGCACTGTCCGTAAGTGAGGCGGTAGGTAAGCCTTGGATGTTGAGTGTGTGTCGTTCTCTTTCTCGACCACGTCAGTGTGAGCTGGGGGTTCGAAGGCCTCGTCGCTCGCCGCTTCGAGCTTTACAAGAACATTATCTACCTTATCTTCAGGGACCTTGTCCACCAGAAGTGAGGACTTGTTGACTGATGAAGGCGATGTCTTGGAGAAGAGAGATTGTGTAACGTGGTCACCAATCAAGTTCTCGCCGACATTGTGGTTGGGGTCAGCGGCTTTGAAGGACATCCTATGGAAAGTATCGTTCATAGCTGGGTTTGGTTCAATGGCGTTGATAGATGTTAGGACCTTCGTAGCAGGTGCTTCCCTAGGCATCGAAGGCTTATAACGTGCAGATGGCGGAGCCCACATGGATTCGCTCAAAGGACGGCCACGCATGTTGTTCACATAGTCGGAGAAAGCGTCGGCGACGTCTTGGTTGTGATTGTTAACGGCAGGCAGGCGTGGACTCGACGCTGCAGTTTTTGGTGTGTTATACGGGGCTGTAAGGCCACTGATATGAGGGCTTGGTTTAGGGTGGGGATCTGGTGACGTTCGGTCGTAGTGATTCTGAGCGGCGACTCTAGCATGTGGAGCGGTTTTCGCATCTTCTCCTTGGGACTCATTGCCCTCAGAGATATGCTTACCGTCAGCGACAGTATCAGCGCTTGGGCCGTGTCCGTTGGCTAGTTGATCAGGTTGATCAGGTTGGTCATGTTGAGTAGGCTGGCCCTTCATTTGCGAGATGAAGCGCCGAACACTCTCAGCGTCGTCCAAGGCCATGCTGGAATTTGTGATGATGGCAGTGTCTTAGTAGGAAGAAATTTCACGGCGAGCACTGGGTATTTGATGAGTGATGGAAGATGGAAGATGGAAGACGGAAGGTGGAAATGGGAGGGTGAAAGGTGAAAGGTGAAAGGTGAAATGGTGTGATGGTGTTGGTGTTGTGGATTCATGAGGTTGATGGCAGTGAATGGACACAATTAGCGCGTTTGTTGTTTTCCTTTTCCCGTAGCAGCAATGGTTACGGGGGATCTTTTTAAAGTGGTCATCAACATTCACATAGTACTTTAGCAATCATGCAAATAATTCTTGTCAAAAGGGTATATCAACGCCCCGATCGCTATGCAAGGTACGAATCGGAATCTCTCACCCATCTATTCATCCCGGAGGTACAGGCATGGTCTCCCAGTTCTTCTCCCCATCCCGTTGACTCTCCTTGATGAGCTGTAACGTCCTCATTCCACAGTACCCACCTCGTGTAGCTTCCCTAGACTCCTTCTGGAACGATCCACCTGCTTTCAGGCTCTTGTCCTCCACCCACACCTTTTCCTCTACTTGTGACCCTGCTACCTCGGTCCGGCGTGGATTGAACCAAGGAAGTCCGACTAGATGATTTATGACATTGTGCGGAATTGTAAAGAGGCGCTCCACACGTTGAACTTTTCGAATCCAAGGCAGAGTCGTATTACTGTATGCAACGCGGATGAATGGATTCATGTACACACCCACGTAGTCGCCGTCTGCATCGAAAGTACTCTGATCCAAGAGATCTGCATGGATCAAACAGCATTCAGATGCGTCCCAATAGGTATCAGGCGTTGCTCGAAATCGTAGTGGTGGATTAGCTTGGAAAGGTTTGGCATCAAAAGCTACCATCCCTCCCCAACAGCTCTTGACCCTTACGGCATCCTTGCCTGCAAGTACATCTCGTCGGCTACTGCCACTGCCAGCGTTTGTAAACCACGGAAAGAAGGGGACACCCATGCTGTAACCTTCCAGGTCTCGAGTAGCAAAAGTGTCGTAGAATTTGAAAGGATTTATAAAATCCACGGCGCAAGCAGCACGATAGGCAGTATTGCCGTGCTCGTCCATATTGGTTGATAGGAGCAGCTGAGCAGCTTCTGTGGGATCAAACGCGACATCGTTCAGATACAACAGCTTGTCATACTTGATTTCAGGATGTTCGACCAAAGGCAAAAGAGCTCTGTTGCGGACTTCTGCCAAGTAGGCGATTCGCTTGGTCCGTTCAGACCCATCGGGAAGCCTGATACGCTGAAGCTCTTCAAGGGGCGGCGAATCTTCGAGAACCATACTGTGCTGACATTGGACTCTCCTCTCGAACTTGAATTGAGCAACCTGGCCGCCTTCACCACTGGTGTTCTCATAAATGCTTAAGAACACATTTCTATTGCCAAGTATATTGATGAGCTTCAGCACCGCTTCCCCCCATGCTCCCCCAAGAAGATGGCCACCTTCATCGTATATGCTAGCAGCGATGAAGATCTTTTGATTCTCTGGATTTGCGCGCCCATAATCTTCGGAGCCTTCAATCCGTGCTTTCAAAGACTGGTAATGAGCCGGTGGTTTTGTGTATGAAGGCTCTGAAAAGAGCGCAGTGAATAAGACCAGCGCCAGGAGAATGCCAACAAAGGCATAGCAGCTGCAAAATGATCGGAGAGAGGGTCTGTGAAAGGCTAGCCTAGGACGATGCGGAAGTTTGGAATGCGTTCGCGAATGCGCATTTCGAACGAAGATACTTTGAAGGCGTAGAGGATTGATCGAAGAGAGTACTTTCCAAGCGACAGATGTCGGTCGATTAATGTAGGAAGGACTTGTCTGTCCTCGCGACTGGAAGTCGGCTTCGTCTAAATCGAAGAAGAGTTGCGACTGAAAGTCGGCTTCATCGTAAATATCATCAGAGTCATACGAGTCGCGGCCAGCGAGCTCATACTCATCAGAGTAGACTGGGCGCTGCGGCATACCGAATCATCATGTGTGTCTCCCTAAGAGAATAGCCAGAGGGCCAAATGAATGGTGGTCAACGCAAATGGAGTCGTCGTGGCCTGAAAGCATGACCAAGTCTTGGCAGCGGATTTTAGTGAATCAGTTTCCCGAAAGTTCAAGCCAATGATGAGTCTCAAGAATATTATTACTCTTCCCTCACACTTTTCTTTCCTTCAAACTATTGACTGCGCACAATATGGCTACCGCCGGTGGAAAGATACATGTCGATGAAGACATTGGCAAAGATGATCCTTCAGCAGACGGTTCAGAGACATCGCCGTACAAAAGCCTTCTATTCGCGCATATACAACACCCACCATCCCAAAAAGATGGCCCGCAGTATCTTACACGCAAGTCTGAAACTGGACCTGTCAGCGAGGATGGCGATCCTGAAGCTCGTAAGGAATGGAAGCCAGCTACAAAGTCCGCCCTGAAGAAATGCAGCAATCTGTATGAACAGCACAAGAGAAAGCAAGCCAAAGGCAATGACTTGGCTGTACGAGAGAAGTCGGAACAGGAAAAGAGACAACGAGCGCTGCAAGAAGCAATGGAAGTCCGGATTAAAGAGGACCCTCAGCTGCCAAAGGCGTTCAAGATACGACTCAACGAGAAAGATCCAGCGCTCGTGAAGCTGAGGAAGGGCACCAGCGAAAAGGATGTGGACTACGCGGAGGGTCGAGGCTCGAGAGTAAAAGTCACAGGGCGTGTGCACAGATTCCGTACGCAAAAGGATGTCATTTTCATTACGCTCCAAGATGGATACGGCTTTCTCCAGTGCGTCCTCACGGGCGACTTGACCAAGACATACGACGCATTGACACTCACTCAAGAGACGTCCATGGAGGTCTACGGCGAGATGTGGGAGGTGCCTCCAGGACAGCACGCACCAGACGACCGAGAGCTCCACGCCGACTACTATGAAATAATCGGCAAAGCCGCTGGCGAAAAAGAAGCTATAACCACTCGCGCAGCCCCAGATGCTGACCCACAAACCCTTCTGGACAACCGCCACCTTGTCCTTCGTGGCGAGATCTCATCTTCCGTCATGAGAGTCCGTGCCGCTCTCCTCCGTGCCTATCGTCACACCTATGAATATGAAATCATCCCCAGCTGCCTCGAAGTTACTCCCCCTTGCATGGTACAAACCCAAGTTGAAGGCGGCGCTACCCTCTTTGACTTTAACTACTACGGCGAGAAAGCGTACCTCACCCAATCTTCACAACTCTATCTCGAGACCTGCCTGCCCTCTCTCGGTAACGTTTTCTGCGTTGCGCCATCTTTCCGTGCAGAGAAATCTTCTACTCGTCGCCATCTTTCCGAATATACACACATAGAGGCCGAACTCGATTTCATCTCTTTCGACGATCTTCTTGTTCATCTCGAGCTCGTGATGAGCCAGGTCGTCCAGCATGCTCTTGCAGATCCGAAGATCAGCAAGCTTGTGTACGACCTCAACCCTCAATTCACAGTCCCAGAGAGGCCATTCATGCGCATGAGATACGCTGATGCTATCACCTGGCTGCGCGAACATGACATTAAGAATGAAGAGGGCCAGCCACATGAATTTGGCGATGACATTGCCGAGGCCGCGGAGCGCAGGATGACCGATATCATCAACCGCCCCATATTCCTGACCCATTTCCCCGTCGCTATCAAAGCCTTTTACATGAAGAAAGATCCCCAGGACTTGAGAGTGACCGAGAGCGTGGACTGTTTGATGCCGGGCGTTGGAGAAGTAGTCGGTGGAAGTATGCGCATGGATGATTACGAAGAGCTGATGGCTGCGTACCAGAGAGAGGGTATTGATCCGAAGCCTTATTATTGGTACACGGATCAGAGAAAGTGAGTCCTTGAGCTTTTCTGACCGCGCAGCTTTTCGGACATGCTGAATATGTACATAGGTACGGCACATCTCCCCATGGCGGCTACGGCTTGGGCCTCGAGCGTTTTCTGGCTTGGATGTGCGGTCGACACACGGTGCGGGAGTGTTGTCTTTATCCTCGATTCACCGGCCGCTGCACACCATGAGTTGCGCTAAGGTATAAGGAATGTGCTTGGTTTGTCTCCCCTCGATTGACACACCGCTGCACGCCGTCATAGAAAGGAGATTCATGCTTGGTGTGTGTTACGGTAGATGAGGCAGGCTATCGATGGCTTTAGCGCGAGCATTACGAGCCATGCAGATTTCTAGACGAGATACCACTTAGACCACCAAGCGATTGATATCGAGAGACATTCTATTCTTGAATGAATAGACTTCCCCAGATGCTACTATTGTTCTAACATTATCTATCTTCAGGAACAGGAACTCATTGCAGGCATGAGGCAAAGCAAATGCAAGCGACCGTGGGTATCTTCCCTGACACCTCTGCGCCCTTAACATCCCAGATCATTCTCTTCAAGACATGATGAAGGCTTAATCCCATTACCCCGTTATCTCAAGCCTTTATGCATTCCCAGCGCTGGCAACACTTGCCTTCCTCACAGGCGCCACCGCTGTACTTCCACCAGCTGTTCTCCCCTGCGCCTGCTGAGCCAGACTCGGTTTCCTCGACGGCCCCTCCCCAGTCATGTTTTCGCCACCAGCACCCACCGCCGGAGGACCCGGCATGGCGCCATCAGAGACCCCCTGCTCCCTATTCCCTCCCCCAAACAACCCCCCTCCTCCCGACCCCCTGGACCCCAAGGCATTCCCTAACATCTCCTTCATCCGAATATGCTTATACTTCATCGCAGTCGGCACAAAGACGTGCTGGTCCAACGGCATCGGCCTCACCCTCGCAATCGCAGCCATCACCGTATCCTTCTCCTCATCACTATCGACCGGCCCCTCCGGCGGCCCATCGTCCAGCAGCGGCGCCTTCGCCTCCAATGCCGCTTTTTGAATCTTCGCCTGGTTCTGCTTCTGATACATAGCCAGCAGCTGATCGTATGGTAGACTGCGGCCAGGGACTGAACGTTTGGCGCCCATGCTGTGGGATTTGCAGGTTAGAGAGCGAGCGCAGCAACCGCCGTTCGGTAGCATGACGCCGCATTGCCGCTCGACATTTACGGGTCCTTTGGGTTTGGGGAGCTTGGGCTTAGGAGGCTCGTCTTTTTTGAGTTTCTTTTTCTTAGGCTCTTTGTCGCCTTCGCCGTCTGCTTTCCGCTTCTTGGATTTCTTGGGACCGTCGACAGAGGCTTTGGAGGCAGACTTCTTGGGTGGCTTTTTGGTGGACCCGCTGCCGCCTTCCCCCGCTTCGAGATCACGTTGGCCGGCCGTTATGGATTCGCCCATTACGGAGTCACCGTCTTTGTCTTTCTCTTCGGCAGCTTCCTTCGCTTTGGCATCCTTGGCCTTGGCTTCTTTTGCTTCCTTCTTCTTACGATTTGTCTCTTTCCTCTTATCGCATAGTTGGGCATGAGAAGCGACGGCGGACTCGGGCAAAGGTTTCTTGCAGTAGTAGCACTTGGCGAGGCCTTGAATGTCTCCAGCTTTCGATCCGGTGCCATTTACGGCTGGGGAATCTGGAGAAGGACTTCGAGTATTGCCACCTGTCTTCGTCCCTGGTGAAACATTTTTAGAGAAGCAATGGTTCGATAAAAGGTGCACTGATCTGGTCGCGACTCACCATTGCTCTCAGTATCCTTGGGTTTTGTTTTCTTCGCAATCGACTTCTTCAACTTCACTCCTCCAGTGGACTTATCCTTCTTGAGTACCGAATTCTTGCCGGCAGCTAGGTCTACCAAGCTCACTTCGGAGCTCGAAGCTATGGATGCTGTGCATTCACTGTGAGCTATTCTCTGGGGATGATCTAGGTGACGCTTGCACATACCTCTGCGGCTGGGCTCCGTAGAAGCCATTCCGATGAAGAGTGATCGTAAACTTAGGACAGGGGATTTGTAGGTAATCTATGCGCCGGCAACACCGCTCTGCATGCTGGGCGAATTATTCACAAGGTGGAAGGGCAACAAGGTCCCCTCGGTCAACTTTAATATGAGTAGGGCTGAGATACCGGATCATCATCGGCCCGATATTGACGAAGATAAAGTACCGAAGGAGGGCGCTTTAGCGCGCATGAATAAAAGAATTTCCCCCACCCAAATCTATCAAATTCCTACCAAATCTCCATCAACTATACAGGACGCAAAGGCCAACGCAAGAGTCAATGGCCTAAAGATAAAAAAAAGGTAAAAATTACCTTCTATTTAAACGACACCGAAGCGCGCATGCTCTCAAACCACGAGGATTTGTTTTCTCATGAATTACTTTAAGATAATGATATCAAGCATTTACAGAGTAAGGCAAGCTAATTGCAAAAGGAAACCAAGTGAGACGCCAAGCATTGTCAATCCTGTCTTTCCCCAGCTCCGTGCAACGCTAATCTTAGATACCATTGATGATGCGGGAAATGATGCATGCCTGCAATTGAGCCAGAAATGTCGAAAGACGTTATTGCCTATGGTGAGCGACGGCTTTTAGCCAATCTCCATCGCGATGGATTGATCATACTGTGCGGCATCCTAATTTCGTGATGAGCAAAGGCCCGCCCGTGCCTATGGAGCTTCTGTACTTGTCTCTCAAGGAGCTGATTAAAAGTTGTATCGGGTCCCTTGACGAGTTGGCACCTTGCCTTGACGATTAGTGGCGCGTGTTTGCCGGGGCTCCTCCTCCTCGACGATGAGAGCTTTCTTTTGAGCTACTCCCTTTTGCTTCTTGTATGCTGGCGGCTTTGGTTCCGAGTGAAGGTGGCCGATCTCGGTGATGGCAGTGTTGTTCTTCCACGCTAAGCATCGGTGGCCGGTTGAGTCTACATATGTCTTGGTGCGCGTTGATACTCTCGTCGTAGGCTCACTGGCTTCGGACTTCTTCTCGTCCATGCTCAAATACTCATGACGTTTCGTCATGTGAAGGCAGATCTTTTCTCTCTGGGCTTGAAGTTCCTTGCGAAGTTTGAGTTCGCGTACCCCGCGAACATCGAGCCATCCGATGAGCATATCGAAATGGTCGGGGTCGTCGTAATAGCCCCACTGTCTGGCGGTGAAGGTATGAGTATCGCCCTCCTCAATCATCTTTCGTTCTGGTACTGTCATCTGGAACGCTCGCCGGTATTGCTCGTTCTCGGCCGGAGACAATTCTATAAAACCTTCACGTTCAAGATCGTCGGGTCCCTGTACCCATAGACATCCGTTTGCGTATCCAGCGTCGGCAGTGGAGCTATCGGGTAGGCCCGCATATGGCATGGCGTTGCGTTCCATCCAGTAGTAGCGGTTCCAGAAGCGATCTTTTCCAAGTACTCTAGTTCTGGGGCAATCGGCTTCCCGAAGGTCGTTTTCGAGAGTGTGAACTTCTTCTTCGAACTCCTTAATCTTCTCCTTCACCTCTTCGATCTTTTTTAATACTTTGTCATATTGCTTCTCCTGCTTTGACGGCTTCTTTGCCTTCTCAGCTTGCGCCGTTTCTTTCCTCTCCTTTTCTTCTCTCTGCTTTTTTTTGCGTGCTGCCGCTCTATCGTTAGCTCGACGGAGGGTGCGTCCTTGATGAGGTTCCTCCTCGTCGGAGTCCATGACTTCATCCTCGTCTGCAGGCTCTTCCTCATCTGGTTCCATTTTCAACTCTGATAGTTCCTCAAGTTCTGCGGGAGGAGATGCTGAAATGCTTTCTGGTTGCAAAGTCTTACGCTCCTCATGTAACACCCGTAGCTCTTCCACTCTGCAAACGATCAGCATGTAATAGATGGCGTACTACAAGGGATACTCACGCTGCTTTACGACTTCTTTGAACTTCGTTTTTCTCTTTTCGATGCTCTGTCATCTGGGCGCTGCAGTCCTCCATGTACTGTCGGATCGCTTTGGTTTCCACGGACTTCATGCAAAGGATCTGAAGTATCCGGGTGCGAAGGTTGATATCAAGGGTTTGATACTGCGCAGACGCAATTTCTGGCGTTGCGTCCTTATCGAGAGGGGCTAAGTGCCTCAGGATCTCGTTGCAGCTTTCCGTGAGGCGAGGACTACTCGATAGCTGATTCAGAAGACCTACAACGATCACTACCCAGTGACCACTGGAGAAGTCACGCTTTCGAAGTCGCATTTTCCAGTCGTAGCCCCGCATTGAATGATCCATCTCTACCGCTCGGTGGACTTTCACGTTGGCGGGGGACGCTTCGTTCCCGTTGGCAGCTTGCTTCAGCTCTGCCGCTTCCGATTTTGCAAGACTACCGCGCGTAGATCGCGCTGGCGGTTTAATTTCAGGCTCTGGTGTAGGCGAGGGTTGAGCGCTACTTTCCTGGACGGATTCTTCTTCCTCGCTTTCGACTTGGTATGGCAGTGAGATCTGAACCTGGCCATTCTTGTCGTTTGAGTCATTCACCAGCTTCTTGAGCACGGCGCAATGTATCTCTACGAGAAGCTCACAATGAACGTCTTCAGACGTAATTCGCAAAGCTTCGACATAGTCATCGAACGTAAAAGAGTCAAGCTGAAAAACTTCGCAGTAGACATTTAAGGTGTCCCAGGTCTCTAAAATTAGCCCGACAGATTCCATCGCTATACCACTTCCAGCGCCTTCAGACACTCTGTTGAGACTTGGAGTGCTCTCTGAGAGAAACTTGAGTGGCGGGCGATGAGTCCCATCACGAACAGGAGGTATCTCAAGGTCCTCGATGGGGTACTTCGGTGGAGGCGGTGGTGGTGCAGGCTTTGGCTGACCTTTGGCGGCGATTGGTTGAAAACCCTGGACCATGCGAAACCCATGTGGAGGTCCGGCTTGGAATTGGTTAAATTGAGTCGGCTGGCCTTGCGGTGCAATCCTGAAATCCGGGTTGCTAACTGTAGAGCGTTGATATTCAGCATATTGTTCCTGCCTCCAACGCTGCATGTCATCCTGAGCATTCTTGCCTTTGCTTCCCTTCGGTTTGAGCAATGGAAGGCTGTGGCGAGCACCGTATAGATTAAGGGTGAGACCTTCGTATTCACCTTTTTTGCCAGAGGAAGGGTTGATTTTTCTCTGTTTTGATTGGTGGTCATGGGTAAGCCAGTCGGGGATAGTTGTGCTGATTCGGTACTCCTCAGCGAGTCTTGGTTTGACAAGCCAAGGTGCTCCTGTCCATGCCTCACGTGTGACGCTATTCTTCAGAAACGATCGAAGCCTCTGCTTGGTGAAGGTCTTTCGTTCACGGGCAATCTGGTCTTCATCGACCAGTGCTTCCTCACCTTGTCTTTCGTCAAGATAGCAAAAATATCGTGCATATGCTTTCCGCTCTAGGGTGCCATCTGGCCGAGCTAGCTCAGGGAACTTGGTCTTTTCACGGATGAAGCCAGTAAAACGATCTTCACCAAGTGTGATTGTGACAATTTCCCCTGGGTAGAAATCCCGCTTAAACTCCTACAGTCATTGATTAGCAACCTTCTAGAATTGGACGTGCGTAGCGAGGCCGTACCTCGTAGGTATAGTCAACTAGTTGAAGGCTGTTAGGATCAGGTTCCTGGAGATGAAGAGTGCAATGCTTGCCTAGATTATCTATCCTTGATATTTGTTGGAACTGTACTTTTCGCAGGATCGGCTCCCTCAATGCATCAGGGAACTCGTCGTCAACCTCATCCGAGGCATCCAGCTGCTCATGTCAGTGAACGAACGACACCTATCATGTAGGGCAATGAGGGACAAGGACGAGACCTACCTCACTCCTGAGTGCTTCCTTGAAACTTAGTCCCGAATGTCCCGTGATTTCGCAGACGAAACGCTTCTAATTCACCGGTCAATATGATAAAGCGGTTGGCAAGAAGGTAAAGAATAGACCCACTTGCTTGTAGTAATCGATACTAGGTAGCCCGATGATTAGTTCAAAGCAATGGACAGGAAGCCAACGCATGACCTTACCGTTTCAAGTATTCCTCATAACTGGTGAAAACCTCGCCCGTTTCTTCTATGGACCAAACCTTGAAATAAAGTCAGCAATATGAAAACTCCTAGGCCCTGGCCAAATCTACCTCCGAGTCATCCGTAATGTATGTAGGCAGCGCAGCGTATTGAACGGGTTTTCGCTTGAAAAGAACCTCGTAAACTTAGTTTATGAATCGTAGGTACAAAGGAAGTGAGTCTACCATTCTGTCGGATAGGCGGAAGAGGAACCGCCCCTTGTGTCAAAACGTGCTGGGGCCCCAATGGTCTTATATCAAACCTCTGACCAGGGGGACTGGGGCCCAAGGTAATGTACGAAATACGGTTGCGCAAGACAGGTTCTGATGTTTTGACCAATGTTGGAAGATTGAGAAGGGGTTGCAGAGGACTTATGGGCCTTTTTGAGCGCCCCGTCAACGAGGGCAAAAAGGCAACCAAACCACGTGCAATATGACGCTAAGGGGTTTACAAAGACGATATCCACGCGTCTTGATGCCTTTGGACGTGTTTTCGGGCCAGTGTTAGATGGAGTCGATGGCGGGGAGTTGGTGGTTGAGAAGAGGTCGAATGGTGAAGAGGAGATGTGGTCGGTAGCGGAAGTGGGAAAAAAGAGAGTGGAATTTGCCCATGAAGAACTATTCGGGCAAGGTGACATAAGGTTCGACTGCAGACTAAGTGAATAGACTCAGCGCTAGTGATATGATTTTACCGTCAAATAGGTAAACACCCATCGACACTTGAACGAGTAATATCATAAGAAGAATGTTACATTTGAACAGTACTACGCGAATTCCCACGATAACCCCTCCGAGGCTCAGAGAGAATCGCAAAGCCAGCGATTGAACATTGCGGTATAATACTTGTTTGTCGTTTTCGTGAGTTGAGTCATGATGCTAGCTGCATCTATCTCTCCCGGATTCCCCCCCTCTTTCTCCTTCTTCCCACTTACAATTCTCTTTACTCTGCAGCGGCGCCATCCAACGCAATGTGCTCATATTTGAACTCGTTACACTCTCTCCAGTGCTGGGAGATTTAGGACCTCGTCGACTCCTGATATCGTTAGAAAAAAAGGATTCTCATGGACCCAACATCGTCGTCTTATGTGGGTAGCCTCCGTGCCTGTTGCATTTGATTTTCCTATCTTTTGAGCACGTTGGTTCCAAACCATCTGGCGCTTCCTCCCCTGCTACTGGACGTCTATTTGATGGAATCATTCTATAGCCATCACGGTGTAGATTTCCCGCAGTCGCGTTCATTTGATGGCATGATGGGCCAACGGCATATTTCCAGGCAGCAATGCAATCGATTTGCGGCATGGATCCCTCGCTCTCCTCCACATGCAGGGAGGTGGCCAAGAGAGAATTAGCACTCAGAAGGAAATTTACAGCAGACTTGGCATTAGTATGATTACCAATGATCTCTATCGAGATTTCTCAATCGGTTTGCGGCTCAGAGCGTAAGGCAATTTTTTATCAATTTCAAGTGGAACATTGGTAGTCGTTCGGAAGAATATTGATTATCGCCTTCACACAAGTACAAACTACTGTCCTGCTAATGGGGTATCTGAGCACTATAAAGTGAAGTACACAACAGAAAATCCGATCCAGCTGCCCACAACCCCTATTGCCGAATACGAGCTTGTGAACATCAACGGCAGAAATTCATATTTTGGCCCGAAGGAAAGCTGGTGAATGAGTGAACAATAGATGACAAGGGGAATAGACACAGTGATATAGAGAAGGGAAAACCTGTCAAGCAGGAAAACTCGGGGTCGGGACGAGACTGGCGCCAGCCGATCAAACACCAGCAGAAAAAGTATCAACCAAAAGACCGTATACACAGCCTTCACTGGGAACTCTGCGGCCGTGAATAACAATGGAAACAGAGACACATGCCCGGCAACGGCCAAAGGTCGGAACGCGCTAAGGTACCGACGGTCTTTTAACGCTAGCAAGCTGAACGGTATAATCACCAAAAGGATGGCCTTTTCGTGGACATGCCATCCAAAGAGGAAGGATGCGTAGCCACACAGAGTCACAGCTCCGACGAAGGTCTCCCATGTTGGCTGGAAGAAGAGCTTAACCAGACATAGCTGTTGACGGTTAGTCATCGATATACAGAGAGGATTATTGAGGTATGGTCTCACTGTTTGGAAGAACAAAGTTAGGAGGAAGGTAGTCTTGGGTGATATGTTGGGGAGGACTGCAAAAGAGGAGTCTCCAACGAGTCCTCGGGTGACGCTGTTCAGCGCAGCTTGATCGACTGGCAACCCCACCTTCGGCGCGACTGAACATCGTAAGCTTATAGTAGAGAAGCCCGACCTCTTTGCTGCACACTAACCGTAGATGAGAACCCTATCAGTGAACGAGTACATAGCCCACACATTGGGCGCCCAGTAAGCATGACACAATCCCCGTGAGAACGGAAACAGTCGGCTTAAGACTTGATCCTCTTGGGCCAGGTACCAAAAGGGTCCAAAAGCGGCCCCAAAAATACTGACAAGTCCTGACGCCAGCTTGACGCAGTTGCCAAAGCGGATTCGAAACATTGACTTTTGGCTCAGGCAGTATGCTCGCAGCAGATACATAAAGTACGCGGGCGCGAGATAGAGATATATGTGCTTGAAGCAGAGTAGTGCGGCAAACAAGAGTCCCCCGAGCAGCATGGTGGACTGCTTTCGAGCCGAGACCATGGAGAGTATGAGGATGCCGTACAGGAAGCCATTATACTGGAAATGAATGTGGTCGATGATCAGGAGCGCCGGAGATAATAGGATTGAGATGGCTACCGCATGAGAATTTTTCTGCAGAGCTGTGGGGGATGCTTGAACATGTCTAGCGCAAAACATCAGCCTCGAATTTATTGCTTCTTGTGACCTTGGCAATCGTACTTATATAATGCAAATGCTAGCATCAGATCCGTTGCCATGACTGTTGAGCGTTGGAAATATACGGTCTGCCAATTTTGATACTGCAGATTCTCAATCTTCAGCATGGCAGGGTCCACATAGTAGGCAGCCTGGGAGAGGAGCCATTCGAAGTAGGCAAAGAAGGGGGGGTAGTCGAGTGTCCACTCGGAAGTTGTCTGGCAAGCCTCGTCAGTGTTGTAACTTAGAGTGGATCAGACGACGACATTACTTCATAGTACCAATCCTTGACCGGCAATGAGTTGGTGATAGCAAGCCAATTGCGGTGGACCTCGAAGTCTGTGGATTTGCTGGACCTGCATTAGCCTCATATGGGGTGATGTTTGCATACAGAAGTTAACGCACTATGCGGGCCAAAGGAGAACCTTCAGTGCTGTCGCGAGGACAGCAGTCTGTGTTATGGATGGGTATAGATCGGCCATGGAGGCATTGCTGTTGAAGGGGTTTCTCCCTTCACAGAGTCACAATGAATAGAGTAGTTGGACAAGAGAGGAGGGGTACCTTAGGGGAAGGTATTTTAGTCTTTAAGGTAAGCATATAAACGCTCGGCAAAGCTAAAATAGTTCACGGCCGTTGGCCGAGGGGGCTGACCTGAAACAGCTACCTTGTCACTAAGTAATGGACCAATGGGCCAAATGACACCTGGACCTCCTGAATTCTTTGTCAAAATGGACCTCTCTGATGTCGCGGTGAGGCATGTCATAGCCTTCTCAACATTGAACATCAAACATTCCATCGACTTATCTCCTTCTACTCTATCCATTGCCCGAGAACTTCGTATCTGCCTTGTCGCCATTGTTCTGGGCTTGACCGCCGCTAGCATTACGAGAAGTGTGCTGGCCTCAAGAAAACCCGAACCATAACGCAAGACAATTGTTGAAGCTCCTCTCGGTCTTGCAGTACGGTACAAGGCATTTGGTACAACTAGTCGCCCACCGAATACCTTCCTACGCGGATATCTTCGGGTCTGCTTCCCAAGCCCGAGCCCCTGACGCTCTGGTCGTTGCCTTCTCGGCATCATGCATTTTCTTTGCTTTTTGTCTCTATTAGCGGCATCAGCATCGGCGCAGTACTTGGTTGAGAGCTCCAGTTTTGGACAGAATGATCAGTAAGAAGTCGCCATGAACCCGCAGTCTATGTGTGTTGATCGCGTAATAGAATATCCTCGAAAAATGATGCAGTATCTGGCTGGCACACATTGGGGGAGGGACAAATTCCTCAGCTGGTGCGTTTGGAGAGATTCGGAAAGTTTATCATGCTCGTCAACTGACGGAGACAGTTGTCTGATAAAATAATCCTGACGCCCCCATACCCTGGCAATCAAAGAGGAGCTCTGTGGGCAGAGGCCATGTAGGTGGTAGCCTCCACTAAATGCATGATGATTGTGCTAACGTTCTCGTTAGGGTCTCACAGTCAGAGTGGGTTGCCGAACTTGAATTCCGAGCCACAGGCCCTGAACGAGGAGGCGGAAATTTACAGTTATGGTACGCTAAGGACGGTCGGATGAATATTGGAACGTCGAGTATATACACCGTTGGCAATTTTGACGGGATGGTTCTGGTGATCGATCCGTATGGTGGAAAGGTTTGGTTCTCTCCACGGAACCAATGCCTATACATGCTAAAGTCGCTAGGGTGGAGGCATTCGGGGATTCATGAATGATGGCACTCTCGACTACAAGAACTACCATTCAGTAGACTCACTGGCTTTCGGCCACTGCGATTATTCCTACCGAAATCTGGGTCGACCGACCAAGCTTCAAATCAAGCAGGAGGGCAACGCGTTCGAGATCATAGTGGACAACAAGCTCTGCTTCTCGACGGACAAGGTCTATTGCACATCTTAGAGACTTTCTACAATCATTGCTGACGGCGTATGATAGGTCAAAATGCCTCCTGACTACTACTTTGGTCTTACGGCTGCCTCGGCTGAGACTGCGGATTCCTTTGAGGTTTACAAATTCAACCTTTTTACCTCAAGATCGATCACTCGAGAGGAGCCTCGCCGTGCGCAGCCTCCCCCAGTGGGACAGCCGGATAATCGTGGCAATGCACCACCGCCTGAGGCTCAGGCTCCCCCCACTGCCCCGTCAGACGCTCAATTCAATGAACTCCAAAATCGGTTACAAACAATGGCCCAATCAATAGACAGCTTGTTTCAAGAAGTCAAGCAACTTGCTGAGAAGTCAGAGGGCAGACACTTAGAGCTTTCACGTAACGTCATAGCCGCAGACAGGCTCAGTTCCATGGATCAGAGATTACAAGGCATTGAAAAGACCGTGCGCGACTATCAAGGACAGTTTTCTAGTTTACAGAGCACTCTCAAGGATTCTCACAGCAGCCTTGTGGAAGGGTTGCCCAAGCATATGAGTGATAGTATGTATTCGCTAACACTGCCTAATTGTAGGCCTCTAGTTATACTGCGAAGCTAATACGAGAACAGTAATTACCACGAAAGGGCCCCGAATGGGTCTTTTGCTTTTCGTCTTTCTGGGATGTCAGATCCTACTCGCTGGCTCCTATGTCATATATAAGCGACGGAAGGCTAACGGACCGAAGAAGTACTTGTAAATTAGAGTGAAGTACGTACCAGGAGGAAATTCATCCGTAAAGGCCATCATCTCACGCTCAAACTCCGAGTCAGAATCCAGAGTTGCTGTCGATTTGCTCGCCGCTTTCCCACGTTCTCCAGACTCATCTGATCATGTCAATTGACTACTTTGCAGTGGAGGTGGGGTTCTTACCGCGCTCACTATAGACCGATGGAGTGTAGAATCCAGAATCTTGGCTGAGAATGTCGTCCTCGTCTTCTTCGTCTAGACTTGTGACCATCTCAAGGAAGAATTCGCCGTATCGGTTCGCGTCGCCTTCGTCCTTGACTTTCTCCCCAGCCTCTCGCGCCTTCCGCTTCCATTTCTCACTCATAGACTCCACAGCCTCGTCTGGTGCGTCGGTCTCGGGTGTCTTAGTAGTTTCGGACTTCGTGACCATGCCATCGCCAACGGCCAAACCCATAGTCTCGATCTGTTCTGCCAACGAATCGAATTTCTCGCCGAGGTCTAGGCTCTGGAGACGCACAGGACTGCTACCGCTACCATTATCATTCCCCTTCAACGTCTCGTATATCTTTCCTTCATCCTTCATTACTTCGACCATGCTCTTGAGTGCTTTTTCGATATCCGTTGGCTCGCAGGTAAGGTCGTCCTCCGAGTTCTCAGCTGCAATGTCTGATCTGTAGATGTTGTGCCCTTTCATGGCAAACAGCAAGTCTTTGCCCCAACGTGCGAGCCACTTCATTTCCAGCTCATACCGACGTTTCTTGTCGAAAAATGCATCCGTCAACAGCAGGTTCTTGCCCATCTTCATCCTCGCAACGTTATCGCCTCCGATCGTACCTAGGAACAGAATTAAGTCGTTCGGCTTGCGGATTGAGAAGGTGTTGTCACGGTATAAGATGTTCTTCGCATCATCCAGGCATTTCTTGACCGCCTTATCCTTGGACGAGCACAGCGCCAGCAGGATGTTCAGCTCCGGCTTCTTCCTCAATCCGACATTCTTCACGACTTTGCCGTTGACGTAGTGGTAAGGAACGAGCTCCTGGTGGACCACAAGCACGAAGCCTAGCACCTTGTTCCTCACTTGTGTTGGCAAATCCATGAATCTAGAAAAGGTTCCCATGTCACGCACTTCCTCAGACACGTCCTCTGGATCTCCTCCCTTCAAGGCGTTTTTCTTCGCCATCCTGTTCTTGTTCTTGTTCTTTCTGCTTCCCTTCTTATTCTTCTTCTGACTCGCCTTCTCATCCTGATCATGCGTCGAGACCGAGATCTTTTCGTCCTGGCCGTGAGTCGAGATCGATCCTTGGGTTTGCTCCTTCTGCTTGCTTGATCGCACGAATTCCCAGAAACCTTTATCTTTCAGATCGAGATCTTTGCCAAGCGAAAGCGCTGCCTCTTCTGCCTCTTTCTCGTTCCTCGCCTTCCTGACCATTGCGTCCCATCGGGCACACTCCTCGTCGATCTGTTCTTCGTTCATGTCTGTCCCGTCATCCCCCTTTAGCCAATTTTCCGGACCCTGTTCCTTCCATCTCTGCAGATCTGATTTGGAAGTATCTTCTGTGGCTGTGGCCTTGACTTGTTCGGTTGCTTCTTCTTTAGTCATCACTACTTCCTTCGAGTCTTCTTCAGCCGTGAGATCTTCTTCAGAGGCATCAAGCTTCAAGCGGTTCAGGATGGCCACGCGTACCTCCTCGATCCACCAGTCTTGTTCGGTGACCGACTCAACTTGGATGTTATTCTTGACGATGGTGTTGATGAACTCAGCAACGGTAAAATATGTTGGATCCTCGGCGTTGGGGTCAAGTGATTCTTCAGCTGCTGCGGTGGACCAAAGCATCGGAGGTGGGTCGGAGCATGGTTCAAGTGGACATGACCCAAGGTTTTCAGCTGCATTGGCATCGAAGAGAAGCTCTCCGGTGGGATTGTCAGTGCTATTGCCGGCTATGGAACCCTCTTCCGCAGTCGTAGCTGTGGGAGATCCGGTGGGGCTGGCTGACTCTGGTGCAAACATGAGGTTGCCGAGTGCCTCACGAAGAGCCTCGGCTTTTGGGTTGCTCTCTTCAGGGGCTGGTGGCGTGAGTAGTGATTCGGTGTTGTGGAATGGGGCTGTTGCAATGACGAGCTTATAGAGCATCTCGGAAAGTTGATCGTCGAAGCCCAGAAGACTGATGAGATGTTTGACGCGTTTTGGATTCACATTTTGCATAGTCTCGTCGGAACTGCGACCTGCGGATGCAGACTCCGCATGGGCACTTCGACGAAGCATGATAGTAGATTGCGTTGGGTCGGAAAGCGAGAAAGAACGGTGCTGCTGTATCTCGGCCTGCTGCGCGAAGGCGTTAGAAGCAGTATCGTCTCCGACGTTGTGCTGAATATCGGGACTGAGTTCCCCTGAAGTGGAAAGTAAGTATGGACTGTGCTCGTGTTGCTGCTCTATGTCTGTATGAATTGGGCTAGAAAAGAAAGGCTTCGTGCTCTCATCCTCGACGCGTGGTGAGTTGAATGTTGCGCGAGGATTGGGCCCGCGTCCCTCCTGCTGCTGCTCCATAGCGGAGTGCTGTGATGCAGAGAGCAAGAGTGGCGTACTCTCGTCTTCGTGATCAAGCTGCATTCTGATACTCGAGCGTGATAAAGTAGAAGACGAGAGGTGAGCACCCTCGATACTGGGCTGGATGGTGGTGTTTGAGCCCGGTGAAATGGAATTTGTGTGAAATTTGCGTCCCTCGACCTGCTGCTCCATGGTAGGGTATAGCGGATCAGAAGCTAAGAGCGGTATGCTCTCATTCGCGGCAGGCTGTTGAGCCATAGTGGTTTGACAATGAGATGGGAGCAGCAAGACGTGTTGAAGTGAGGGTTATGATTCAGGATTTGTTTTGAAATGAAAAGATGAGTCAAAGGGGAAACAAGCTGTCTTGCTTAGTCGTCGCCGAGCAACTAATCTTGTTTGCTCTCTATGGATTCAAGCATCCTCGCCGGCGCCAAGCTGACATGGCTGTGGTGGGCCACTAGCCAGACAGCTGCTCACGCCAAATGACAGCGTCGATACCGGGCTCATACCCAGGTGCAGCGATCCAGAAGAAGAAATGTCTAATGGCACTTACTTATTTAATATATTTCCTACCGACCCTTAAAATAGCAAGATAAAGGGCAAGTCACAATCGTGGTGAAGGGAACGCGATTTAGAGCTTTATGGAGTGAAATATTCGGACGAAGTGAGGCGGATCACCAGGTATGTTTACACACTACTAAGCGAGGCGCGGCTAATCAATGCTCCCTGCGGTGATTGATCGGATTCTTTTAGGGGGGAAGATACCATTTCCATGACAAAGGGACCACGCCCTATACCTCTGGTGGCTCAGAATGCATCTCATGCTTGCATGGAATCTGACAGTGGTTCTCTACTATCCTCAGGTCTTTGCAAGCTCCTAGACCAATTTTATTGATGAAAGCCAACGACTAGCTTATCTTGTAGATATCTCTCCTCTCTTGTGCCAAATGTTTTCCTAGCCTTCCCATATTCTTGTTTCCAACGCGTTCCATGTATGTTTATGTGAACCTGGATAGTATTATGATCTTTAAACACCATGTCAACAGCCAAATTCTGGGATGAGGTGAATGCGGTAGTTGACAGTTTTGACTGACCGTAAAAAGTCTACGAGAATCAACAGAGGTTTGTGTGCACATTGAAGGCCGCCTGCAAACCATGGGGTCATTTCAAGGAGCGTCAGGACCTAGTAATGCTCTCCATGTTGGCTTGCTGCTCAATTAGAGACGTCATCCGCATCAGAGCTCAGAAAGGCTCCAAGGCAAGGTAGCAACTTGTGTTTTATGCAATTGATCCAGGCCAAGAGCTTCAAGCATGAGCTTTGGGAATTCTGCCCGGGCGGAAAAAGAGCGACATCAGCAGCAGCAAATGTCAGAAAGCGTTGCACACCCAAATCGAAGCGTCTCACTTGAGTATCTAAAGACATGAGGTTTTACGATACAGCAACTCTGAGGCTATGTAAGCCTAGTCATCAAGCCCCTTGTGAATATAGTAGCTATGTGCAAGGTAATCATATGAGTACACTATCAAATTGCTAATACTTGCAGATGCATCGTGAATACATATCCAATCCATTCCCTTTACCAACCCAAAAGCGTATCAACGAGATGAGCTTTGGCCGCATCATCTAGGCTTCGTGCCGTCAGGCCCAACACTTCTTCCCCCCTCTCTGACTCTCTTTTCAACCTTATCCCGATGCAAACGATTCTTCAGGTGTACCTCAAAATTGTTCACACCTGTCTCAGGACCTGGGGTGTACAGCTTTCCCGGACAATCGAGGCACTTGATCCTTGGGTAATACATGAATTTCGTATCTGGCGGCGAAGGCTCGTTGGGCCCGTTAGGCCTTAGGCTAATGGGCATGTCCGTCACTGTCGAGACTGCAGTGTAGCGCATCGTACCCTCGAAGAGGTCATCAGGGTATGTGATCTGAAGCTTCGATAGGGCTTGGTGAAGCCAGGAGGGTGGATCAGGCTGCAAAAACGGATCAGCGGCTGAGGGACTTCGAAATACTACTTGACGAAATAGAAGGGGAAACACGGCTTACCATGGGGTGCTCCGGGGTGGGTGGACCGACAGCGTCCACCCGCCCAGTTTGTGCCGCGTGAGGATGGAGAGGGTTGACTCCATCTCTCTGTTCGGCTGGGCTGCCATGCTGACGTGTCTGCTGGTGCTGTTGTACACCGGGTGTCGTGGGCGGCCCCATTGTGCCAGGAGCTGGGGTGCCTCGTCCAGGTGTTGCACTCGAGGACCGTTGATGAGACGACTGTTCAAGAGGCGTAGGTTTACTTCTGCCCTTTTGATCTCGCATGAATTGCCTCAATCGATCGCGATGAATCCGAAGCTTGACGATGAGCGAAGGTGGCGTATCGTCGACGCTCTCTTCCCGGTAGTCTTTGCCACCAAACCTGCGACCTGAGGTTCGTGTCTCGTGGTGATGTAGTATCGTTGTTTCAGGGGTTGCAGAGCGCCCTAGTGCGCCTCGCATAGCGGCTTGGGCTACAGTTGCTGCGCCTCTCATTCCCCTTGTGCGTGCAGTACCAGCAAGCAAGTGTGCTGGAATTGCAGGTGAATCTGGAGCTGACTCATCACTATCCGACTCATCCGAATCGTCAATTCCGTCTTTTTGACCATAGCCAGGACGCCGACCTTTTCCGGAAGCAGCAGCAGTTCGCTTGAATATCATACTACCCTCCAGAGTCTCTGCTGCACCTGGAAGGACTGATGATACGACCAAGGTTCGTATTGTCCGCCGACGATCTTTCAAATCTGGCAAAGCAGGCCCACCACGTCGGTTGACTGATCGCTTCTGCCGGCGCTCTTCTCTTGAAAGTGAAAGTTCCGTCTTTTCTAATTCTACTTCGTTAAGTTCATAAAGATAAGGGGTGAATTCCTTGGCTGCTTGATAGGGACGGAACGGCGACTGCATCGGGGATGGTAAAAAGCCGGCTTTCAGTTCCTGGTCCTCGACGGGCCGTCCATCGAAAGGGTGACCTGTTACGAAGAGACTGCGAGTAAAGAGCTGGCTTTGTTCTCGAATTGAATGTGCTATTGCTGTTGTGAATTCGCCGGCCAAGGAAAGATCCCGAGTCATTTGTTCTGCAAACAGCTCCGGAGAGTTCAAGGGACTATTGATCTCCCACTCAAACTGGTCCACAAGTGTGTGCGCGCCAATAGTGATATTAAGTTTTATCGTTATCCGCATCTCGTCATCCTTGTATGCATTATATGGCAGATGAGGGTCCAGCGCCTCTTCTTCAATGAATATATGAGGATGATAATCCTGTATTTGTTCCTTAAGGCTCGCGCTGACTTGTTGCACTAGAGGTCCGCATTGTTCGAGGGGCAGCTTGAAGTCCTCGACAAGCTGTTGTGCGAACAAATCAGGAGGTGTCACTCTATCGTGCAGGTTCCAGGTAAAAGTATCCCGAAGTCTTATCTTGTCCCACTCGATATCTAACCTAATGGGCACGAGCTCATCAAGCTGCTCTGACTGTTTCGCAAGTTCCTTCCTCGGCACACGTAACTCCCGGGTCTTCTTTCCGCCAGCTCGCTTGCGTTGAGCAGGATAGACAAGAGTCGTGCCCTTTCCTTGATTGATGCCGTTCCCGAATTTCCCATACTGACCATAGCCAGGACCATAGATGGCAGCTGGGTTGATCAAGTTGGTGACTGGTGGATCCAACCATTTCGGTCGCGCCTCCCTATGAAGGTCTAGGTAAGCCTGTTTCCCTTCTCTGACCTGCTCGGCATCAAGACCGCGTAGAGCCATGTAAAAGTCCGCCTCATCCCTTTTGAAGTCGTGTAGTTTATCCATCTCTATGCCATCATACATCCTTGCGTCAGTGTGGATTAGGGTGCGATTGACGTATTGGTGCAACTCGACATTTTCGAGCCCCTCGGCATTTGGGTCATTGGGACCCCTTGGCTTCAATATCCTGTCATTGTTTCGACACCTTGGTGATCTGAGGATTCGCGTGCCGGATCGGGAACGTTTCCTGGTCTGCACCATGCCATTTGGTATCGTGGCGGACCCGTTAGCTGCGTCGGACTTCTCTAAAATAACTGCTCCATCAGTTGCCGCGGAGAGACCTGAAGCCGCCATGATGGCTTTTGCCTTTTGCTTCCTTTCCTGCATTGGCTCCGCAGACTGGATTCCTTGTGCAACACCATTGGGTTCGAAGCCATTGCGCAACTCATCCTTCGTCGCTCTAATGACTCCATTGGTTGAGGCCGCATTGGTGAGCTTCTCTTGGGGCGAGGGTGTAGCAGATGGTGATAGTTGAGTGTTGGGGGACGGCATGGTGGGTCAGAGGAGGGAGATAGGGGGGGTAGGCACACGGAGGCTTAATCATCGATAGAGATCGGCAAGCATCACTATGGAAAGACACGGTGAGTCAGCTCCATAATGAAAAGAGCAGAGAGCGATATACGGGGTGGATTGATAGGCGCGCGCGACATCCCCGCCTTCTGGATGAGAGAAGAGGGTCTGAGGTCTTGAGCGGGCCAGGGTGAAGCAGCATCATCGCCGAGCCACGACGGCGAGGTGGAAATCATCACCAAATGTGAACAAGGGAGAGGGAATGATAGCAACGTACCATGTAGTGTATTCAAGAGGCGCAATAATCGCGTCGTGCGCAAGGTCAGATGCAAATAATCCATATTATTGCGAATCGGCTCCGGCGTGTTGTCTACCTCCCACTTAAAAGCCTAACGCTACTGCTACAAGTAGATTGAGTGTTGCCTTATAGGGCTGGACCGATTGATTGAATGCCACCAATAGCTTTATTTATACCATAGCCAGTGAGCTTCCACGCCTCATTATTATTTTCTCTTTTTTCTCTCTTTGTTACCAAGTTTTGCCTGAACAGCCACGATGGTGTCTCCTGGAGATTCTTCATTTTAGGCACCAGAACATCCATTGCTCTTCTTCTTCTTCTTCTTCTTCTTCTTCTTCTGCTTCTGCTCGCACTTCTCACCTTGCTCTCACCTGCTGACCACATTCCCAGCACCGGCACAACGGTGTACGAGTACCTGCGCATTGCCGCAGGTACTAATAATTCCTTGGTCAACATGGGAGGCTCAGTGCCCGATATTCCTGGAGTCAAGGCCGAGGGGCCCCTTCTGACCACCCTTCGCGCCGAAGTTGCAGAGCTACTAGATCGAAAATCCCCAAACTTTCCAGGCGCTCAGCCTGTCAGTTTCGCCGCGCGACACATCGCTGAACTCCAAAAGCAACATTACTTTGTTTGCGAAAAGTCTGACGGCATACGATGTCTGATGTACCTTACATATGATGATCAATCCGAGGGTCGAGTACAAGTGACATACTTGATAGACCGGAAGAATGATTATTGGTACGTGCCCGGCCCAATCTTTCCCAAGTCCGTCGACAAGCCGTATGATTTCCACGTTGCTACAGTCTTGGACGGCGAACTTGTCAACGACACACAAGCAGATGGATCAATTCGGATGAAGTACCTCGTGTTCGACTGCTTGGTCCTTGACGGCAATCGCTTGATACATCGAACATTGGACAAGCGGCTTGGGTACTTCTACGAACACTTGGACAACCCACTGCAAGCATTTTACAAGAAATGGAACGATGATGCGGCGGCGCTGCCGTTTCTGGTGGAGCGCAAGACGATGGAATTAGCTTACGGCATAGAAAAGATGTTCAAGGAGATTCTGCCGAACTTACCTCACGGCAACGATGGTTTGATCTTCACCTGCAAGAGCACTCCGTATCAATTCGGCACAGATCAGCACATTCTCAAGTGGAAAAGCGAGGAGGAGAACTCGATTGATTTCAGGATGGTCCTTGGATTCCCAATCATCCAACCAGATTCCGATGATGATGATGATGATGCAGACGGAGGTCCCTATCCCGATTACAGCGCTCTGCCTGAGATAGAGCTTTACGTCAACGGGGACGGGGATACCGATATTCCATTCGGTAGAATGCATGTGGATAACCCTGAGTGGGAGGACATGAAATCGTTACAGCAACCTCTGAATTGGCGGATCGTGGAGTGCTCTCAAGACAAATCGAACCAATGGAGATTTTTGCGATTTCGAGACGACAAGAAAGAAGCCAATCACATCAGCACAGTCAACAGTGTTATGGAAAGCATACAAGACAGTGTATCGAAGGAGCATCTTATCGGGGTAGCTAAGAGCATCAGAGATCATTGGAAGAAGAGAGAACAGCCTGCGGTGGTGAGGAAATAGGATGAGACCCAATGGCCGTCTACCCTATGGCCGTCTCTGCTGATCTTGGGTGGAGCATTGCGAAAGCGACTGTTATGACTGCCAAACCAACGCCGTAATCTTTAGAAAATCGAGCTGGCGATGATACTACATCATGGGTCCTGAACCATCGTGGGATATCAGTATTTGGTCTGCAGAGCTTTATCGTGAATTGAAAACGTCCAGTAAGTTGCTCTGTCTATACGCGTGCCATCATCAATTACTGATAGCTGTTCCAAAGACAATGCGTAATTTGGCTCATAAACAGGCTGTCGAGCATCAAGGCTGAACATTCGGAGGTGCTGGACAAGGCAGAGTTCGGGATTTGGGCGTAGGCAAGTCTGGTCAAAGTTCAAATAGCAGATAAATTTCTTCATTTCCGCAGTACCTTAGGCGCGTCATTTCTAGGCAATTGATGTCACCCATTGCAATAATTTCTGCAACCGCCGTAACGTAGAACAGAACCACTACAGCATGGCATCTCCAAACCCCAAAGCCAAGCACGTAGCAGTCCTGGGGTAATCATTCACAATTAAGCCGTCTTCCAGTGTTTCCAAATACCTGTATTGACACTTTTTCGCGGTCCAGAGCAGGCATAACAGGTCTTCAGACAGCCCTCTATCTCCTCGATGCGGGATATCAAGTCACCATCATCGCAGAGTATGTTCCTGGAGATGAGAGTGCGCATTATGCTTCACCCTGGTACACCACTCCTCTCATATCGTGCTCAACCTCCCGTAGGGCTCGCGGCAGGATTGGCGGTTGATTCTCACCTAGGGCCGGAGGGCAATGGCGGAGTCACGCCAAGGCACACGAGACGGAGTTGCAAGGGTGGGATGCAGAGACGTATAAGGAATGGATGGATATGGTGAGGAGAGGGAAGGGGACAGAGGTTGGATTAGGGGGTGCGTACTCTACATTTCGGCGTATTTACTTCCTTTTCTACGCCGAATTCTGGATTGAAAGACATGTTTCCGGAGCAGAAGGCTCTCTCTACTCCCGAGACGTGTCTTGCAAGCCTGAATGTTGCCCTCGAAAAGCAGTGCTGACTCCGAAACGTGCGCAGTGAGTTGACTTCAAATTGTTCTAGACGGCCAACTTTGGGAGGACTGGAACCCTGCGCAGCTTTTCCAGCACATCACACGGCGATGTATTTAGAGGTGTTAAGCACTAGAAAAATAAGAAGGTCATGGCTGATATCTTGTGTATCAGATTGTCCCGTCTACTCTCTACTGGTACGTAGAAGTTGCATCTCTCGTGATCATGTTTGTAGCTGACTACAACATAGGTCCTCTTCAGCCTCTGAGATTAGTCCTCAATTATGGTGGCGCTCAATCGTCGAGAATTTCAGCTATCTACCAGCAAATCAATTTCCTGAAGGCATCCAATCAGCAGTAGGCTTTACAACAATCTGCATCAATGTTCCCCGCCATCTCAATTATCTTCTGTCCACCTTCCTTGCCATGGGTGGGAAGCTTGTCAAAGCTCGTCTGCCGACGGACAAAGGACTTCCAGGAGCTTTGAGATTTGCGGCCTCTTTGGCGATGAGTCAAGAACCACATGAGAGGCTCATTTGTGTGAACGCGAGTGGGTTGGGAGCGAAAGCGCTGGTACCGGATGATGCTATGTTCCCTGTGAGAGGACAGACCGTGCTGGTGAAGGGGGAGGCGAAGTATGCAAAGACGATGAACGAAAACAAGTATGTTATTCCACGACCGGGAAGCGGGACGACGATTCTAGGCGGTACTAGGGAGGTTGGGAATTGGTGAGTATTTCGATGTTGAGGCCCCGTTGAACAGCTTTGACTCCGCGTCAGGAGCACCGAGGTAAGCAACAAGGCCACGAATGCGATTCTGGAAGGTTGCAAAAGCCTGGCTCCGGAGCTGTTGGAAAAAGACGGATCATTCGAGGTCTTGAGCGTCCAGTGTGGTCTTAGGCCAGCAAGAGAGGGCGCCCCGAGAGTGGAGGCCGAAATTGTAGACGGGATATTCAAAACAGTGCATTCGTATGGTCATGCTGGCGCTGGGTACGCCACTCCGTCGAGAAAATTGTTGCGGAGTTTCTGACTAAGATCATAACAGCTATCAGAATGCGATTGGCAGCGCCAGGAAAGTTGTGCGATTGGTCAAAGGACTAGACTTGGAGGCGAGCACGTCGGCGAAGCTTTGAGAAGGTAATTGACGGAGAATGAGGTACTGCGGGATTTTCACATCGTAGACACGTCACCCACGACAACTTGATGATCAGAATTGTAGATTCCACACTCGAATCGATTTGGGAGCACAGCGTACCCCTCCACAAGCCACCACCTCTCCGGACTGCCTCTCTTAGAATTACTGTTGGCCAACTTTGGTTCGTCCCTGTTCACGAAAATGAAGTCGATTCTTTTAAGGTGTTTTGAATCGAATCCAGTGAAAGTATGGATCTCTCCGTAGCGTTTATTCTCAGAGACCATCATTTGCAGATCGGCCATTGGAGATGTTGAACTAGTCATCTCATTGTAGGCTTCTTGTTCAGGTTCACTGTTGAAGTCGCAAGAAAAATAGGTGGGCTCTGTCCGTGGGGGACCTGGTCAGTGAACAGTCGTATCTGTTCCAGTATGATTTTTGCCGCCTCTAAGCGTGACTTGCTACCTTGGTCATCGAGATGAGTATTCATAGCAACAACGGTCTTGCTGGTGGACCGATGCTGGAACACAGCTATAGTCAAGATCCTGGTAGAGGCAGCATCCCAACGCTTAGAGGGACGGTCTTGCGCAGATTGCGGAGTCAGCATTGCTTGTTCGAGGTAGGTAATGGAGTTGCAAAATATTTTTAGGGCCTAGAAAAGTCCTCTTGCTCCCGAAACATGTTTTGCGACTCGGTTCCAATATCATATGGGAGATATCAGCTTCGAAATACACGTACCTGGCGTTCTACTGAGCCACTTTGTTCTTTGTGCCTTCAGCTCCTACAAAGATTTCGGATTCAGTATTTTTGCCTCAAGACAGGCGAGGTCCCGAGGTGAGACAGCTCAGAGGGAGATCAAGAGGCGCTTGCTCTCGGAATGTTTTGTGATCCAAAAATGGCCTGCAATAGGGTCGTTCCGCTCTAAGAATATACAGACCCAAATTTCAGGTTTATACACTGTATTCCAATTCGCCGTCGGTATCGCCGCCTACTTGAGAGGGTATAACGAGCCTGAAAAACATGTTTCGAGAGTGGAACTTTCCGATATAAATCTCGAGACTCAAGACATTGTCCAAAAGAGGAAACACTGGATTCCGAAAATACGTACAGATGGGGGAGTTTTCTCCAGCTTCTAGCCCGTCATCGCGGCCCACACCCACAAAGGCTCATGCCTTCTTCTTGCTGTTGAACCTGAAAGAATACCGACCAACTACTGATGCAATACTTCCCGCAAGCATATGAATGATTCTTCACAGTGTGCTGTATTGAAAGAGAGCTCTTGATGAGACGAAATTTACGAACACCCCCATTTTTCTTCACCTTTAAAGGATGAATTAGTAGCGTAACGGATGTTGTGGGTCAACAAACGGATGGGCAGAGGCTCGTACACCTTCATTATGCCGAGGGTGAAGATTTGAAAGTGGAGGTGAAGTTGGAGTTGAAAGGGTGGGAGTACAGAAGGAGTAAAGCATTAGGGTTCAAATAGCGGGCAACGGTAGCCGACACAACGGTCAACCCACCGACGAGTTAACATAATAATTATGTTTCCCCACTCACGCGACATTCAATTATTGTAAATGTGAACGGATTATACATCATAGTTCTTGGATCTACGACCGGCAAGTTGCCAATCATGGCGGAAGATGCGGCGGTCGGTACGTATACGATTTCTCACGTATCGACTCGAGGTTTTGCATATTGTTTGTCCTGGCTAACAAGTAATGACCTGGCAGATTACACGCTGAACAATCCCGATACTCTGACGAAGTACAAGACAGCCGCTCAGATCTCCCTCAAGGTTCTAGAAGCTGTTACTGGTAGTGTTCACTCGCCATGCTTCGTCTGGGATTTTTGTTGATTGTAAGTGAAGGATGGTGCCTCGAGGGAGAAAAGATTGTCTCCATATGCGAACGCGGAGATAAGTTCCTGGCGGAAGAAGTTGGCAAGGTTTACAAAGGAAAAAAAATCTCTAAAGGTCAGAGAGACCCAATCGCATTACGAAAGAGATATTGCTGATGTTATATCCTTCAGGAATATCACATCCCACGACTGTCTCTCCTAGCTCTTACGTTACTCCATACACTCCACTTTCTACAGATGCCGAGGAAGCGCCTACATCATTAAAGGCCAACGAGGCGGTCAAGATTCAATTGGGAGCCCAAATAGACGGCCTCGGCACTATCGTATGCGACACGATCATCATACCAGGAGAGGCCAATAAGGATGACAAACTACTCGGCCGGGAAGCTGATCTGTTGCTTGCTACACATTACGCAAACGAGCTTCTCCTGAGGCTCATGATACCTCCCGGTCTCCTAGCTTCTGGGACAGATGAGGAGAAAAAGAAAGCAGCATCGATAAAGCCCATCACGCAGTCGAAGATGACACACCTTCTCGAAAAAGTAGTCAAAAGTTACGGCTGCAACCTGGTTGAAGGGACCACGTCCTGGCTGTTCGAGCGAAATGAAATTGAGGGCAAAAAGAAGATTGTCCTTTCTCCCCCATCAGACGGCGGCAAGGGCGAAGGGGTTCCTGAGATTGGGGATGTTTGGGGCGTGGAAATGGGTGTTAGTCTGGGTACCGGCAAGATAAAGACGTTGGAAAATCGCCCTACGCTACACCGGAGAACCACCATCACTTACCAACTCAAAAGACCGAGTTCTAGGCAAACGCTTTCGGAGATCGTAAAGAAATTTGGGACTTTTCCCTTCAGCTTGAGGCAGCTTGAGGATGAAAGAGCGGCCAAAGTTGGTGTGGTAGAGTGTGTGCGATCAAATGTTCTCCGACAGTATGAGGTTGTAGCAGACAAGGACTCGGCTCCTGTCGCAAGACTTTTGACAACAATTGGTAAGTCTTAGGTGAAATGAGTAAGTGTGTCAAGAACGATAAGCTAATAAAGCCAGCCATCACGAAGAATGGGATCGTCCGTTTGAGCGCACCGCCAGCCCCAAGCTTGGAACAATACAAGACGGAGAAGAAAATCACCGATGAAGAAATCCTAAAGATTCTTGAGCAGCCTGTAGCACGGTCGACCGGGGCAAAGGGTAAGAACAAGAAAAAGAAGAAGAAGCCGGCCAAGAAAGCAACAGAGGAGGAAGACGAGGACTCCAGCGATGAGGAGTGAACGATTAACGCTGGGAAGCCCAGCATCTGGCGAGCATGCCTATCAGTAGCTGGTTTTGTTCGTCTGGAAGTTGAATAGGTGAATAATCCTGACCCCGAACCGAGGGATAGCACAGGCAGCGTGATCAGAGGGTCGTCTTCTTTTCCAGCATCTTGGTAAGAGATGTGAGCTAGGATTTCCTCCCAGGTCCGAATGCCTACTAGCCAAGGTGCAGGCAACAGATAGCTAAAAGCAAATGAAGCCATGTTCATCTCACTTCCAGCTTCCCTACTGCAGACATGACTTAACACTTGCATAATAGTGAATGACGGCACGAGCTCTTAATAGAACATTTGCTGGTTTCGTCCTCTGGTCTGCCACTCAAACACATACCCCTTTATTGGTTACAGAGCAGACTGGCAACCCTGACTTGATATTCCCATCCCCCCTCACACCTTTGCAATCTTCATCAAAACCATCAATCACATCTTTAGACAATAAGTATCCTCATCGTTGTAGAAAAGGAGTTTCAGAAAACAGTTTGTGAATTCCTAAATTAGTTTGAGGAATTAATCCCTGCCGAAGCCGCACCTCAATAATCTCAGACACCACGCGCATGACACCGCGATATATCCCCTAAGATCAGCTGCCTACCTAATAACACTTGCGGTTGTGAGTATCCATCAGCTCCACAAACTCTCTATGTGATTGTCATGTACTAACACTTCACAGGTCGGCATTCCATTCTCCGCCAACTCGATGGCTTCTCAAATGGCCTCGTCAAGGCACTTGCGGAGGTCTCGAATGTCAAGCCCATCGCACTCCTCTACGCAACACAACGTGCATGTGAAAACTGAAGCCCACGTAGGCGACTTGAATGGAGACATGGAAGAAGAATGGACTGAGCCACCTCTACGAGCACCAGCACCCAGCTTTGAAGACTACAAAGGGCTAGAACGGCATGGTGTACTGGAGCATATGGCCCCTCTAGGAACTTTCCCAGGTCAGAAGGTCAAAACGAGACTGAAGCACCACGAGCCTACGCGGAGAATAGCACATCTAAAGAATGGGGAAGCAAGAGGGGCAAGGGAGGAGGTGAACACTCCAGAACCGGCACCACCAGTTGGAACAAGACGCTCTGAGCCCCGCAAAACCGAAGAAAGGCTCGGGAAGGTCTCATCATCTCGAGAAAGAGACCAGGATAACGACTACAACCCAAAGGGTAGTGCAAAGACTACGACGATTAAGGCAGCCTCAACACAAGCAGCACCTCTCGGAACCCCAACCTCACGCACGGGGGTCGGACAAACACGGTTACAGCAAATAGTTGAGTCGGCTATCGACCGATCACGAGAGCTTGGAGACCCTGCGCTCGGTATCGCTTTGAAGCAGCTGTATGAGGAAAGCCTGAGGAATAGTGTGGTAGCCGACCTTCTTGAAGCTGTGCTCTCTCAAAAGCCAACGTCGCAACAAACTGCTGAATTTCAGAGCTATATCAAAGCCGCGAGGAAGCAGATTAGAGCTACTGATGATCCAGCGAAGCAGTTTAAACATTCAGCATCAAAATCAATTTCGAGGTCTCCAACTGCCAAGAGTGCCAAAGTGGGTGTTGTACGCCACTCTGGTACCACAAAGGACCGAGCCAGTGCGCCTGTACTCAACAATTATCCTCCCAATTCCAACAATCGATCTTCGAAACCAAAAAGCACTGATATGGAAATGAATGGAACCCCCTCCAAAGACGAGCGCCCCTCGAAACGAGTAAAGCGTTCGAAGAGTGCATCAAGTGACTCGTCTCTCTCGTCATTGGATTCCGCTGTCGAAGACTTTGCTCCCGCCATTGAATTATCAATGCCCAGTGGAGCTAACGCTGTTACTCATCAAGGACTGAACCAAGCTAAGCAGAAACCCGCGATGGGGCCAAGATTAGGATCGTTCTCTACGCGACCTATTGATCCATCTGTTAGGAAGCCCATCACCCAACCTAGCCATCTAACGCCGGAAGAGCTTAGTGCGAAGCGTAAGGAGAAATTGACGCAGAATTACCAAGACTACGTTGTTGGACACAGCAAGGTGCGAGCAGATCCAAACCCAATAAGACAGCCCCACTCGACTGCTCCTTTAGCCGTGTTGTCGGCGGAAGCACAGCAAGCACGATTACGAAATGGTGTCAACCAAAAGAGTAGAAGAGATGAGCCAGATTACCTCGACTCCCCAACATCTTCTTCTTACGGCGAACTTCTCATTCCGCCGCCGCCAGGTGCTTCCAGAGGGGCCACTCCGAATCAGTTGGGTCGTCCATCAAAGGGAGTTAAAAAAGCTGCACGAATCAAGATGTCGTAAGTACTAGAAATTTCGGCCGAGTTCTATTGTCTGTAAAGTTTTGAAATTGTATTGTTCTGCGCTGAGATCACATTGGATGTTCGTGAATCAACATCGGTCTATTGTCAAACTTTTGGTCTATTGTTCCGCAACACCAGCCCCTTTCCCTTTACACTTCAAAATGTTTCATCACAACATTTTTCACGTCACAGTTGTACTTCGTCATCCATACATACCACGACAGTTCGTCCACTACTACATTTTTAAATCTGCGCTGGCCGCAGTATTTTCGTTTTCTTTTACTCCATCCACTATTCTGTTTCCAAATTTCTCTGCAGATATCGCATCTGATTTGTTAAATATGGCTCCCAAACGCAAGGCGACTGACGCTGGATCGTCAACTAGTCCTCTCAAGAAGCGCAACGCTGTTACCGCTGGGATCGGTCGCGCAGTAGAGTCCGAGAGCAATGGAAACGCTTTCGGTTATTATGGTCGCAATGATGACAGAGAAGATGTAAGCAAACCCAGTCCTCCATTCCTTTGCCCATCGTGCCCTGATTCGCAGCCCCAACTCACATCGTACTACATCCTCTCACCTTTCAATGCGCTCCGATGTCCGCAGCAGAGCACACGTATTTTGGCTCAGGATTAAAGGCTAATCATCGCGTAGAAACAGAACTCGGACGTCTGCACATCCTGTGGTGGCCCCGGTGAGCTGGTCTGCTGTGAAGGATGTTGGCGCGCCTTCCACCATTCGTGCTGGGACCCCCCTCACGGTAAAGAAAACCTTCCCGAGGGCGACTTCTACTGTTATAAATGCCGCGATCGTCGCAACTTATCACCGAACGCAACACCGCCCGGAGTCTTGGGCGGACTGTTTGGTGACCTTGTCAAGACAAATCCCGTGGCTTTCAACCTTGCCAATTCTGTCAGAGACTACTTTGAAGGGGTCAAAACCGGGGAGGAGGGCGAATACGAGGAGGCTAGCACCGTCAAAGCAAATAAGTAAGCACATCTCCCTCAAGCAAGACTTACATTGGCACAAAACACCTGACCATCATACAGGGCACGTGCTGGATACGAAGAAGTCGCCAACAATTTCAAGCTTCGAGATAGCAAAGACAACACGGTCATTTGTTTTCGTTGTGGCAAGTCTGCCCTAGACCACAATGAGCTTGTCGCATGTGACTATTGCAATCTATCCTGGCACCTAGATTGCATCGATCCTCCGCTTGCTGCTCCACCAGTGCGGCGCAACAATGGTCGACCTCGCTTTACATGGATGTGTCCTAATCACGTCGAAAACGAGCTGTCAGGCCTCGACCCTTCTCTTGTCAAAGGCTCCAATCAAGTTCAACCAGATAGCAGCCGCTCGTACAAGATTCGTCGCCCCAAGAAAGCGAATGTTGTCACGCCAGCTGTGCGTCGTGGTCTCAAGAACAACGGTCTCATCGAGATCGAGCTTGATGTTAGTGAGGAGGAGACCAGGATTGAGAAGAACGAGAAGGGAAAGGTGATTTATCGTTACCAAGAGAATGGTATCAAGCTGGACTTCATTCACAAGGCGAAGCTGTGAGTCTGATGACCCTTTTCTACAGAATCCTGCTAATGAAGGTTCAGAGCCCGCGAACAAGCGGCTCAAGCGAAGCAAAGGCTGGCACCGGTTCAATCTCGCGCACCTACCACTATCATAGTCGCCAAACCACAGCAGGCATCGTTCGATAAGCGTCCTTTCTCTGAGCGCAAAGCCGCCCTGAACCTTGCTCAACTGGCTCAGTCTGATGCGACGCTCAATCCAGACAAGGTCAAGAACCTCATAGGCACACTCATTGTAAGCTTCTGACCACTTAAGGTTTGAGGTCTGGGCTGACAGACTTCTTGAACCAGGCTGAGGCACCCATTGGAGTCGAAACTCTTTACAATTCTGGAGATTCTGCCGACGCCGCTCCGAGTGAGCAGGAGAAGAAAGATTTGCAGGCATTGATTGAACTAGCTCGCCGCCGCCTTGATGGTAGCTCCTGAGCGAAGGTGGTCCTCGGTATTCTGTGGAAGCATTTGCCTGGCGTTATCTCCTTTTGGCTACACGCATGCATACAGGGTTGTGATATACCATCGGCTTCAAGCTCCTCAGGCCTTGCCAGCTCATCAGCATAGGTAGCGTGGTTGGTGTTGTGTTTACGGCTTCGGCCCATTCCTTCGTAGCCCCAGGGACTTTCACATACCGTTTAGAAAGATCAGATCTTATGGCGGCAGTCCGGCCACTTATCCTGTGGCAAGTCATACAGATAGCTCAGATCAATACATGCATGGAACTTATCGAACATCAGGGCATCACTAGCAGTTTCAAGGCATGGTGGAGGAAACGCCAGTATACCAAGCCCACAATAACCAACAAATGAATTGGTCAATCAAATACTTAGATCTGCTAAATCGGAACAAAAGATCCATTCGCGCCGAATTGCATCTGGCCAGCAGCAACGTGTGCAATCCTGCTCGTCCTCCGCTATTTCAATACGTCCAAGAAACATACTGAATCTAATGCAGCGATGATGGAAGCAATTCGTAGTACAGAGTATCTCGAATTCGATTATTCTGAACAGCCATTCAGAGACTAAGCAGCTTCGCATGGCAAGATTCAAAGTAAAGACCTAGAAGGACTGCCCCTTGTCTTCTATGGGCCAGGCTCGCGGAGAGGCCTACCCACCAAAGATATACCGACATCCTTTACCTTTGGAGGAGGACAGCTTGTAATCATCTGCGCTGATCAAAGGATCCTTCGTTGCTTTGCTCCTTCCACTTTTGGCGTTATCAAATCCATTGCCGTGAGCAAAACCATGCCTTCGAGACGTAAGACGACTGACACTCGACCGTCTACTAGATCTATGGGGGACGGCATCGGAGTCACTGCTTGCCGCGATGGGGACGCTGGAGTCAATGTACGTGGAGTGGATGTTGGAGCTTGGAATCATGCTTCCGCGATGGGGACGCTGGAGTCAATGTACGTGGAGTGGATGTTGGAGCTTGGACTCCTCACCTCAAAGGTTCGGAATGGGGTATGGGCTGCCGACTTTGGGGGCAAGGGCAACAGACACGAGACAGAGGATGCATTCCTGAGACGGGCTACTGAAGGTATGGCATGTCTATCTCCGGAAGCAATTCAGCGATGACGAAGAGTGGAAGGTGCGTCTTTCCTGGACGGATTGGTATATACCTCAGGAATCCATGCTGGACGAGACCTTTGACATAAGCTATGCTCGATATTGATTGTATTTACAGCAAGAGCAGGCTATGTATGCAACATGACATGAAACCCGAGTACATATCCATCAACCTCCTATCCATTTGGAGAACATGCCGTAATATCCACAGGTAACGCCGGGCTAAGATCAACAACGTAACAACCCTTCTTCCTATCTACCTCCCTTTCGCGTGCTTCTTTCCGCCCCCCGCAATTAGAGCACCCTTCTTTGCTTTCGGCGAGGGCTTAGGCGAGGGTTTCGGAGTCGGCTCATCAACTTCCTCTTCCTCTTGGTCTTCTGCTTCCTGCTCACTTGTGTCGTCACCGTTGACTTCCTCACCGTCTTCATACCTCCAAACAGCAACCCCTTCCCCCATTTCCTCGTCATCCTCTTCATCGCCCCTCTCTTTATACGCTCCGCCAGTCGTCTGTATTCTCCCACTCCTCCTCCGTTCACTTGATGGCACCATTTCCTCGTCATTCTTTCTCTTTGTCTTCTTTGGTGGCTTCATCGTAGTGAAAGCGGGCTTAGCTTTCTTCTCCTTGGGTAAAGCTTTTCGTGTTGGTATTTGCTTCGCACGTTTGCTATCCCTACCATTGACCTCGTGATCGCCCTCACTCCTCCGCTTCTTGCCCTGCGAGCGTGCAGCGCGCATGCTCAATTTCACCAAGCCCTCGACGCCTTCTTCAACGCCCTCTGGAAGGTAATTTTTCTCTGCGATCCGCTGCGCCTCCTCGTGATCCTTCAGCTCGGTATATAGGCTCGTTGGCAGGCGGACCTTGCCCGGCAGTGTTTGAATGTTCCAGCTATGTGCGTCTTCATATTTGCGGATGGTGAGTTGGGCCAGGTCGCTGAGGTGGTAGAGACTGTTATCGTATGCTGACGAAGGATTAGTAGCATCGCGGGATTGCTTGACCCGCTGTGCAATGTGATAGATTATGGAAAGATTCTCCTCGGTGGCGACAGGTTGTAAGTAGTAGAGCAGGTATCGCGCAAAATCGACAAGGTCCTCGGCTGTGTTATCATAATCAGGGTGGTGGGCTAGCAAAGAAAGTAGACGAGCGAAGACAGATTCCATAACGATATTCCCTTTAGATGAGGACTGCTGAGCTCTGAGCGCGTAGAAGGCTGCGGTACGACTGCGAATCCAGGTCGTATTGTCAGATTTCAGGGAGGCGCTGGGTTCGAAGGCGAGGAGGAAGGGGATGGTATAAAAGCGCTGTGGGAGTTTCTGTTGGCCGAGGTACTTCTTCAGCCGCTGCATGAAGAAGGAGCGGACGTTGAGAACAGGGTCTTGCGCTACCAAGGCGAGGGCATTGAAGGCAGTAGGTGTGAAAAGGGCGTCTGTATGTTTTTTGGTGCATAATTTGAGGCATAGGCAGGCGGCGGTGAGACGAAGTCGAGCTTTATGTGCAGGTGGTGTGTCTTGGGCGCTTGAGACTTCTCCGTTCTTGGTAACAAGAGTCGAAAGAAGTTTGTAGACCGGACTCGCCACCTCTGCAAGGGTATCAGGCTCTGGATGAGAGCGGATGCGGTTCACCAGGATCTTCAGAGCCCAGCATTTTGCTTCGCATTCTGTTTCCAGGGTAGGTGACCATAAATAGGACTCTGAGGGTTCTGTAGATGACGTCCGGACCTGAAGTAGGACCTTTTCGATTGCGATGTCACTGATGGCATCGCTCTCTTGATTGGCCTGGTGGGGTGCAAGAAGCATGAACTGGGAGAGGGTGGCCAAACGAGCAAGAAATCCTTCTCCCCCGTACTCGAAGCCATTGACGCACTTGGTGATAAGATCTTTCGCCAAGAGCTCTTTCTTGTCCGAGGCGGTCATAATGATAGTGACTGCATGTTTAGCTGCCTCTGCTGGAGTGCCGTGAAGAGCGAAACTTGTCATTGCTTGTACAAATTTCCGATCTTGGGGAATCTCATCTGCGAATTTCAAGGCATAGGAAGCGCACGCCTTCAGATTATCTACTGCCCCCGCGTCATTCGTCTTCTTTGAATTGGGGGCTTCATCTTGGAGTATCGTGCAGATCTCCTGAACGTGAGCTTTCAGAATTTCGGGCGTTCGAGTGGAGATCTCTCTGAGCAGCTCATGAGCGGTCGCGGCCAAGGACTTGTCGTCGGTCCTTGAATACTCCATGATAGCTGCAACATGGCTCTTATTGTACACCAGGAGACTGACTCGGTAAAGAACGGGGATTAAGATGTTGAGGAGCTCCTGCGGTGCAGTAGCCGATTGTTCGATGCGCTTTGTGAACTCTTTCTACGAAGACATTTGCTTTAGTTACAAGCGATTCCTGGGCTTAGGGGTGAAACTTACTATAGCCTTAACCACAGTCCGATAATCACTTTCTGGCGCCATGCAAAAGCGTATCAGCTGATAGCTACGACGGTCGTGCATTTTCGCAAACTTCCACAGACTCTCCGCGGCTTTCAATGAATCTGGTAGCAAGTGTGCGAAAGTGTCAATAAGTCGTGCCATGTGTTCCTTTACCGGCTTCTCATTTTCGTCCATGACGCCTCCCTATAGCAGTCATTAGCCAGAACCAACAGGAGGCTTGATGAATGAGCCTACATTGTAATCTTCACAGCGCTGCAGGTATGCTGTCATGACTTTTGCTAGCTGAGTTTGACGAGTTTGGATCGCAAAAAACACTTTCTTGGCCCTTTCATCGAGGTCTCTGACGAGTACGAGGATCCTCTCCGTCCTGATTTTATCAGGATCAATGCTGTCAATTTCCACGTCTCCGTTCGTCTGGCTCTCTTTGACCTTTTGCGAATTTCCATTTGCAAGCTTTGCACTTTTCGCCTTGACTGGCGGATAGCTCAGTGGAAGAAGTTGCTCATATAGGACGTGATCCAGCAAAACCATAAGATCCATATCATTAGCGTAATATGTGTCCAGTATTTTGGAAGGAGCTGCTCCGATGGTCGAAATCACCTGCTCGTCCGCAACCGCTACCGCTCCAGATGCAACGCCCCATAGACTGGCCAGAACCCTCATTGCCTCCACTCGAACAGCATGCTTACGATCACGCACTCTTTCTGCGAGGACTGCAAGCACGGATCCTGGCTTATCCAAGCCACCAGAAGATCCTAACTTGAATATTACTTCTCGAAAGCTGAACGTTCCCACAACTTTCACAGCTGCTATACGTACTTTCTCTTCGGCGTCACCTAGCATCCTAGCAAGTTCTTTGATGAGACGATCTTCTTCTTGCTGAGCAAGGCCAACACCGCCAGCTGAAGTTGTCAAGATTCGTCCGAGGCCCGTAGTCCACACTGACCGAATTACTGGTGATTTATCGTGACTTCTTCCCAGGAAGCTAGCGTACGCCTGAGAGTATGTCTGAGGGAATGGCTGGGGGGAAGAAGGTTTGGTTAGAATGTTGCGATTGAGTGTTGACTCTGCTGTGTCGGTCAAGTCAAGAGGTGGAAACGCGGCCGGGTCCAGTATCGATGGTGGGGGCAACCCCGCCGCTCCTATGCCTGAGATAATGTCTCCAAAGGTTTCCGTAGCAAGAGAGCGTAAGTGCACGTTCTCAGCAGACAACTCAGCCTCCAATTGAGGAATCACATTTTGTAGTACCGTAGGACAGGCGCGCCACAACTCTCGGAGTAATTGATGGACCTTATGTAGCTCGTTGAGGTCCTCGTCTGTAGGACCATTCCCATTCTCCATATCAGAGTCATCCAGATCATCGCTGACTCTTCGATGTGATGTCTTCTTGCTCGAAATGTTAGCTGCCGAGGATGACGACGCGTCGACTATCACATCGTTGAAATATTGGCTGACATGTCTTGCCATTTTCTCCGGGGAAGATATACAGATTGTCTTTGCCATGATGTACGCTGGCGGCAACTCCTTCAGTGTCAACGTTGACTGTTTTTCGTCAAGCGTCACAGCATGTTTCTTGCCCTTCCCAGCAGTCCCATTCATTGCGCGGGGATCTGTCCTAAGGAATTGGGCGACTATGACATCAATGATTTCTGAGGGTAAGGTTGCAGATTCGTCGACCATTGTCACCAGTATCGAAGTCATGTGGAATTCGACATTCTTGCCCAGTTGTTCTCCAGTCGATGTTTTGGTGGAGCCGGCCAAGATGTCGAAAAATGAGGTGAACAGGTGTATCATCAATGGTTCCGAAGACGGTATATCTGTGAGCAAGACAATACTTTTGACTTCCGACAGAGACGTCAGGACGTATAGGTGCTGCTGATTGTACGCGTTCGAAGGGTCTGAAAGCGCCGGGAGGAGCACGGTGACCAGCATGTTGAATATGTCCTGAACAAGTGTAAGCTGGAGCACCCTCTATACCCGTTCCTCTCGCCATGTCTACTGACCTTCAGCTGTTGCCCGGTGTAGGGCGCATCTGGGGCGCAGAGTCTCAATATATCGACCAAACAACATGCCGTCCAAGCTTTGACACCTTTATCCTTGTGCGCCAGTAAGTTTGGACTCGCCAGATCCTTTGCGACTTTAGTGAAAGAGTCTCGCTCGCTCTCGTCCTGCTCCATGTCCCTCATCTCCTTGTGCAGGGCTTGTAAGCGTCGCAAGAGGTCCGCAATGGCGATGGACTTCCCAGCGCGCCATGATAACTCTTCTCTGAACTGTAGGCCCGGCATGTTGTCCTGCGGTACATCCATGATCTCTGTGGCTGCGGAAGCCGCTGCTCTTGCGGGCATTAATGTGCCCCCCGCGCGCTATGTATTCGGCTCTCCTTTCAATCCAATAATTATTGCATATCGGTTCTATAGAGCCTACTCAGTCCCTAGGGCTTTCGAGTTTTGAGGAAAGCGATGATGTGGTAGGAAATGAAATGGGTGTTATAGAATGCCCTCATCTACGACTTGGCGCGTCAGTGGGCAGCGCGTTCTTCCTAGGGCTGAACGGGACTTTGGTACCGACTACCGAGCAACTAACACCGCTCTACTCGTATTGATACTTGTTAGTCTCAAAGTTACAAATTTGCCTTGAGCATATGTCCACAGCGAATCACTTTCTCAGAACAATTCTGCAGGAAAAGATGATTTAATCAGTGTTATGAGCAATTTTGTATGCGACATCCTGTCTTCAAGCTCGAAGGCTGAGGAGTCGTGATAGAACGTTACACTTGGGTGTAGAATGCACCGGTGGGTAGAACCGAGTAGTACACACCGATCATTCTACTTTATAAGCAAGAAGTGGTCCCCCACCTTTCCTGCTATCATTGTCTGATCATGAAGTTCGCTTGCACCGCTGTTGCTTGGACGTAGGTAACAGAGTACCAGAGTGAATATTGCTCTCGATTACTGCCACACCGCCCTACATATAAGAATGTTTTATGTTTTGCTGGCCCTTCTGGTCCTTTCTCCGTTTGCTCGCACTTCTTCCTCATTCTATGACAACCCTGAGCAAGATCCATCACCTCCTACGGGCCCAGACAGCACAGAAGAACTTCACAGGAAATGGGACTTTGAGGTATTGCCCTGCTGATGTATCTCACTGCTCTGGTTCTTCTTCTCATGACTTTATCATTGATCCACCATAGTGGGGCTTTTCAGGAATATCTACTTTCGCACACTTGAGGCATATAAAATGCTTAAGTGAGAGGGACACACCCTTGTCAGTAGCCTGCAAAAACGCTGATTACCGTTGTCCTTTGCATTGACCGAGTCGGCAGCGACATCGGAATCATAGGTGCTCCTTTTGATACGGCTGTCAGCTACAGGCCCGGTAAGATCGTCTTGACGCTTTTGTCAATTCTTCTTTGTATCCTGCAGATTCCCCGAAGCAGAGAACATCCAAGCTCAATGTGAACTTCCCAGGAGCACGCTTCGGGCCTCGTGCCATCAGAACAGCTTCTGCTCGTCAAACCTCCTTCCGTGGCTTCAACCCTCGCCGTGGCCTGAATCCATACACTTCACCGTACACTATTTTTGACTGTGGTGATATCCCTGTCACACCTTTTGACAACGCCCTTGCCCTCCACCAGATGACATCTGCCTTCCTCGAACTCGGTTCCCGCGCTCCAGCTTTCGCCCACTCGACCAACCCAAAGCCCAAGCTACTCACATTGGGTGGCGATCATAGCATTGCTCTTCCAGCCCTCAGAGCACTTAACAAGATCTATGGCGGACCAATCGCTGTATTGCACTTTGACGCCCATCTCGACACCTGGCGTACGTATCTTCGAGTCCGTGTCTGCTTTGTAGACAAGTTCCAAGAGGTTCAGTACAACCCCTCAAAAAGGCAATACTGACTACGGAATTGTCATTCAGACCCGGCGAAGTACCCGTCTGCTTGGCCATCTACACAAAGCGATTTCACTCACGGAAGCATGTTCTGGATCGCCTCCAACGAGGGGTTGATCCTGAATGGCTCATCTGCCCATGCTGGGCTGCGAAGTCGTCTTATGGGTTGGGATGATTATGAGGATGATGAACGCCAGGGCTTCCTGCGCATTTCAGCAGATGATATCGATGAGATGGGCACGGCAGGCATCGTGAGTGCGATATTGGAGAGAATCGGAACCGATACGCCGACATACTTGAGTTTGGATATTGATGTGCTTGACCCGGGCCTGGTCAGTAGACCGCTATTGTCACCTTCACAAGCCATGTTGATGTCTGACTACAAACAGTGCCCAGGTACAGGAACGCCCGAAGCAGGCGGCTGGACGAGTCGTGAGGTGATCAGGATTCTTCGGGGTCTCGAAAAATTGAATGTTGTCGGCGCGGATATCGTCGAGGTGGCGCCTGCCTATGACGGAACAGGGGAGCAGACGGCACTAGTCGCAGCGCAGGTAGGTTTTGAGATATTGACCAGCTGGGTTGGGCGCGGCATGAGCGAGATAGAGAAAGCGAAAGGCAAAGATGATAAGAGCCAAGCTTCGGGCAAGGGAAAAGACGAGCTATGATGACTGAACTCAGGAGATCCTGCGTCGGAAAAGAGTATCGTCGATATACAGTGCGTTGTTCTAAGGGCTCTACGCTTTAGGAGATCGATATTTCAAGAGCGAATAGCCAAAATAGGGGGAGGTTTTTTTTTTCTTCCCCCCTTTATACATTCAACTTCACACATCGAAGGTCTCGCGTTGATAAAGCGCACTGTAGTCGGATAGAGCCCCAAGGCACTGGGCTGAATAATCAAACACTTTGATTGACTCTAAAGCAGTGTTAGACGTTGTTCGCTTGACAGATACTTTACTCACGCGCAAGGTACTCTCTGAGTAGAATTAACCTGGGGTCATTAACCTCGAGCAATCGAGACTTGTGCCTTGAACGGTAATGAAAATGAGCTGTTTCTGGCCTATGGCCCCGCCAGTCCTCCGGCGCATCGTATAATAGCTCTAGGGACTTATGTCCGGGCCAAAAAGACTCTGCCCTACGGGTTCTCTACCTCTGAGGAACTCTGCCTGGGATACTAGCTTTAGGATATCTCGCCCAAGCGATATGGACTCTGTTCGATAGGGTGTCTGTCCCGAAATCGATAGATATTCTTAGCGGATCTACCCGATCTCCAAAGTAGAATGATAAATCTCATACGATAGAAAAGATGGTCGTTTGGTCTTGTCATAGTGTCAGCTTTCGTCCGCCGTATTCTAGCCACCAAGAACACTGAAGAGAGAAAGTGCGATGAAGCCGCTTGACTGACAGATGATCTTTGATTGCGTGCGTTTAGGCAGTCGTGAATTCCTGATCATGAGTCTCGGGCAATTTTGCCGGAGTCGATCCAATGATGGCAATGGATTGCGTGAAGTGAGCATCCCAGCAAGGATTTCGATGGGAACGGCATTGACGTAAACGCAGAGAGGAAGTCGGTTCCTATTCTGGCATGGGCTAGGTCTCATTGATCATTGAGGCTTTGCAATTGAGATGAGCTTGATTGTACTTCTGACTACAATCAAATTGACGGCAGCCCCTGACAAAACAGGGAATGCGAACATAAGCAAGATTTTTTTTATACTTGGCAAGACTAGACAAATGAGAAGCGTAAACTTATCTTGGAATGTCCTGAGTTCATGGACCAAACCTGGAGGCAATAAGTTGACACAACGATTACATTGAGCTGCATGCGTTCCTAAGTATATCCTTTTTCATTGCACCTCGTTGGGGCCATACTCCGACTCCAATTTATGCCTCCCGTTGGAATTTCTCATGTTCAATTTCTCCATCTCTATATCTTTGATCATACGAGCCTTCCCATGCGTCAGTATCCTCTATGACGTATCATAGCCTGTATGGAAAATCACTTCGCTTGGCGCCAGATAGACAAGCATGTGGCCGTTCTGTACTGTTTGACACTGACGGGATAGAATAATGGATGTGTGGGGACTCAATTTAGTACAGATGGAGCAGTTGCAACTATTTACCGGATGTGTGTCGAGGTTCGGGAGCTTGATCTTGTATTTGACTGCTCCGCAATGACAATTGGCATCGTACCAGACTCTTCGCCTCAGCCACGGCGGCGGTGGACATGATGGACTGTTGGATAAGGTGAAGAAAGATGCGAGCATCAGCATAGTGTCCCGGGCACGCTATTTGAAGAATGGCAGGCACCAACGTGGCAATCGCTTCGCAATGTGTTTATCCCAACTGGGATGACATGGTGGGCCGACGGCGACCTCTGTGCAAGCTTCGGCGAATGCGTGGGTCCATGCATCATGAATGCCTGGCTCTACACCTACCTTCCCATCGGACCCATCGATTACAAGCACCCACATGACTCTATGCTGTACCGCAAGAGATTATAGAAGCAGGATCGTAATGTTGATGCCATTAGTATGCATTATCATCAACGTATTACGTGCTGCCCAGCATAACGGACTTGGCAAGCTTTAGGTTGGTTCGAGGGCACCAGAGGGTTTAACGGCAAGTATATACCTGTGAGTTATGACCGATTATCCGAGGCCAAGAACATTAACAAAGCGCTAAGGGGCGGATCTGATAAGATCTGAGGGGTAAGGTAGATCCACGCTAGATTAAGCGTATCTTTGCTCTCCCCTTTGCATATGGCCAATCATAATCAAATAATTAATGACTCTCTCAAAAGTTTCCGGCCCTCTCACACCCCACTCAAATTACGTCATGTCATATTCGAGGACCCAAAGTAGACTAGCGTCCTAAAATGATTTGTCGTTATCAGATGATCTGATTGTCATTCTTCCAATACATTCATTACCACATTTTAGTCTCCGGTACTTTGTCACTCTATGAGAAAGAGAATATACTGTGTATAGACCAATAGTCGTTTGTTGTCTCAGGATAATAACCAGTCCCTTCCTATTCCTCCCTTTCCCTGCGTGCTGCACTTCCCTTTCTATGATTCCCTCATGGCAGAAGTGGCGCCAGGAAACAGTCTTCCTGCTCATGGTGATCAAGACCAAATCAGCGTGGATCATGGAGATGACCAATCCTCCTTCACTTCAGATGCCACACAGACTGGAGTCAAGAACATAGAAGCGGTCAGTCAAACATGGACTCAATCGTCACTCATTGCCGCTTATCTTGGGTGAGCTTTACCGTTGCCCATCTTACTGTGATCCCTAATCGGCCATGGCATCTCTTGTTCCAAGGGGAACCATCATGTGTCGAATTAGCATCAAAACACTTGGTCGATATACACCATTGTCGCTTGAAACGTCATGTCTTACAATTTGTCTGACTCCTTCATAGCATCTTCCTCGTGGCCTTCTGTACCTCCCTCGAAGTTCAAACAACAACAAATTTGACCGTGTACGCAACCAGTGCTTTCGCAGAACACTCGCTAGTTGCGACTGTCTACGTGGTTCAAGGCGTGGTCAATGGTGGGTCGTACAGTACATGAGACACCACCATGGGCTCTTCTGACCGCTCGCAGCCGTCATTAAGTCTCCGATGGCCAAAATTGCAAACGTTTTCGGTCGACTAGAAGCATTTTCCATCAGTGTCTGTCTTTATGTCATTGGCTACATCCAAATGGCTGGCTCCAACAATGTCAAGACTTTCGCCTCGGCTCAGATCTTCTATTCCGCTGGTTCCACAGGCTTGCAAATATTGATACAGATATTTGTTGCAGATACTAGTGACTTACTCAACAGGGCGCTGTTTTCCAGCCTACCAGATGTCCCATTTCTGATTACCGTTTGGGTTGGTCCGCCGATTGCCAACAGTGTACTGGCCCACACCACATGGAGATGGGGCTATGGCCTGTGGACCATTGTTTTGCCAGCAGCTTTCATGCCGCTGGCTCTCGCACTGTTCCTGAACGTGAGAAATGCGGCAAGGCTGCATCTTCTTCCTCCGTCTCCGTGGAAGGGTCAAAGTGTAGTCGGAGGTTTCAAGCATTTGTGGTACGAGCTCGATATCATCGGCTTGCTGTTGCTCTCGGCTGCTTTTGCCTTGATCTTGATTCCTCTGACGTTGGCCGCAACTGCAAAGAGTCACTGGCATAATGCCAGCATAATTGCCATGATTGTTATCGGCTGTGTCTGCCTTGTCGTGTTTCCCTTTTGGGAATCCACTCGCAAGCTAGCCCCGCGACCGTTCCTCTCATTGCGTCTCCTGACAAACCGTAACGTGCTCGCCGGCTGCGGCATTGGCTTCTTCTATTTCGCCGTCTTCTATACCTCGATCCAGCCGTACTTCTACTCGTATCTGCAGGTTGTGCAAGACGATTCGGTGACGGCAGCTGGCCACATCGTCCAAACCTTCACTTTCACATCAACAGTAACGGCAATTTGTATATCCGTCATCATCAAATATACCCGCCATTACAAGTACTACATCACCGCCGGTGCTTGTATATACCTCATGGGCGTTGGACTAATGATACGCTATCGATCGCTTGGCAGCTCCACAGGTCAAATCGTGGGCACGCAGATTGCCGTGGGCATTGGCGGCGGAATGCTTAACGTACCGGCTCAACTGGGCGTGCAAGCTGCTGTATCGCACAGCGACGTGGCTGGCGCAACCGCTATATTTCTCACTGTTGTAGAAATTGGCGGAGCGGTAGGGAATGCGATTTCAGGGGCCGTCTGGACGGCGAATATCCCCGCGAAACTAACTAAGTATCTGCCTCCAGATGCGCAATCGGATGCTGCATTGATCTTCGGTAATCTGACAATCGCGAAGAGTTATGTGGGAGGTAGCCTGGAGAGGTTGGCCATTGACCGGAGCTATCAAGAGACGATGGACCTTTTGCTGATCATCGCCGCTTGTCTTGCCGCACCATTGATACCTTTGAGTCTGCTAATGAGGGACTACAGGTTGGATAGTATTGATCAGAACGTCAGAGGGAAGGTTATTGGACGTGACAGGGCGCAAGACGAAGGGCCCCCGGAAGTGCAAGGGGATAGGGAAGAAGCGCGAGAGAGAGGCTTCCTCTGGCGTTTATTGAGGTGAGATGAAAATAAACCATGAGCATGTGTGCCTAGCAGAGGATATTGCGAAATTGGAATATGGTCAAGATACGTACTGAATTATCAGATTAAATGTTGAAACGTCTTGATTGCATTAAAGACAGTGAATGTCACAGGGTAGAGGGTAGACTGTAAGACACCAGATTGTTTCGGCTATGGTGGCTAGGGCCAAATCTTTCGATTGTGACCAGTCATCTGCTTCGCATTTCTGTCGGAGTTGCCCGAGCAACAATAAATTCGGAGAAGAGAATTTTCGTTCAGTAGAGTAGGTAGACGCAGTAGACGATTTCTTTCTTAGAGTCCTTCGCGGTCTAGAACAGTCCCTCCACCACGTATAGAGCGCACATCCACCGAGGTGCACAGGCAGAACGGCACTCTACAACAGTCAGAATAGGATGATTGGAACAGAGACGTCTGATATCACAAGGCTTTGCTATGCAGGCGCTCTGTTGCATATTCCGCTAAGCTTGACCTGCAGTCCATGGTTCATATCATGTTTGTCTTTGTTGGTCCGTGAACAAGGCTGATGTTTCCATGTAGGGCACAAGTACTGTGGAAATGGGACTCACTTGCCTCCAAGCCGAGACGCCGCTTGGCGGGGACTCAGGGGTCCACTGTAGGCCACTGTACCTGAAATGTTGGCAACAGCAGTGCCCTCGATCCTTGCAGACATGTACTCGGAGAAGGAGCGTCTCTGCCTGACATGGCGTCAGCAACAACCATCAAGGCCGCTTCCGGGGAAGATTGATTGGTACCATGCTTCCTTCTGCAGAAACGTCTCTTCCTCCCTTCCTGCGAATTTAACATCTGTTCCCCGATAACATTGTTGCTTAAACTGGGAGTATGGATCAGCGAAAAGCATCGCAGACCTGTATTTATCGCAAGCTGAGAGCTATAAAATTTAAAAATCATAAAGTTATTAGGGTCAGACTTTCAGTAGGTGGACGTAGTTTCAACTTGAGTGTCTGGAAGCTCGAAGCGTCCAGAGCTCTCAAAGCAGAAAGAAAAGCTTCTCGGATTGGGAAGCAGCCTTGCATATGCAGTGGTGCATTGGACAATAGAATCTACCTGCGTCGTCGGGCTTCCCACTTTTAAGAAAATCCCACTAGAAGCTGCTTGTCTCAAACATGAAGCACACCACTGGCCGCAGCAAGGCGACCGAGGACTCGTACCGTAGCTCGTTGCTTGTATGTCAGTCGCAACCGCCGCCAGTAACTGATTTGCCTTCGCTTCCAATTCAATTCTGTTCTGTTTTTATCTCTTTCTAGTTCATCCTGATTCCTGTAAGACTGAGAGCCGTTAAGAAGGTCGGGCCCTGCTCTTGACAAGGACCAAACTACCAGCTAGCGAGACTTTTTGACTTGTTTGCCTTTGTCAACCACTTTCTGATAAGATAAATCCGTCTTTCATCAACATCACCCTGTACTGAAACGCCATTCAAGTGGTTAGGGAGGAGGATTCTCCAGGCCTCAGCAAAGGGAGCCTGGTCTACCGCCCTGCTTGAACCACCACCCCCCCCCCCTTCACCCCTCCAAAAAAGTAAGTACTCACTGCTCACCATAGAGGCTGAGCCAACCAGCAGCGGTGATACCTGTCAGTTGCCGCTCAACCTCCTCCCCTACCTTGAATTGTATTCAGCAGGAGCTCTGACATTTCCCTCTCCGCTAGCTGGACCACCACCATTCAACGAGCTTTCGGGAGTCCGACCGCGTTGCAAGGGCATATACCCTTAACCCGCCGCGCCCACCACAATTCGCATAACACCACATTCTCTGCTCAAGTCGTCTCTTCGATATCACTGTGCCAGGTTTGGATCCGCCTCGTTGACTCTCGCACCTCATTCTTCTCGTCTTAAACACTCACCAAACCCAAATACCTCACCCGTTTATCAGAACATCCCTCAAGGCCTAGACTCGGTCAACATATACAAGGAGTGCGCAGCGCAACATGGTTGTCGCTACAATCAAGTATGTCTCACCTCATACAGCTGGAGCAGGAGATCAGCAGCCCTCGAATGGTTCCACCAGGAAGAGTTTGCTGACACAAGCTCTCCAAGGTGTGTCGTAGTGGGCGACGGTGCTGTTGGAAAGACCTGCCTCCTCATCTCATACACTACCAACAAATTTCCTTCCGAATATGTGCCTACCGTGTTCGACAACTACGCTGTCACTGTCATGTAAGTCTGAAACACCTTACCGTTGTCGAGCGCTAGCTCAACCTTTCCCACCTTATCGAGCAATGTTGTCTCAGCTTTTTTGCAATGAATTCTCGCTAATGATGGGGCTCCTTTAGGATTGGCGATGAACCCTACACTCTCGGTCTATTTGATACTGCCGGTCAAGAGGACTATGACCGCCTCCGTCCTCTCTCATACCCACAGACCGACGTCTTTCTGGTCTGCTTCAGTGTCACATCCCCAGCGTCATTCGAGAATGTCCGTGAGAAATGGTTCCCAGAAGTTCATCACCATTGCCCAGGAGTACCTTGCCTCATAGTTGGTACGCAGACCGATCTTCGCGATGACCCACAGGTGCGGGAAAAGCTTGCCAAACAACGCATGCAACCAGTACGCAAAGAGGACGGAGAACGTATGGCGAAAGACTTGGGAGCGATCAAATACGTGGAGTGCTCTGCATTGACACAGTACAAATTGAAGGATGTCTTCGATGAGGTAGAGAATACCAGTCTCACTTTTCCTCCAACTCGAAGCTATCTCCACATTTGCTGATCAGAACCTTTGTGTCTAGGCTATTGTAGCAGCCCTAGAACCCCCGCCAACTAAGAGAGGTGGAAAGGATGGGAAGAAGCACCGAGGTTGCGTGATCTTGTGAGCTATGAGAAAAGAGGAAATGCTGCCAGGTAGCAGTGGTATTCGGACGGCTCGCCATGGTCCCCAGAGGGAGCTCAGCCTGCAGGTTTGATTATGATTCTTGAGACCTTACAAGCCGGTGCTATGAAAGAGCCTACGGCTCGGAATGAATAGAAAAAGACTTCGCGGTTGGGTCTGTCGTCTGCTGATACTTGTCTCATTATCGGTGGTTTTTTAACTCACTCACATGTCTATCCCAAGTGCAGCTCCCGATCGCTCAGTGCCGATTCCGCTTGAATGCATTTGTAGACGTATGGATCCGTTAGTACTGCTTGTTCGTGTTGTTATCTCGGGCTCGCTACTGTCGATGGTGCTCTTCAACTTTCTCTACACTTGATAGACCTGCATGAAGAATCTCCTGTCGAGGTTATCTTACTGCAATGCTCATGCGTCGCTATCTGCAAAATTCGGCTAATCAAGCTTTAGGTCCCAACTCTTTCCCTTACAGCATCTCTTCAAAGAAGACCGAAACAGGGAGCCACCTACTCTTGCTGCTCGTGTGTCCTTGTCCTTTCTGATAGCAATATCATTCTTTTTAGGGTAGCTCTTTCCGTGGCTAACATCTAAAAAGGGTACCTGGATGGGAGTAAACTATATAAGATGTTCTTCTGTGTGGCTGCTTTAATCTTGTGGCTTATAAACGTCTCTCTTTCGATTCGGACTCTTAGTGAGCAAGCTCAGAATGGCGGTCGGACGAGCAGCTATTGTCGACGGGCTCTATGTGATTGCACGTCATGGCACCTGCTGTCGATGTCCTGCGCTATCAAAGGTCGCGACTCATGCTAAGTGGAACCCCAATGGAGACAACACTATTGGTTATAGGCGTGGCCAGGCGCGTTGGTCAGTCCGCGCACTACCCAAAAACCCACCGACTCGCGCCATTTCATAGACCTTCGCTTGTCACCAACTGCATCTTGTATAGTCTCCAGTTGGACTATGCAAAAATACCGATTGGGCTCAGTCGGCTCCCAAGAATCACTGTATACATAGGGAGTCCGTTCGGATGCAGGGAACCACCTATATGAAAGAGAGACTGAGAATTTTGTGTAAGCCTTTGTTGCTCAGGCTTTCTAGCTGCGTTTTTATGAGACGCGAGTCTTCATTGATTAGGTCCAGCCTGTTCAGAATTAGCCAGCTCGAATGCAACAGCAAAGATTCCAATCTCTAGTGTTATGTCTCAAATACGTGAAGTATAGTCAATTGGAGAACGGACACGTACTGATATTGTCTTGACGTAACCTGATCTCTTTACTTTTTTAATTAGCTGAAAGATGGCAGCCTGAGGGTCCTCGCCACAGCCAAAGATTGACCGCAGTGTACAGATGCTGAAGTCTTGATATGGTATGGTATGTGTGAGCTTCATTGCCTAGAGCCTCTATTTTTCTGTGAACAATCGTCATATAGAAACATAAAAACATACTGGTGGGTTCTGGTCTATGTAAACATGTGCACTATGGAGGTAAAAAGGTTTCTCAGGCACCTTTTGAGTCCGGTAAGCAGTGCAGTGGTAAAAGTTGATCCTGCTGGCAGATATTGAACAATGAAATAGAAACAAGTAAGAAAACTCAAAAGGTGTAAAAGACTGACGATAGCTGATAATTCAAAATGTGAACGCTGCGTCGTGTAAACCTTTGTATTGCCTGCCTGTTATCTGGAAAGGTGACAAAGGGGACACAACGAAAGACCAGGCAAAGGGTTTCAGCAAAAGCAAAATCACAAACCGAGCAACATGCTGATGCAACAAAAAAGTGATATATGTAAAGTTTCCGTTCGAAAGAGGTGACACTGCTGGTACCACTAGTGCATGTCTGCTGAAGGCAATCTGTTTGCTTAGTCGCCATCAGTGACCTTGCATGAAAATTGCCTAAGAATATTGGGCATTTGGCATCACGGAATGCATCTATTGGACTGGCCTTAAAACGTGGGTACAGAGAAAAAGGAGTCCTCCGGCTTCTTGACAAGAAGGTTTGCACTGAGATCTAACTGTTCAGCCGGTGTACCGTGTAATGAGTATAGTATACGTGCAGGCTCATACCCTTCTCGACAGGCTTGTATTTCCCCCTCTGCTTCAATTCCGGTCAATGAGCGGAGATGGGGAAATCCACGGACACCATAATATATCCTGAGCCAGTGAGCAAAAGTATGACCAAAGTTCGCAACAGGGGTTTTGGCCATCACTCCCTGCAAACATTGTTTACAGGAACAGAGCGTTGCTTCTTTCTGCTCGCTAATCACACTGTGTAAGAAGCAGAATGGAAAGGAAGTTCGAGTCTCGAGCTTCACTGGCAATGAAAGTCTGTATCCCATTTTTGGTCCCGAAGTGCTGAAAGAGCCTATCAGATAATGTCTCTGGGATGGCAAATCATAGCAACAGTCGTGCATGATCCCACGAACGAGAAATTCCATTCAGGCAGAAGGCACTTGTTCAGGCATCGGCTGGCTTGAATGTAACTGACAAGGACAAACCAATTCTTTACAGGTGAAGTAGAGAGCGGCAAATCAGCAATACATGCCGACAATTGCGAACCGAAAAGAGACATCATGCAGGGAAAGTCTTCAGTGGTCCAGCTGCAGGCCGCCAATGCATCATGCCCACTCTGGTCAAACAACCAAGCATGTCCTACAGTGGTGATGCGGCCAGGACAGCTCAACATGGCTAACGCACCTACCTGCTCTTCCGGAAAACAAAAAACAGTACAGGAGCAGAGACGTCAGTCAAATCACTATACATCAAACCACAGACATCTTCCATTCGCGTCTTTAGCATCTTGGGCCGGAAGGAAATTTTTCGCAGAGCTTGGCCAAACGTACAAGAAGGATTCTCATGAAGCATACATGTGGCTTAGCTTCCTGTCCGTATTCTCCATCATCAGGCATTGCAGCAAGACTCTGCACCGGACTACTCATTCCAGTGGTTGATGCCATGTAGGATCGCCGTACACCTTTCCAACCTATCGAATTCATTCCAAGGGATGGTTTTGCGGAACTGAATCGTAAGAACAGGCGCGACGTATCGCAGAATCAGTCCATCCATTTCATCGCATCGGATCTAAGATACGGCCTGAACCTACGGTTGGCAAGAGTGAGGGGAAGCGATCCGCAAGGATTCTCTAGAGCGATTTTGGTTCCTGAAGGACTAAGCGTCTAGCTGTCTATCTGCTTTTTGATGGACTAATAGAAACGAAGCCACCAGCTAGGCTGCCAACAAGCTGAAGCACAAAAAAGAACAGACCCAGGCTTCTCGTGTCGAGCTGCGAAGTGTGAGAGGACATGTGATTTTGGCGCATGAGATTATTGAAGCCATGGAAATGATACCAGCAGCATTTCCCCAGGCACCTTAGAACCTTATCACCCTTATAGAGTTAGTGATCGAATCCACCTGCAATCCAACTCCGCATGTGCGCTGCTCCTTCGGCTTCATCCCACCCCCAACCCACAAACCTATCAACTTGCCCTTTCTCATAGTAGGCTGCTGATTTCGAGACTTTTCACTACTTTGTCCATCTCCTTCATATCCACACCCTTGGTTCCATGAATATGCTCCAGCATATCTCCGTGATAACCTAATTTGCGAAGCAGATAGCGCTCACCGTCGATGAATTTCGAAGTCGTGAAGATGGGATTCTCGTGCTCCAGGGGCTCGTCTTTGAGCCGCGAGGCTTTCACTTTACCTGCAGCGGTCTTTTCCTTGGGAGATTCAGCCGCCTGATGACGTTTTGTGATGGCAAGGTCAAGTTCAATGCGTTGGTCCCTCATTCGATCACACTGAGCTGCTTTTCGAAATTGAGTCAAGGCCGCTTTGTGATTATCTCTAATGGCATAAGTGATGCCGCGATAATGGTGAAATTTACTCTTTTCAAGCTGCGACAGCTCAGTGGCACGGTCTGTAGCCTCGATATTGTGAGTTGCGGCGCTTTTCAAGACGTCGCCGCAGCCTCATGGGGAGTTGTCCCTTGCTCTTTCGGATCTTCGCCTGCCTTGGGAGTACACAGGAGAATGTTGGTCCCACAGATCGAGATGAGCCGATCACTTGAGGCATGCAAACCTGGGTCTTCTACCCCGGAAATGTTCTCGTTGTCGGCCTGGGCTCTCTTGAATACATTCTGGGAGTCCTGATACTTGGCTAAAGCCAGGTCGTAGTTTCCCATCCGGAGAGCTTGATCGCCGACTTGCTTAATGGAGGCACAGGTGTGGTAGAGCTTCCAAGCTGCTGCACGAACCCAGTGAAGAGGCGGCATCATAGTCTTCGATATGTCCTGCGCGTAGGCGGCGTCGACATTGCCTTAGAAGTTCACATTCTGTTCAGCGGTCGTCAAACTGCGAAATGGCTTTTCGGGGTCAGTATGCCCTTATTAAAACGTAGGATAGGATCGACCCCTAAAACCAGTTCTGAAGCAGATTGGGGGGGAGCCCATTACATGGCACCGTTGGATCATAATTCAAAACAAAGCAGTTAAACATGATTGAGATGTCAGACCAAAGTGCCGAAAAGAAAGGAGTCACTCCGAAATGACGTACCTCTAGGAGAGTCTTCTGGATGGCAAGGCTTGGAGGGCCGGCATCTGTGGGTTCGATCCGGAAATTTAAGTTAAGTTGCGGTCGTATTCTACTATTAGTGACACCCAAGAAATAAAGCAATCGTGTGAAGCTAGGCAGATCCTGAACTAGCACGATGAAACTGGCATGGACTTTGGTGTTCCCTTGGGTCTTGGCCCATGGGAACTTGATATGCAAGCGCATAATGTTGTTCTTGAACCTGGCAACGAGCTGTGGCTTTTGACAGACAGTGGTAACTTCATGGTTTGTCATGTATGTGAAGTTCATCTCCCAGTCACTGGAGATAGTCACAAAATAGTTCTCGCGGTAGAGCATCTCATGTGCCTCACCATGGATCTTCTTGCTCACAGACAAGACTGCAGTGAGCAAGCGGTATGGGGCGTACGAGATACCGATCGGGTGGTTGCCGAACATTGTCGGCCGTGAGAAGGCGTGTAAAGATTTTTCGGCGAAGCTCTGACGTGATCTTCTCCAACGGTGACATCTGCTTCTGTGTAGTAGCGGTTGATTTTGGCAAGGTGGAAGATTGTAGGAAAACGGCATTCCCAGGTGCGGAGATTTAGCTTCCAAGTGCTGATGTAGCCATTTCCAGAATCAAAGTCTAGGAGAAGTGTTAGTGTCAAAGCTCGCTCATGATGGCTTCAACAGGATTGTTGCCAGTCTAGGGTAAACCAACAAGTTTACAATCTGGTGTCGCTTGGCGCTTGGGTAATTAGGTAGAGTACAATGTACCACGTCCGTGAGGACAGATTGTCAAAGGCGGGAAGCTGTCAGATGACCTTTGATCAACTTGTGCGCGAGAAAGGGGCTTGGGAGCCTAAGCAGTATGTAAAGTAGTCCCAGATGCAGTGTCGAGAGATAGTATTGACAGCGTAGCGCAGAAGCGCGATTGAGAGCGAGTAATTAGACGCTTCCGCTACTTTCTTTCTATGGTCACTTGAGTAATATAGAAAGATCACGGTAGTTCCATCGCGGCTCGTAGTGGTCCACAGTATGCATTCGTACTGGTCGTGGGATGATCATGCCTGGCTCTGCACGAAAACAGCCCGCCACAGGCTCGAACGATATTCACCAGGTAGTATACCAACATAAGCTTATGTCCTTTTCATTAAAGGTCTCCTCACCACTTAGCTTGGAGTCTGGAACGTGAAAGTTCGACAGGCGATAAATGCCAATGATGCCGCGTTTGATAATTCTAATACTCATACATTGCCATTTGCAAGTGCCTTGACAGGGCGATGACTTCTTGAACTGCGCCAGAGCATTTCTTTCAATCTCCACTAAGATCAAACCTCAGGGAAAGGAGGCTCCGATCAGCGTTTCCTACAGCCGTAAACATAGGCAGAATTCTCGTCTACCGGCTCCAAGACCTCGAATTTGGTTCCCAAAGCCTCCTTCCCTTCTTTGATCATAGCTTTCAGCTGCTGGTTGAATCGCTTTAGATTCGCATCTTCTTCCAATTCCCGTTTCCGTATTCTCGCCGCCTGCCGGTGTACCTCTGCATTTTGTGGACTCTCGCGCTTCAGCGACGTGATTGGAGATCTTGGCGACGCAAAAGATGCGGATCGATCGGATTGCAAGCCAGGCGAGCCAGCGTACGATGTCAATGATGGTCTTGAAGCTGGTAGAATTGGTCTTCTGCCAAGCTTAGGTATTGGTCTTCGCGCCGATGTGTTCGAGGGGGAATTTTTCCGACTAGATAGCCGTGAAGGACTCGTCTCGCGCGAGGTAGACGTACTGCCCACAAGCACCCAGCTGGCACTTATCTCCCCACCGATTCCCTTCTCTCGCTGTACCTTCTTTGCTGCGCGAGGCGGCGTTGTGTGATGAATTTGGGACATGTAATCTGCGATGAAGTCTTCCTCAGGGAAGCAGCCAGGTACCAAGCTCTTCTCGCATAGATTCGACTGAAATACGTCGTCGCAGTCAACTTCTTGCCACATGTTCTTATCGCAGTTCATATATCCCAGTGGTGGCTTCATCTCATATCCCTGACCGCCTCCAGAATAAAAGCCCTAGGCAGAATCAGGAGTCAGCATTGCTTCTTCGAGCCAAGAACCTGAGTAATGACACAAATCTCAGGAGCAAAAGGAACCTTGTGCTCCCGCAACATAACTTGTGACTTAGGCTTTGGTCCTAAATATGAAAAGATCATTCCGAAATGTACGTACTTTGAATGCGGTTGTCCTACAAAAATCCCACAGCTTGCCCGCCACTGAAGCTATGCCGTAGACTGCTTTGCCAAAACCATCTTGGATTCGTGGGGAGGCGTGCTGCCTTGGACGTCCGTTGCTTTCTCTTGATAGCGCAGAATCAGACTGAGGAAAGTAGCTGTCTGGAACTGACTGGGAGTCTCTGAATCCCCGCAAGTGTAAACCGGGTGACGCCCGACATTCTCCTCCTTCTTCGTCCATGGTCAGGCGTGCTGTTGGCGTATCAAGACCGCCGGCTAGCCTGTATTGCGTATTGACAAAGGGCACAGGGCTCAAGGAACTTGGAGACTCCAAGCCGGACGGTGTGAAAGAAAGCATACTTGGCGATGCATTTGACAGGGTTTTAAATGGTGTGAGTTGATCTGATGAGTGTGAAACATGCCGTGATCGTTCCCGGCTCGCAGTTTTGTTGATGACATCTTGAGCGGGAAGTGAAGCTGTGGATCTGTGAAGTGAGCTTGACGCCGAGGGTGTCTTGGGAGGCTGGAAGAAGTGCGACTTTGCTCCCACGTTGATGTCGAGCTTAGGAGGAAGAATGGTGTCAAAAGAGAAGGAGCCAGACATGACGGTGTGGACAGAAGACATAATCACGTTGGAATGTAGAAGAGCCAAGCGTGCTATTCGGTTGCGGTCCACCACTGTTTGGACTGTTTTGCGGGGTTGCTATGTTGACTACTTTACTTTATCTGCCTTAGCGTCAACGGTGGGAAAGGCTTCGGATACACAAAGTGGGCACTCGTTAACTCCGAATTGAAAACTAGAGTACCTCCGTAGAGTACTGTGCAAACGGGAATGGAAATGGAAATGGAAATGGAAATGGAAATGGAAACATTCACTCGAGTGATAGCGAATATAATAGCAATCAGCGACCCAGAAATTTAACCATCTCATCATTCCTATGGTCCATTTGTAGGGATCCAAGCCTTTCGTGACGACCAAATGTGCTAATACTACATGGTTCTTCCGTCACCCAAAGCCATTGATCAAGACTGCAACGCCTTAAAATCCACTTAAACTACTTACACGAAGACTTTCCCTCATCCAACATCGCGGCTGAAATATACCTACACGAATGCAGAGGCGTGCCAGCAGCCTCGAAAGGTGAAGGAGATTCGTCAAGACGCTTCTATCTGCGCGCGTGCCAAAGAGCTTTACCTACTCAAGCTGCCCTTAGATTCGTATGTTTGTCACAAGATGTGATGCGGAACTGATTTGTGCTCTCATCAGGACCACCACCACATATGACACAGTTTTCGGAGGAAGATACACAGATTCAGCGCTATCAATGCATTAGTCAGACTCAAACGTCACGTTTGCTACTCAAGGGTTACATACCCTGCCGCGTCGTCCATCGTTTTGTTGCATCACAGGCTGCTGCTGGGGATAATACTGCATTGGATATTGATACCCGCCGGCCATACCATTGCCGCCCATTAGTGGATTGAAACCGGGCGGAGCGAAAGCGGATTGCTGCAACATGGGACTGGGGCTCATCCGCATGTTTTGTTGTGGCATCTGACCCAAGGATGATGAAGGGGACGAGTAGCCACCCATACCCATGCCTGTGTAATAGTCTGCTGGCGAGGCGCCTCTAGGCAGTAATGCTGGCTGATATTGTTGGCTCATTGGATTGAGTGAATTGGATGTAAAATTTGACGCTAGCTGCTCGTATGCCAGAATACCGTTCGGATCCATGGCTGAAGTTCCAGTGAAGCCTGTCTGCATTGGGTATTGCTGCTGAGGCACAGGCTGGAAGAATTGGCCGTTATACTGTCTATCGCTTTCTGCTTGATGCTGCCTTCTGCCTTCCCTTGACCCATGCTGTGGAGTACGATTGCGCTCCTGGTGAGGGCCGTGCCCATTCGGAGTAGGGTCGCGCTCGGACTTCACGCCCTTAGCAGACAGGCCCACCTCGTCCATAAGTCTCTTGTACCCTTGTGATGCCGAGGCCTTTAGCCGCAAGAGTACGTTGCGCACGTTTTGCATGACGTCGTTGCGCTGGCTTTCATCGAAAGATGGCGTGGTAAGAACTTTGTAAATTAGTGTGGCACCGGAGGCTTGATCACTCAAGATGTCTTCTAAGGTTTTGTTGTCCTCGGAGAAGAAAAGAGCTTGGAGGACAGTGTCCCTGGCTTCAGGCTCATTCCGCTGGTTGATGACTTTCAAGACTGTAAGATAAGCTACCTTATGTGTGCAAAGATGGACAAGATGAGGGACCAGCCGGGGTGCAAGAGCAGCCCGGCGATGAGAAAAGGTGCAAGTGTCCAAGAACCACGTGAGTAGAAGCGCACCGTTGGTGTTGGTCGCTAGCTGTACACTGTGAAGTGCAATAGCCGAGGCTAACATTCGTTTCTGGCTATGGGTAGCATGGTGACTCTCGAGGCAAGCACGCATGGCTCTTGCACCAAATCGCCCCTGAGCGATGTCCCACATACGACTGAGCATAGTCTCGAAAATGAAGTTGTTGTACGGGTAGCCAAATCGTAGGCAGCCTTGCAGAACGTAATTGCCATATTGATCGAGGAATAGAGCTACGGTGTACGGTCGTAGACTGTTAATGATGATCTGGATTTGACTCGGCACTTTCGAAACGTCAATGATCTTCTGAGCAGCCCAAGTACCATTTTTATGGACCCCGATCTCTGCAAGGTGAGGGGCAATTTGGATAAGCATTTGCTCCTTGACAGATTCGGAACAGAATTCGAACAGCTTCTGAACGACTGTATTTCCAAGGTAGTCGGAAGCCAGCTCGGCGATCTCTGGAAGCATTCCCATTGCGGTTTCTTCAAGTTCTCCAGGAGTCATGGCATTATTGTCTATCCTTTTTCGAATCTCTCGGAGTTTGGGTGCGTCATGAATTCTCGCGTGACTTGGCTCTGAAATTGGTAGGATCTCGTTCTCGAAATCCTGAAAAGCTATGGCGGCATCAATGCTGTCCTCAATGCTGTAACGGTCTTCGGCGCTGGCTCCAAATTCATGAGCCATCTGCAACATCTCAGACTTCGACTCAGGCAGATCCGGCACTTCAAGGGCAGCAGCGGTACTCTGTGCGTGGACTCCATTGGCCTGGCGATTCCCATTATTGTCATCGGTAGCTTGAGAGGCTTCATTGTCAGTCTGTCCATTACTGTAAGGATCAGGACTTCGTGAGTGGAAGGTATTTCCAGGAGTGCCGCCAACGGAAGCAGATGGGGCCTTTGCATAACCGATTCTCACCGGACCAGCTCCAGGAAAAATCTCTTTTCCATTAAGCGACTGCTTGGCTTTAATCGCGCTTTCGATGCTCTCAAAGTTGACGAAGCCACAGTTCTTGTGCATGAGGACTCTTGATGACTCAATCTTGCCATGGGCGCCGAAGATAGCTTGTAAAGAGGTGACAGTAGTCGACGTAGGGATATTACCAAGCCAAAGCGCACGAGTCGGTCCATCTTGGCTGCTCTCCTCAGTGCTTTCGAAATTTGATCGTTGTCCCATCTCGTTGAGATGAAGAGCCTGAACAGCTTCCGGCAGACCCTCGTAATCTTCGGTCCAATCTGTGGTGTGGACTGGGCTAGTCAATTGTGGAGGACGCGTGAGGTATCGCAAAGGACCAACTGGTGTTCTCAAAGGCGAATCAAGGACACCAGCTGTGCGTGCTCTTGGCCTACTAGCGGAAGCTTGAGTGGCAAAGGCCTGAACTGCTAGATTGTGATGGATGATCTGTGCATTTGTTTGGGCTATAGCAGCATCCATAGGAGTCATGACACCACTTTGTTGTCCCGAATAGCCATCATTGGAAGGATAATCTTCGTCATCCTCCGCTGCGTACTTCTCTTTGGCATTGACAGAGTAGGACCTGAATCTGTTTAGATTCCTGTTGAAGCCGGCAATGTCGTTGAGGAAAGGCTGCATGGACAATCTCTGCATGCCAGGCTGAACAAGATTGATTTGCGTCTGCATAGGCGTCTCCGCCAAGCCGAGATAATCCAGAGTCTTGACATCCGTGTCCGTCAGTCCGTCTTTGGAGAACGAGGACTGCGCGGGAGAGGCCGGCACATCGGCCGAACGAACGCTAGCCAGGGTGGTGGACCTATCTCTAGGATTGCTCCAGCTACTTGAGAATAGTGACGAACCAAATGGACTGGAACTCTCGACATAGCTTGCCCGCTGAGGCATAGATCCCGCTCTCAATCGCGATAGAAGCGCAGAAGTAGAACTTCCTAATGGTGAACTTGAATTCCCGCCATCAGCGCCGACGAACGAAGATGATCTGAAAGGACTAGGCCTCGAAGTCTTTGGCACAAACGACTGGCTGCCACCCAGGCCGGGAGGAGCAGCAGGAGAGAACCTTGAAGGCACAGTCCCAGCCCGTGCTCTGCGTGGAGGACCTTGTGTAGTGCTCTCAGGGGGTGGCATGAAGTCAGGAAATCCATCTTGGCTGGGTGATTCAGGAATCGTCTCCCTTAAAGGGGTTGAGCCACCACTAGCTGGGGGACCCCAAAGATTTGGGGTGAGACCCTCTTGAGCTTGAATTTCTCGGGCCCTATATGTTTCCAGCACTTGTTAGCAAATCGGTTGTCGCGTCATAGAAGGTTTTTCTTACCTTTTTGAATAGAGCCGACCACTTGCACCTCCAAGTTCATGCGATGGGGAGCCAGTCCCCGACCTTGTATTTCCAGCTGTTGCTGCACCCATGCTACTCTTGCTTCCAGGATTTCCAAAGGGTGATCGTACAGCAGTGCCAGCTGGTGGTTCAATTGGTGATGTATTAGCAGTCGATGACCCAGATCGTGGCTGCGTCGCCGAAAGTTGAGGAAGATAGTTGAGATTCAAATGATGGTCTGGCTTTGGTGAAGGTGCCATTACTTTTATTAGATCTTTTCCCGGGGTCGAAACGTCTGGAGAGAGAAGAGGCTACGTCTTGGATGACGAGTGCTGGATTCAGGTTTCGCAAGGGCTTAAAGAGCGTGGGCTCGCAGAAAGACCCTGTGAGCGATGACGAGCGACGGGTATCTGCTTCGTTGAGGCAACTTCCACAGTTTCGATAAACCAAAGGGTCGTTGTCCAGCGAGTTCAACAAATTCGCAAAGGTCGTACTTGATGGTCTCAAAGAGTTCAGACAGTGCCCGCCGCTGATTGATGTCGCATTGAGACGGAGAGATGATGTGCAAATGCTCCTGCGACCCCACTCGAGTTACTTGAGCAATAAGACTGACAAGTATACTAGGGCTGTATTGGCTATCGAAAACAGTCCAAAGACCCTGTAATATCGGTTGTGGAAGCACTGCAAGAAAGATGGAACTGATGAAGCTTGAAACGTATTCGATGCGGCGTGGTACAGCAAGAGGCCGAGAGCAGTGGGAAGGTGGTTGGAAAGAATAGAAGAAGTGTTGTACGGAGGAAGGAAGAAGAGAAAGAGTATTAGGCAATTAGATGTCCGATATCAAAAGGCTCTCAAAGGACAGTCGTTGGGGGTAGAAGTCGGAGTGGAGAGAGAAAGTGGTACTCGTAGAAGAAAAGCTTTGGGAGGACTTGGAATCAGGAGTTCGCGAGGCGGCACCAGCGGCTAACTTCTTTCCACGCACCGGCACCACACGCAAGCTAAATAATACATAAAAATACCAAGAGGCGACCAGGCTCGCCAGGTCATCAGAGGTAGAAGGGTGATCTTGCCTACGAGTTTACAAAAAGTCGAGGCCAATCCAAATCTACTACTCCTACGGGCGACCAAGTCTATTTTATTGCTTCGACTCTGCAACACTCGGCGATAGAGAGCTGACCGAGTTATGCCCAACCACTTCCGCATGTAATAATCCTATGAACGAAGCGTTTTGGTCGATTCCTACGTAGTACTGTAGCAAGTAGCAACACCAATCAGGCAGGGTGCAGCTTTGCCAAAGTAGGTGTCCATCGTCCAACCACGAACCGCCCACCTAAGTACTTACTATCCACGATACGAAATACGCATCAATCGAAACTCTAGAGTACCTAAGGTAACCTTAGGGTTTCATGTTCCCGCACGCTAACAAATCACACTACCTTAGTTTTGAAACGATCGCGGAACCCTGGAGGATCCAAGTAAGGAAACCCGATCATGAAGTGTTGTTTATGAGAACCACTGCACATGTAGATACCTACGCACCGGTGAGGTCTGTGTCAACTTCTCACAACCCCTCCTACAGAAGATGTGAACACCATACGATAGAAGAAACGTGACCTCGTAGGCTATTAATGCCACATTCGAGATTTGATTAAGCAACCTGCCCTTCAACACACCTAGCCATGTCTGGAGATGCATCTCCTGCACCCTCCAGTGATCGTGGGAACGAGTCAACATCATCAGATGACGATGCCGAAGAGGAGCCGAATGTCGAGTCACTGGTCACTGGGAGAGCGAAACGCGCCACGGCAGGGAATCGGCTATCTTCACTTTTAGAAAAAGAGGGAGATGATGACCTCGAATTGCTTTTCGCTGAGAATGAAGGGGAGGAGGATGTTGAATTTGAGGACGAAGACGAGAACGCGTCCGATGCCCAGCTTGATTCCTCTACGGATGAAGAAGACCAAGGTCCTACGAAGGTCGACGACGATGAAGATGGGGAGAGGGAGCTACAGAGGCAAGACAGATTCGAGCGACAGAAGAAACGCAAGGCCCAAGAAGTGTTCAAAAAGCCCGGTTTTTTACGAAAGAAGGTCAAGATTGACCCCTCGGCTACTCCTACTACACCTGCGCCAAGGCCGAGAAAGAAGTCTGAGAGGGTGTCTTGGGTGCACACTGATGCTGATGCTCCGACGCGGGTCTCTTCTCGAAAACAGACTGTCCAAAACAGAGCATTGGTCCATCAAAAACTGGTGGACAGCGAGCAAACCCGGCTCAAGATAATGCACTCAATGGATCTAGCGCAGAAGCGCAAGGATGCTTCCAAGCCCAAGGCCTTGACCCAAGCCGACCGCATGGAGGAAGCTGCTAAAACAGAGAGGAAGAATGCAAAGAGCTTGAATAGATGGGAGGAGTCAGAGAAGAAGCGATCGGAGGAACAGAGAGCTAAGCTGGAAGCACTGCACAACCGGCAGCTGGCTGGTCCTGTGGTTACATGGTGGAGTGGCCTGGCTAGGTGGGTCAACGGCAAAATTTTGCAGCTCGGTGTTGGACAGATTAGAGAGGCCGGTCATGCAGAGAGACCGGTCATGCTTGACGAGGGGAAGTCCGCTCTGAACAGCAAAATGATCGCAGAGCGGGATTCGGCTGGAACCAAAGACGAGGATATAGTTATGTCTGAAAGCTCTCCGTTCGGGCTCGGAGCTGGAAATACGCAACATTCGCATCTACCAGATGCGCAGCAGGCGTCCTTTTCGCAGCAGATCACATTCACAGCGCCTCAAGCCCCTCACGGCTTTCTTGATGGCATACACGCTTACGCCGCCTTGCCAGTGCAGCAACATCAAGCAGAATTCACGGGAACCGCCGACGCTGATTCGCTACCTCAGCATTATCCTGAGCCGTCTTTTCCAAAACAATTAGAACAAGCTTCACTTGCGGCCCCACCCAACTCGTATTCCACCCCAGAAGTCGATATCAACAGTCGAACATTGGTGGCTATCAAGAACTTTGACCCCAATCCCATGAAGATGCCTGAACTACAAACCAGTGTGCTTCTAAAGAAACGCAACGTTAAACCAGCGAGTGAGTAGACTACTGTCAATCTGTTCCTGTCATCTCGCTAAGCTTTTCCGCAGAGCCGGTCTCAGAATCTTGCGCAATAACGATGCAGCCGGCTAAATTTCGAGATCCGAAGACGGGTTTGGCTTATGCAAATTCGTACGCGTATAAAGAGATTCAAAGGCTTCGGACTGGAGCATCTCGGTGGAGTAACCTGCTTGATTGCTACGTGGGTCCTGTACAAAGCGTTGCCCGAGGTGTTCCTGAAAGGTTCTGGAAGGAGACGTGAAGCGATTGAACTGCGAGCAACGACTGGAACACGGCTGTCAAGATGACCCACAGAGGCTACCCAGCATGTTTAGACGGGCATCATCATCATCATCATCATCATCATCATCATCACCAGCCCCTGAGCTTGCGCGTTCACCACCTAGCAAAAGGTCAATTCCTCCCAAGCATGCCTTTACAGCTCATGCCAAGCCGAGGCGGAGCTCATGAAAGCTCGCAGAGAAGGCTGCTGGCAGCCAATGGACGAGTCCGTGCGAAGAATGTTGGACATTCTGAGGTACTCTACGCGCAGAAAGGGGGAAGTGTGCAGGGAATGATTGGAAGGAAAGTTGCGCCATAATGGATACTGGTCACGAGCGACAGAGCTGCATACCATATTGGCTCTGAACATGAGAACGAATGTCGAAATTGAAGCCAATGATTCGACATGGTATCATGGTGAGTTGAGAGGTGTACACTACGATTACATGCGGATGTGGTGCATGCGATGGGGGTGATGTCTGCCAGGATGAGGTGACTTGGGAATCAAGAGTAGGTAGTATATGAAGCTGTAGAAGGCCACTTGCTCCAATGCACCTTTGAAAATTCCAATCAATGACTTTAGCTTAACTACTTTTAATAGTTACCCCATTCATTCTACCGTGTACCCTGGTGGCCCCTTGGCAACAAAGCCGTTTGGTGGGGCTCTGTACCTTATCGGCGGGAAGGCGTTCTTTATCTTTCAAAGCTAAAGTACCTAAGGTACTCCGTAGTCAGTCAACAAACCTGACCTGACCTGACCCTGCATCTTTCGTCTTTCTTTCACATACTTCATACACCACCACCACCACCACCACTTCTCCATATTACCGGAGTGCTGCATTCAATATTTTGATCCTTCTCACCTTTTTGTGCTGTGATCTTCCTCAACATCCACCATCCTTCTGGCAACTCAAACGCGGAGCACCGTCCCTTACTCCGCTTCCACGGCGATAAGCCACCCTCTCACCCCACGCCAAAGCCAACTGTTTCGGCCAGGAACCCGCCGTAACAACCCTCAGCCAATTCCTGCAGAGCCTCTCACCTTGCACCATTTCACTTTCTTTCTACACACCGACACACCTATTTCCTCACCGCCCAAACCCCAATTCTACACCGCCATTTGGAACAAAGGCAGCTCCGACCGCTGCCTCGAAATCCTGCACACAACTTCTCTCAATGTCCAGCAGCCACCATGCTCAAGTCCATGTCACCCGTCGATCTCCTCCAAATGTAAGGAAGGTCTACGTCAAAGCTCCTCCTCCTGTCCCTTCTTCAAAGGCTCCTGTCACCCCGAAGATCACCATCAAGGTTGCCAAGAGTACCAAGCATCCCAAGGACGACGAGGACGACACTTTCCAAGACGACGAGGACGACGATATAGCGTCAAGCTTCTTGCAATTCTGGTGAGGCACCGCAAATATACCTCTTCTTATGGTCTACGACCGCTGACTGGATCCATAGTGCAATGTGCGAGAAGCAAATCCTGGTCCCCAACTCTTCTATCCTTTACTGTTCGGAGAGGTACCCCATCCCGCTCCATCTCATCGTGCATCTCACTGACAGAGATCCTAGTTGCCGTCGCCGTGACTCTGTCGTTCCCACCACCAATCCCTACCTTAGCTTGGCCAGCCCCACGAAAATGGTGCCCTCCGCCTACTCCGACGATATCGATGATCCTTTCGGCTCTAAGATCCCTACCTACGTTGCCGCCATGCAACCTACCCCTCGCCCCACGAGCGACGCAAGGATACCTCCCGTGGCCCAGTAAGCACCCTTTCCAAGCGAGTCTCTCCCATTCTGTACCTTCTTTTGAGTCTAAACACATATTGGGGGATCAAAATCCAAGTTTGCAATTTTCTGTCTAAGACATGTCTTTGGACTCTCACCTAGTCTTGAAGTGGCAATGCTGACTCTGAATTGATGAAGCAATGGCAAATCGGATCTCGACCCCACCGAGTGGAAGCCAGCTGAACCAATTCTGACGGAAACTAAATCACCGCCTAGTCCAAAAGCTGGGGAGTGGAAGCCCAAGCTACCCCACCGTCCCAGCAGTGAGGCTTTCTCTTACCTCAGCAAATTCCATCGCTCGAGTGATTCGCTCTACTCGAAGCGTCGCCCTGCGCTTAATCACGGTCGCAGCACCATCTCGAGCCGTACCACCCCGTCGCTCAGCCATACGCCCACTGCTAGCACCTCGAGCGAGGAGAGTCTGTCAGGGACGCCGTATGAATTTGTGGCTCGCCCTGCTCTCAGTATGCCGACTACGACCGCTTCCCATTGCAGGGACGGTGGAAAGCTTGCCCAGGTTGAGGAACATGATCTCACGTATGAGAAGAAATTTGTCGGAACGAGCTTGGGCTCTGCTACTGGAAGCTTGAAGAAGTTGCTAAGAACAGGAGAGAACTAGATTCTCTCGCTGTAGATTCTCTCGCTGAAGACGGTTGTTGGGAGAGTGCGTGATATGTCAGTAAGACGCGCGAGTATACATGAACATTGTATACGGCTCTCGTTTCCTTCCTCTCTTCAGCCGAATCTTTATTCTTGTTTGAGTGGTGCGGGGGCTGCAGGAGGAGGTGAATGCACTTGTTTCATTAATTGTGCATGCGAACATAATATGCTATCATGGGTACCGATAGCTTTGATTGGCCTACTCAGATATGATGCAAAATCCTGTTCTCATTCTCAACCATCCTTCTGATTGTAGTCCAATCACGGGTCCTCTTTGTAAGGATAGCTAGGTTTTAAGTACTTCATTTGACCATGTTTTCGTATTATGCGAAATAAAATACCGGTCATATGAAACGTAAGACTTTGGTCTAATACTTCTCCAACTGATTATTTTCTTTTCGTCTTCATGGCTATCCTATGCTATCCTATCTTCTAAGATACAAAGTCCCCTTTTCTCCTGCCCCCTCGATATTCTGGAGTCTGCAATGATGCTTTCTTTCTAATCCGCTCTTCTGCCATTTTGCGCTCAAATCAAAGTGCTACTCCTTGGCCGCGAGCCACGCGAACGGGGCATTAAAGATTAAGAATAAAACATTTGCACGAAGTGAACGTAAGCTTCGGCGAACTTGGGTACCTGAAGACAAGCTGAACGCCCCTTAGTATCCAAGCGCACACACCGGTATTGCGCGATAAAGGAAATTTGGAAACATTTTATTGTACAATGGACCGCGTCGATGATCTCTCTCGGTCACTGCGCGCCAGCGCTCTCCTCTGCCCATCCATTCAGACCCCAGCTGGCATTGCCAAAGCCCAAACCACTGACGCTGCTCAGCTGATGTCTGTGGCTGTAATGCTGCTGCGAGCTTTGCTGCAATCCCTGCTGCTGCTGCTGCTGCTGCTGCTGCTGCTGCTGCTGCTGCTGCTGAGACTGTTGGCCCTGGTTCCCGCTATTGGTGAAAGCTTCTTGTGAGAAAGCAGGTAAGCTGACAGCGCGAGCATGCTGCTGATTGCGCGAAGGTGCGAGCAAGCCACCAATAGTAGGCGCAGCGGTAGACAAACCAATCCCGTTAACGCCTTGACTATAACTACTGCTATGCCCCTGTTGTTGCGGTGTATCGAGCATGCCGCTGCTGAAAGCGTCATTGTTGGAGTTTCCGTAGATAGCGGCTTGCTGATTAGCAAGGACTTGTTGTTGCTGCTGTTGTAGAGTGGCAACAGAGTAAGGGTCCACCTGCTGCTGCTGTGACTCCTGCTCTTGCTGGGTCTGTTGGAGGGACATTTGGTTGAGGTACATTGTCAAGGGATTGTTACTGCCAGCGTTCAGGATCGCAGACGGAGTATGCGCATGGTTGGATTGCTGATGGAAATGGAAGCCATTTTGTGAGTTGGAGCCGGTGGAACCCGGTGCGGGTGAGAGTGTAGCTCTTGTGGGACTGACTGAGGATCCATTGTGGCTCATCGACGGATGTAGACTTCCATTCATTGGTGATGGCGACGCCATGCTATCGTGTCCATGCATGGAAGGATTTTGCTGTTGCGATGCGAGATGATTGTTCTGTCGAGGCGCATTTCCGCAGCGATCTTTGCCAAAGTTCACTTTGAATCGTTGGTAATCCTCTCTGCTTCGAATGGCCTCAATTGCCTTGATGGCGTTTGAGATATTGGTGAAGTTGACAAACGCACAGCTCTTCTCTCGGAGTGTATTGACAAGTTCAATCTCACCATATTCCGAGAAATCTTGACGCAGGCGCTCTTCGGTCCACGATTCGTCTAGATTTCCAATGTAGACGTTCCGAGAAGCACCCCCACTAACAGCTAGAGCTATCGCTGGGGGCAGAGCACCTGAATGCTTACCCCAGCCAATCTTGAGCCTCCTATTATGAATCATGAGCCCTTGGATGTTACTTAGCGCGTAGAAAGAAGCGGCTGATGTAGGATCGATGAATGTCACAAAGCAGATATGCTTGTCAGGAATGTACCTGATGTGGTGCAAAAGACCACCTCGAACGACATTGCAAATCTCTTCAACTGTGGTCTCTGGATGAATGTTTCCAAGATATACGGTACGATTTCCAAGATTGTTCACTCCTCCAGCTTGGGTTGCCACGGCCGCTGCTGCAACTGACTGTTGAGCTAGTGCATTGGAGATCAAGTCACGGTCCGCTCCATTTAGCATATGTGCATAGCCGGGAGCGATACCAAGGTACTGAGCTGCGTTCTGCTGTTGCGTCTTGGAGACATAAGCACATCTGTCCTTGCCGTAGTAGACACGGCGAGGGGCCTGCCATTTGGGTTCTTGAGGCAGCTGCGAGACAGCTTTGATAGCGTTGCTGATTGAAAGAAAATGAACAAATCCAATCGCCTTTTCACGCACAATCTTGACAGTGTCGATGGGCCCAAACTTGCCAAGATCGTCTCTTAATTCTGCTTCAGTCACTGTCTCCGGCAAGTTACCCAAATAAACATTCCTAGATGCACCCGATTGTTGCACTGCAACAGAGACGGATGTAGGAACTTGTGCTGGTTTTCCCCAGCCAACCTTAATATCCTGACCGCGTATAGCAAGCTTCTTCAAAATCGCGTCCGAATGAAAATGAGTGGCTGAGCTACCATCGAGGAATGAAATGAATGCACAATTCTTATCTGGAAGTAGCCGGACAGACTCGATCTGTCCACTCCGGACATGGCCAAGTATCTCTTCAGCCGAGGTCTCAGGAGGTATGTTACCAAGATACACGGTCCTGCTGCTGGCGTTACCCATAGTCGGCACCATCTGCATTGGTGCAGCTCCACCAAATCCCTGATTTCCGATGTTGCTGAATGTGCCAGTTGGTGACTGAGGTCCTCCCAAAAATTGCTGCACTCCATAGTTGGTCGGCGAAACCATATTCTGATATGGCTGAGGAGAGAATGCACCATGTTGGTGGTTTATGGGATTGTCAATCTGCGTTTGCTGGTTTTGTTGATGCGCAGCAGAGTTTTGCTGTTGAAAACCGCCAAATGTGTTGAATTGAGGCGTGGCTGGCTGGAAAGGACTGCCGATGAGTAGGTTAGTTGGCAGAAGAGGGGTGAAATTCATGTCCATGGCTGTTCCGGGAGTGGTCATGTCGTTTGCATTTTGATGGTTTGTTTGCCCATAGTTGCCAGTGTTGATAGACATATTCGCTCGATGTGGGTGCCTTCGAGCGTAACCTCCAACAGAATGCTGGTTCGAGCTGTATGCACCGTGAGAAAAGCCAGTCTCGTTGCTGTTGGCATTTGCGGATTTCGAAAAAGAGTTTGAGAAACGCCCTGCTGGCGCGTAGGGAGAAGTATCCATTGCGGACTCTTGGGGCTGCATTCCGAGCAGATGCGGTGGCAGGACGAAGCTGTCCTGCTGATGTGATGCTACGGCAGCCGTGTTGGATGGTGGGAGTGTTCGGATGATAAACTCCGAACACAGTAATTGGGTATAAGGGTGTTTCGTGGACGCGTCTGGTAGTTGAGAGTCGAAGAAAGGTGCTTATGGTACAGGTGGACAGCTATTCGAGAGGTAGTGTTAGGATCTGCACCCGTTAGAACCAAAGGAGAATAGAAGATGTGTTGCGAGAAGGACAGTTGGCACACCTTTCAAGAGATAGGATACGCGGGTGAAAAGGGAGCGCCGACGAGCTTTGTAGTTCAATCAAGGTTTAAAAGGAGGGTGTCCACGGTGATGGTACCAAAAGTACTGGTCTTAGCCAAGATGGTTGAGCAGTCTTATTGCGTGTTTTGGGAGGGTATCAGATCGGGGGACCTGTGCTTCTCTCGAGACACGGCCGCTTTCAGGACGTGTTGATGTTGGAATGCCGGATGGGCTTGTATGTTGAGCAAACAAAGAGAGGGTGATCGAATGTTTGAGACGATGTAAGAATTATATTAATAGAAGTTGCAAATGAGTGCTACCTGAATTAGAAGGGTGTTAAAGATTAGAAAAGAATGTAGTGGCAGGAGAGCTGCCGGAAAAGAGGATAGAAAAAAAGGTTGAGAGAGGAGAGAGAGAGGGAGAGAGAGGGGAGAGTTGAGAAATGTTCCTGGAGTACGGGTAGAAGTTACCTTAGGTAGCTACTTTAGCAGCCGGGCTAATAAATTGGGGCTCGGCAGGGGTCAGATAACCCCCTTTCTCTTTCCCTTTTCCCATTCCCTTTCCCATTCCCTTTCTCAGCCACATTATTTGGTTCATCAAGGTAGCTTCGTCTTGCTCTATCTATGCCGCGTTGGTTTGTGTCATATGAAGCCTTAGGAATTTTAGAAGTTGTTAGGGTAGGAGTCAATGAAGTAAGTGACGCTACAGCATCTCCATTCTTCAATGATGATGATGATGATGATGATGATATTCCAGGGGCAGAGCATTGGGCGCTCTAGGGATCGAACCCGAGGGATTTAAGTATGATATTTGGTACCTGTACCTGATCTGCAACGCACGCACGGTACCTACTTTATATTTGATGCTTAATTTCCCTCTCTAATTTCCCTCCCTCTTTTTATAGCAACGTCAAAGCCACACTTGACCTCGCCCAGCCGTTGCACCTCGCCTTGACTTGACTTTTCCCCAACGGTCACTTGTACCGAGTAAATTCTTGTTGGACATACCTATCTGTTGCCAATATCTTTGGGCCCATTCAGCTGTCTTATCACAATTCAAAAAAAAAGTAACCCTTGATTTCATTGGATGCCGGTCGGTCAATCTGACAAATCAGGCCTTCACTCCCTTTACCTGAACTGACCCTCACATTCACGAACAAATTGAATGCCAATATTTGCTCCCTTGTTTAATTGGACGAGAATCAGACCGGTATACTTCCTACTTCAAACATCATCACGCAGGCCCGAATGCCCGAGACTAAATGCCCGAGACTAAGAGGTAAGTGATCCGTAAGTATATGTCCGTTCCTACGCATCTCGACACCAAACACCAAACCGAAATGCAGATTGATCCCGGAAGGACCCCCCGGTCACTTGATGTCTTACAGGTGCCGGCATCGGGCTTTTCAATTGCTGCTTTAATGCGCCCATAAGATTCCCCAGAGACGTGCTACCCAAATCATGAAAAGCGTCATCCATACAACCCCAACCTTTGGAGGTTTCTTTGGCCGTATTGCCACAGCAATGATTACCTCACGCGGGCGGTATTGCCACAGCAATGATTACCTCACGCGGGCGGTATTGGTGCAACGGAACGACCTGTGAGAGGACCCATATCCTCAGCATTATACAGCCCCCTCTTCGGACGTCGTGTGAAGCCAAGCTCTGTAGACTGTATAACTTGTATCATGCCTGCGAATCTCGAATTTGGGTAATTCTCGATGACCCGTCCAACACGTTACCGACTTCAAATTTAATTGCTCAGGTGGGGGAGACTGGACTGAAAACTCATGGGTTGGTCATTTGGAAGAAAACTTCTGGCCCTGAACCACGGGTCCACCGCTAGACGCCATGCTCTTGTTCTGGGTCTTACCACAGATGGCGCAGGCTAAAATGTACAGTCAGCCCATTGCTCTTGGTGGGAACTGCCAAAATTAGCCAGAACAAAACGTACCGTTGCCAGTCTTGTAGGCACATCGATTGCAAAATTTGTGGCCTTGATCTACCTATGGCCCGTTTAGCTAGATACACTTTTCTTCCCTCACAGAGCTTTTGACTGTACCTTCGTCTTGCATGTTGCACATGTAGAGCTGTAAGCTGCGTATGGATTCAATGCACCTTTGCTGAGGAGTTTGCTCTGTGTCAAACATGTCAACTAGGCTGCACGACAGTATGAGAACATGCAGAGCAGCCTGGCCTACCTTCCCGACGCCGGAGGCGTTTGATGTAGCTGAGGATTTGCATTTGTCATTGGAGGCAGGCGAGCCTAAATACAAGTCATTTTTGCGCTTAACGCCTGGTGTGGCAAGCTCTGTTTTCTTTTGTGATTTCTGGCACTTGGCGCAGACCATCTTATATCTGGTATGATCCCAGTCGGAAGGTAACTGAATAAGAGTGGATTGTGTCTTGACGCCGCGCTTGACTCCGGGAAAGTCAGGAGTTATGACTGTGATTAGGGATAGAGTGCGGATGAACATCGGCCCGAGAAGCTCCGGGTTTCGCGGTTTGAGGCTGTGAGTAAGTACGAGTAAGCTGGCATTGAACAACCAGTTGTTGAACTTCCAAAGTCTCAGAGAAACATGCCACATTCCGTATATGTGTGAACAGCACACATGTATAGGGCTTCGGACCAATTGATGTTAAGCATTATCCTGCCCGCTTTGCTGAGACCATATCCCTCGGGTCGAAGGCAGGTTCGGGACACCTGCGTCTCATTGCGACATGGCTGCTAGGCTACCAGGAGTAGAGGGCCAGGCAGCTCCAAATCCTGGGGGTCCGCTTCTAGATCTCGACGACTCGAGTCCCACATACAACGATGGCAGGCCTCCTCTCGTCAACGATGAGGAGCTCCTCCATCAATACAATATCGATCACTCCGTCAGGCCGCAACCTCGCCCCTCTGTATCTTACGATGAGTTCGTGGGTGCACAGCAGTCATCCCATGGCTTGCCAGGTAGTCCGGGGGTATCGCGCGCTGGACAACCGTACCTGGGTACAGGGATTCGGACTTATTCACAAACTTCCGATTTGAACAACTATCAGCGGTACTCAGATATGGACGATCTTCCCGAAGACGATCCTTCCATGCAGGGAGGCTTCTATCACACCTCTGGTGCGGTGGATTCAGGGCCAACTCCGATGGTCAGTGGAGGACGGCATGCAAACCGGAACAGTATGGGAGGAGGCATCATGGGAAGGGCAAAGACGTTGTTTGGCAGGGGACCAGAATACTCGGAAATGGACATGCCGTTGCGCGAGACAACGCCCGGTCAGCCCAGAATGGACAGCGATATGACTGAAGACCAGGCTAAAAAGGCAGAGCACAAGAGATTCGATCCAGGGAATTTCAAATTTGGGCTCGGGAGAGGGAAGCCCGATCCATCCACTCTGGGCCCGAGATTGATACATCTCAATAATCCGCCAGCGAATGCACAGAATCGGTACCTCGATAATCATGTATCCACAGCAAAGTACAACATCGCGACTTTCCTACCCAAATTCCTGTTCGAGCAGTTCTCTAAATACGCCAATTTGTTCTTCTTATTTACAGCAGCTTTGCAGCAGATACCAGGCATCTCTCCAACTAATCGATATACCACCATTGGGCCCCTCATCATCGTACTGCTTGTTTCCGCCGGAAAGGAGTTGATCGAGGATTTCAAGCGCAAGAACTCGGATAAGTCACTCAATCACTCCAAAACTAAAGTATTGAGGGGATCAAATTTCGAAAATGTCAGATGGGTTAGTGTGAAGGTGGGAGACATTGTAAGAGTAGAATCAGAAGAACCGTTCCCAGCGGATCTGGTACTACTGGCTACCTCCGAGCCCGAAGGTTTGTGCTACATCGAGACAGCCAACCTTGATGGCGAAACGAATTTGAAGATCAAGCAAGCTATTCCGGAAACTGCGAGCCTTGTGAGCCCGAACGAGCTTAGTCGGTTGTCTGGCAGGGTCCGTTCAGAACAGCCAAATAGCAGTCTGTACACGTATGAAGCAACTCTGACGATGACAGCCGGTGGCGGCGAAAAGGAATTACCCCTGGCACCAGACCAATTGCTCCTCAGAGGGGCGACCCTCCGTAATACTCCTTGGATCCATGGTATTGTCGTCTTCACTGGCCATGAGACGAAGCTTATGCGTAACGCTACGGCGACTCCCATCAAAAGGACCCATGTGGAAAAATTGGTGAACCTGCAGATTATCATGCTAGTTGCAATTCTTGTGGCATTGAGCATTATAAGCTCTGTCGGCGATCTCATCATCCGAGCTACGGCAACCAGCAAGCTTGCATATCTATATATCGAAGACACCGGCCTTGCGAAGCAATTCTTCTCCGACATCTTTACCTACTGGGTTCTTTACTCCAACCTCGTGCCAATATCACTATTTGTAACGATCGAGGTCGTCAAGTATTGGCAAGCATTCCTAATCAATTCGGATCTTGATATCTACTACGACCGAACGGACACTCCCGCAATATGCCGGACGTCGTCCCTGGTGGAAGAACTAGGACAAATTGAGTATATTTTTTCGGACAAGACTGGCACCCTTACCTGCAACATGATGGAATTCAAGCAATGCTCGATAGCAGGTATACAGTATGCGGATGAGGTGCCTGAGGATCGACGAGCCACGGAACAGAACCCCGTGGGCATCTACGACTTTAAACAACTTGCCGAAAATCGGAGAAAACACCCAAGCCAGACCTCCATTCATCATTTCCTGGCGCTTTTATCAACATGTCACACGGTCATCCCAGAAAGAAGGGACGAAAAGCCTGGCGAGATCAAATATCAGGCGGCTTCACCAGATGAGGGTGCTCTGGTTGAAGGTGCGGTGATGCTGGGCTATCAATTTACGGCTCGAAGGCCCCGCTCTGTGACGATTTCAGTAGAAGGTGAGGAGTATGAGTATCAGCTGTTAGCTGTTTTAGAATTCAATTCAACACGAAAACGTATGTCGACAATATTCAGATGCCCCGATGGCAAAGTGCGCTGCTACTGCAAGGGAGCTGATACCGTCATTCTGGAGCGACTTGGTAAGGACAGTCCAACAGTTGAGGCAACCTTGCAGCATCTGGAAGAATACGCTACGGAGGGTTTGCGTACATTGTGCCTAGCAATGCGCGAGATACCAGAGGAAGAGCTCCAGCAATGGCTGCAGATCTTTGACAAGGCAAACACGACTGTCAGTGGGACCCGTGGTGAGGAGCTTGACAAAGCAGCAGAAATCATCGAGCATGACTTTTTTTTGCTTGGTGCCACAGCTATCGAAGACAAGCTTCAAGACGGCGTACCAGATACCATCCATACTCTTCAAGAGGCAGGCATCAAAATCTGGGTTCTAACGGGTGATCGACAAGAGACTGCCATTAACATTGGCATGAGCTGTAAGCTCATAAGCGAAGATATGACACTGTTGATCATCAATGAAGATAATTCGCCGGCTACGAGAACCAATATAGAGAACAAGCTCACTGCCATTCGAAATCAGTCAGCGGGAGGTGCTGAGCTAGAGACGCTAGCTCTAGTCATTGATGGCAAATCTCTGACTTTTGCTTTGGAAAAAGACATGGAGAAGATGTTTCTCGAGCTTGCGATCATGTGCAAAGCTGTGATATGCTGGTATGTGTCATTCGTTTCGGATGGTCTGATGAGTGCTAACCTGATTCCTAGTCGAGTTTCGCCTTTGCAGAAAGCACTGGTTGTGAAGCTTGTCAAAAGGAACCTCAAGGCAATTCTACTGGCGATTGGGGATGGCGCCAATGATGTCTCCATGATACAGGCAGCACATGTCGGAGTAGGCATAAGCGGCGTTGAAGGTCTTCAGGCAGCGCGAAGCGCCGATGTAGCTATCGGACAATTCCGATATCTTCGAAAGCTCTTGCTAGTACACGGCGCTTGGAGTTATCAGCGAATTTCGAAGCTGATTCTCTACTCCTTTTACAAGAACATTGCATTGTACATGACACAATTTTGGGTATTTATATCCGGTTTGGTTGACGCGACCTCCTGGCTAACCACTTGAATATAGTATTCGTTCCAGAACGCCTTTTCTGGTGAAGTCATCTTCGAATCTTGGACCTTGTCCTTCTACAATGTCTTCTTCACCGTCTTTCCACCAGTTGTAATAGGGATTTTTGACCAATTCATTTCGGCTCGTCTCCTCGATCGCTATCCACAACTATACCAGCTTGGACAGAAAGGTGTGTTTTTCAAGATGCATTCTTTCTGGTCCTGGATTCTCAATGGGTTTTACCATTCTCTTCTCGCGTACTTCATATCTGAGCTCATCTGGTTCTGGGATCTTCCCCAAAGCGACGGAAAGATAGCTGGCCATTGGGTTTGGGGGACCGCTCTATACACGGCAGTCCTCGCGACTGTCCTAGGGAAAGCGGCACTGATTACGAATATTTGGACGAAATGGACTTTCCTCGCCATCCCTGGGAGCATGGTCATCTGGTTGGCATTTATCGCTGTCTACGCAACGGTCGCCCCCAAACTCGGCCTTTCCACCGAATACGATGGTGTAATCCCACGACTCTTCACTTCTCCTGTCTTTTACCTGATGGCGGTAGTGTTACCCGTGATCTGCCTCCTCCGAGACTTTGCGTGGAAGTACGCTAAACGCATGTACCGGCCTCAAACGTACCATCACGTGCAAGAGATCCAGAAGTACAACATCCAGGACTACAGGCCCAGAATGGAGCAATTCCAGAAGGCGATCAGGAAAGTGCGACAAGTACAGCGGATGCGAAAGCAGAGGGGCTATGCTTTCAGTCAGGCGGACGAGAGTCAAAATAGGGTGCTGCAGGCCTATGACACGACTAGGGAGCGAGGAAGGTACGGTGAGATGGCGAGCTCAAGGCCAGGAATGGAGAGGGGCAAATCACGGAGGAAATGAATGTGGAATCAAAAAGGGAAACCATGGCGTCTGTCGGGTTCAAATGTCGGGCGGAAGCAGTATTTTTTGTATCATATCGGCGCTCGAAAAAGGCAGTTTTGCCATCTGCTCTATATCAGGCATGTTGGAGGAGGGATATCTAGCATGGTTCGAGTTCTCATCAAGTCTTTGATGTATTCACTTTGGCCTTCATTTGAATCCAGGCGTCTGTGGGATGCCGGCTTAGCACAAAGCAGATTGCCGGCATGATTTCTCTCCCTTCCTCCATGCCATGGCATCCTTGATGTGAACTCTCGTACTCCGTACAGTCCCAAGTCACCTTGTAATTAGCACTCTGAGTATCTGCATTCGAGGCCTATTCTCCACAACCCTCCTATCAAATGATCATAAAGGGCAGTCAGTTGAGGCTTTCCAAACCACGAAATCAGTCAGAATGGGATTCCCTGCGCTGAAGAACGGTATCAACAGACGGGCAATTGCCTGCCATGGACGTATTCCGGGATTACGGACGTTGCCATTTCCAGCTGTAGGCATAATCGTTGGATTGGTGTTTGCAAATGCCATTGTCTGGGTGGCAATCGGTATTCTTCTTGTCTGGCATCTCCAGCACTGTTCCTCTACGCCTCCTCACTGATGCAATCATAGCACTTTCATATGTACGGAATCCTAGAAGAATCCAGGAGCAAAAGGTACTGAGTCCAATCTGTACAGAGCTCTCGTCTCCACGGCCGTGCTGAGTTACACTCTCGGTCTCCGCCATGCTCTCGATGCGGACCACATTTCCGTATGTACGCTTTATTCTAGCTGACAAGCACACGGGTTTCTCACCGAGAAGACAGGCAATCGATCTGATGACTCGTCGGCTCATAGCATCAGGTCAACGTCCGGTTACTGTTGGAACTTTCTTCTCTCTTGGTCATTCAACGTTCGTCTCTTCCACTCGTCACATGTTGCAAGCTCCGTCTGTTTTACTGACACGGCTCTCTGACCTCGTCTTCTTGCATCAGAATCGTCATTGTCACTTCCGTGGTAGTCGCCGCCACGGCCTCTGCTATCAGCTCCAGGTTCGGGGCATTCAGTAAGATTGGGGGCATCATCGGTACATCTGTCTCTGCTGGCTTTCTCATTATACTTGGAATTATGAACATATATATTCTACACAAACTTGTACAATTGATGAGAAAGTTGATCGCTTCAGCCCCAGGGGATGAGCAAAGTTTTGAAATCAAAGGAGCTGGATGCTTATTTTATCTTTTCAAAAGAATATTCAAGCTTATTGACCGGTGGGAACGAATCTTGCAGGCACTTCCTGGTGAGATCTATGGCTGACTATAGGCCCCAGTCCATGGAAAATGTGCAGTCCACTCGAGACCCCTCTTTCAGCACACGGTGCAGGATCATGCAAAGCTAATCAGCAGGTGTCTGTTCTTAGGTACCCTTTGGGCCTGTTGTTCGGCCTTGGCTTCGACACTTCTTCAGAGGTCGCACTGCTGGGGATTGCATCTATTCAAGGGGCGAAAGGCACAAGCATATGGCTCATTCTGATATTTCCGGTGCTGTTCACCGGTATGAGTCCTTGCTGGAGCTGTTCATAGATGGTGATTAGCTTACCAGAACAGTTGGGATGTGCCTGCTCGATACCATTGATGGTGCCTTGATGATGGCTTTATATACCTCTACAGCACTTGCAAAGGATCAGATCGCTATACTGTATTATTCGATTGTGCTCACGGTCATCACGGTTATGGTAGCGATGATTATAGGATTTGTTCAACTGTTGACTCTCGTACGTATTTTTGGCGTCTGAAATCCCTCGTCCGACCTCAACCTTGAGCCTGAAGACATGTCTAAGGAGTATTTGCTCCTCAGGATTGTCCCGTGGCCCGGGAATCTTTCTTGGACAGGCAATGCTGACTCCGAAACCTCTATCCAGGTCCTTAACGTTGCTCAGCCCTCAGGTAAGTTCTGGGTGGGCACTTCAACCTATTCCGATTACCCAGCAGTAATACTGACGTCGACGCTCAGGGCGGAGTTGCAGCAGCCGGTGACCATTATGACGTTATTGGTAATGTTCCAGACCTCTCTTGCGTCGAACACGTTTGACATGAGGCCGCAGGTGGTGCTATTTGTGGCTCCTTTGTCGTTTTGGGTGGCTTGAGTGCACTGTTGTATAAACCCTGGCGGAGAAGAATCGACCGCAGAAGAGAGAGACATCCACAGCATCAGCAGTTGCAGAACGACAAAGAATTGGGTACTTTGCCTGAGCTTAATGGAGTGTTACTGGATTTTGACGTTTCCCAAAGAGACGGAGAGACTCCGACTAATGGCAACGACAATTCAGACAACCCGAATGTTTTCGAAGCTGAAATACTTCCGACCTTCACTAGCTGCCATGGTGCACCTTCTCGATCAGCAGTGGTGTAGTGAAAAAGGGAAGACATATTGCATGGGCAGACTGATAATGAGACCCCGCATGTGAGTTTTAGCTGCGTTATAGAGGAAGGGCAGAGTTCAAGACATTTTATTCGCGCCGTGCAATGCACGCTATGACATATATACAATACATGATTTCTCCTCCTTACCTTTCAGGTAGTATGTTTTTTACGGCGTTCCAATTTCGTGGATCGAATGCTTTCTGTATCTCCTCTTTCGTCAACCATTGAAAATCTTCAAGCCCAAATTGATTGTCCTTCAGGTTTGCTTGCCCGGCCAAGATCCTGGCTTTCATGAAGAATATTTTCTCTCCCCGCAGCACTGTCCCTTTCTCCTCGTTGACAATGCCTTGGCTGTAGTTGCAGACCTGGTGGCCAATTGGTATATTTCCCACGACCCAAGTATTCATGTTCACACCACCGGTCTGGACGATCGTCCTCTCCGCACTCTGCAAGAATTCGTTTCAGCATCGCGAGCCCGGCCTGCTGCAGAACGATATCGACTTACCGTATGCAAGCTCTCTTGTCTCGCCAACTCAGCAGAAGGAAACCCCCATCGTCCTTTCCCTCTGTTGACAATCAAATACAACGTCTTCTGCAAAGCCCTGTTCAGACTCTTCGTATCGCCGGCTTGATCCGCCTCTGTGACCCTCGGCAACGGCCTCTCTACTTCCTCTTTCTTTACTACCTTCCCTTCCCCTGGGACATCTCGTTCCTTGACCTCCACCTCGGCATCACTCAAAAGCCTCTCCACTTGCTCCTCGGGCTCGCTTACACTATCCCCTACCAGTAACTCATCATTCCATCCTTCCACCCCATAAGCATTGTATACGCCGATATCTCGGGCGGGTGTTTTCCGCTCTTTTATCTTGCGCTTCCAATCGATGTCTCCTGGCGTGCCGCGCTGATAGTAGAAGTAACGACTGAATGGCAGAGCAAGACGCTCATTTAGGCGACGTTGATAGAGGAAGTAAGATTTCTCGAAAGGGGTGAGATCGCGGGTCAAGAGGGGCGGGCGTGAGAGAAGGACAGCGGCTTTCAACTTGTAGGTGATGGAATGAGACTGAGAAGCTGTGAGAGGTGGTGGTGCACGATTGGTAGGGGAAGGTTCAATGGGAGCTGCCTCGACGGAGGCGGCGGCGCTGGAGGCAGCGCGGATTTGATGGAGACATGTACGGCAGATTGGTGTAGACGGTCCTTGGCACATTAGCCTGAGGTATAGACTTATGACTTACGGAGCATGTTGGCTACATACTTGACCGCAAAGCCAGTCGCTGAATTGTGGTATGGTCGCGAGTCATGACATTGATTGGTTTCAATTTCCAGCGCAAGTCATTGTTGAATGCTCATTTGCATGATCAGATTTATTTCCTAGAATTAGGCTAAACCCTCTTTGGCCGACGTATCAATCCTATTATCAAGCGCACCTCGGCATTGTCGATTCTAAAAATCCATCACATCCATCAAATCATACGAGTCGCGAAAAGATGAAATGCAAAGAGTCGTCGTCACAGGCCTGGGAGCAGTGACACCTTTAGGACTAGGTAAATGGACCGAGAATGCATCCATTCTACACATTCATGACTGAACGATTTAGGTGCTCCGCGTACCTGGAAAAGATTGCTGGATAGCAAATGTGGCATTGTCTCTCTTGCTGGCAGGAGTGAAGCCCATGCGCAACAGCAATGCCAAGTCGCAGGTCTCGTTCCACGGGGAAAGAAAGAGGATGGCGGCTGGACTGCAGGCGAATGGTTGAGTGGTGATGTGCGCCAGATATGATTACGTCTTGTTGACAAGAAGTACGGCGTTGACAATCTTTAGGAGCAGCGCAGAATGTCAACATTCATGCAGTACGCTATGCTGGCCTCGAGCGAGGCTCTCGAGGATGCGGTATGGCGGCCAAAAACTGATCATCAGCGTGAAATGACCGTAAAGCATGACTCTTCCAAATGTCCAATAGCACGATCCAGCTGAACTGGATATCAGGGCGTATGTCTAGGCTCTGGTATTGGAAGTCTAGAAGTGCAGTATCAGACCTCGATCCATCTCTACCAAGGTGTGAGTTCTATCCACCCATCGTCCTACAGTAAAAGACCTGACAGCACCCAGGGTCCAAAAAAGGTCTCTCCCTTGTTCGTACCTAAGCTCCTCATAAATTTAGCTGCTGGTCACATAGCCATGAAATATGGCTTCAAGGTTGGCATTTTCTCATTACTACCCGTGCTACTTCATCTGATCACAGATCAGGGCCCTTCCCACGCCACAACAACCGCCTGCACCACCGGGGCTCACTCTATAGGTGACGCCTCACGCTTCATTGCCTTTGGCGACGCAGACGTAATGATAGCTGGTGGCTCAGAGTCCTGCATCCACCCTCTTGCCTTCGTCGGGTTCGAACGCTCCCGCTCTCTAACCACTTCCTTCAATCATGCCCCTGAGCAGGCCTCTCGCCCATTCGATGCGGCTCGGGATGGTTTCGTGATTGGAGAAGGAGCTGCTGTACTCGTCCTTGAGTCTCTCCCCCACGCACTTGCTCGTGGTGCCCACATCTATGCCGAGGTTGCCGGCTATGGCACCTCCTCTGACGCGCACCACATGACCGCCCCTCCCTCGGACGGTAATGGTGCCTTTCGTGCTATGCGTTTGGCGCTCAAGAATGCTTCTCTGCCACCTGGCAGTGTCGATTATATAAATGCACATGCTACTTCCACTTCCTTGGGTGACCTCGCCGAAAACCGCGCAATCAAGGCATTGATGTTGGGAGAGAACGGTAAAAAGCATGCAAAGGAGATTAATGTTAGCAGTACGAAAGGTGCTGTGGGACATCTCCTGGGTGCGGCAGGAGCAGTGGAAGCATTGTTCTCTGTTTTGGCAATCAGAGACGGGATCTTACCGCCGACATTGAACTTGACAGATTTGGAAGGATCGGAGTTCAGTTGCAATTACGTTGCTCTGGAGGCGCAAAAGAGTAAAGTAAATGTGGTGCTCTCGAACAGTTTCGGGTTTGGTGGAACCAATGCAAGCTTGTGCTTTAGACTGTATGAAGGAAAGTAGTCAACAGATGGCATGTGTCACGAGCAATTGTAGTGTGAGGTGTGGGGTAATATGAGTATGCTATTTGTCTCATCATGTCCATAGTCGCTCTCTATGGGGGACCTATCCTCTGCCGGCGGTCGTACGCCATCCAGCTCAAAACACCGCCCAAGCCGTCACTATATTTTCTGCAACGTTCGCCCAGCGAACAGTGCAACCGTTGAAAACAACGGTAGGAGAATCCCAAACAAGAGACGCCTGCCAGTGAGGCCAAACCCCTGTCTATATCTTGGAGAATAGGAGAAGACTTTTAATAGTGCTAGAAGGCATGAAAGCGAGAAATGAAAGAATGCCTGGGTTTGAGGAGTTTGATCATGTGTCCTTTATATCTTCGGATGTCTCGTCAGGGGGCTCTGCAGTTTGCACTTGCTCTTGTACGCTCTCTTCAAAGGGGGCACTTCTTGTAGTGGTGGTGCTGCCACTGACAGCAGAAGCACGCCTCGCAGTAGGGTCGAAAGTAGATTTAGCAGCATCATCCTCGTCCTCGATGGCCAATGGGACAGAAAGCTTCGACTCGTCGTTTTGCATCTGCTTCCGCAGCCTCAGGCGCTCTTCTGGGGACATGTTCTGCAACTCCGAACCAAAGGTGATCACCGAAGCCTTCTTTCCATGCACAGTAAAGCTCCCCGTACCGCGGGCTAAGCCTTCGCTTTCGGTCAGAGAGGAATTGTCTTCGGTGGGAACGGCACTTCCGGCGGAATCTTTGCCTTTCCTGCTTCGATGATGTGTGGGAGGGTGAGAATCGCGTAAGGTACGATGTAGACTTCGTCGAACTCTAGACCTTCCGTCATAGTCAGTTTCCGAGGGTTTGGATTTTTCCCGAGTTGTGTCTCCGTCGGATGTATCTGGGCGCTTTGCCTTAGCAGTGGAGGGACTTTCTGGTTCAACAAGGCCGGCCTCTTGCAACACTTCTTGTTCGTTCTCATCCATACTTTGAGTGGGCGTGACCAGCTTTGTAGCTAGATCGCTGGAGTCCAATACTTTAGGCGTGTCCCTTACGCTGCGCGAAGATGGCCGAGGTACCAGGGAATGCCGAGTCGGCTGGGCCATTGCAATGCTAGATTCAGACTTGACGGAAGACTTCGCTGGCTGGAAAGACAAAGGCGGCAATTCCCACGAGCCTTTTGATCTGTGATTAATACCTGACAGTGAAGGCCGGATTGACTCAAAGACATCATCCATACTGAAAGGTTTTGTTGGTAACGGCTGAGTGGCAGGCCGCACTGCAGAATCCGCTTGTTGAGTAGCTCGAGGAGTTGTCTGGTAGCTTTCGGGGAGTTCAAACTTTTTGGAATCAGGTCCTACCGGCGAGGGTGCTGGCAGAATCGAGCCTGTTACGCTGTCATGCCCCGAACGGCGGTCATTACTCGACTTGAAGTCTTCTTCGAGATCCATGGCAAGAATATCTCGGTGACATCGTGTGCGCCAATACTCCATTCGCATCCACTTAATCTTCGCAGCCATTCCACCAGCAGCGAGCACGATTTGTTCCCTCGTCTTGTTCTGTATGGGAGCTAAGATCTGTAGATGCCTAGCATTCCGTAGCTGTATGTCCAGCTGCTTACCGGCCTCGTTCAGCTTGGCGTCTGCTTCCGCTATCTTTTGGGCCATAATCTGTCGTCTCGCTGCTTGGATTTGATGAGCAAGTTCAGCATCGGCTTTGTTATCTTGCAGCGATGCTTCACTATGCGTAGTATGCACCGATCGTGCGGAGTTGCCGGAATTCAAACGACGCATGGCGCGAGTCTTTTGACCATCAGTACTTCCTCCGATGAGACCTCTCATGCGTACACCAGCTGTCCGAAATGCCGAAGCGTAATTCAACTTTGCAAGCCAGTCATTCATTTCAGCTTCATTATCCGCCAAGAAAGTCTCCTCGAACCCTCCATGACGCACAAATACCAGGGCATGCTTATGCTTCTTGTAGGTAGTATCCAACAACGCCACAGCATCCTCAGTGGACATTAAAACGTCAGGCTTGAATTGCTCGAGCGGAGGTTTGAAAACCACAGGCGACCCTGGAAGCCCGTGTTTGTGGTGAGAGTCGTGCTGATGCATCAAACTTTTGATCCATGTGGTGTTGCGAAAGAAGTACAACTGAGCTCCTGTCAATATCGCACCCCACTCTTGCCATGGCGAACGAGCTTTCTTTTTCTTCATGTCCTTGCGCCAAAGTATACCCACTTTAGTGATTTTGATGTCAACCACTCCAGGATGGGCTTCTGCTGGGTTCGCCATGGTTTCTGGTGACATGAAAGCTTCTGGTCGGGACCTCGAGGACACTATTTGCAAGATACCAGATTTGAAGAAGGTCTTGTTCAGATTGGCGAGATTTAGAGACGGCGCTGTTCCAAGATATGTATAATGGTCGTCTAAAATCATGACATCTTTGAGCGACGGACGAAGGGAGTCTAGTCTGTTATCCAAGATGAGCGTGTAAGGATCAACGGGTTCTCGAGAGGGTTTGCCTAGAGAGTCTGTACTAGGCCTTGCGAAAATGTTTTTGCGTGCCTTGCGGGCAACGATTCGCTCTCCATTGATGTCGACATCGTCCTCTACATGGATGAAGGGGGTATAGGAAATGTTATCATAGAAGCATTCCAAAATCTCGTCAGCTACACCTTGGCCCCTCGCATTCTTGGTGTAATCGTTTTTCTGCATCTTGTGCTTGTTGTTCTTATTGAAAACGTCGGTATGAAGGATCAATATTGAAAAGGCTATGAAGTATGCTTCATCTAGGAGATGATATATGTCAATTTTTGAACCATTGGAGAGAGCTATAGAACTTACCCGGTGACGCGTAGACTCCGGGGTTGCATTCATGGTACCTGTTTGCAAAAGCTTGAAGGACTCGATCGATCTGCTGGGTCTCTTTTGGAAGTTCCACTTCCATCAACAACTTTCTGGTGGACATGTCAAGAGGATCGCCAAAGAACTTGAAGCCTCGCATGTAGCTGCGTAGTACATTCTTGAAAAAGTCGTCGTTGGACTGGGACAGAATCGTAGCAACGACGCCTCGGCTTACAGCTTCCTCGAGCCGGATCAAATACTTTGCCGGTGTGTCTCCCTCTTGGCGCTGAGGAACTATGACAGGTTCTCTACTCAGGCTGAATGATTGAGACTTTGATCCAGCCGAGATAGGCGTGCCTGGGATAGCGGGATGACTAGAGCCCTGCCGCAGCTGTAAAGGCTCGGAATTCTGTCTGAGTCGAGATAAATTGAATAGCCCTCCGAGACTTGCTCTTCCAGTGGTTGAGGAGGACGTCCTACCCGATATAGGCAAAGGAGGCGTTGGCAGGGATTCATCCTCCCCACTCTGCCTGACAGAACCCTTGGTCGAGGACCGGCCTCGGCGGCCAAAGGGCGCTGAGTCAGTCCGGACAGGAGAAGAACTCCTAGATTGCCGAGAGTTGTTGGAGTCCATGCGAGAGATATCGCCCCGGACATGACTTGGAGACGGTAGTGGAGAAGTGAACCCATTGCTGTCATGACCTGGATAAGAGGAACGATGTACAGCAGTTAGAGGTGGAGTGCGGGCAGGAGATAGACGGCGTGGAGTTTCTGATGTACAGGCCCCAATCGATGCTCGCGGGGTGAAGCCAGTATTTTGAGGTGGCTCTGGAGTTGATACTTTGACTGGCAGGGGGAAAAGAGGGCCTTTGTTCTTCTTACGTCTTGGAAGACGAAAGAATGTCGTCGTGGTTGATACTGTGTGGGTTGTCGTTGTCGTTGCATAGACCCCGTGGTCTCCAAGACTCCCTTCTGACCTGGAAGATTCTGACAACCTTGAGACTGGCAAGGCCAACGAGGAATTGGAGTCATCGCCGTATGCGGGGGGAGCAGTCAGCCCCTTGAATCTATCTGGTTCTTCGAAGGTGATGCGGGACTCTCTTGCGCTTGGGTTGGCGAATGTAGGGTCTACAGTATTCTGACGAGAAGTCGACGCCATCTCGGATAGAGAGGTCATTGATGGCTTGGAAGAAATCGTCTTGGTGAGTTCTGATGGTTTGTGACGGCGAGGCAATGTAAATGTTGACATCTTCTTCCGACTCGGATCCAGACTGTCTTGAGGTGCTGTGGTAACAATGGAGGGAGCTGTAGAAGCCCGCTGATTAGCACCCTCTTTTTTCTTCTCCGAAGGCCATCCTCGTATTCATGACCTTACCTGTTGGCATAGGGGGCACCGGTGTGAGTCCATGATCTCTGGCTGTCTTCGATATCTAATATACAGCAATCCAATTAGCCCATTCCAGACGTCTAGTTATGAGAGAGAGAGAGAGAGAGAGAGAGAGAGATCAACCTGAGGATCACTAGCATGACGATATTTCAGCATGCTGAATCGCTGACGCTTCTGTGGCTGTTCGGGCAGCATTGGACTCTCCGCTCTTTCGGTAGAAGGTGTAGCCTGATCGACCGCTGAAGGTTCGAACGAGTTTCTGAGTGGAGACGGTGTTTTGACAGACTCGAGGGCATCGTGGCCGAGACGCAAGGTACTGTTGTTGGAGTTCTGCTCATGGTGTTTCGGAAATAGAAGAGGATCAATGGTGCTGTGACGACGGAGGCCTCCCGTGGTATCACCTGATCTGGTAGTCCGGAGGCGACTCCAAGGCATGCTGCATGAATTGTAGAAGGAGCATTGAGTCTGTGCTCTCAGGAGTTTGATAGCGATGTGGTCTCGTATTCGGGGTCACTAGGAGGATAGGATGCGGTCGCGGCAACAAGGCCGAAGGATGTGGAAGGATGTTGGAGGATGAGGTCAGAAAGAGGGCAGCGATTGGACTAAACGAGTGACGAGCTGTGAGAGGGCGATGAGAGCAGAAGAGGTGCAGAGGGGTTCGAGGGATCAGAGGAATCACTGTTATTCAAAAGGAATAAGAAGAATACAACTTCCAGAAGTTGATCTTTCTGATGGGTCTTAATTCTCCCTTGAATAAGGTAAGGTATTTTAATATATAATGCCTATACGTATTCACGCTACTTGATTTTAATGACAGGTACGGTAAAGTACAGACTTGCCGTCCTGCCGCTGGTGGCCCCTGGTGGCCCTCATAAAATGAAGTGGCTCGCTGGCCTTTAAATCCTTGAATTGAATGATGATGATTTCCTTACCTTATCGTCCCTTCACTGACATAAAGTACATGTACTAGTACGTAATTATGCCTCCATGCCAAGACCTTATGCATCAAGGCCCAGGAGCACCGAGTACGAGTACTGTACCAAACCCGAGGGTCTCCGCAATCAGGCAGAAATAGTTTCAACTTACCTACAAGTAGGTACTCGATGTACTACTCACTATCACTATCCTCCCTCTTGGATTGTGACACGCCCATAAGATTGAAAATGACAAGGGAAATTGACAAGGAAATCATTGCTAAAGCAGTAGCTTGACAAAAAGACGACATAAAATGTATTCTTCTTCCATCAATCTCTTCGCACTGAGCCCCGCCCTGCTCCTATGGAGTCTGATAATCCTCTCACCTCATCCCAGCACTTCCTTCCTGAAGCATCCTCATCCCACCCCGCAACTGCCTCTTCGCATACCCCAACAAGCCTCTTCCAATTCCAATCCTCAGTCATGGCTATCTCGCGCCCGAGACGGCCTCATTCAAACTATCTGGCGCATTCCCACCGAGACCGGCTTGACCAAGGCCAATAGCAAAGCGTCCACCCTAGCCGGCCCTCCGCCAACACTCCTGGCAAGATATGGAGGGGACTTGGTCCTGCGCTTCGATATCAACTCAATCGACGAGGCAGAGGCACTTGCGCAAGCCATCAACGTCCTCTTTCTTGATGTTTGGGAGTTTACCACCGATTGGGTAGATATACGCTTGTCCAAGGATGTGGTAAGTAGCAAGCCCAACGCTGGGATAACAAAGATTCTGACGACTCTATTTATCCAACAGGTGCCGTCACTCTTGGGACTTCTACCGCCATCTCTGCAGCATGCTCATACTCCCCTAATGCATGACCTCGCCCAAGCAATCTTCGAATCATACCCTTCTCTCACCTTCCTGGATCCCTCGACTTCTCCGCAGGAAGCCTCTCGCTCATTCAGCCCTGACCTCCGCCCTTCTACCGATGAGACTAACATCTTCTTCCGCGACTACCAGCCTCTCTCTGTCATTGTCCCTTGGATGCGCCTCCTGTGCTCTCTCTTCCCAACTCACGTCCGCATGACCAATATCGGCGTATCTTACGAAGGCCGGGACATACCTGCGCTTCGCGTTGGTGTGCACCCAACCAACTCTCAACAGCAGACCTCTCCCCGCAAGACTATCATCATTGCTGGGGGCTCCCATGCCCGCGAATGGATTAGCACATCTTCTGTTAATTATGTTGCCTATTCCTTCATCACCGCCTACGGTAAATCAAAACCCATGACGAAGCTCCTTGAGAATTATGATTGGGTCTTCATTCCAACCCTCAACCCGGACGGCTACGTCTACACATGGGAAAATGACCGTCTTTGGCGTAAGAACCGCCAGCAAACCGCCCTCCGATTCTGCAAAGGCCTTGACCTCGACCGCGCATATGGTTTCGAATGGGACAGCGAATCCTCAAGGAATAGTCCCTGTTCCGAGAGTTTTTCCGGAGAGAGCCCATTCGAAGCTGTGGAATCTCGCCGCTTTGCCAATTGGGTCCGCAATGAGACCGAAAACAACAATGTAGAAATTGCAGGGTTCCTAGACTTTCACAGCTATTCGCAGCAAGTGCTATATCCTTACTCCTATTCTTGTACCTCCTCTCCTCCATCACTTGAGAACCTAGAGGAGCTCGCCATTGGTCTTGCAAAAGCCATCCGTGTCACTAACGGTGAGAAATACGGCGTCACTTCCGCCTGCGAGGGAAGCGTGATGACCACACCGACCAAGAAGCGTCCGCAAAGCAACATCGAGAAGTCCAAGAGCGAAAAGAGACTGTGGCCTCGAATGGAAACAGGAGGCGGCAGTGCTCTTGACTGGTTCTATCACGAACTGAAAGTTTCTTACGCTTACCAAATCAAATTGCGAGACACTGGCAGCTATGGGTTCCTTCTGCCGAGTAAGAATATTTTGCCAACTGGCAAGGAGGCATTCAAAGCTGTGGAATATTTCGGTGAGTATCTAATGGGAAACAAAGGGATTGAGATGTCCGAGACTGAGACAAGCTTCAATGACGGGGCCGAAGTACCAAAAGCTAAAGGAGTGATAGTAGACGAGGAGGACTGGGTGATGGTGGAGCAGGAATTAGAGGATGACCTCGAAAAGGAGGTAGTCGCCAATTGGGAACTGCACCGACGACGAAGAAAGTAGGTCACGTAACATGTAATAGCCTGTCGCACTTTTTGGGTATGATATCTATTGGGGAAGGAGCGGAAGCGGGGGGTTTTCAAAGGGTCTATATTCTTTTGAGGAATTGCCTCAACATATCACGAAGTAGTTAAAATCCAAGACCATCACGTCCGTTACTTTGGTATTGACGAGGTAAAAAGCCTCAGTACAAGAGCTTGATTGGGGCAAAATTATCAAGCAGTTTCATCTATCGAGCATGGTCCATGATGTTGTCTGTAAAGCTGCTACAGCTATTAATGCGTGGTTGCCGGTCTGTGGCCTTAGCTAATAGGTGCTTTTCCTTGCTCGAAGTAACGGACCCGACCCGTTTTTATTACTATTCCTCTTTGCAGGCTTCTTGACAGCGACCGCCTTGCTCGGCAAACTCCCTTCATCGCTGTTGTCATCCTCATCACTTTCGTGTTCGAAGAAGTGACTCTTGAGTGCCGTTTCGCTCTTCCTCGCTGCTTTGCGTTTCGGCGCTGCCCTTCTTTTGGGCGAATTGGTGGGTACTTTACCATTGGGACCGCTGATGGTTGTAGCTGGTTTCTTCCCAATTGTCGAGGCTTCCTTGGGGAGTGTTACCTTGTCGTCCTTATCTGCTTCGGTTAAAGCCCCCTCGCTGTCATCGGTGTCCGGGGGCCCACGATTCACGACATCCGAAGTCATTGGTGGAGCGTGCGGAGTACCATTCAAAGCATCCCTGTCAACCGGACCCCCTCCATCTTCAATTGTGAGCTCGCCCGCTCTACGTGGGACCTCCTCTTCGTCATGTGCTTCGGGGAGAAAACCTCCACCATCAAAGGCGTCATCATCTGCAGGGAAGCCACCTCCGATGTCTTCTTTGTCATCGGCGTAAGTAAATGGACCTCTGTATGGTTTTGGACCCGTTCCAGTCTCGGCTTGCCGGGCCTTCTTGGCCTTGCTTGGATTCGTGAAAGGGTTCACTTCCTCGGCGGTATGCGCATCCGCGTCGCCTCCGTACTCCTCCCTGACCCGTTCGATTATACGCAGGCCCATCAGCCATTTCCTCCACGTTCCTAACGCGGTTTTCTCCCTCTTGCCTTCTTCTTTGATCTTTCGCTCTTCCTCATCTTTCTCCCACCTACACATTTTATACTAAGTCAGCTTGATTCATATTCTGGGGTAAAAGCCTGGGTCCGCAACAACTTCGTAGAGTTAAGTATGCCTTTCGCTCGCAAGAGATATCTTAGATCCCAAAGAGCGGTATGAACTTGGGAGGATGGGCCTGGGAAAATGTACACATACTCATCAATTACTGCGTGCTCGTGCCCCTTCGCAACCACCACGCCGGTAATTACAGGCACCGCCCTCTGCTTACCAAATTCGAAACCGGTCACAGCTTCCGCGAAGTCTATGCCCAGTCTCTTGCATATTCTGACGGTACTTTTAAGCGGTATATGAACAGCACCCTTCGGGACCATAGTGGGAACATAGCAATCCATGTTACCAAATGCGTTCTTTGGAATGACTCCATTTTCGATTGGTGGGGGAATGATCCAGTCTGTCTGGTGCAAAGCGTACAGGCCTTGTTTGAGCTTTTCACCATCTCTCTCAGCCTCTTCAACTTCACGCTTCCTGGTAAGGGTGACTGCCCGAACAGGCACCATTTTCATCGGAAACTCGCCTATAACGAATTTGGTTTAGCGGATTAAAAAACGGTAACGTGGACAGGGTTGGAAGGATTTGGTCCGAAAAGGTACGTACCAGGCTTGACCGCCCGACCTTCTTTGTGCCAGCTTTCGCCCGTGCGGCAGATCTCAACATCATTACGTCTATAGACAGGTTCCTCCTTCACCTTGTCTCCCTTGCCCGTAGTGAATGTTCTTACAGGCATCGCACCCGGCAGTAGCGCTTCCTCTCTTCGCAAATGCCTTTCAAGCACATACTCTGCAGAAGTTTTGAAGCTTTGAAGAGTTCCTTCGCTTGCTTTGAGTTCTTTCTTCTCCGGTTTCATAGCCTTGAGGTCTTTAGCCTCCTCAATGTCATCTGCTACAGTCCTCATATCCGGAGTCCTAGAATAGCCGCTCATGACTGTCTTGAACCAATCGTAGTCCTCATAATGTTTGATCTTTCCTCTTCGATTGTAGACGGGCACCTTCTCGATTGGAAGCCGTACTCCTTTGGTTCTGCCAGGCCACATGTGCCGTTTTAGGTAACGAGTAGTGACATCTTTGGCTGTTCCATCAGCGGAGTATGCCACGATATATCCAAACACCTGTTTTGCTTTGTCCGCCTTGGCGCCTCTGGATTCAAACTGACCTAGATGTTCGGGATTAGTTGCCACTGCTGGAGTGAGTATCATTGGATCGACTGGGAAAATCTCGCTGGTGACGGGGGATATAACCTCGGTCCAGTAGGTCGGAAACGGCATGTCTCTATCGTAATTCATGTTCGCTCGCGTACGAGGAGTAGCAGGTGTTACATCAACTACGGACGCGTCGTCGTCGTCGTCCTCCTCATCGAACGGGATGTCCTCCCCACTGTCCTTAAATGAGACTTCCGAAAGGTCTACTGGCGCACTCCTCGCACCTCTAAGCATATCATTTCTACCAACGCTTTTGCTGGGTGTCGTGGAAGTTTTCGTTACCATAGGCGCGATTCTGGAATCAGATTCTTCACTGGGGGCAGGTACCTCATCAGCATCCTCCATCTTCGGTATTTTCGAAACATTCCTCCTCTGTTCCGAAGCTTCTTCGTTCTTGCTCCAACCGAACCCAACAGGCTGCAAGCTCGTGGTCAGCCTCGTTTCGAGTCCTAGACCCCGAATCAAAGCGGTAAAAAGCTGGGCTCCCACGTCTCGGGAGCCTTCGCAACTTTTCGCGAGCTTCCTGAACTTCTCAATGCTCCCTATTCGCTCGCCGTGCTGTTCTGGGTCGTGCTTGTCGTTCCTATACGATGCAATGTCCTCTTCTAAGACCGCAAGTGCTTTGTACCCTTGTTTCCGTATCCCGGGGGCTGTAATGGTGAATCGCTTTTTCCAATAGGCAGCCAGTACTTTGAGTAGTCGTAGGGTGGGATCGCCTCGACTCATGTTTGGAGCACCTCTTTCTTGCCTCTCTGCAGGTCTCCCCCAATCCCTCTGATTCCTCTCGCTTTGTTCTGCTTGTTTTCCTTTCTTATTATTGCATGTCGTAAATTTGGGGTCCTCCACGGCAGCATCTCGAATGATCCCTGCGGCGATCTTCCATTTGGTGATTTCCTTGTTCACGCCGGGCGGTATTTGACCAACTAGAATACGCTGAGTCTCCTTGTCACATGTCCAGCCATTTCTGATTAGATTGTGGAAGAGCAGGAATTGCACGTGCATAATGTGTGTGGACACCCTGATCTGTCTTTCAATCTTGCTTGGTCCTTTACTCTTGTCTCGAGGATTGGTGGTGGAGCCAATACGAGCACTTTTGTCAAGTGTGAGCTCGAGATCACCCGATGGGCCAGCAGCTGCGCTTGAGGATAGCGTGGCATTAGGATATATAGCGTCCTCCCAATCAACTTCATCGTTGTCCTCGTCTTCCCGGTGCGCTATCTTCCGTCTTTTCGAATTCGGTGGCGACTGAACATCCTCGAAGTCGGCACTGCTAACATCGCTGAGAGAACTGTCACTTTCTGAGCCACCCAACTGATCAAAAAAAGCCTTGTTATCTTGTAAAGTCGCAGACGCGTCGGGCTTATCTGCGGTATCAAAAAGACTGGGCTTCTTGGCTAAATTTGGCGTTGGACTATTGGCAGAAGAGGTGGACAAACGGCGTTTGGAAGGGATGAAAGGTGGCATTCTAAGTGTTTGTGGTCATTTGGCAGTGGATCATGACCATTATCACTATAGAAGATTTGTCGGCGCCCCTTTTGACTTGTAGTCGTCGCGCCCCTAAAGGAAATGGTAAGGTTTGCCATGACGTCGGGAGATCTATCGCTAATCTTGCCTGGACGATCGACAACGCTACTTTAAGTAGTCTAAGACCTGTCAAAGTTTTTGGGGAAAGGGGGAGCTCGGGGGGGTCCCAGCTTTCGGGTAGAGCGTGGCACCGAGTAACCGCCAACTTTTGGATTGGAACGTGTATCTCTCGACAATAAAATCTTCACTCACGTTTTACGACCTCATCCTGCGATTTTTGAGACACTCTGGGAGCTCATAGAGTCCAAGAACCTCTAATTCACTCTCCGTAAACGGGATGCCGCGTCTGTTGAAATGAAGCCACTGTGTGGTAAACTCCCTGACGTGTGGTTTCTTCACAAATCTCTATTCTTAAGTCTACGGCTCAAGGCACCTGTGGTAATTACTGTCGACCTAGGAGGCTATCGAGGCTCATATGCGCCCACTAAGACTATCATAACGGCGCATAGCTTTCTAGTGAGTCCACACCGCCTTTGCTGTGTCTCGAGATCTACAAATGCCTAAGCTAACTGACCAGAACTTAGCTCGCTCTTTGATGTCAAACGCAATGGAAGCGACCAACAATCGTCTCAAGCAACTGGAAGACATTGAGATACGTCTCTACCTCGGGCAAGAGGCAACCACGCAAAGAAGTGCCAGGGAAGACAGGCAATTGCAGCTCAAGAGACAGGAAGAACATCGCGATTTTCTTGAAGAACTGAGGGAGCGGGATCAAGAAGAGGATGTGAGTACACTGCGCTCTCCCACTCGACGGTCTAGAGTTAAAGGGAGTGCTCAGGAGCTCCGTCGAAGACGAAGGATCCTTTCTCGGTCCTCCTTTGGTCATCTGGCGGTAGGATCTCGTGATGATGAGAGCCAAGCTTCTACAGATGTCGAAAATTGGCCGGTGACAAGAAGCGAAACGAAGGTCAAGCGCTCTGCCAGTAAGATTGTCCCCAGCTCCAGCTCAGGGAAAAAGGACTACGGTCTGCCCACTGCTCGCGATAGCTAGGGAAGGGACTTCTTTACACGACCCTCGGACGGCAAGTTGGTCTATCTTCACTGTTGCATACCGGGGTGTGAAAAAGCTAATTTCCCCAACGCTATGGCGCTTCGCAACCATGTCTGTTCACCGACAGGATTGCAAAAAAATAAGAGCCTGAATACTAGCAATACTCAAAGGTGTGCGGGCAGATTGCCCCAGATCAGGAGGAACCTTCGACCACCACAAGAGACCAGCCATTTGGGGCTGCGCCATTTGCGAATATGATATGCGCAGGTGTCTTAACGCCACCTCCAACTGGTTCGGACGAGTGTTAACTTCAGAGTAAAGCAAGCTCTCGGTCGACCTCCCACACAGAGGCCAGATTTGGTGCGACGCTCAGTAAGACACTGGAACGATTCAAGGCGCAAGATCTTGGCAAGGCGTACAGGACGAGGCCTTCACGCAATGGTAGTCAGACGCAGTCGAGGACTAGGGCAGAAGAAGCTGCAGAGGTATTCAATGCATTCATGAGCTCAGATTGTGGGGACAGCGACGAGAGCGAGGACGAGCCTCTTCTACATCGAAAGATTTCTGCGGATAGGATAGACCAGCACAAAGCGGCGAACAAGGCCACAAACCCCTTGACTCGTTTTGGTGCAACATCCGGCAGAAAACGTGCAAAGACAGCCGGTGGTGACTCAGCGTTGATCGTTCGGTCGATGACCAGGCTATCAAAAAGGAGCATAGCCCCGGTCTTTCGCTATTTCCAGAACAGTCAGAGCATCACCCAAGCCCAAGGACTCTCGTTGTTACTCCTGAAGCCGAGCAAGTCCCAAACTTTGGGACCGAGACCATTGCAACGCGCAAGAGATCCAGCTCAGCTCCGCTCGTCACACCTCCTACTATCACCAAGCGCCTTCGCCTTACGGATGAGAACTTGGAGCACTTGGTACGTTCATGCAGTGAAGTGGTAAGCGGACGAAGATAATGTGATCGGACGTGGAAAAAGCCGACACGAAAAGGGGCCTACCTCTCTGGGCGAATTACCACACTCTAAGGGTCATATGCGCTTTCTGACCACGCAATTTGGCAGTCATCTTTGACATAGTTTTCAAAGCATCTGCAGATACAATGGTCTCAATCTTCTCGTTCTCGGACAAATTACTCGCTCCACCACCCGGCTCACGCATCACTATCACGCCAGACCGACGTTCCTTGGCCTTCCTCGACGATCCACGCTTTCTCTACAGGAGGTGTTGTACGTTTGCCGCTGGCACGTGCAAAGGTGGCTACCCCGAACGAGACGGACGGCGGTCTATATGATACTTGCTAGTGTTACCGGCTTTGACTTTGGTAATGGCAGCTGCAAGATCTTCGTCCATTAGTGGGCCACGTCAGCAAACACTGGCTCGAGCAAAAATTGGCTCGTTCGCCATTCCACTGGAGATAGTTTAACATAGGAGGAGGCAAAGGCTGCTTCAATGACTGCCGGTTCAACTCAAATGCAAAGTACAATTTTGAGCAATCACTCAATATTATCTGTAATTTGACATGAATCGGCTAAGGCTCTGATACCCAGTGAATGCTCAATCCCAAGCCTGGTGCTCATATGGTCCTTCAGCCGTCATGACTAGCGTCAGCCTCTCCTAAGCTGAGAAACTTCTTAAGAATTCAGGTCAGTGAGATTGTGTTCCCGTGCGTAGGATCCCAACATGCACGACAAATCCTGAGCCATCCTTTAGCTCATCAATCAAATGATCATCAGGCATCTTCCACACTTTGAAAAGCTTGTGAAAAGCTTTTAGCCAAGCTACGAAAACCATATCAGAGCGTAGTTGCTGAGCGACTATACACAACGTCGGTTTCTGAGCCGAGCATGCGTTGGCCAATTGGCATATATCAGCACATGTGCGTACGAAAGGATCGATAAGTGACTCGTTGTAAATGCAATCGCACGCTATGACGGCATCAATGGGTTGGAACACCTCTGCTGAATCTGTACCCATCATTGCAGGTAAATTTGATGCCAAGCTGGACTCCCAATCCAAACCTAAGACCTCTATCTTGCTCCTAACGCGCGCACTGCCATTCTTAACTTGCGCCTTGCCATGATGCTTGGCAATACTGGAGCCTGAGCCTGTTCCTTTCGGACTGTTGTCCTCAATGTTAGCCTTCAGCAACTTGAAGACGTACTCTTGATCGGTGGCGATATATCTGCCAATTCGGCGGGCCAATGCGATGGCTACAACGCCAGAAATGCCAGACCCCAGCTCCAGCGCTATCGAGCTCTCGTCAAGAACAGACAACCGAAACAAGATATTGCTGTTTGATGTGATCCACTGCGCAAACAATGGTGTGATCTTCCATACAACAGCGCCAGTAGTGCCCCCTTCTCGATTGGACGACAGGAGCGTGGGTGACTGTCGGATATTTAGGTCCCTACCAGAGACAGTAATCTCCAGATTCGTCGCTTTTGCGTCCACAAAACCGAGATCCTGAGATGGGAGTTTCTGGGAAAATAATAGGAAGGATTCCTCCTCTGGATCACTAACATCTTCTCCAAGGAATGAGAGCAGATCTTCTAGTGGCATTGCAAACAGTGAAGTGCTTTCAATCTTGAAAAGACTTCCCGTCAAGATGTGTAAGCAAGAAGAAAGTCGAATGATCAGAGAATAAGGATGGTCGTTTGGGTAAAGTGAATAGAATAGGGAGGTGAGAAACTTCAAAGGGAGATTCTCATTGTCCCCAAATGCTGGGAGGTGCATCTGCAAATCTGAAAAGTTCCTGCAAAATTTGAAATTGCTGATCGCGCGTGTGTCGCGGAAATCACAAAATCCGCCGGATCAGCAAATCTGATTAGAATCCGCCTAAATTCCGCCGGTTCAGCAATTGTCTCAACCTTTTCCGCCAGTTCTGTCAGTTTAGCAGCAATACGCACGAAAAAAGAAAAGTTCTAATGATCGACGTTGCGACGGCAAGGTTCTATGAGCGACGAGTATCAACGCCAACTTAAATTTGACTACGGAATTGGACGATTTAATGAAATTAGTCGCGTAGGTGATACTCTGATATAGCGTATAATGATGCGTATGTTGATAATGATGTATATTGATGTTATATGTATGTAGAATAGTACTTAAAGTATATTAGAGTGTATTACGCAAAAATTTTAAAGTTGCTGAAAATTTTTGAAGTTACTAAATTAGTAGAACTGGCGGAAAGGGTTCGATATAGGCAAAGTTTGCTTAATAGACTAAATCGTGCTTATGGTGCGGACCCGGCGGAAATCGTGCGGAAATTCACTTTTCAGATTTGCAGATGTGTAAGGTCTAATCGTATCTACCCCCATTCGCGCCATCTTAAATCCGATAAATCCGACATAGATAGCTACCACTACCATAGCTACCACTACCACTCATTCAAATAGCCTACTATCACAGTCTATTATAATAACCAATACTACGATATTATAGTCGCCGTCTATAGGCCTAACATAGTAGATATCCCTACTCTAGACTCAAATGTGGCCTACTTAAGTCCAGTTAAGAAAAAGGTTACTATATCTTTTACATTAGGCCTATTAATATTACTAAACCTCGCTCTATTATCTCTATTTTCTTAATTATTAAAAAATTAAAAAAAATCTGCGAATTTAACACCCTCTTATAATTAAAAATTAAAAATTTGAATTTTCCTATATAACCTTACTATTACTTATTTTTATAGTTTAAAAATTCTACGATATTTACTTATTATATTAAGTAATCTATCTCTAAATTTTAAAAAGATTTAGATTTTAATCTTATAAGTAAAATATAAAAAGTGAGAATATATCGCGAACTTGAAAATTTTACCTCGACTATTTTTTTATCGTTAAGACTATTTTAAAAAATCTAGAAATTTATTAAATCTTTATTCTATAATAAAACGAATAATTAAAATCTTTTATAAATCGATATTCTTAATCTCTTATATAATTATTAAAATCTAGAGATTTTTAGAACGTTATAAGTTGTCGTTGTGAGGCTATTTAAGAAAAGCACTTTTTTATTTTTAAAGAGAGGTGTTAAAATCGCGATTCTAGTTTTCTAATAATTATAAAAATAGGGGTATAGTAAATATGTGCTAGGGCGTATTCTTTCCAGTAGTAAAAAGCTTGCCAAGTACTAATTTTTAACTATTTTTAATTCTTAGAGAGATTCTCTAAAATCCCTCGGACCCTTCGGGGGCTCTTTAAGGGCTCTTCGAGAGCTTCTATCGAGGGGCTATTAAAGTAAGCTCGAAATTTAATTATTTTAGTAATATTTAATTAATTTCGAGCTTACTTTAATAGCCCCTCGATAGAAGCTCTCGGAGAGCTCTTAAAGAGTAGAAGATTTAAGGGATTTTAGGGAATCTAATTCTGAGAATCGAGAGAGATAGTTGATATACTTAGAGGGAGACCCTCTAAAACCCCTTTGACCCTTCGAGGGCTCTCCGAGAGCTTCTATCGAAGGGGCTCTTCTCGCAAGCTCGATAAATAAGAAATCTTGATTTTTAGCATATCTTTATGAATACGATATCAAATTTCGTCTATACTCGTACGTTCGAGAAGTAAGCTATTTAATAGAGTGAGGATATTAATAGATTAAGCGATATCGTACTAAGTAAAAAGATTTATTAATATTATCGATTTATTAAGTAGCTAACTTCTCGAACGTACGAGTACTATTAAGAAATAATTCTTAATATTATAATATTAATATAATATAAAGTTATTCTATTAATTTATATAATCTATAGATATATATATATAAAGAAGAGGCGCGTTAAGATTTAATTAGAAAGATATATCGAGTATAAAGAATTAATTTATAATAATTATCTATAAAAAATAAGAAAAATGCCATATTCTTATAGTAAGAAGTATGCATATATGTGTGCTTTTCGAAAAATCGAAAAGAAGTAAAAATACTAAGCTAATTAGTAGTATATATTCTACGAAATCTTCTATTAGAAATAAAAACTTTTAAATAAAGAAATAAATATCGAAATAAGATATCGAACGGTTTTAAATCGTTTAAATAAGTATCGTCTAATGTTTCTTAATAATAGTAAATATAACCTTTATAACTATATCGATAATTCTTCTCTATAAAGACCTAATAAACTATAGTCTCGTTTTTACTCTCGTTATAAGTATTATTATAATAACGTAATATATATTTTATAGAATAATATATAGAGATTATATAGTAGCTATCAACCAATATATCGTACGTATAGCTCTTCTCTTCTTTATTTTAATAGATTTATAGACGTATTAACTACGACTATAGTTACGACTATAATTAACGATATAGAGATCTCGATAGCTATTATTAATAGAACTACTAAGGCCTTAATTAATAGACTTAATAAGATTTATTTAGATATAGATTATTAGGCGAGATTTATCGAATATTAAATAGATTTAATATTATATAATTTAACGTAATTAAACTTACTTAATAAATAATATTAAGTCGCTTAATAAATCTAAATCTCGCTATAGATTTATTTTAATATAATAAAAGACCGTCGTAAGATTATTCTACTAGAGCTATTTAAGGCCTTTAATAATACGAATAATCTTTTAAATATATATCGTTACGTCTCTCTTATTAGCTATATTCTTTCTAAGATAATAATACTTATCTAACTTTAACTCTATTATTAATTTCTTATATAACGATTTAAATTATTCGATTAATATTTAATATTATAAATTAATTAATATACTAGTATTATAGACTTTCTTAATATACTTTTAAATCTCGTAATAATACTAGTTAAATACGACGTCTTAAAGTATTATAACGAGATTTATTTAAATTAATTTAACGCTTTAAGATTTATTAATAACTACGCTAATTAAGCGATTAGTAAATATATATACTTTTAAAACGTTATCGTTAAAGTAGCTTACTTTCTTAGATCTTAAACGCTTATCTTT